CTGCCGGCCAGGGGCTCTCACGGCCTTCTGCTGCAAGTAGCGAGTACGGCAGCCCGCGGAGTACGGCAGGCCGACAGGTGATTATGGACGAGCTGGATCGACTTGTACGGCAGCTCCAGGAGGAGTTGGAGGGGGTGGCGGCGCAGCGGGGGCACACGGAGTTGAGGTACGGCGGGGTGGGGCCGAAGCGGGGTGGGGCTGTCGGGGGTCCGGGGGGCATGGCACGGCGCTTTTTCAGGCGGCGGTGGTGTTGATTGGGTACTTCTTGCTTTAGCTGCCGTGATGCGTTACAGCAGATAATGAAAGCCGAGGCCAACCAACCGTACGTCGCCTCCACACCAAGAACCCGAACCCTAATCCACACATCCCGACGCCCCAACCCATGTTTAAGATGCACTAGTGGCCGATTGTGCTGACAGCACCCAGTGTTGCACCTCGATTGCCGATTGACCCCCTTAATTGAGAGACCGGCATCCAAGAAGCCCCTCCAAACTAGTTGTCCTCCTCGAGGCGAAACGCAAGCAAACCCCTACTCGCTAGGCGCGACCTCGGGCGGGTGGGTGGGACCTAGGCGGCCACAATCCCGGCAGAGGGATGGCCACCCGATACTATCAATCACAACGGCAGTTGAAAGCACAAACGCGCAGGCAGCCCTGCTAGGCTGGTTCGATTTGCCATCGCTGTCGTACACCCATGCAAGCGCGCCTTCTGCTTCCACGCACCACGGCAGCTAGCAAGAAACCTACTTCTTCAGTCATACTTCCTTACAGAAGTGGCATCCTCTTTTACGGATGAAGGGGCCACAGAAAGGCGCCCGTGGGTCGGCTGTCCCCTTTAACCCAACCACGTCTTGGGCTGACCCTTTATCACCCCTTCCTTGGACCCCTCCACCTAATGCCGTACCTGGTACCCGCTCTACATGCCGTACTTGTCTCACCCCCAGGTTGCGTCTAATCTCATCGCTGCTAGAGACCTCCCGCACCCGCCCCGCCGCCGCCGTCGTCCCGCCGCTCACACCGTCACTGTACGACAGCGACATTGGAGTCCCGCCGGCCGCCGCCGCCGCCGCCAACACGTCCGCCGCCGTCGTCGCTGCTGGGCCCTCTCCGCTGGATGTACGACTGATGGACGAGCAGACGGAGCTCCGGAACCAGCTATCGTACCTGGATCAGCGTGCTGAGCTGCTGCAGTACGCGCAGCAGGAGTGGGACAAGGCGCGAGCTGTGATGACGGGTAAGAGGGGGCAGAGGAGATGAGAGGTTGGGACGTGGGAGAAATTAGGAAGAAGGCCAACATGATTTGCCAAAGCATTTCGACGACACGTTTCGGCAACGCGTTTCGACAACACGTTTCGACAACATGCATGGAGCAATCCTTTGGTTCACTGTCCAACTGAGGAGCTATGGTGGATGTCATAAGCCGAGCAACATGCCCGTTCAGGTTTCAACACGTTCCCTTACCTCGGGACGCATCCTTGTGCATCCCTCCTTTCCTTGCCCCTCTTCCCCCAGGCGTGCGCGTGTCTCGTCGCCAGGCGGGTCCGCTGCAAGCCATCCTCTTCTCCGACACACTCGCACGCATCCGCGCATTCCAAAAGGCGCAACAGCAAACACTGCAGCAGAAGCAACAGGAGGAGCAACAACGACAACAAGAAGAACAGCAGCAGCAGCTGCCATGGGCCGGTGCGGGCCACCATCTCGGAGCAGCTGCCGGCACGGAGGTGGCGTCGGCAGCGGCGGAGGCAGGCCGGAGACCTGGGAAGGCTCGACGGGAGGCAAAGGGCCCGCCGCTGGCGGCGGCATCAGCGCTAACTCGGCCGTATACGGCTGGCGGCGGCGGCGGCAACAGCGGCGGCGGCGGTAGTAGCCGCACGGCGGCTCGTCCATACACTGCGAGTGGCGGCGGGATTCGTGGCAGTGGCAACAACAGCGGCGGCGGCGGCGTCACCAGCATGTCTCCCTCCCGTCTGCCCGGCAGCCGTCGGCAGCTACAGCCCATACTAGAACACGCCGGAAGCAGCAGCGGCGGCGGCGAACGGGTTAGCCTGGACAACGCCGTCGCTGCGGCTCTGCAGGCCGGCGTCAGCAGGCAAGGCATGCAGCAGCAGCCACCCTCGCGGCCTCAACCGCCGCCGCGGCAGCGGCAGCAACCTCCGCCGCCGCCGCCGCCGCCACAGCCGCATGGGCGTGTTGCAACATCGTACAAGGACGCACACGTCGGCGAGAGAGCTGCGCCGCGGCCGCCGCCGCCGTCGGCCGCTCTTCCCTGCTCCGTTGGCGCTGCCAGCGGCAGGGCCGCCGTCGCAGATCAATACCCGTACGGCCCTCTGGATCCAGAGTACGACGCCCCCCGTCACGTGCCGCCGTACGAGCAATGGGAAGCACGAAGCTCCTGGCGGCACCAGCAACAGCAGCCAGTGACAGGGGCGCAGCGGCAGCAGCACCAGGCACAGTCGGAGGTGCCGGCCGGCGGCGGTGGTGTGGGCGGCGGCGGCGGTGGGGGGTTGCGCCGGCCGGAGGAGGAGGAAGAGGAGGAGCTGGAGGGCGAGGGAGTGGAGGAGGATGACGAGGAGGAGGAGCTGGAGAATGAGATGTACGACTACCTTGAGCAGCACTTGTCAGCAGCTCACGGTAAGTCACAACAGGAGGTTGGAGCATGAGGGGGCGCGCTAGGGACAGGTCCTTCCGTGCATGATGGGGAATCTGAGGTTGGTATCTTCTGCAGCGCTGTGGCAGTGGCTTGGGCATGTCAAGAGAAAGCTGGTGGCTGCCCTGAGGTGCCCTACCTGGGGATGCTTGTGTGGCATTTGGAGCATTAACAGCACCGCACTTGTGTTCTCAAGTCGTACGGCGTGCGGTACCTAACCGCGGTTACCTCCCCACCAACCCTTCGTCTTCATCCCGGCAGCAGGAGTCATGTCGCGTGATGAGAACCTGCCGTACGACGACCACATCAACAGTCCCATGTACGACAACGTGGGCCTGCCTGTTGCGGAGGAAGGCGCCATGGGTGGCGGCGGTAGCGGAAGCGTCAATGCACGGCACATGCAACAGTACGGCGGCCGATACGGCGCTGGCGGCGGCGGCGGCGGCGGCACGGGACTTGGGGAGCATGAGGACGAGGAGGAAGGCGAGGAGACAGATGAGGACGAGGAGGAGGAGGATGAAGATTCGGAGCTTCAATCTGCCTTCCTGGCCTCCTGCATCACATTGACAAGAACGTCCCTGGACATCCTAGGCACGTCCGGCACGCCGTACGTCAACCGTGGCGGCGGCGGCGGAGGCGCACCGCTGCCGTACGGAACATCTCCGTACGATGAGGGCCTGGTAGAAACGTTAGATACGTACGGCAGCGGCAGCGGCGGCGGCGGTACGCCCCGCGGTGGGGACGGTGGTGGTGGCGCCGGTGGTTATACGATGACGTCACCGTCGAGTAACCGCCTGCCACCGCGGCCTGCAGGCTTCGCCGCCTCCGCTGCAGCAGCCGGCACGAGTCAAGCTCTTGCCGGAGGCTGGCGGCAGCCGATAGCGGCGCCGCTGCCACCTCATCCCCATCACCCCCAGCATCCCTACCCGCATCACCCTCACTACCAGCACCACCCTCAGCAGCAGCAACTAGGCGGCGGCGGAGGCGGTAACGTTTTCATCCCTCAGCCTGCCGCCACCACCGCCGGCTCCGGAGGTGGGGGAGGTCGTCGAGGCGCCTCAAGCCGGCTACTGCTGCCCACCTCTCCCGGCCCCATGCCGCCACCGCTACCGCACCAATACCACCATACCAATCAACAACACCAACCGCAACAGCACCAACCGCAAACGCACCAACTGCAACAGCAACAGTACCAACCGCAACCGCAACAGCAGCACGCACCGCGTGCACAACAACAGCGCTGGTCCCCCGCTGCCCCTTCCGATCCACCGCTGTCCCGGCCCTCGCCTGCCTCCGCCGCTGCTGCTGTCGCTGCTTCACGGTCCCGGGAACGCTCATCTGCGGTCTCCACGCAGCCGAGCGCCAGGGGTGCTCGGGAAGGAGGCGGCGGAGGCGGCTTCGGTGCTGGCGTCGGTGCTGCCAATGCCGGCAGCAGTAGCGGTGTTCCCATTGCCGGCTATCCCTCCTGGGCTGGCGGCAGCGCTTTGTTTGCTGCAGCTGGCCAGAGTGGCGGATCTGGAGGAGGAGGAGGAAGGGATTACGGACGTCGAACCGCAGCGGCGTCAGCAGCTCATGTGCCGTACGGCAGTGTGCCGGGGGATGGAACCGCGGCCCGAGGTGCGGCGGGAGGTTACAGCGGGAGCGGGACCGAGACAGGTGAGGCTAGAGTGTAGTTATTGGGAGTAACGGGTTGCGTTCAAGTGGGCGGTAATAGCGAACGTGCGCAACGTGCGAAAGGCAGCGTCCATATGTCACCGGGACAATAAGCATTTGAGTTGCGGGTTAGGGTTGTTCTGCTGGCGCACGCCGAACAAAGCTTGCCGTGATTGTTTACTAGCATTGCTAATTAGCATTGCTCATTAGGGCGGTATCGAGACGCCGGGCGAAAGCTTAGGTGAACATTTAGCTAACCGAGCTGTTCACTTCCCTTTTACCTTTCCGCCTTTTGTGTTGCCTCTTTCATTGCACAGGATTACGTTATGATGGCGCTACCGTAAGGCACGATGACGAGCGGCGTACGCAAAACATACAATTACAAGCAACATCATTTGACGACCGCCGCGACGTGGGCGCCAGGCATGGCGAAGCTGATTACACAGCAGGAATGGTTGTAGACAGCCTCTGGATTGAGAGAGGTGCGGATCCGAGCCAGATGGTGATACCTGGACACACGCGGGGGCGTGCACGCAGGCGTTCTGAGCAGCGCACAGACGCGGCCTTACAAACAGCCGTCAATGCGTGGCTGCAACACCAGTAAAAAAGTAACGCTTACTTTTACTCGCCAGTCTTGTCGTATCTGTCAGCAGCTCGTTAGTTGCTTTGAACGTACTCTTCTGTCGTATCTGTATCGGACTATCGGACTATCGGTGCTTCGGCTACACGCGGCTGCCCCAATCACGTTAGCTTGTTATAGTCGGCGTATTAATGGAGAAGATGGCTTGCATTATGGTAGGGCTACGCAGTTGCGAAGAAGGGCCAATTTGCAGAACAGTAGGGCTGTAAAAGCGCTTACGATTGGTATATTCCATGCAGAATCCTACTGACAGTTCTTCGTTTAGTCTGGGGTGAGCAAAGGGCTTCTCTTAACTTCACTTTCCTTGGTTCCGGGCCTGCGGCCTGGCCGAACCTAAGCCGACAGTGCATATTTTCATATAGCCAGCACGAGTACGTTCTTCATAAATTTGTAGTCGCCGCGATGAAGTGGTCTGTGGGAAGCTTTCCAGAGTCTCGGCACGAAGCCGGGGTGGGCTGGCTAGAGCCCCCTATCAGTAACCGCGCGTCCTGGAATGAGCTATTCAAGAGCAGTGGAGATCTGGGGAGTGATGGATCACTTTCGGCGCAATTGGGCACGTCTGACTTTGGACTTACTGCTGCTCAGCAGCGAAGGCATTTCAACGCGGCGAAAACAACATCATCGGGCGATCGCTTGCCTGGATATGTAGATCACACGCGTCAACCTCACATGGCGAATCCTGCCCGAAAATTCCGTCGGACGCTATCTACATCGGCTTGTGCTGCATTGCCCTGCGGATTTGAGTATTCTTCTCCAGCGATGCCCAATAGCGACGACCAGTGCTCACACGACATTCTTCCCATGCCTACGCCCACATCTGCACAACCGCAACACCTCGGCGTGCAAAGAAACGCCCACGACTACCTTTCAGGTCCTCTGTATCGCTATCACGCGGGCGCCGACCACAACACACATGGATTTCCAAGCCAGATCTCCGTGTTTCCGCACCTCCCGGCCTCCGAGCTCCTGGGTAGACGGACCCCGGTCAAAAGCGCAGGCAACACCGGACACATGCCCTTCACCCCGTTCACGGCGCCGCAGGTTCATGCGGGCCTCGTGCCACCGCCCTTGCTCCAGCCCCAATCAAGGCATCTTCTGCTGCAGCCAGCTGCCGGCACCCCACCTCCGCATAAGGCCCTGCCGATGCCTCCGTACTCTCCTTGGCAACATCAGCAGCACTGCCGGCGTCAGCAGCAGCCGCATGGGCATACAGCAGCCCCTCCCCTGCTGCAACAGCAGCAGCAACAACAACAGGCGGAGGGCCCGTTGGAAGGGAGTGGCAGCTGCGGAAACACAGCAGTCATCGCCCTTGATGTCGCTTGTTCCGCTGCTGCTACGCCTGCTGGTGGCAATGCTGGCGGGTGCCCTTGCAGGGCTGCGGAGGAGGGTCGTCTGGCTGCTACTGCTGCTCCTTCACCCGCATTGCACAGCCCGGGTCGGCAACTCCCGGGGCTGTCCGGGGACCCTCCTTGCGCGTCGTCGGGGGGCAGCTATGGACCGAGGCCGCTGAAGAGGGTGAGTGATGTGGGTCAGTGGGCGATCTGGGTCGGTCAGTGATCTGGGTTAGTGGGCCATCTGGATCGGTCAGTAGTTCAGTCAGTGATGATTTGGGTCAGGGTATTTAGGATCAGCGAGTGAGCTGGGTCAGCGCTTGATCTAGATCAGCGAGTGAGCTGGGTCAGCGTGTGAGCTGGAATAGCAAGTGATCTGGGTCAAAGGCTGGCTTTGGGTTTAATGGTCCTGACCAGCCCTCTCCCTTCACTAACCTCCACGCCCCGCACCCCTACCCCCGCCGCTGCCCTCCCTGCCAGTTCCTTTCCATGGACAACCGCTCCCGCCACACGTCCTCCGCCTCCTCCTTGTCCGCCGGCAGCCCACCCGCCCCAGCGCAGCACACCCCTCCTTCCGCACGCGCAGCTGCCGTACCGCACGTCTGGCCGCTGCCAGCCGCCCCAGCCCCTGAAAGCCTCCCCTCCCCGGCTTCGCCCGCGCCACAGCCGGGCAACAACGTACCTGCCCGCCCCCTGCGCACAACCACCTCTCCAGGATCTGCACCGTCTGTCAGCTGGGGCGGCGCCAGCACCAGAGGCGCCAGTCGGGTAGAGTCAGGCTGCGGCAGAGGGGGCAGCGGAAGCAGGGGGGACGGCCTGCGCGCTTCATGGGAGGGGCTTGGCGTGGCGGAGGGTGTTCACGTTTGTCCGCCGCAACACGAGCAACACCATCAAGAGCAGCAAGGCCGTCTAGAGCTGTCACTGCCGCGGCGATCACTGCAACTACCACAACAACAGCAACAGCAACCGACTGTTGCCAGCGAGCAGGCCAGGCGATTGCTGCTCAGCTCTGTGGGGAGCCTGGGGAGGCTGTGGGAGGTGGTGGCGGCGGACGGAGCGCTACCGCAACGGGAGAAGCAGGTGCGTAGCGGTTGCGCTGCCATCTGGCCTGGGCTGGTGCGGAAACGGGTTCTGTTGATGTCCGCATAACGTGTTGGCGTCACACCACGCATCCCGCGCCTCTTTTTAATGTGGAATGTTACAGAAATTGCTCCCCCCCTCGTTCGTGCCCCTGCCCCGCCCTCTTCCTCACTTCTCGCCACCTGCGCCACCTGCAGACGCTGCTTCGCATGATCGAGAGTGCTCTTCAAGACCCGCCGCCGCCGCAACACCCACCTCGTCAAGACCCGCCAAGCGGCCAGCAGCAGCAGCTACAGCTGCAGCAGCAGCAGCAACTTCGCCAGTCAGTAACAAGGCTGCAGGGGCAGCCTCAGCCTTGGCAACAAGAGCCGCACGCCGCGTTTCCCCCTCCAAACGCACACCGCATAAACAACAACTGCAGCAGCAACAGCGGCTTGCTCGAGCAGGCACACAACAACGGCAACGTCAGCAGGCCTAACCCGATGTGCGATGTGGCCTGTTCGGCTGCTGTACAGCCGGAAGCGGCGCCAGCAGCTGCACCCGCAACACCGGCGGACAGCGCCTTGCCGCCGCCAACGGGACAAACGCAGGGAACAGCACGAGCAGCTGCAACAACAGCAACGGAAGCAGCAGCAACTGACGCCACCTCTGTGCAGCACCACCACCAACACCTGTATTACCAGCAGTACCAGTACCTCCGCCGTAACCCACAGCTGCTGTCTCCACCCGCGCAGCCGCCAGAGCTGCTCTCACCGCCTCCTCTTCCTCCCAGCACCGCCTGGGGGCTTCCCACCACGGGGCCCCTGTCACGCAGCCGTGCGAGCAGCCTTACTGCTGCTGGTGCTGCTGCTGCTCCTTCTTCCTTCCATAACGGAGACAAGCCATACCCGCAGGAGCCAGCCAGGTCTGCAGCTGCAGCTACAGCTGCTGCTGCCGCACAAGCAGCATACTGTAGCGCGGCGCCACACATGGGCCGACGGGTGTTCGTCCGAACGCTGTCCGCACATGCGGCGGTTGGTGCTGGGGGCTGTCCAGGATCGCCGGGCAGCTTGCTAGACGCCTTTGCGACCAGAACGAGGATTGTAGACGGCAGGGGCAGCGACGGTGGGGCCAGCAGCAGCCAGGGGGGTTGTGTCGTGAAACCGACTGCTGCTTTGGGCGGCGGTGGCGGTAACATGCCACTGCCCATGTTCGCTGCTGGTGCGGGTATGCAAGAGGGCTGGGTGCAGTCGGTAGATGCGACAGCAGCGGATCCGGCTGTGTTGAAGGCCTCTGCGGCGACGCCAACAGCATCATCCCCAGGCACCGGGCTCGTCCTCACGGACCCCGCAGCGGCAGCAGCAGCAGCAGCATCGACCTTCGGTATCCCTGCTGCTGGGACCACGACCCAACAAGGAGGGCTGCCATTGTCGCCTTTGGCCGCCGCGAGCGTTGGCATGCAGGGCAGCTGTTGTGGGCATCCATCGCTGCAACTGTCGTACGGTTCTCCACCTCCGTGCTACAACAACCGCTTTAACGGCAGCAGCCCCGCAATGCTGATGACTCCACCACAGCTACAGACCCAACAGCAGCAGCAGCAGCCGCTAACGTACTGCGGTCAGGGCTCTCACGAGCACGCAGCAATTCAGGGATGTTACCCACCATTCGCGTATCCCACCACTCCTGCAGCTGGAACCGGGGCCCCCGTATACCCCACACGCCTATACCCCCCAGATACCGGCTCCACAAGTGCTAACCATGCGTTTAGCCCCATGGGGGCTATGGCGCCGTCAGGTCTTGTGGGACAAGGCGCCTTCCTCAACGGTGGTCATCAAGCCCTATTGGGCTGCCATCCCTGTGGAGTCCAAACGGCGCCGCTGCCGAGGGTTTGCGAGGACGAATTCCTTGGCAGTCCCGACCCACGGGTCGGCACCAGCCGGACTGTCGTGGGCTTGAGCACGATGCAGGGTAGTGGCGGTGGTGATGCGGGTCTGGGTCACGAGTCGGACGTAAGCATGGATGATGGAGCACGTGCCCCGCCGCTGGCATTGCTGTGCGGTTGTCCGGAGCCGCCGCAACCCCATCCCTCCTACCCGCAGCTGCAGCCGGCGTCGTTCGGTGCTAGCATGCAGGGCGTGCCTGTTTCGGTTGCGATGGATGGTGTGGGTGGTGGCGATGAGACGGCTGTGTGCTTGTACGGCGGTGCGAGTGGTAGCGGTGCAGCGCAAGTGGTGACTGGTAATGCGAGTGGGGACAGCAGAGTCCAGGGCGAGGGTGCGGATGTGGAGGAGGGCGACGATGTGTTTCTTGACTGTATGCTGGATAACATGTTTGATAGCGAGCGGCCGTCGTTTACGTGCGGGTCGTTGGGTGAGGAGGATCTGGAGGGCTTGCTGCATCCGAGTATGGCCACAGCTAATCCGGACCTTGAGAATCTTTGGTAAGCGGGTTGAGCATTCCAAGGGCAGAGGAGAATGGGCGGGTATAGGGGATTGGCGTTGCGTAGTGTAGGTTTCCGAGGGGTAGTAGAAGCACATGGAAAGCGCATACGGCATGGCATGGCATGGCGGGGTGCCCAATTGTACAACGCGTAGCATGCGTTCGCACACACTGTAACTCAGAGCATTGTTGTCGTGAGCATGATGCTAATCGTTGACCGTTGACTCGTTATTTTTGTTGCCGGTACTGGTGCGGGTTGTGATGAAGGTGTGTGTTGCACGTTTAGCTCGTAATGAAGAGCAAGGCAGGGTTATCGGGCCGTCTGGTTGCACGCATGCATTTGATGACATTGTAGGTTGGGGGTTTGGTCCTTCGTGGCCCACACCACACCGTACTGTTCTGGCGGCGGCCGTTTTGTACTGTAGCTGTGCGTGCGGAACACATAGCTGTGTATGTGTATGTGCTGAGAAAACCGGCCGCGGGTAGGGGCTGTGTGGCGAGCAGCACGGTATCCCTCTTGGTACCCCAGCACGGTACCCCTCTTGGCCGTACGAAGTCCCGGGACCTAGGGCGCATATGCCAGTTTTATAAATGCTACAGCAAGGTTCAGCAGAAACACAGGCAAAACACGCATGCGGATGATCTTCTCAATAGCCTTACTTGCTCGGAGCTTGGATCTTATTTAGCGTCCGGCGTCTAAAGGCTTGATTGCCGAGGCTTTGCGGGATACTGGGTTTTGACGGTTGGAGGTTGTTGTTTTAGGCTTCCTCGGATTTCTTCTGTCGAGTGACTGCGGGTGGTTGGGTTGTGTAGTTACGGCTTTTGGCGGCCCCTTGTTGCTCCTTCCGTTGTCCTGATTCCACAGCATATGCGAAAGTGGCGCAAGCGTTTATTGCATAGCACGTATCGCAGGCCATTTGCTGATGTTAGCGGGTGTCGGCTGCGGCTGTCAACGCATGCTTATTTCCTTCAAGTCAAGGCATACCTTTTCATCTTGCGTACTGGGAAATGGGAGCAGGACTGAGGGTCTTTCAAGGCAGCTTAGGCGGTGGCATTTGAATGTTGTGATGCTCTGCTGCGGTGATATTGTAAGTTGAGGTGTAGCACGTTGGGTTGCAATTGGGTTTTAATCAAGTTTGCACGAGGCACACGGCTGTGTTGCATCTGCGACAATGCGTGGGTTGTGGATAAGGGGAATAACTGAAGTAGTGCATATCGAAGGGTGAAGGGGGCGTCAGGCGACATTGTTTCCTGTCTTGGTTCGCATGTGTGGCTGCCGTCAGCAACAGAACGCAGCATGCAAGCCTGCTCGTGCAGCAGAGCGTCAAAAACGTTGGGTGAGATGACCGTTTTCCGGGCCGGGTAGCACACGTGACGTTGGGGCTACTGGTACGGTAGTTTTGAGCACCCGGCTGCACCCGGGTCTACATTTTTCGAGGAACTTATTATTAGTAGTTCTAACTTGGACAGTGCGGAGATGTGTGGCACCGGTAGAGTGTTTCGGTGTGTTTTGCGTTTGGCGCGACTTTTAGCGCATGCCAAGGGCCTGATACCAGACCACGCTGTAAGCAACAAAGCCTGCCCACACCCGCGCGGGATGGTTAGGGGTCTCAATACCGCAACTGCAAAAGGGGCTACACTGAGGGCTGGTCGGTGCTGATCTGCGCGGGCTGGTGTGGGCTCTGTGGTGTAAGGAACCGCGGTCAGCTGTTTTGGTGCATGGGAGACATGGGATAACAAGGGATTGCGGGTAAACTATACCCGGTGTAAGTCATTACGGTCGAATCGGCTGTTCCCGGAGTCTTATCTCAACCAGGATGCTTGGAAGGAAGGTAGGTTAATAGTTATGGATAGCGTTCAGATACCGGTAGACCTCATCAACAGGGGTCCAGTACCCGCATCTACGACAAGGGGATCGCGAAGATCCCCTTGCAAGCAAAGTACATCGCTTGCAGGCGGAAAGAGTCACCAATATTTGCTAGGACTCAGAAGCTAATCCGTGGCAATTGCGGCGCATTTGTCTGCGTGTTACATGGAAGTAATCGGAACTACTCATGCGCATAGCGTCACCGCTCGGGAAGGTTCGGGCTCTAGAGGATAGGGCATTGCCTCAGGGACCGCACCCCCAATTTCAATTGTTGAAGAGCGTAATGCAGTAACACTATCTCTACGATTGGTCCCGATTAAGTGGCGTTACGGAACCCTTGGGTTCACGTAGCAAATGGCCATCCCAAGCAGGAAAAGGCCGAAAGCCTCAGATCTGTGTTCACGTTTGCCAAAAGCGAGCTTAGGTTACTTAGTTTAGGGATCATCAAGCCTCGAGGCTTGGACGATTTGTGACCGAGCGGCGACCGAAGACCCTTGGGCCAGCGATAGCCACAATACAGGCGTGCTGCAGAATCTTAAAACCAGACAACAATACCTATTGCAAAAGGTAAACCAAACAAGGTTGTGCGCGGGGCCTGATTTACACGAGTTAACCCTCGTCGTACGACGCGATCACAATCTTGCGCTTATGCGTTTGGTGACCAAAGCTTTGTCCCTGGAATACTCGGTTCATACAGTGAGCATACTGCCGGCTTAGATCCGGTTATTGGTGGGCTTAGGCGTTGTGGGCCGGCGCCTTTTGTGGACACAGATAATAGAAGCAAACTTCGGTCCATTTCCCCAACTTGTATAACTGGTCTATTGAAAAATGCTGCGTGGGACTGCTCTTCAAAGCCCGGCTGTCGGGGAGCGGGTAGGCGTCCGGAACTCCCTTTCTGAAAGCTGCCTGGTTTCAACTAGTAACTATTTGCGATACATAAATACAAATCTGCAGGCTAACGCTGGCCCTGCGCGCTGTGTGGCTCCTGTCGGTAGGTGGCGGGTTCGGGATTCTGCGCGCGCCCGAACGCAATTGTTGCTTTCGGTTGCCTTAACACCGCCACCCTGAATCCGCAGCTCGGTCATTAAGGACTGTGGCACCTGCGCGTCTTCAGCGTGCTGAGTCGTCGGTCAAAGCCCCGCGTGCCGGCCCCGCGGCGAGCTACTCGGGCGAATGGGACAAGCTGTCGGTGGAGGAAATCGATGAGTGGCAGGACCAGGGTCCTAAGACCCCCCTGCTGGATACAGTGAATTACCCTGTTCACATCAAGAACTTCAACCTGGACCAGCTTAAGCAGCTTTGCAAGGAGCTGCGCAGCGATATTGTGCACACGGTCTCTCGCACCGGCGGGCACCTTAGCAGCAGCCTAGGTGTTGTAGAGCTTACTGTTGCTCTTCATTATGTGTTCAACACGCCCGAGGACAAAATCATTTGGGATGTTGGTCATCAGGCATATGGCCACAAAATCCTTACGGGCCGTCGCAAGGGGATGTCCACCATCCGTCAGACGAACGGCTTGTCTGGTAAGCTGACGGCCAAGCGAGCAGCTCGCGACTTGCGCCGTCGTGCTTGCATGTAATTTATTTCACATGTGGCTGGCAGGGTTTACCAAGCGCGAGGAGAGCGAGTACGACCCGTTTGGCGCTGGTCACAGCTCAACGTCGATTTCGGCTGCGCTGGGTATGGCGGTTGGCCGTGACATGAAGGGAAAGAAGAACAATGTGATCGCAATCATTGGTGACGGTGCCATTACTGGAGGCATGGCGTATGAGGCCATGAACCACGCTGGTTTCCTGGACAAGAACATGATCGTCATCCTCAACGACAACCAACAGGCAAGCGCGGCGCGCGAATCATGGGCGGGCTAGCAACGGGGCAGTGCTCTTTCGCGATGTTAACGCGCTCAGCCGTGAAACTTATGTGCACTTAGAGCCTTTCGCCAATCTTCAAGGGTTTCGGGTGACACGGGGTGGCCGCATAGCCCTTGCCATCCAACACAACACCCCCACCCCCACCTTTCCTGCTCCCCTCCCCCTCCCCACAACTTCCTTCATTATCCCCCCACCCCACCCCCCAGGTATCGCTGCCGACGCAGTACAACAACAAGAACCAGGACCCGGTGGGCGGCCTCTCCAGCGCCCTCGCGCGCCTGCAGGCCAACCGCCCGCTGCGTGAGCTGCGCGAAATCGCCAAGGTGGGGCCAGGGGCCGGTTGGGCGGGAGTAGAGGGTGTAGGGGCGGTGGCGGGGGGCTAAGGACGGGCGATCCGGTTAGACGGGAGTGAAGGGTGTTGGGGGGGGCGGGGGACTAAGGACGGACGATCACCCTCATGTTGGTGGTGGTGGTGGGAAAAGGGGGTGTGGGGAAGTGGTTGCTTGCATGGGGTTGGGGTAAGAGGCCATGGGTAGGGAGGCACCGCCGCCGCATTACGCATGGATGAAAGGCACAGCAACCTGCTTTTCAACCACAGCCCCAAACGCATCTGCTTCGCCTCGCTCTCATCATCATCATCATCATTATCACCTTCCCCCACGATTACATTCTACCTACACGCCGCCCCTCCGCAACAGCACTTTCCCGACGTCCTCGTGCCCTCCTCCCTCCCCCCCATTCCCTCTCCCCGCTTCCTACCAACCTTCCCCTCCCTCCCCCCTCCCCCTCAACCCCTCAGCTTCAACCACCAATTCGGCTCGACTCACGGATGTTTTCCCCCATGGCTTCTCAGTTGTTTTACCACTGTATTACCACACATTAGAACTTCCCCTCCCCCCGAGTCGGGGTTCAGGATTGGGACTCCATTGATGCAATTATCTATGTTCCCCCCCCCTGCCCTTCCCCTCCTCCTCCCCACCCCAGGGCATGACCAAGCAGCTGCCCGACGTGGTGCAGAAGGCCACCGCCAAGATCGACGAGTACGCTCGCGGCATGATCAGCGGCACCGGCTCCACGCTGTTCGAGGAGCTGGGGCTGTACTACATCGGCCCGGTGGACGGACACAACATGGACGACCTGGTGGCGGTGCTCAGCGGTGAGGGGGCGGGGGTGAAAATTTTATAAGGAATGCAAGCAACTAAAGTCGCAATCCCATATCCCGACTCATGCAGTCGGGCGGGGGTAGGGGGAAGGGGGGGCGGGGGGGCAGGGGAGAGGGCGGCGGGGGGGCAGGGGAGAGGGGGGGCAGGGGAGAGGGGGAGGGGGTAAAAATAAGGAAAACTGCGGGGCGGGGGAGGGGGGGGGCCGGGGCGGGGGGTGGTGAGAAAGGGGGTAAAAACAAGGAGATTCACGAGGCAACTAGCGAGCTGTATGACAAGAGGGAGGTGACCGTAGCGGGGAACAGAAGGATACCTGGTGTGTTGAAGGAAGTGGGGGGTCAAGGACCATACCAAACCATAGGAGACCACAGGTTAAGGCAAAGCATTGGGGGGGGGGGCGGAGGGGAGAAAGAAGTGAGAAGTGGAGCACAGTCGCATGCCACTATAACCATGTGTTGAATGACCATGCGTTGAATGATAGTGGGCTGGGAATGAAAGGGAAGAAACATGGTATCCCAGTGGCCATGGGGCTTGAGTGGAGGGGGAGGTAGAGGGAAACCAGTAATGATTTCAAGGCAATAGGGAGAAGAGGCGGAGGGATGCATGGGGGATGGGAGGTGGAAAAGAATGAGAGGCTAACAAGCCATGATGGGTTGCATCATCACGGGTTGCCGGCCCAGCCTACCAACGCCAGTCGTGTAGCCGTGGGGAAGGAGGAGACTGCGCTAGGGAGCGTTTTTGATGGGGAGGGGGTGGGCGGGCGGGGTGAGGCGGGGGAGTAGGGAAGGAAAGGAGAAGCTGGGGGCTGTGGTGCAGTGCGGCGTGGAAGGAGCGTTGGGAAACCAAGGTTGTGAGAACCACGGCAGGCAGGCAGGTAGGAGGGTATATCCACAGCCCTGCGACCAGGCCTCAGCCCAGAGGGCGGAGGTTTGCTGAGTGGCAGCAACCGCAGCAGCAGCCCCCCCCCGTATCACAGCACTGTAGCGGGGTAGGGGCGTTGGGAAACTAGATAGCCTAGCCTGCAGTGGTAGCCTGCAGACGACCGCCTCCCTGTCGACAACAGCATGGCTACTGCAGCGCAGACGCCCCTCAGTTGCCCTCCTATGTAACCTACCTCATTCCATCCCCCCAAACCCGGTGTTTCCGCGGCTCAGTATATGTAAATTCTTCCCAACCCATCCCCTCATCCCTCCCGCCCCCGCAGAGGTGCGCAGCGCTGAGACGGTGGGCCCGGTGCTGGTGCACGTGGTGACTGAGAAGGGTCGCGGCTACCTGCCCGCGGAGACGGCGCAGGACAAGATGCACGGCGTGGTGAAGTTCGACCCGCGCACCGGCAAGCAGCAGCAGGTGGGGGGCCTGTGGAGGGAGGTGGCGGGTGGGGTGCAGCTGGGTGCATGGGCGGGTAGGCAGAGAAGAACATGTACTCTGGGCATGCGGCCATGCTGCCATTCATTTGTGCAGTTGACGAGCACTGGAAACCCAACCAAGACTCCTGGCCCGACTGGTGCAGTGAGTCAGCAACGCACAGGCTAGGGACGCCCCGCAACCCACTCATTGTGGATGGATAGAGCCCCCCTGGGCACAGCACGAAACCACCAACCATTTGACTATCCTAACCCTTACACGGCTCCACCATGGCTTACGTCGTGGACATACACACCCGCCCATAAACCCCTCCCTCCCCCCTTATCTATATATCCCCCCCCCTTCCCCCCTTCCCCCCTTCCCCCCTTCCCCCCTTCCCCCCTTCCCCCCTTCCCCCCTTCCCCCCTTCCCCCCTTCCCCCCTTCCCCCCTTCCCCCCTTCCCCTTCCCTTTCCCTCCCCCCCTCCCCCTCAGGCCAAGACCAAGGCCATGGCCTACACCAACTACTTTGCCGACGCGCTCACCGCGGAAGCCGACCGCGACAGCCGCATCGTGGCGGTGCACGCGGCCATGGCGGGCGGCACCGGGCTGTACCGCTTCGAGAAGCGCTTCCCCGACCGCGTGTTCGACGTTGGCATTGCGGAGCAGCACGCGGTGACGTTTGCTGCGGGGCTGGCGACCGAGGGGCTGGTGCCCTTCTGCACCGTCTACTCGAGCTTCCTGCAGCGCGGGTATGACCAGATTGTGCACGACGTGTCGCTGCAGAAGCTGCCGGGTGAGTGGGGGGAGGAGGGAAGAGGGGAGGAGGGAAAGTAGGACTGGAGTCCAATCCCCATATGCCGGAGGATGAGGAAGGGGAGGGAAGAGGGAGGCAGGGAGAAGGAAAGAAGGGAGGAGACATAAAGGAGGCCAAGCAGGGAGGAACCGATGCGCGCATGGTGGTAGCCGACCCTTTTTCACTCGTTCACCCCCTCACACCATCCTTTTCCCCTCACACCACCCTTATCCCCTCCCTTCCCCCGCCCCTCCCCTTCACAGTCCGTTTCGCCATGGACCGCGCGGGCCTGGTGGGCGCCGACGGCGCCACCCACTGCGGCGCCTTCGACGTCACCTTCATGGCCTCGCTGCCGCACATGGTCTGCATGGCGCCCTCCAACGAGGCGGAGCTCATCAACATGGTGGCCACCGCGGCGGCCATTGACGACGCGCCCTCCTGCTTCCGCTTCCCGCGCGGCAACGGGCTTGGGTTGGACCTGTCGCAGTACGGCATTGGGAAGGACCTGAAGGGCACGCCGCTGGAGGTGGGGGGGGGAGCAGGGGGGGAAGGGTGGGGGGATCAGCGGAGGAGGGGGGTAGAGGTGGTGATGAGGGTGAGATGGTTTTGGACTCGTCTTGAGATTGGGTTCACCTCGAGGTACAGCCTTCCCCTTCCCAGCCTTGGCCTGATCTATACCACACGGTTTCTTGCCTTAGACCAGGACCCCCATGGTGAACCCTCATCATACAGCTCATCAGTTTCCTCTCTTTACCCCCCCCCCCCACCCGCCCGCCCACACACCAACCGAACACACACAATCACAGGTCGGCAAGGGTGTTGTTCGCCGCGCCGGCAAGGACGTCTGCCTGCTGGCGTACGGCAGCAGCGCCAACGAGGCGCTGGCAGCCGCCGAGCTGCTGGAGCGGGACGGCGTGAGCGCCACCGTGATCGACGCGCGCTTCTGCAAGCCGCTGGACACGGCGCTGGTGCGGGCGGCGGCGCGGGAGCACCCGGTGCTGATCAGCATCGAGGAGGGCTCCATTGGCGGCTTCGCGTCGCATGTGATGCAGTTCCTGGCGCTGGAGGGTGGGTAGGGGTGGTGGTGGGTGGGTGGGTGGGTGGATGAAGGGGGAAAGTGGGTGCGGATGAGGAGCCCCGTGCTGAGGTAGGTGGCAGGTCTATGTTTGCTACCGTGGACAGACCAGGATTGGGTGGTGCTGTGGTGGTGGTGGTGGTGTAGTCCCCATACGGTACGTGTTGCCTCATCTGGGTCATGCCTGCCTCATCACCCCTCCCTTCCCTCCCCTCCCCTGCCCTCCCAGGCCTGCTCGACGGCGGGCTCAAGTTCCGCCCCATGACGCTGCCCGACCGCTACATCGAGCACGGCGACTACCGCGACCAGCTGGCCATGGCAGGCCTCACATCGCAGCACATCGCCTCCACCGCGCTCGCAACGCTGGGGCGGGCCAAGGACGCGGCCAAGTTCTCGCTGTCCGCGCTGTCGCCCCAGTTGTAAGAGTAAGGAGGAATGCTGTGGAAGGGTGCAGTGATAGGGCTCGGCAACGTTGAGGAGTGCAGCAGGCTGTGGAGTTTGCTGTTTGGTGCCGTTGCGGGCGCTGGTGGTGAGAAGGGAAAGGCGTGCACAGGGTGAAAGGATGCCGCCGGTGCGGGGTTCTCCGGGGGTGTGGTACTCCTAGGCGGAGGCTTCTGCTGGCCGGCCGCTACAGTTTATGTCGCCGCTGTAGTGTCGTGAGGCGCGTTGGAGGTTTTGAGGAGGTGAGCTCATAACGATGGAGCCGTTGGTGTTAGGTGCGTTGTTGTTCTAACACATGCGGTGTCGCGTTGGGTTGCGTCCCTGCATGGGTGCGCACATTTGTCCAAGGAGGAAGGGAGCAAGGAGGGTTTGGAGGAAGCGGAAAGCAGCAGCGGAAAAGCAACAACACCTTGGTGCTGGAGCCGCCGGGTAGGCTGCCAGGCGAGAGGTGATACAAGTGACAGCAGCAGCAGCAGCGGTGTGTTTTCCGAAAGGTGTGCGGGTGCGTGTGTTCGTGATGATGTGCGTTGTTGCTTATGGGTGTTGTTGTGTTGACATGTGTACATAGGCCGCGTTTGGGGAAGGGTGCTCCTTGTCGTGGCCGCTCCTCTCCGCTCGGCTAAGGATTCGCCGTTGCTGCGCAAGGAGGTAGGCCCGAATAGCTCGGGGCGCGCCATCTAAGCAGAAGTTGAATCGAAAACATGACTAATTTTGCTGCTGACGTCGGTATTAGTGAACTGGCGGCTATGCGCATTCTGGCATGTTGGCAGCCTGCGTGGTCCTGGCGCTAATAGCGTGTGGAGGTTACATGTTGTGTCTTTGGGAAGGGGGTTGGATCCGTGACACGCAGGCGGCAGAGCTGTCGCCGGTTGGTTGGGGCTGTTGCCGTTCTGGGCAGGTGCTGCGGGGGTGGGTATTGGGGAGGGGAACAGCAGCGGTGCATGTGCTTTTCGTAAAAAAAAACTTTTGTGAGCCTGATGTTGCGACTAATATATGGTAGCTAGTAGGTGGTGAAGGACGCTGGGTGGGGTGGCAGGCCGTGGTTGAGGCAGGCAGGGGCGGGCTAGAATCCCGTTCGGGCCAGGTAATTGGCCGTTTTCCCCCTCTCGGCGCGGCTTTTGATGCTCGGCAGGGGTAGTTTTAAAGTGCTACGTTTTTTACGGTGAGGTGATAGGATTTGGTCAGCCGTAGAGCTCCTGTTTTGCTGTCGGCCATTATTATCGCGTTAGTAATCGTGCAAGCAGGGTCAATTGTCAGAGTTACAGTCTGTACGCGTGTACAGTGTGTCCGTACGAGCCAGAGGGGCCAAGGACACTATAAGTAACAAAGTCAGTCTGAGTCAGGGTCACCTACAGGCTTCCGTTTAGGGGCTCTGCGCAGGTGGTTTCTGACAGACATGCGGGTCTCCCATACACGGCTCAGGCAGCTAGCCAGAGCCTCGGGAGGGGCAGAGGTCATGGTCTCCCTCATGGACCTACTGCTAAAGCTCAGGGAACCCTCTTACTCACGACGTAACTCGCCATAGCACGGGCACTCCATGAAATTATGCAACACTTGCAAACTCTCTCAGACCTAGGGCGGTTCCAGTTGTCGTCCACAGGGTTTCTGAGCTAACCAGGCATCCCTCAGTTGGCTTGCAGCGTGAAGGGCCATATGCTTGCTGGGTGGCTGGCACTGGCTTGCTGCTTGCTGTTAGGGTCCAGGGCTCTTCCTGATTGGCGTGCCATGCCCCTGGCTACCTCAGTTTTCAATGGCCCTTGTAAGGACTTATGTGTTTCTTTGTGATTTGCCGTAGGTTCCAGTTCATTAGTAACTTTCAGCCCTTCCCAACACCAAAGCCTCCCCTAACAACAGCTGTGACAGTTATGCCGGTAAGCACTCAAACCACATTGCGTGCCAAGCGCAGGCCTCCCCACGGGTATGTTCTGGGGTAGGAGTTCGGCACGTCCTGAGGGCAAGAGCTTGGCCTTTGGCTGCACGGAACTAATTAAGGGAGGGTAGCATGTTGACTAGCTGTGTGGCACCACGGTGACGTTGCACACATCCTGCTCGCCTATGTAGATAGTCGCACGGGGCACCAACGTACTAAACGTCCATCGCGATTCTACATACAGGCACGTCGGGGGGCTCGTGACGTTTCAACCCTCTCTTTGTTTGAGATGCATGTTTCTGCTGTATCCGAATACCTTAGCTTGGCTACAGAGCTGCACTCCAGGGCATGCTTTCTTGCATGGGAGTTGTGCACCTGGTTGTTTTACTGTTGGGACCGTACGCCGTACAACTGAGGCCTTCTTGCATTTTTCGCCTGCAAAGAACAGCTTGTCTGATCCATATTCATTACAGATTGCTAGGACAGTGAGGAGCCCGGGCGACTGATTTTAGGTGCACCCGAACCCGGGGACAAAGCAATATGTCGAACATTACCCCGGAAACGGTGCTTTCCTTCAGCAAACCCACTACTGGTGAGCAGAATTCTCTTACCGATGGGTAGAGCCGGATGAAACTGTTGTTGAGGGAAAATACTGTCCACCTCCCGAAGGCTACCTGTGTCCTCTGAGCGCCAACACTTACGGGATAGAGTTCCTCAAGTTTGAGATCAAAGACTACGATACCAACCGCGTGGTCTACCAGGTGCGGCATCCGCTGGGCTTCCCTATTATAGCACTGGTTCATAGCCCTTGCCCCATCAGGTCGCTCGCGAGCCAGACCCGGAGCCCCTTCCAGACAACCTCGACCCCGGTAAGGTTCTTGCACATAGCGATAAGTCGCCGTCAGGTTGCTGACATACGTACGCCATGCAGAGGTGGAGAACTTGATCCGCAGTGTCAAGTACACGTTTCCCGCCAGCTTTCTCAAGTTCAAGACTGTCAGGACACTGTAGGTTGCATGTTTTATCGCAGATTTTCTATTGGGTCATTTCTGACAGAGAAACCTCACGCAGGCTGGAGTTCTGCGTCGGCCCACGCCCCGTAGGCAACCTCCGCATGATTGAGCGGCATTTCTTTAAGGTAAGGGAGGTATTATAACATGGTTATACTCCCTGTGTGACTAGACGTGGTGATCTCTTGCTTACCTCAGGACAAGCTGGTCCGCTCATACGATTTCGAGTTCGGCTTCTGCATTCCAAGCAGCACAAATTCTTGGGAGGCTATCTACGATGTGCCGGAGTACTCCACAGCGGTGGTCAACGACTATGTAAGTTTCACCGGGTACCCGCTTGCATGACATGTGTGGACTTCGGTCAAGCCCAACTCGCACGCCTGCAGGTGTCCCACCCATTTGCGCACAAGTCGGACAGCTTCTACTTCGTAGACAACAAGCTCATTATGCACAACAAGGTACGCTGTTTGGAATGGCCGGGCTTGCCGGTATCCGGCGTGGCTTTGGGTTCCATGGGGTCCAACGGTAGCCAGCTTGCGCGAATACGTCAGCCATGACCCACGCCCTTTCCCCTTCTTTTCCCCAATGCCTTAGGCGGAGTACCAGTACGTCCGGGAGTAAGTCGTGTGCGCTGGGCGTTGGCGGCTTGGCAGTGATGGCCTTGAAAGCAGCAGCAGCGATGTGCGGGGCAGCAGCAGCGTTGTGGAGGCCGTCACTGGTGGGAACTCTTGAGTTAGCAGGACTGGACTGGGTTTCCAAGCGATATTTAGCATGAAGATGGTACAGAGGGCGCTATTAGGAGCATACCCCTGGTTTTGGGGGCGACTCCTGGGAAGGCGTACTCTCAAGTGCGTCAAAACATGTGCGTAGGAAAGGGACAGGGCTGTGTGGGGGGTGGTGTACTTTAAGATGCTCTCCCGCAATGGGAATCCATGGCGTCTTACGTGGGGGCTTGCTGGGGAAGGCAACATGAACGGGAAAGTGGTGCTGACGGTCCCCCAAGCGAATATGGTTAGGTACATGGGTCTTACTGTGGGTGCGTTTGTCCTTGTTACCCCGACGCGTGGCAGCGGTGTTTGCGGCGCGCGAAGATATTGTTTGACTTGTTTCCCATGTTTTTCACATCACTCGTATGTCGTGTCGCTTTGCTAAATAAGAGCGAAGAACTTTGTGCGGGATAACCATCCATACGTTTGGGCAGTTTGGCATCATGACATGGAAAGCTGCTTATGAGAGGGTAGCATACAGCATTCGAGGGCGTGGGAATGCTTTGGGTTACATGTGCTGTGGCTGGCGCTTTGTATATCTAACACTAAGCAGCTAGCCAGGTTGCTGGCTCGGCAAGTGTACTCTCGCGTGAGAAGCGCACGTCCTTCTCCCATCTGGGTTCGTGTATAGTTGATGGAGGACCATTAGTCTGCCACTGTGTAATGTACCTTGCCTGACGTTTATCGTACGCAATGGATAAAATCTTCCCGTGGCGGTTGCCAAGGGAAGATTGCATTAAGCAGGGTGGAAGTGGTCTGTCCGTAGCGTAGCGGCATGAGCCGCGTTTGTTTGTACCACGTACGGCCGCTGTCTTACGTACAGTCCGTATGTAGGGGCATGAGCCCCTTCTGTCCCAGCAGCACGTACTTTCGCTAGGGTGCCCAGCGGAGGTTGCCGCAGAAAGTCTCCCTCACCCAATATGTGGGCTTCTGTGGCGAGATACACGAGAAGGTTAACCCCTCCTCGGAAGAGAACACGTGCACACGACGACGGGCGCCAGCAACTACTGTGACACATCGGACTCCAGGGCACGCGTGTCGGATACAGACTACAATACTGGTAGTGTGCCGTCTATAGCCTCCCTGACCACATTACCGCGGTCCGCTAAAATAAAAGAAACAAGCTGCGCTTCAATGCCATGACCACATAGTGCTGCACCAAACATTCAAAGCCGCGGCTTTGCTAACTGCCTAGCCTACCTTTAAGAAGATACTTAAGAAGCCCCGCGCGAATGCACATCACGGTAACCAACAATAAAGGACAGCTCACGATACCGGCACCAGGGTGTCATGAAAATAAGCGATGCTCCCAATGCAACATCATGCTCCTGGCTCACTACTTGGCCCCTATGCCTAGCTTGCTTCGAAGCGCCTGCAGCTGCTCCAAACTCATGTCCTCAAGCTCCCGCTCCACCACCTGTGTGCGGGTTTTGGAAACCCATGTGGGTCGGAGGGCACGGGGTGTAGGGCGGGGCAAGGCAAGTGGCACAGGTGGGCCGTACTAGAAATACATGGGTACCGGTGCTCACGAGGTTGCAGGTGTGGCCTTGTTGGGTCAACCACCTGCCTCAGGGCCCCCCTCACCTCGGGTGTGGAGGCGGTTATGTCATCCAGCACCAGCACCATGGGAGCCGCCTGCCGCACGAAGCGCGGCAGTGCACCCGTGGCTGCGAGGGGGGAAGAGGAGGGGTAAAAATAAAGAAACACTGACATGCTGGATGACGAGGCTTCTCCATGGGTTGCTAATTGGCCCATCCCACCCCACCCGTATTAGTCAAGCCAGAGGAGGGGGGGGGAGGAAGGCAAAGCGGGATTGGGAGAAGGGGAAAGCGGAAATACGAAAGCTGCCCAATGAGTGCGCGCACGTAGCAAACTAGCGATGCAAGAGGACTCGATGTTCAAACTTCCCACCATCACAAGTATACCGGTTTCGCCGCCGAGGCGTCCGTCCTCCACCACTCGGCCTAGGCTGCGTGCCCTCCGCTGCTGCCCGCCACAAACCCACCCACAACCCCGCACCTGGCCGGCTGAACACATCCAGGCTGCCGCTGGGAGCCTTCTGCGCCGCGGTATCGGGCCGCTGATTGGCCGCAACGATCGCCTCCCACGCTGCGTCCAAGTCCGGATCTGGATCCAGAGGCTCCAACGGCTGCAGTACGGCAGCCGCCGCCAACTCCTCCTCGCCGGCCTGCAACTCCGCATCTTCGGGAATAGACGTCAGCGGCCGTCGTGTGTGGCCGCCGCGGCCAGCAGCGGTCACAGCAGTAGCCGTAGTCGTTCTACGGCCCACGCTGACGCTGGTGCCGCCGCCGCCTCCGCTGCTGCGGCCGCTGCCCGCGGCGACGTCGGCGGTTAGCCCGGTCGCGGCGGAGCGGGTCGGCTTGCCCGTGGATGCTCGACTCCAAGACATGGAGCCCGAGGTGCCGATTTGGGAGCAGCAGCAACAGCTGCTGCTGCTGACGGTGGTCGTGGTGCTGCTGCAACTGCATGGGCGGGACGTGGTGGCAGGTCGCGAGCTGGCAGGGGGCCGGCAGCCTTCACAGCCTGACGACGCGCCTCCAGTCCCGTCATCACTCTGCTTGACGTCGGCAGCATTACCGCTCCCGGCAGCACCAGCTGAGTGCTGAGCTCCTTTAGCCTGCACGTCTGTTATTTCGGCGGCGGCCACTTCCCCGGGACTCCCCGTTGCGGCCCTTTCCAGCGCAGCTTCGGACCCCGCGGCCATTGACGCCGTCGCCGCTGCGGAGCGTGAGGTGGCAGGGCGGCCAGCCCTCGACGCCACAGCCGAGCCAGGCCTCTTAAGCGCCTCCGCCGCTGCCGCAGCCGCTGCGGTGGCTGGCCGCTGCAGCAGCGCCGCTGCTGTTTGAGGCCTAGCGGCCGCTAGCGCCGCCACCACAGCACGTATCTCCTCAGACGTGAGCTGACGTTCCGTACCAGTGACCACCCCGCCGCTGCCGCCGCCGCCATCGGATTTGACTTTGCTACTGCGAGGTACTGCCGCCCTTGGAGGGGATCTAATGACGGAAGCTGCTGGCGGGGCCTGACCCCTTACCGGCGAACGACCAGCCGCCGTCGCAGCCGCTATCGGTGTTCCGTGACCTACGACCGCCGCCGCCGTGGCACTCCTGGGTATCCGTACGACCACAGCTGCTGCGGGATCTGGTGCCATGGCATGTGTCAGGGGATTAGAAGTTCCGGGCCGCAACCCTGGTCCTGCGAGTGCCGCCGCCACCGCCGCTGCGGCAGTTACCGGGCGTGCAGCATCTCCCGCCGCCGTCAGCGTTGTTAACGCGGCTGCTGCCGCCGCTGCTAGGGCAGCAGCCGATGATGTCCCCGGTCGCTGCTCGCCTCCGCCCGGCCCCAAAGGCACAGCCGCCGTGAGTCCCGGCACTCCGCCAGTCGGCAAGCGAATAGACCCAGGCTTGTATGGCACAGCCTTATGCGGAGTAACAACAGGCCTTGAAGGTAAGGTAGGGGCCGTTGCACCGGCAGCAGCTTCGGAGGCTTGCTGCTGTTGCTGCGCCGCCGCCGCAGTCGACGGACGCAACGCAGCTCCCGCGCTCCCTGCCATCGTCCCCGCACGTCGCATCAGCAGCACTCCGCCGCCGTGTGCGCCGCCTCCCGCAGTGCCTGGAGGCGGCGATGACGGCCCCAGCAGCACCGCCAGGGCAGCCGGACTCATGGCCGCCATCGCTGCTGGTGGCGGCGGCGGCTGCGGCGGTGGCAGTGCTGCCGGCACCCCAGCTGTAATGAGCGCCGTCGCTCGCGCACGCGACCGGGGGCTCAGCGGGCGGTCCTGAGCTGCCGCTGTCGGGTGTGTCGTCTGTGCTGCCGCCGCAGCGGCAGCGGCAGCAGCAGCAGCCAAGGCCGCCGCTGACGGCGCCGCAGCGGCTGTCGCGGCTGCCAACGGGGCTGCTGCGGCGGGCCGGCGCGGGCGGTGTAGTTGCGCTAGTAGGCTGGGGGGGAGGCCGGGGTGGTTCTTGGCAGTGTTCAGGAGCTGCTCTGAAATGGCAGCGCCGCCGCTACCGTTGCCACCACCGTTGGCGGGTACGACATGCACTTGCGTGTGAACAAGCGGTTGCGGCAGGGTATGTGCATGGGACCAGGCATGCGGCGCCTGCAGTGGGAAAGCACCGCCGGCCGCAGCAGCAGCAACAGCAGCGGCCATCACCGGCGAGGGCAAGGAGGGGCCGGGGACACCCAGCGGGGGTAGGCGCTGAGCTGCGACTGCAGCGGCTGCTGCGGCGGCGGAAGCCTGGGCGGCGTCGGCCGCAGCAGCGCTGGGTGCAGCGGTGCGCGAGGCCCTAGCGGCCGCGGGGTGCGAGCCCGGAGGTCTGCGGGATCGCGAAATGGGGGAGGCCGAAGCACTTTGCCTTCATGGCTAAACAAGGCTAAAGGCTAAACAGGACATGGCTCAGTGGCTAAACGTCGCCTTTGCATGCGCGTCCCGAGCGCACCCAAGACGTGTCTGCTGTTGGCCCCCGGCAACATGGCACCCCAGGGCCGTGTAGCCCTGCATGGCAGGCATGTGCTTGGAGGCTACTGGTGGCTGTAACTTGTAACATGGAGGGCTTATCGTACCTGGATGGTCCAGCTGTCATACCAGGCCGCCCACAGCGCCCCAGGCTAACCACGGGACCGGACAGCGGTACGGCCGAAGAGGGCCTGTACGGCATTGAAACGAGGGATGGGGAGGAGGGGAGGGCCAGGGGGGCACGGGAGATCAAGCTTGTTATGGAAGAGTAAACTGTACCGGCCATGCTCCAATACACGTTTGAATGCGCTGTGGCTTAGTTGAGTCAAGCAGGCGCGCACGCGTGATCCAAGGCTGCCAGCAATGCGCCCACCCAAACCCGCCGCCCGTTTTACCTTGCCGCTGTGCCCAGGTCCGTCGCGACCGCCAACTTTGCAAGCCCCCTTGGCATCGGCATACTTGCTTCGCTCTAAAGGAGGTAAAGGGCAAGACAGACCGAAGTGCAGTGCATCGACGTGTCGAAGTGGGCCGCGGATAAAGAAAGCAGTGTTAGATTGCAGCAAGGTGTAAACGCACTGCACCATATGTATGTTCTAGTATTTGTTTAATCCTTGTCTTAAAAACAAGCTTACCTTCGCCACCATCCGCGCAAGTAGAAGCTTGCTACCCCAAAGCCCAGTTAAACGTCATATAGCAGTGATGCATAGCTAATTTGAGGCGAGCTGCTTCGTTAAGTAAAAGCGGCATATAGGCGGGCCGCAGTCTTCCATTACTGAGACTATTATATAACTGTCAACAGGACTCAATATGCATAGAGATCACCTGTCTAGAGCACCCTTTGGTACTATAAATAATCATCTATCTCTCGAAGAGTACGTTAAGTAGCTGGACGTTGGAAACCAACTCCTCCCTGCCCGTTCAGACACCGATGCTGTATCGCTGAAAATGAGATAAGGCCACCTACCCAGGCACAGGACTACGTACAGCTGCAAGTAACCTTGGTACCCTTATTAAAGTACTAGACCGTTTCAAACATGTCCATCGCTACCAGCAGCTTTACCGCTAGCGCGCAGTAACCCTGTTGTATGTCGCACTTCGCCTTAGTAGTCAGGATGCCCCAACGTTATTGGCTGTCGGTTGAGCAACCGGTTAGGGCCGCTTCGGGGTTGCGGTAACAGGCCCAACCGCGCACATCCTTCCTCAATCGGCACGCGTCCGGACTGACAGCAGAGCTGCCCACTTGCCCGACACCCTTGTCACCCAGCCCAGCTCACTCGTCTGCGACCAGTCGCACAAGCCCCTTGTCAGCATCTTGCCAGTCGCCGGAACAGCAGCAGAAGTTATGCTACCCATCCCGTCCCCGTCCGGGCTGCGCCGTAATATATCTGCTGCGCTGCAACACACCGGCTCCCATCTCGCGTGCAGCCACCCCCCGTCAGTTTTCCGTTAACTCCGTACCGCACAACAAGCAGCCTACCCCCCCGGCTTGGACCCCGGTAGCAGCCGCTGCTGCTCTCTCACCTCGCAGCCCTCTTCTCGTGCCATCTCACTCTTGACTCTTCCCTTCCCTGCTTAACCGCATACACCCCTCTTATGAGCTATGACATGCAAGCCGTGCATGCACATGAAAAGACAGCAGGCCTCTCAGGCCCCCTCTTACATCTAAATTCTCTAGCCCCTTCCTCACATTCAAAGATGTTTACACAGGTATGTAACTAGGGCTCTATCCTTGCATCCAGCACGCTATGCCGTTTGCATGCGCTATACCGTAATGCCCAACCATCAACTGCTTCTCACGATCGCTCCCAGCTTTCAAATTGGAACACCTCCGCACCGCTTTCCATTCTAGCCACATTCCATAAACGACGTTGGGACCTCATCGCTCTCGCTCCGCCCTCCGCTTCCCTTTTTCCGTGCCAATCCTCCTTGTTCCTGGTGCGGCTGCAATGGCCGCGGGCCCCCTACCGCCGCCGCCGCTGCCTCTCCCGCTCCGCCAGTAGCGCATCAAACTCCCGCAGCTGCCTGCGAGGGGGAAGGTGTTTGTTGGCGGGAGGCATAGATAGGGGACCATCCGAAGAAGATGTCATGAGTTGACGGGTGTGTCCTAAGGAGGGTTACGGTAGGCACATGTGTACAGTAAAACCACATCCACAACAACCAACTCCCGCTACGTCAAGCCATCACGACACCTGTCATGTTGTTGTTGTTCCCCCCCCCCGTACCTGCTGCCTCCCAACCGCCCACCTGTCAACATCCGGATCAACCGCAGCTCCCCGTGCCTCCTCCTCCGCCGCCGCCTCCACCTCCGCCGCCACCACCACCTCGCCGTCCTCCTCCTCGTCAGCCTCACCCCTGCCGTACACCCCTCGCACGCTACCGTGCTGCTTCCTAGCCTTGTTTGCAGCAGGTTTGAGAAACAGCGACACGGCCATGGCTCCCGCACCCAGGCCGGCCGCTGCCACCGCCTGCAGAAGCAGCAGCAGCGGCAGCAGAATGAGGAGCGGTCGGGAAAGGAAAAGAGAGACCCTTGGGTCGTTGTGAGGCGGGTGCTGTGGCCGCTGGAAGGAAAGGACACGACAGCTCACATCGGTCCCTGTAATCGGGTCCCCCCTCTGGCAACCCCATGGCCGCCTCCACCCTCACCTTCACCTTCCTCCCTCACACATGCTATGCACCTCACACACATGTTCCTACTCGCGGCCAGTTTTCTTAACACACACATGCCCCCGTGCAACTCACTCCCAACCCAACACGTCAAACCCAACAGCCAACCCAACACCCTACCATGCTCATCAGTTTGGGCAGCAGCAGCGCAGTCCCCAGCGCCGCAAACGCTGAGAACGTAAGGCCCCCAAACAGCAGCGCCCCCGCGCCCACCAACAGGAAGAACGGCAGGAAGAGGGAGGTGAAGATCGCGCCGGCTGAGAGCGCAGCTCCCAGCGCCACGGCGGTGAAGGCTAGACCCACCACCAGCGGACCTGGGGAGTGTTTGGGGGGTCCGGGTGGGTGCCGCGGTGGTGGTGGTGGCGGTGGTGGTGGTGATGGGGATGGGAGCGTGGGGAAAAAAGGAATCCCAATGTGTGGTATGAGAAGTGGTACAAATTGCTGACAAGCCCTGGTTGGAGCGTGGGGATGGGGAGTGGGAGGAAGGGTGAGGAGAGGGGAAGAGAGGAACTAGGAACGAGATGGGGCCAGAGCGAACAGGGCGGCAGGAATGGTGGCGTTGGATGGAGGTGTTCGTGCATGTAGGCCCACACAGGGGTTACGGTTAGAGTTGGGGTTAGGAGCTCAGGGCCCTCCCGACCCTCCACACAAGCGTGTGCAGGGGGCCTGCGGCAGCCCCCGCCCGCTCACCTATGACGCTAGCTGCCAGCACCAGCCCCCCAAGCAGCGGTAGCGCAACCTTCCAAGCCTCATCCTCGCGAATCTGCATGCACGTGCACTTGTATTGGGTGCCTGTGTGTTTTCAACTGCGCCGCACAACTGACCTCTCTACTTCTACCCTCCGTCCCAACATAACCCTTTCAGCCAAACCCTTCACCCCCACTCCCGCCCGTGATCCGCACCTCCGTTTCATATTCGTTGTACTGCAGGCGATACATGCCTCCGCGTCTAGAAAACTGGAACCCGCTTGATCCAGAATCTGCCCTGCGTCTATTGCTGCTGCCACTGCTGCTGCCGCGCCGAACGTCATCCCGGTCGACATAATCACCCTTCCGACGGCCTCCACGCGAGGCGTTGAGCCGTAAGCACCTTGGCAAGGCTCGCTGTTGTAGCCGGCTTGGGCAAAGTTTGGGATGGACACGGGCTGCTAAGGATGAAGTCATGTAGGGCGACCTGGCACGCGTAAGATGCAACAGCGAGAAGCAGTATCATGGATTAGCGACACGAACCAGAGTGGTGCAGCAGGTGTTTGTTGCGATGCTCTTGTAATCCGCTTGCTTTCCACAAACACAGACATGCAAGGCTTGGGGGATGTGAAACTTTAGACGACCTGATGCTATGCTGCAAGCGCCGTATGAATCTGTCTTACGTCTGGGCTTGGCCTAGTGGATGGCAACCAAACGGATGCTGTCGTGCTTCTATTCGCTGTCGCCGACGTCTGTTCAATGAGCGAGCTTACAGTAATTGGTGTTAAAAAGCAGTATATGTTCAATCAGCGCGAAGCTGCGAGAACTTGAGGGGTTGGCCACAACGCCGGTGCAATTAGCTCTGCTGATTCTTAGGAGTACAGTCGGTTTTTACAGCAAACTATATTGCAAGTACTCTTTTGGGTAATCTGGGTGAGTGCCCATTCGCTTGCGGTAATTCCTGGTGAGGCAACGATAACGGCCCCGGAGCCCGGACGCGTTCGCCTAAACACGCTTTGGCAAAGTACTACATGGCCACATGTTCAGTGTTTTGGTGTGAATGTCTGGAAAAAAATACATAACTGCGCATAACGCCTTACACGATTCATCTTGTCCTAACCCTCCTAGGTGCATCGTCATTCTGTGCGCTTGTACTGGGGAACATTGGGGCAATTCCACTCCCTTCGTTGGAAGCCCTGACACACGTATCATCCCGGGTCCGAGGTCCCAGGGGTCTGAAAGGGCGAGGGGCGCTTGGGCTTGCCCGGTCTGCAATGACACCTTTTAGCCCACCATCATAAAGTAATCGATCAATGGAAGCTATATGCAGGTACGCAATTTACGAGCCTATCGAGGCTGATGGCTGCCCATCGAGGCATCCGTACACCGTACGCCGGCCTGCTGCCGAGAAGCCATGACGACGTATAAAGCCTTCTGATGCGACCCAAAGGAATGAAAATAGCCCTTTACAAATTGCAACCAAAATCACCATCAAAGGGACCCATCGACATTGTAAGAACAACCGTAGCCGTTCCAATGGCGTGCATCACTTCTCAAAGCGGCCGCGTCGTTTCCCGGCCCTTGACCAGCCAGTGCTTTGATTGTAAGCATAGGGTGCACGTTGTGTGCCTCAATTCGGCGCGTCAAGGACCGACACAGCAGCGGGAGGAGCAGCGTTCGCGTACCATTTCGCAGTCACTGGCCAGCGAGCTGCAGATGCCTGCACCCACAGGGCCCGGGATGTCCCCATGGATGTCGGTGTTAGACATGTTCATCATTAGCAAGGACAAAAGGCGCAGGTGCGAGGGCTCGCGTTAACGGCATGACGGCACCTAGTTGCAGCTACATTGTATGATCCGATAAGCTGCCCGACCCCCACTAAGCGAGTTGTGGCAAGAATATATAGTCAGTTGGAAACCAGCTTTTGGCCATGAGACAGCCCAACGCATTAAATGCGCTGCAGCAACCTGGCTTAATCTGCTTTTCCCGACCGCAGCTCATTGGAAGAAATCTCAGACTTCAATACATGGGAGGATGACGACGACAACGACGCAGTTTACATGTAGGTGGCAGTTGGTTTGCGACTGAAGATATGCGGTCAGAGGAGATGGCCAATCCTACTATTCATTATAAGTTGGCTCTAGTCTAATGGATTGCTATAACGTCATCACGCCGCAACGCATTAGTTCTGTTGTACTTGTGCCTATTGCTGGGGTATACAAACACGTACAACCAGGAGCCTTATTGACTGGATGCTTGTCCTTGCAGGTATACGAGTCACTTGGCCGACCGCTTGGCCATGGACCCCGTCGAGCGTGATACCAGCTAACCGAGTCCGCATCCACATCCGGATGGAGGCGGAACTGCGGAGCCCCGCGTCCCGCGTTTTGTGGCCCTTTGCTTTCTGTACCCTAAAGCTTTCCAAGCTTTCCAACAAGAGAAGAGTAAGACTGTGCATTTGTGGAGCAGGGCTGGTGGGTGAAGGGCAGTGTGGAGGTCTTGCGGGCATGGATGCGGTGGTTGGACGGGCTATCGCTTCAAACGAGGGATGAGAATGCAGCAGGAGCTTGGATCCCCGTGCGTGTGTCAATAACATTTTGAGGCCGCGCTTACAGTTATGTGTCATGAGGAAAGCATTTGAGCATCATGTTGCAGCCCAGGGCAGCAGGCATACGTCATACGTGTTCCGTAATAAGCGGGGTTGCTTTCGCATTTTGCACACTTCTGGCCCTGTTAGCTCCTTGCCCAGCTGTTTTGCCTGACTGCTGTCTTGCTTTGTGTGCCTTGGGGTGTAGTATTGAAGGACAGTATAACCCGGTGTAAGACGGGGCAGCCATAAGGCCTTGGCGGCCCCCGGCCTGCCGTGTTGGGTTGCGGCGACTCCTGTTGCTTGCACAATTGTCGGTGGCAGGGCGCTTAGCAAGCTGGCGCGGAGAGCCCTGGGGTCTGAGGCGTCATTGGAGGGAGCACTGTACCTTGCAGGTTGGTTGGACGGTGTTCGGAATTTGCGCGAGACGCAATCAACGAGAGTTGTAAATAGGTAGTGTGAGAATTCTAGAGGTACTAGGTGGACGGTGATACTGAACACGGTGAATGTGCAACGCGTTTGCTGGGGAGTCTTATGGATGATATTGTCGGAAGATATTGTTTTGTCAAGTAGGGCAGTTAGGATTCTATGAGTAGTAACCCCATGCGTGTCTTTCTGCTGTCGTAGTGTGTCGAGTAATAACGTCTTCTTTGCTCCGCCATTCTTTTGTGTTAAGAAAACTGGCCGCGAGTAGGAACATACTGTGATTGTCGGAAGATGAAGTCCCCACAGAACCGCCGCAGGAGCCGAGGAACATTGTAGCGTATGTAGATATAGAAGTCCAGTACTGGTGCTGAGAATAAGTAGGAATTCTTTTGTGTGTACCCTTCTTCTTTTTCCTTCTAACAAAACACGGTGCGTGAACGCTAAAGACACGCTGCGGCACAGGCGTTACACAACGCCTCCCTTGGGGGTGGTGGTAGTGGTGGTGGTGCACAGCGGGGCTATTAGTTAAGAGCATTTGGACAGGAAGTAGTTCGCACTTGTACTAGTTCTGATGTACGACGGGTTTACGGATGCCATCATGTTTGTGTGTTGTACTGCTGTGTGACTCCAATCACATGATGTAGTGTCTTATGTGATGTCGGGTCCTTCCTTCGGATCCACCTTTCGCGATGTGTTCTTGCTGTGCCATTCTTTTGAAGCACTGTAGCGTATTCGTGTGCATGTGTGAGCGTGTTCGGACGTCATGGTGCAACTGACAGTCTGTTGGCGGTTGCTACAGGTGGTTTCCATCCTAGAGCTGTGGGAGAACGGTGCTGACATGTGTTGTGGAAGCTGTGTGCCCGGCCGCCTTACCACCGTACAGCTACGCGCCTTGTGATGCGCTCGCCATGTAAGCAGCTCTGGCGCCACCCGCTCTGCCATGGGTTACAACATGGAACATGCAAGACGCATAGGGTGGGAGAAAACAACGGGTGATACACCAGGTGGTTACAGTCAATGGAAAGTAGGCACCGCAACCCCAGCAGCCTAGCGGTAGTGCATCACTAGCAGAGGGAGGGGTAGCGGTACCGGACACGTGGGGTCAAGCAGGCAGACAGAGGAGAACTCTGTAAACGTACAGTCCCGGCTTCCAGGCGCACCCAAGGGTCCGGCCATTACCGTCAACATCATCGCCTGCAATGAAGTTGCAAGCACATAGCCATGCGGCCAGTTAACTTACCACACCCGTAGCATCCAGCGGAATATCCACACGCCAGACGCTCTCTCTCGTCCAAAATTGATTCATGCCTTCTTCCCTCATTTCAGAACCAGATACTCGGATCAACGCAGCACCCTCCCCCCACAAACTCAACCGTCGCCACCTTACCGTGCGGTCTCCCAACCCTCCCATCCCACCCAGCAGCCGCACCAGCGTCCTCGCACCTTGAATCCGCAGCCGATTCAACCACGTCTACCGTTACAATACCGAACCTACGCCGTCTGGCCGCATTGCCGGTAGTCGTACAACAGGTGATATAGCGATAACGATATGCTCCTATCATACAAGTACACTGTACAAGTGTGCAACATGGTGTATCGTTACAGAAGCTGGAACTGACAGCAGCGGGTTTATTACTATTTGTGGTATATAATACAAAGGAGCACGTAGACATACAACTCGATCAATACGTTGATGCTACAGCCTCTTGCGACGAAACCAAGAACGCCAACGCCGCCTAAACATGCACGAGTACTTTTGTGGTTTACGATCGCCATATGGCTAGGCTGCAGATGGCACACATACAGAGTGAAAGCCAACGTGACATCCCTGACAACGGAGTAAACAGCAACCAAAGACATGCCCCTACGTGCTTCCACCTGCTCCCAACCGCGTCCATTTGGAGAACACCTTCCCTCCTTTGCACTCATTCGTTAGGGGCACTCGTCACGAGTCGCCACCCTCGTCGCCACCCCGGTGCTCTACTTTAACCGCTCACCTAATCTTTGACCTCTTCCCCCTGTGTCATCATCCTGCTCCGTCTCCCTCTCCTCCTCCGTTCGCTCCTCGACCCGCACTCCACCCCAATGCCCTCGCGCCTGCTCACGGCCCCACCGCAGCACCAATCCTACCACCACGCCACGCCCCTCATTCCGCCTCCCACCACCCCTCGAGCTGACTCGTCAGCTTTGGTCCTACTTCCCCCGTCTGCTGTGAAATCCCAGCAACAAATACTGCCTCTGCTGCTGCTGCTGCGGAGGCTGCTGCTGCTGCTGCGGAGGCTGCTGCTGCTGCTGTGACAACGAGTGGCTTGGGTTCTGCTGAAGCTGTTGCTGCTGCGGGTTCTGTTGCGTATGCCGTCCTCCTCCTCCTCCTCCGGCCCCAGTTGCCACGTAGGTGAATGCGGGCGGCATCAGCAGCGACCTAGTCCGAGAGGAGGAGGCAGGGGACCACCCGCTGCGGTGCTGCTGCGGCTGGTTGAGCTGCTGGCGCTGCTGGTGCTGGCCGCCGGTAGAGGGCGGATGGTGCTGGTGCTGCTCGTGTTGCTGGTGCAGGGTGCTGTTGTTGTTGCTCCACTGCTGCTGACCGCCCATGTGCGTGGCATGCTGCGTCAGCGGCTGCGTCCCACTCCCACTCCCTCCCGCACCCCCATTTCCACTGCCCCCAGCCTCGCCATCACCCCCTGCTGCATGCTTGCCTGCCTCCTCCTCCCATGCTGACACCCGCGCTGCTGATGCAGCCCCGCCAGCAGCCTCTGCCCTCCCCTCCCCTGCGGCATGCGCCCCAAACGCCAGTACAGCAGCAGTACCCCTCCCAGAGCCCCTCCCCCCGGCCACAGCCACCGCAGGCTGCTGCTGCTGCTGCCACAGCACTGGTGCAGCATCGACAAGGTTTCGCCGCGCATAGCGCCCTGCCGCGGGCTGCTGCTGCGGGTGCTGCTGGCACTGCTGCTGCCTTGCGGCGGCTCTGCCAGCCTTGGCGGCGCTGCGAGCGGCCCTAGCAGCTGCTGCCCGCTCCGCCGCGGCCGCCGCTCCCGTGAAGTCCCACAGCCGCACCACTCCGCTGTCCGTGCCTGCAGCGGTGGCAGCGCAGCGGTCAGGAGGGGCGGTTGGGGAGGGGGGCAGGTGAGGGGCGGGTGAGGAGGGGGATGCAGGGGACAGGAGAGAGGCGGAGGGTTCAGCACGCAGCTCCTCCGCACCCCCCTAAAACACTTAAACACACACATCCCGCTCTCTCAACCCACACAACCATATCCAGTTCTCAAAACACACACATCCCGCTCTGGCCCCCCTACCCGTCCCCATGCCCCCCCCCTCCCAGGTGACCCCCTCCCCCTCACCCGCCGCCAGCCACTGGTCCTGCAGGTCGAGGCAGAGGGGCGGCTGGCCGGGCGGGCAGTGCAGCGCGCGGCAGGAGGAGAGGGCGGAGGGGGAGGAGGAGGAGGAGAGGGAGGAGGAGCCCCAGCCAGCGAGGGCATGCTCGCTGTCCTGTGGGGCGAGGAGGAGGAGGAGTGAGGAGGAGGGGAAGAGGAGGGGGTATGGCGGATTATGATTGGAGCACGGGCATTCGCGGATTAGCCGCCCACACCACCACCGTATTTCATCCCCAAACTGGTAACCCACCTGCCGTACGACACACCCATCCGCCCCCACCTGCCGTACGACACACTCAACACCCCCACCTGCAGTACGACACACCCATCCGCCCCCACCTGCCGTACGACACACTCAACACCCCCACCTGCAGTACGACACACCCATCCGCCCCCGCTGATGCCAGCCAGGGGTCCTCGAATGACAGCCCCGTCACTGCGGCCCGGTGGTGCCACAGCACACGGGAGCCCTGAGGGCGGGGCGGGGAGGGGGGGGGAGAGGGGGGAGATGGGGGGAGGTAAGGAGGAAGGAGCTGTATAACCGTGTCACATGGCAGGAGGCGGGAATGGGGAGAGTTTTGAGTTTAGCCCTAACCCCTGTTGTTTCCTATGGTTCGGTATGGTCTTTGACCCCACTTTCGCACCAATAGCACAACGGTGTGTCCCTCGTCCTTACTTCCCCCCGCCCCCCTTCCTCCACACACACCACCCCCCACCTGCTTCATCCGCAGGTCATGCGCCAGCAGCAGTCCGTCCCCACTGCCGGTGAACAGCAGCCGACCCGACCGACAGCCCTCCAGGCACCCGACAGCGCCCCCGTCATGCAACCCGGCGAACCGCCGTACAGCCCGGCCCGTCGCCGCGTCCGTCACCACCACCTCACTGCCCGCCGCCACCAGCAGGTTGCCCCCCCGTACGGCACAGCAGTAGACCCAGTCGCCGTACTGCAGTACACCGGAGCAGTTCCAACCGCCGGATTCGTTGTTGAGGTTGGCGTTGGTGGTGGCGGTTATGCTAGCAGCAGTGTTGGAAGCACGTGCCGTGCTGCGCTTTCGAGTCGAGGTCCGCCTCATGCTGCTGCTGCTGCGGCCGCTGCGTTCGTCGCCACTGCCGCTGCCGCTGCTGCCGGTGGTAGCAGCAACCATGCCTCCGCTCCCACCCTCCTCCTCCTCCACTTCCTCCCCAACACCACCAGCACCACCACCACCACCTCTCCCACCCTCCTCCTCCTCCTCCTCCTCCTGGTCGTCTGCACCATCCCCCTCACCACCGCCGTCACCATCACTGCCTCCCTGCTGCCGCCAGATGCGCACCGTGCAGTCCCAAGACCCCGAAAACAGCAGCGGAGCCGCCCCCGCTCCCACCCCTTCCCCTGCCACCGCCTCCCCTAGTGCCAGACAAGACACAGGCCCCGTGTGTCCTCGCAGCAGGAAGGGCTTGGACGCCACATCAAACAGCGGCAACGGCAGCGGCTGGTAACCCCCGCTGTGGCTGCTGCCAGCACCCATCCCCCCGCTGTGTCCACTGCTCCCGCTGCTGCTGCGGGTATACCCACCCGCCCGCTGCCACACCCGCACCAGGTGGTCTGAGCAGCCCGAGGCGAGCAGCCCCGGCTGCAGGGCCAGGCAGCGCACCGTGCCGCCGTGGGGGCGGCTGGCGGCGAGGGGCAGGCCGGAGGGCAGGTCCCACAGCCGCACCGTGCGGTCCAGGGAGGCTGGGAGGGGGGAGGAGGAGGAGGTAAGGAGGAGGAAGGGGAGGAAGATGGGGGAAAGCCATGCGCATTGTATGTATGTATATATGTAGATAGACTGCACCCCCAAACCCAACCCAACCCAACCCAACCCCGACCCAATCCAACCCACGCCCCCCGCACCTGTGGCCAGCAGGCTGCATGCGGGCAGCAGCCGCACCGCCCGCACCGCGGACCGGTGGCCCACCACCTGGTCAGCGCTGTAGCGACCTGACCAGCTGCGGAGGCGCACCATCTTGTTGCCGTACACCCACTGCCACCTCATGTCGGGGGTCTTGGCAGGGGTGGCAGGGGCAGCAGCAGAAGCAGCAGAGGTGGAGGCGGGGGCCGCGGGTGCAGCGGAGGCGGTGGTGGTGGACGAGGTGGTAATGGATGTGCAGACGGGTCTTCCTGCGCAGCCGCTGCTGCTGCTAGGCTGGGGCTTGGCAGGCCAGTGAGCTCCGGAAAGCTGCCAGCGAGAGGAGTAGAAGGAGCGCCAGACCTGCGGAAGGGTTGGGGGAGAGGATTGCTTGACCGACTAGGATGTCGGGATGTTGCAGGTCTCCACCTAGGGCTTCCCTTACCAGGTTTGATGCTGCCTCAAGGGTCACCAGGCGATGCCATGAACGGCACACGCAGCTTGATAAAGCGAGATCGCGAGGGCCCAGGCACTCGAAAATGTGCGAGAGGACGCCACATGGAAGCGAAGCAATAGTACTGCCTTCCGGCCCCACCGGCTGATCTAGAGCTGGACTTGCGCTTTCATGTGGTGCCCCCTTGCAACGCCTGGCGATGTCATCAACGTCAGGGAAGTTAGAATGCGTCAAGGGATGCCGAAACCCTTGCAGCAGAAGCCTCAACCATAAGCTCCAGATCGACTATGACTATGACGCTAGTGCTTCGACCCACCCTATGCACAGCGACTCCTCAAAACTCACCTGTTACAGCCCCGCAATTCGCTTCCCTTTCCCTTATGGTGCTTGGATGTTACATCACCACGTGTAACCATAACTGTAAATGAAGCAAGTACTGAAGTTACAGCGCCTTCTTTCTCCTTCAGTCTGTTCTTGCCGAGTCGAGCCCCCGGAGACCCTTGATCCGAAGTCCAGGAGCAGCGCTTACGAACGCGACGTTGGTATGATCGATACCTCTTGTAAATACTATTTCTCGCTGCAGTCAAACTGGTCGATCCAGAGTACTGTCCACGTAAGCCAGCCGTACGTTTTGCCCGCTGTGTGCTGCCTGCTATTATGTATGCGACAAAGCATGCTCAGCCAGATTGGTCCATGCTCCGGCCTCAGTAAAACATTCCGCAACATGGGAAGAGTTAGAGAAACACAGGGAAGTCCGTTGGACGTCGTCTGATGTGACCCTGAGGCCTGGGCAGCCCCAGGCAACCCTGAGTGTTGTTTTTACTCGATTGCAATCCTAACCATACGTTTGTCGCCCGGCCCCCTGTGCCACAGAACCTTGGCAGCATGACGAACACCGAATGCTTGCGTCACTCGGGAGCTGCAGGCTCCATCCACCAAGGGCAAGTCGTCCTGAGCCGATGACAAGACCCGCAGACGGCTACAACCTTATCCCGCTCGCTGCCTCCCCCTCCCCGACTCGGCCTGGTACTCTCTTCCCCCTCTCCGACTTGAAGCTTTGGTCCGACGGCAAATCCCTTCCGTCGCGGACCCATGCCTAGTAAAGGTACGCTGGTTGCCCCGTGGGGGTTTGCTTGCACGGTATAGGGTCATGCATTACCTAGCTAGGCGTTGCGCATGCATCTCAAGGCATAGCCTAGGCAGCTTGGCGATGTTGCTGATGACATGCCGGCTCCTCTGACCCCCCCCCCCCCCCCCCCCCCCACATGGCCCTGTCACTGAACCCGCCCGTTCTTGGCTTTCGCAGGTACGACAAGAGCTCTTTCAAGGCGGCAATGAATAAGACCAACAAACTCTTGCCAAGACCGACACCAGCGCCTCATCCCGCGTGCAAGACGGCGCTTTGAAGGTACCGGTACGCCCCTTTGTGTGCTGCATTGCCTGCTTGTGGGTGATACGGCCCAATCCGCGGCAGAGGGGGGAGCCTCGGAAGGCGACTGCGCGGGAGCGTGGTAGGACTGAGCGTTGTAGGCATGCGGTCGGCCTCATGCGTTTTTCTTCTCGTATGCTGCTTCATTCAGGGTAGCGTAAACTATTCGTGTGCGACCCACGGGTCATGTTTTGCGGCCGCATGCTACGTATTGCTGGTTTGCGTTAGGCGTGTTTGGTGGCTATCACGCTATACTTGAAAGAGATAATCTGATATGGCTGTAGATCATTTGTCGTTCACACAGCCGCTGTTAATTTGCTGGATACTTGCAAGATGTAAGATTCTTTCCTCCCTCCCCTCCTTGCGAGGGAAGGGCACCATCCGTGCGCCTTCTCTGCATTACACGTGCTGCATGGAAGACTGGTTTCCTAAGTCAGCTAGTCAGCGGCCTCCAGCTAGTCAGCGGCCTCCAGCTAGTCAGCGGCCTCAGCTAGTCAGCGGCCTCCAGCTTACAGACTTGCCGTTCTACTCCTTAAGACTTGCAAACCCTTCGCCTTTTCTAGCGTCCGACATTCTGCATTCTCGTGGAACCACGTTATCACATCCCCCAGACCAATCCAAGCCAACCAAACACCGAACGGATTCGTAACAGAACATAACAGCAGCAATAAGCCATAGCTCAACTCAGCAGCCTTGGACACGTTAGCCGTACACACACAAGACAACGTCGGCACACCCACCCGTGCTCACACATCCACAACATCAAACCCTCCCGTCACGTTTTTGCGAGTTTCCGAGCAGACGCGATCCAAACTCCATTTCTCCCTTGCTCCAAGCATACCCACCAATGACCGGTGACACCCCGTATCACAGCTCGGTCCCCCCAGCCCGCACCATCGCTCATGGCACCATACACTCAAACCCCGGCACCGGTATGTAACAACGCATTGCCCCTTCCATGCCACACGCCCATTCAGCGGCCGTCGCTGGGCTCTTTGTCATATAACAAGGCACCAGCTACGCGCACACAAGGTCCCCTCCAGAGAGAGAGAGAGATGGCATTATTCTCCTCCAACTCGTTAACGGATTAGAACTTGAGCCACTTCTTCTGCGCGTCCTTGTCATGGATGGCCTTGCTGGCTCGGGCGGCGGCAGACTGCGCCGCAACCAGCTCCGCCTGCAAAGAGAGGGATGGCGGGTGGGCAGGCAGGCAGGCAATCACACCCCGGCAAGTGTAGTACGGTTCGACTCGCGGCCTCCATCCCCGCCACCATGGCCTCCCTGTCCATCCCCATCCCTGCCACCATGGCCCACCTGCGCCCCCCGTATCTGCGCCTCTATCTGGCTCCGCAGCCCCCGATTGTCCCGGTTGCGAGCCAGCATCTCTTGAAGCCGGGACAGCTTGGTCTGCTCAGGGGGAGGGAGGGGGAGGGGGGCAATGACCATACCAAACCATAGGAGACCACAGGGGGAGGGAGGGGGGCAATGACCACATATAGGCGAAAACACAGGAAGGGGGAGGAGGAAAGGGGCTGCTTGCATCCTGGTTGCGGACCCATCCCACCTCCAAGCCCGAGTGGAGAGGGACGCGTGGAAGACCGCCGAATGCATGGCACAATCCCGCATGCTATCCGCCGCCACATTGGCCGCCGCCCGCTGGCACGGAAGGCTTCTTGCAACCTTCCTCCTCCCCGCTCCCCTCCTCAGTACGTCCCCAACATGGGTATATGCCTCCTGACCTAGTTGCTAGCTCCAAGTAAGCCAGTTTACCACTCGGCCTCACAACCCCCCCCATCCCACCCTTCCTTTCCTCCTTCCTTACCCCTCACCCTTCCTCTCCCCCCACAGCCCTCTCCTCCCCCACCTGTATCGCCGCCACGCTGTCATGGTGCGACATCAGCCCTCGCCGGTCAGGGGGGCCCCGACCCCCTCCTCCTCCTCCTCCTCCTCCTCCGCCTCCCCGGCCGCCACCCGCTGCCGCCGCTACTGCACCTGCGATGGCTGCCGCCCCCGCACTGACACCCCCGCCCCCGCCCGCACGCCCAGCACCCCCAGCTCCCCCTCCCCCGGGCAGCACTGCCAGCTGGGCCCTGCGGATGCGAGCAGCGGTGGAGCCGTCCCCTGCGAGGTGGGGGGAGCCGGGGTGGGGGTGGGGGTGATGGTGCTGTGGTGGTGAGGTGACATGCATTGGTATCGCGGTATGTCACAATGACCGACCGCAAAAGTTACACACTTGGAGAGAGGGTAGCTGAGGCAGCTGTCTCAGTACAGACATGCGCACGTGTGTGTAAGCCCCAGGCTCAAACAGGCATTGAAAGGCACAGCATTCCTGTTGTTGACGATAACGGCCCGTCACCCCCCCCCCGGGGGCCCACTGACCCAGTGACGTGTTGATAAAGTCAAACAGGCCGCCCCCCGCTCCTCCTCCTCCCGGCGCCCCCTCCTCCCGCTCCCGCGCCTCCTGCCGCGCCTCCCGTGCCGCCGCTATGGCCCGCTTGCGCTTCTCCCTGGCTCCCCCGCGCTTGCGGCGCTTGGACACCCCACCCGCGGGCCCGCCGGCAGCACCCCCGCCCACCTGCGGGGAGGGAGAAGGGGAGGGAGGAGCCAGGCCACCAAGCCGGGATGAGGAGAGGTGGCGGGCACCCAGGCACCCGCGGTGCAAGGCAGGTGGGTGATACCGCTGGTTACAGCACCCATGGATTGAGGTGGTGGTGGTGGGGGGGGGGATGTGGTGGTGGTGGTTTGGCACGGGTGGTGGAGGGTGGGGGTTCCATGCCATACACACACCCTGCACCCTGCAGCGGGCACCCCTCCCCCAGCCTGCCCCCCCCCCCGCCCTGCGCACTCGGTCCCGCTCCACCCCGCCCAGCCCCCGCCGCTCCGGCAGCAGCAGCACCTCGGGCGCTGCCATCACCCCCTGACCTGCGCGGAGCGAGGCACCCGCCAGCAGGGGGAGCAGGAGGGGAGGGGTGTGTGTTAAGAAAACTGGCCGCGAGTAGGAACGTACTGGGATGTTGGAAGATGAAGTCCCCACAGAACCGCCGCAGGAGCCGAGGAATAGGGGTGTGTGTGGGGGGGGGGAGAGGTATTAGGGATGGAGATTCCGCATGAGGTTGGATAGGTGGAAGGGGGGTCAAAGACCATACCGAACCATAGGAAGCCACAGGTTGGGGCAAGACAAAGGGGATAGGAGCGGCAGGGTGCCACAAAAACAAGTATGGGTTAGCGGGGGGGGGCAGAGGGGCAGGGGTGGTGGAGCCTGCCATGCGGTTGCCCCTCAGCCACAGGTGACAGTGAGGGGGCAGCGAGGGGGCAGTGGTGAGGGCGAGCAGCAGCAGACGGCGGCGAAACGGCACCGCCTCCGCTCCCTCCCACCCTACCCACCCACAGTACCCAGTCAGATACCCAACCCTATGGGATTGGGACTCTAGTTGTTTGCACTTACTAAAAATATTTCTCCCCACCTCTGCTGCCCAGCCCCCCCACCTCTGCTGCCCAGCCCCCCCACCTCTGCTGCCCAGCCCCCCCACCTCTGCTGCCCAGCCCCCGCCCCCGCACGTAGCCCATGCGCGCCAGCAGTCGGGAGGCCACCCCCCGGCCGTGCGCCTCCCAGTCGGCGAACAGCGCGGTGTCGTCCAGGGCGCCCGCGGCGGCAGCTAGCCTACGTGCGTGTGTGTTTTGGGAGGAGGGTAGGGGAGGTTGGGGGCAGGAAGTGGCCGGGGTGTGGTGTTGGGGGCCGGGGTGGGGGTGAGGGGGGTGGAAGAGGAGGGGAAAGGATAATGGCAATCGCAGCAATACTAACAGTGCTGGCGCATTCCTGCAGATGTCGATACGGAGGTCGTGACCCATGGGTCTCACCTTGCGTGCCCCAACACATCCAGCTCGCCGCCCTCCTCTCCACCGCCCTCCTCTCCGCCACCGCCGCCGCCCTTGCTTCCTCCCGCGCCCAGCCCTCTCCTCAATCCCTCATACCGCCCCTCCTCCTCCTCCTCCTCACTCTCACTCCCGTACATATCCACATCATCATCATCGCCATCCCCGTCCCCGTCCTCGCTACTGCCGTACCCTTCACTCCCCTCCTCCTCCTCCTCCTCCTCCTCACCGCCCCCCATTGCAGGCCGCAGCAGTGCACTAACGCTGCTGCTGCTGCCTCCATCGTCACTCTCCACCCCTCCTCCACCACCACCACCACCCCCCTTCCCTCCCCCCTCCTCCTCCTCAGGCTCCGGAGCCGCCACATGCGCATGCCGGGTCAGCCGCGCTAGCTCCACCACCACCACCTCACCACCCCCACCACCACTGCCCCCTCCGTACCCGCCCCCCTGCTGCCGCTGCTGCTGCTCCGCCGCGCCTCCCGCCCCCAGCAGCGGCAGCACCCGGGCGGTCCCCGCGCCCGCCTCCACCCCCAGCACCTCCACAGGCACGTACAGCCGGCAGCCGGGCAGCTGAGCCAGCGCGCGACGACCCACCAACGCCTCCGCCTCTGCTAGTGCACCACGATGCTGCTGGTGGTGCTGCTGGTTGTAGTGGGGCTGATGCGGCTGTGCTTCGAGTCCGCTGCGGGGGGACGTGGTGACCGGGTTGTCGTACAACGGGGGTGTGATGTGCTGTTGTCGTACAACGAGGCCCTCCATGACCTCCACCGGGTCCAGCATGAAGGGGCGGGTGGGCACCTGGAAGCGCACGGACAGCGTGCCGGCCTGGGGAGGGGGGAAGGGGGGCAGAGGAGGAGGAGAGTGGGGTGGGCGGTGGGGAAGGGAAGATGCGGTCGTTGTTGTGAGCGCGGGAAAGGAAAAAGAGGAGGGAGAATTGAAACGTGGTGGGGTTGTTGCCAACACCAGCGCTGCGTGGCCGCGGCCTGATGGAATGCAACCTAATGGGTTTCGGAGGGTAGCAACTTTGACATGTTTCCGGTCCTGGGCATGTGTTCATGCCTTTGTGGCGCACCTGGCGTCCAGGGCCTTGCACAAGGCCAGCGTACCATCTTCCATCCATGTAGCGAAAGCGGCATAGGCTGCCAGCTGGGGGATACTGGGGAACACTACCGTGGGCATCTCCGCCTCCGCAATTTGCTGATGGCAGGGCAACTGCAGGCGCTGCTATAGCAGCTACACCTGATGCGGCAGGAGGAGCCAATTTCCCAGCGGCTGAGCTGTTGACGTCTATGGAAGGAGCACTCGCTGATAGCTGCTGCAGGATGCGAGCTCGCTTTATCTCCAGCAAAGCGTTCTCAAGCTCCGCGACAGCCGCTCGCAGATCATCCCGCATCTGTTAACGATTTGCGGTGCCAGGTGCAATAGCACTCGAAGCATTGGCGGCAGGGAGCACAGAAAGCCTTCCTGTGCAGTGTCGAACTTGCCTGCAGCAGCTCTGCGGTCCCTTCCACGCCGCCGGCATCGCTTTCAAGTGATTTAATAGCCTCCTCGATGCTTAACAGGGCTTCACGCTGAGAAGCAAGCTGGATTTCAAGCTCCTCCTCCAATTCAGCCATTTTATTAAAGCTCTACACGCTAATGGACGCTAAAAGGTCAAACATGAACAAAATGCTTCAAAAGCATCAATCAGATAGAGACAAGTACCCCATCCGTGAGCCAACGGTTTTGCGCGTACATTTCACGTGGACAAAGTCTGCACGTGGGCGAAGCCTGCACGTGCACGGTGCCGTGCACCCATGCCTACCTAGGTGCTAATAAGCGACTAGCCGATTTCGACGTCTAAGTGGCGAGGCAATACAGTGCCGCACGTTGTACGTTGGGTTGGATACCTACGGTTCGGCTACACCATCTATCTTCCGCTTTAGACGGCCGAAAGGCTTAGAGGACTATCTCGTCAAAAGCTTGCACATTTCGTCAACAGCCATCGTCGTTAACTTCTCACTCGACAGTCAACCGCTCGGCGCATTAATTATACTCAGTAGGCTTGCCGGTGACAACACGGCGCCGGAAGCGAACTTACCATGAGCAGCGACGTAGCGCTTGATTTAGGCGGTTGTACAGTTACGCAGTATGAGCAAGTGCTCGCTGCCCTGCACGGCGATGCCGGCGCCGCATTGTCGCTTTGCCAGGTCTTCAGCACGCGCGACCGGACGGAGGAAGTTGCCTTTGGCCTCAACACAGTCTTCACAATCCTGAGCGGCGCTCTCGTCTTCATCATGGTGCGATTTGCAAGCCACCGCTCGAAACCAGAGCACCGAAACCGGCTAAACATGCTCTTCTCCTGCCGTCCCGCAACAACAACCAATCGCTTCGCAACTCCTTACATAACCTCCTTCCCGCTGCCCTTTCCTCCCCGTAGCACGGCGGTTTCGCCATGCTGGAGGCCGGTGCGATTCGCAGCAAAAACGCGGTAGGTGGGTCGGATTGGCGAGGTGGGACAGGCCTGAAGCGCTAAACCCATGGTGGGGGGTGGGGTGATGTGTACCGAGTTGCTTGCAGAAGACTGTGAGCATCAGCGGAAAAGGAAATAAGTAGAGGGCGCTGGAATCCCCATCCCACCCCATCACCCACTCCGAACGGAGCTCCCCATCCTCTCCTCCAGTCCCTGCCTCTCCTGCCTGCCTGCCTGCCTGCCTGCGAGACAGCTACTACCCTAGAACCCTAGAATCCAACCAACCAGCATTCCTTTTCCTCCCTTTTCCTCCCGCTGGGGGTCCCGGTCTCAACCTCCTCCCTCCCACCTCCCTGCTGCATTTCTCATTTACTACTTTTTCTCACATCCCTGGCCCAACACCCCCTCCACCACCATCCCCCCATCAGATGAACATCCTACTCCAGACGGTTATGGACGGGGCCGCCAGCGCCGTCATGTGGTACCTGGTGGGCTTCGGGTTCGCGTACGGCATCGGAGACAACCCCAACGGATTTGTGAGTATCGTACATGTCGTACATGGCCGATGTACGACAGGGGGTCAAACATGGTTGACCAAACCATGCAGGGGTCGGTGCAAGGCAGCTTGGGAATAGGAGGCGGCAGGGGGGGGGTGAACCGGTGATGGGCGTGTCGGCGGGTGGTTGAGTTGGTGGTTAGAGGGAAGCCAAGCCGTCCCACCCATCCCGTGCGTGGCTGGGGGGGTTGTTGGTTGCATGCTAATGCAACTAAACGCAAACCTGCATGCGGGTGTTGAGCTTGCATGCGTGCATGGAGCTACCTGTAGCAGCGGCTGCTGCTGCTGCTGCTGTTCGGCCTCCCTCTCCCGGCCTCCCTACTGCAAAGCATCCATCCCCTCACCTCTCCCTACTCCTCTACCCCTCACCTCTCCCCCCTCCCTCCCTCCCTCCCCCCTCTCCCTCCCTCCCCCGCCCCAGATCGGCGACGCCGTGTTCGGTCTGTCCCGCTACGCCTCCCACAACTCGGGCACGGGGGAAGGCAACTGGACAAACTGGTTCTTCCAGTGGGCCTTCTGCGCCACCGCAGCCACCAGTGAGGCGGGGAGGGAGGGAGAGGGGGAGGAAGGGAGAGGGCGGGAGGGGGGAGGGAGGGAGGGAGAGGGAGGGCTGGGGTTAGGCGTTAGGGGGAAGGCAGGCGGGGACGAGGGGGGAGGGGAGGGGGCGCACACCCGCGGTCATCGCCTTGCCATCACTTTTAGCCTCACAGCCTCACTAATCCCCCTCCTCCCCACCCCACCCCTTCCTCCCGCAGTTCCCGCGGGGGCGGTGGCGGAGCGCTTCAACTTCAATGCCTACCTGGGTGGGTGGTGGGGGTGGGTGTGGGTGTGTGGGGAGGTGGAGAGGATGACAGATGAGGCCTGGAACCGCGCCTGCGCCGAGCACACATACCAACACTGGCAGCCAGCTTCCTGCCACACACACACACAGTCGTTATTGAAACTCAGCCCAACCAAGTGCGAGTATAACCCAGTAACCATCATCCCCCCCTCCCCCCGCACCTCCCCCCCCCCAGGCTACTCCCTGTTCCTGGGCGGCCTTGTCTACCCCGTTGTCGTACACTGGGTGTGGTGCCCCACCGGCTGGCTGGGCTACGGCGCCTCCTCGCCGCTGCTGGGGACGGGCATGATGGACTTCGCGGGGAGCGGCGTGGTGCACATGGTGGGGGGGCTGGCAGGTGAGGGGGGTGCACATGGTGGGGGGGCTGGCAGGTGAGGGGGGAGGGAGGGGTGTGGGGGGCAGGGGAAAAAAGAAATTCCAAAGTGTGGTGTGATATTGATACAAGTTGCTGACAATCCCTGGTGGAATCAACCGTGAGTCGAGCCGAAATGGTGGTTAAAGCAAAGCGAGCTAAACTTACCGAACTTACCAATTATGGAGGAACCTTACCATAGGCTTGGGCATGTGTGGAGGCTGCTGAAGGTGAGCTGGAGACCCACCGCGCCGTGGGGCATAGGCAAACAACAGGGGGCAGGGGAGGGGATCGGAGGGGCTGAAGGAGGGGAAGGTTGTTGGGCTGTGCGTGTTAGTGTGGCCGCCCACTGTGTTGCGTGCGTTTGACATATCCCACGCCTTCCCCCTCCCCCCGTCTCCTTCCCCATGGGGGATCCCCCTCACGGGAATGTGCTCCTCTCCTCTCCTCCTCTTCTTCTTCTCCTTCCCCCTCCGCGCCCCCCCTCTCCAGGCCTGACGGGCGCCTGGCTGGTGGGTCCCCGCCTGGGTCGCTTCGACATGGACGGCCACCCCGTGCCCATGCCCGGCCACTCGGCCATCCTGGTGGTGCTGGGGACTGTGCTGCTGTGGTTCGGATGGTGAGGGTGGGGGGGAGGGGAAAGAGGAAACAACTAACTGACTGAGGGATAAGGCGTCAACATGGGGGGGAAGGGGGGGAGAATTAATGAGACACTGACGATGCAACTGATGAGCTGTAAGGGGGGGAGGGGGAGGGGAGGCAGCTCATCAGTTTCCTCTGCTTACCCCACGCCGCCCGGTATGTATCCCCGTTAACCCCTCGCCCCTCGGTTCCCCTCGTTTCTCAATTGCCTCATCAGTTTCCTCATCTTTACCCCACCCAAACCCTTCCTCCCCGCCCCCACCACCACCCCCCAGGTACGGCTTCAACCCCGGTAGCGCCCTGCTGGCGGACGACCGCGCAGCCGCCACCATCGCGGGCCGCGCCGCCGTCACCACCACCCTCAGCGGCGCAGCGGGCGGTCTGACGTGCCTGCTGCTGGGGTTTGTGAGGAACGTGGTGAGTTGCCGGGGGCGGGGGAGACGGAGGCGGGGAGGGAGGGGGGGATGCTGCATGGGAAGAGGCAGGCAAGCAGGGGTGGGGGGGGGCCCGCTGCATGAAATAGGGAGTACCGGAACCTGCATGCGGCTGCTGCTCTGGAGCCGTACGCAGCAGCAGCAAGGGCTGTATCCTACACCCCTCTTCCCCACCACCCACACCCACACCCCCCTCCCTCCCCCTCCTCCCCCCCTCCCCCCGCCCCCAGGCCTGGGACCTCATCTCCTTGTGCAACGGCATGTTGGTCGGCTTCGTGGCCATCACCGCCGGCTGCCACGTGCTGGAGCCCTGGGCGGCGCTGCTGGCGGGGGCGACGGGCGCAGCGCTGTTCGAGGGCTGCTGCGCGGGGCTGCTGCGGCTGCGGGTGGACGATGTGGTGTCGGCGGGGCCCATGCATGGCGCGTGCGGGGCTTGGGGGGTGCTGCTGGTGGGGTTGCTGGCGAAGGAGGTGAGGAGGGGGAGGGGGGGATTAGGTAAACTGAGCCGCGGAAACACTGACCCGGAGGGGGGGAGAAGGGGGAGGGGAGAAGGGGTAAGGCGCGTGGAGTGGCCGCACTGGAGGAGACCAAGTTAAGGAGAGAGAGTTGCGTCAGGAGGAAGGGAGGGAGAGGGGTTCAAGAGAGCCTGTCGGTCTGCCTGCCTGCCTGCCCAACGGGTGCCGTGCTACCCCTACGTCCTGATGTCCCCCCCCCGCATGCATGCGCGCAGGAGTATGTACGACAGGCATACACACGTGATACCTACCCGTACGGTCTGTTCTACGGCGGGGGAGGCAAGCTGCTGGCTTGTCAGGTGGGTGTAGGTGTGTGCGAGGGGGGCATGTTGGGGGCTTGTCAGGTGGGGGGCTGCAATTTGGGTTCTTCCCCTCGCCTCCCTCCTCTCCTCTCACCTCTCTCTGCCCCGTCCTTCCCTCCCAGGTCATCGGCGTGCTTGCCATCGCCGGCTGGGTGTGCGGAACCATGGGTCCGTTCTTCCTGCTGTTCCGCTGGGCGGGGGCACTGCGCATCAGCGCGGAGGAGGAGCACACGGGGCTGGACGTGTCGAAACACGGGGTGGGTTGGGTTTCGGGGGGAGGGGAAAGGAGAAGGGGGTAAAATTAAGGAAAACTGTCGAACTGACAGGAGGAGGGGGGGAATTTGCGGGGTTTGGGAAAGGGGAATTGCAGGGTTCATGGTGCATGCTTGGTTGTACGGCATTCAGTCATTGCGTTCTGGGTTGTACGACAACCTCCTTGCATGTACGACAATCCGGTACTCCATAACAGACCCCGGTACTGCAGGCTCCTTCCTGCTCGCCCCTCCATACGGCATCTTGCTCCCAGACCTCCAGTTCCTTACCCCTTTCCTCCTCTCCTTCGCCTCTCTTACCCCTCCTCCCCCCTCCTTCCCCCCCCCTCCCGGCCACACCCCAGGGATCTGCCTACCACATGAACGCGGGCGGAGGTGCTGGTGGCGGCATGGGAGGCGGCATGGGAGGCGGCATGGGTGGGGGTGGCATGGGTGCGGGTGGCATGGCACGTGGCGGGTTGTTTGGAACGAACGGCGTGTTTGGCGCCGGGGGAACCATCCCCACCGTCTACACCGGGGGTCAGCTGACCTTGCAGCAGTTCTCCATGGACGGTACGGAGGGCGGAGGCGCGGGGGTTAACGGCAACAGCAATGGCGGCGCCCCCCAATACTACCTGCAACCGTCACCTTCGCTGTCTCAGCTGCAACAGCAGGACCAGCAGGAACAGCAAGCAGCAGCACCAATGCAGCAACAGCAACAGCAGCAGCCAGTAAGGCCCAACGTGACGAGGCACAAGACGCCCGTGGGCGACTCCATCATGCGGGCCAACACCATGGGTTTCTCCGCACACAACTCCTCAACCACCACCACAACGGCAACCGTTACAACTGCTGCAACCACCTCAACCGTTGTCGTACAGCTTGTCAACAAACAGCACGACGACGCACAACAGGAGCAGCAGCAGCAGCAGGATTCTTCGTCCTCGAGCCCCCAAAGTGGGGAGACTCCCAATGTTGCCGGTACCGCAGGCAAGTAAGCAGTAACAACTCAGCGGTGGCCAAAGCAGCGGCGGCAGCGGCGACGGGGGCTCAGGCGGTGTTGTGGCGAAGTTGATAGTCGTACTGCAGTTATAGGATTTTGCTCTCGTTGACACACATCGTGATTGCGAGGACTGTTTTGCTCTTGTCGGACCGCCCCGTATCGGTATATCTACGAATTGGAGGCTCGAAGCCTGTGATTTGCGACTAGCTGTGAATGTGTTTGTCATTTGCTTTGTTGTGGGGGTGTACTGTTTGTTGCTATCGTGCCGCTGGCGAGGGGCGGTGCGCGGCTTGCGGCTACTGGGCATGTCCCTGTTTGGCGCGGTTAGGGGTGTGGGTTGGTGGGTTTCCAGGGGCTGTGTGCGCGGAAAAACAATGTGCGGAGGGGCCAAATGGCGTTGCATGTGTCGGTTTGGTTGGTGTTGAGAAAACGGGTTGCGAGCCGGACGTACTGTGATCGTCGGAAGATGAAGTCCTCCCACAGAAACGCCACACGTGAAGTAGAGTCCTTTCGTGTGGGTTTGTGTGCTTTGTACCGTATGTGTGGTTGTCCGGGGTTGCTGCTAATGGGTACTAGTGGGTGCATGGACTCCCTCAGACCCCGCCAGGAGGAGGGGCGGGGGCGGGGGCGTGTTGAAGGGTGCGTGGTTTCTCGTTTGGAGTTGGGGGGCCGTCTTGTGACTGGAGACAAGGGGGCACGGGGATAGCAGGTGCGTTGGTGGGAATTGAAAAAGGAGGCGTGCGGGCGTGAAGTCTGTGGAGCAGCGAATTGTGTGGTATTTAAAGAGGAGGTACTCGTATGAATGGAATGCCGAGCGGTTGGACCATTGGGAGGAGAGGTGACCCTATCCTTGTGAGCCTCCGCTCCCATCCGCGTCGGCATTATTTTTGGGGAACGCTCGTGGCACGCACTCGTAATGCGGCCTTTGTTTTGCTAAGGCTGATACTATAATGTATATGTTTTTCGGCGCGACTGTGTCCTGGCCCGTTCGAAGTGAGTAAACGTCAGGGTACGCGTACATATGTGTAATATGTTGGATTTGGGTTTTTCCTGTAACCGGCTTACCACAATCACGTGCGTTCTCTGCGATATGTGACCTGCAAAAGGGTTGCCAGGGTTCGTGATTAGTGATTGGGCGTAGAGGGTCTCGGAGCCGGAGTCAGGCTTAGTCGTCTTTCTATGTAAGTACCACTTACGGATAGAGGGGTGTTAGTTTGTGGTCACCTCACTGTGCAAAAGCGAAGCTAATTGTGAAGAGTGGTTGGACGACAGTGCCGTGAATACCCTGAAGGCTGCCGCTGCCTTTAAGCGCTGTAATACAAAGTGTTAGGTTTCAAACTTGACAACAAGGCCTACAGTTCTAATCAATCACATCCGCTTATCGTTGCGGAGCTCAAATCGTTGTGCACGGCGGCGCCGGCCTAGCCTGCTTTGCCATATTAAAACTACGTAGACTAATGCGTATGCTTTTGTTAGATTTAGCCAACACACGCTCACATCTTCAGTGACCGCCGTCGTCGCGGCGACGCACATTTGCAATACAATATGCCGGCTGCAACTCCACAGCTGCAGCTTAAGGCGACATATCGACCTAGCTCTAAGCTTCAAGTCTTCTATACTGGAGGCGCAGCGCGCATTACGAGGGATGGCAAGCTGCTGGCTTGCACATGCTCGGATGAGGTCAAGGTGCGCTATGCCGGACCACGCGCTTTTGCATTTCCCTTATCCCGTTCCTCAGAATGCTATTGCTGGGTTGTCGAGATGCTTAGGGTTTATGGTCGGGGCTTTGGAAGTATGACAAAACGTCACACGGATGGGTTCTACATCATGGCTGCAAAAGCCTCTTCTTATTCGCTCCCTTCCCCGTCCTTCCCTTTGCTGTCCTACGTACGATACTAACAAGTTACCAATTCAACCAAACTCCCCAGATAGTGGAATTGTCAACGGGCGCCGTCGTGCGTTCCATTAAGCCCGATGGCGAGGCCGTCACGGCGCTGGCAGTCAGCCCCGACTGCCGTACACTGGTGGTTGCCACGCGGTCCCTGTACGTACGAGTGTACGACATGACGACCGGCGCGCAGCTCCGCAACTGGCGGGGCCACAAGGGCCCTGTGGCGGACCTTGCGATCGACGCCTCGGGTGGCTATGTAGCCACTGCCTCGGCTGACCGATCTGTCAAGGTATGTGTGGGGGGTAGACCGCCGGGCAGTCGGCGCCCCTTGGCATTTGCTTTGAACGGCAATCATGGTTACAGCGTCAGTGTTATATCGCAGCTCAGTTACGGCTACCCTTCCTCCCTGCGTGTTTGTTCTTACTTGTCTCCCAACGCCCATGCACCTTCCCAGCCCTCCGCCTGCCCAGCCTGCCTTTCCTCCCCTCCCCTCTCCCCCCCACCCCCCAGGTGTGGGACCTGGCGGGCGGATTTTGCACGCACCACTTCCCCGGCGGCCACGGCGGGGTGGTGCTGCGGGTCGCCTTCCACCCCAAGAACCTGCAGCTCTTCAGCGCGGGGGACGACGGATCGCTGCGGGTTTGGGACCTGGTGGATAAAACGTGCGTGTACGACCTAAAGGTACGACTGCGTGTACGGCGTACGAATAAAAGGCGTACGACATGTGATTGCCGTCCAGGGCACAGCATGCAAGGATGTTGGGTTGGGTCTCGTACGGGTCTGCGGTACAGGTTGGGTTACCGTGCCGTTACAACCGGCTCAAGGTTCGCGCTCTACCTCGTTATCTCTTTACCCTCACCCCCCTCCCTCCGCATCCCCTCCTTCCTGCCTCCCCCCTCCCTCCTGCGCGCACAGGGTCACTTCAGCGCCGTCACCTCCCTGGCGCTCTCCCCGGACGGCTGGCTGCTGCTGAGCGGCGGGCGAGACAAGGTGGTGGTGGTTTGGGACCTGCGCAGGTGGGGGGGGGAGGGGGGTGAGGGGAGGGAGAGGAGGGAGAGAAGGGGGGCTGAAGGGGGATGAGGGGAGGAAGTGAGGGGGATGAGGGAAGGGAGGAGGTGTTTATAATGCATGGATGGATGCACGGATGCCTATGCCCTTTGTTTTGCCCTAGCCTGCGGCTTCCTATGTCATGGTAATGGTTTTTGACACCCCCCCGTCTCCCCTTCCCCCCCTCCTCCCCCCTCCTCCCAGCGGCACCAAGGTGTCCACCGTGCCTGTGTTTGAGGCGGTGGAGGGGCTGGTAGCGCTCCCGCTGGGGGCGCAGCTGCCGGGGCTGCCGGGCAGGGGGGCGGGCGGGCAGGAGCTGGTCAAGGTAAGCAAGGGGGGGAAAGGGAGGAAGGGAGGCGCTGGGGGGGAGGATGCTGGGGGGACGCTGGGGGAGGGAGGGAGGATGTAGATGGGGGCATGGATGGAGTGACGAGGGGGAGAGAGCGCGCGGGGGAAGCGTGTAAACTGGAAGGGTAACACTTGTCGTCCTGATGTTGCCACTCAACGGGCGCACGAGTCAAGCCGCCTCACGCCCCTCCCCACCTCCTCCTCCCCTCACGTCCCGCTCTTCCTCCCCTCACGTCCCCCCCTGCCAGGGCGCCAAGAAACAGGTGTATTTTGCCACCGCGGGCGAGCGGGGAGCAATCAAGTGGGTGGAGGAGGGGGAGGGAGCGAGAGGGGGGCGGTGCAGGGGTGGGGTGGTGCTGTGTGGGTTGGTGCAGGGGCGGTGCAGGGGTCGGCTGGCGTACTGCTTCTCAGCTCCTGCCTGCGACCCCGGCCCCCTCGCAATCGTACTGGCTTGGCTAATTCGGGCGTGGCAGGATCGGGCTGGCTCACATGTTGCAAACCACGAGGACGCCTTATCACACGGTGTTTTACTTTATTTCCTCTTTATGCCTCCTTCCCGCCCCTCCCCCCGCCCCTCCCCCCGCAGGCTGTGGCGCAGCGACACGGGGTCCTGTGTGGCTGAGGTGGCTCCCGAGGTGGCGGTGGCGGGCAGTGCGGCATGTGAGCTGACGGACCTCATGCTGCTGCCGCCGACTGCTGCTGCTGCTGCTGGGGCTGCGGCAGGCGGAGGAGGAGCAGCAGCAGGCGGCAGTGTGGGGCTGCTTGCTGCGACTGCGGACGCGAGGCTGCTGTTCTACAGCCCGGGGCAGGACGCGGAGGGCGGGCGGGCGCTGCAGCTGTCCAGGCAGCTGGTGGGGAACCAGGACCAGGTGAGAGGGGGAGGAGGCGGGGGGTGAGGGTAGGGGTGGATCTTTGGGGGGGAGAAGAATGTCCGGAGTCTACCCGGCCAATGGGGGAGAAGGCGGGGGGAGTGTGCGTTAGGGGGCTGGGTTGGGTTTGGGGCATGCGCTGTCGCTGCACCCCCCGGCACCCCCAGCCCCCACGTGACATGACCCCCCCCCCTTCCGCCACCATCCCAAACCCCTGTCAGGTCACGGACCTGCGCTTCGTGGGCCCCCCCGGGGAGCCCTCCGCTCTGGCAGTGGCAACCAACAGTGAAACCGTACGGCTGTACGGCCTGGCAAACATGAGCTGTACGGCAGCCCTGGTGGGGCACCGGGACATCGTGCTGTGTATGGACGGCGGCGTGGCGGGGGCGGCGGGGGCAGGTGAGAGGGGCGCGGGGGGGGGGGTAGGGTTTGGGTGGGGGTTTGGGTTGCAGTCTCGGCTTGGGTGGCTTGTCAGGAGCGTTTGCAGGGACCTGATCCCCTTTCCAACTTCGTGCTCAACATAGTCCTCATTTTCTCTCAACCCCCCTCCCTCCCCCTGTCCACAGGTCTTCCCCCGCTGCTGGCCACGGGCGGCAAGGACCACGAGGTTCGGCTGTGGGAGGCTGCGAGCGGGCGGTGCCTGGGGGTGGGAGTGGGGCATGTGGGAGCGGTGAATGCGGTGGCGCTGGCGAGGAAGTGAGTGAGGGGTGGGGGGGGGGGGGAGGGGAGAGGGAGGGTTAGGACTTGGGAGGGAAGGGCGGAGGGAAGGGGGTGGGTTGCCAAGGTCGAGGGAGGGAGGGAGGGAGGGAGGGAGTTGGGCACGAGGGGTGCAGGATGTGTGCACGTGCACGTGCAGGTGCATGCGGGGTGCGGGTTGTGCGGTTAAGACGGCTGCATGGGCTTTTGAGGCACTGCATTGCACGACCCTTCATGGCAGGGTGTACGGCACTCATCCACCCTGTTGCTCCATTGCAGTTAGGCAAACCCCCGCGCATGTTGGGGGAGTGCAATAGCGGTGGTGGTGGTGGCGGAGGGGGAGGCTGTCCAGGATGAGCTCCGCCTCTTTTCCTTTCCTTTTCCCGAAGCTGAGAGCTGCGGGGTGGCCCAAACACCGCCCTGCTTCTCTGCTGATACACGGCTGAATCTGAGACACTCAAACACACTTCGCCACCACCACCACCACCACCACCGCCACTGCCACCAAAGGTCATATGCTCATCGTTAGGTCTACCAAACGAACGGCCCCCACGATGCATGAGTCGGGATTCGGGATTGGGACTCTGTTGATCCACTTAACCTATACTTCCCCCCAACCTGTGGTCTCCTATGGTTTGGTATGGTCTTTGACCCCCCCACCACCCCCACCCCCACCAACACCATGTGGGTTGCCGACCACTGGTGGTAGCACGCATGCGTAGCTGCATCGTCGACTTCACTGCCATTTCTGCACGTCGTGCGTGCAAACTTGCATTGGCATGACCCCTTTGGCCCTTTCCTTGACCTCACCCAAACAAGGGAGAGAGAGGAGCGTCTAAGAAGGGGGAAGTGAACGCAAAGGGACGCGAGAGGCCATTGATGATTCATGCTTTTCATACTTTTAATCCTTTTCCCGAAGCTTAGGGTTCTAGTCGACCCGGGGCTGATACACGGCATACGCTGTCTGAGGCCTCTCGCAGTGAAATCATCCGCTTTCCACTTTCCACATACCTAAAGATTCTGGCCATGCTTTTTCACAACAATGGACATGCACTTGCCAACAAAACACGCGCACATGCTGAGCATCGAGTACGTTCCATGTCTTGACATTGCGAAAGAAGAAGGCAAGGGAAAGCCGTTGATGATTCATGCTTTTCTACTTTTAATCCTTTTCCCGAAGCTTAGGGGTATTACAACCCCGGGGCTGATACACGGCATATGCTGTCTGAGGCTTTCCCAACCTTCTTCGAACACATGTGCCATGCGTGCATTAGGACCTGTCATACGCAATCCCTGCGAAGCCCTGCTCCCCAATGTAATGTTAAGTGACCGTTACATTGGTTGCTGTTGCTGTGAGGGGCATAAGTAGTAGGGAGTGGCTGCCCATGCGAGCATGCACGGGTTAACTACCCAATACGCTTCCCCAGCCTGCATGGTCTTCCCATGTGTGACGGAAATAAGTGGGAAGAAGGCCGTTGATGATCTCTGTTTTTATTTCAATCCTTTTCCCGAAGCTTAAGGGTGGCTACGCACACCCTGAGGCTGATACACGGCATTGTCTGAGGCCTGTCCTATGCAGAGCGAGAGAGTGTAGGGTACCGGACTACATGTGAATATGACGTCAGCAGTCGGGGTGAATGTGACTGAGTCAAGAGTTGGGGGCGGGGGGCGGCCGACCCGGGGCGAACCCGCATGTCCGCATGTACGTTGTACTCACCTTCTTCATGGCCCCCTTGCAAACCGCATTGCTGCCCCTCGCATGCCTCACATGCGTCGCTATTACCTGGGTTTGCACAAAGATTGGAGGGGTTTGGGGTCCTATCTACCCCCATACCGGTTCCAATTGGAGCTTGGAGGGACAGGAGAGGAGAAGAAAAGGCCGTTGATGAGCTCTGCTTGTTTATTTCTAATCCTTTTCCCGAAGCTTAGGGGTACTACAACCCCGGGGCTGATACACGGCATACGATGTCTGAGGCCTCTTCTCGCTCCTCCCTCCCCCCGTCCTTCCCACCACACATACCCACCCTCCATTCAACCCACCATACCCTCCACCTCCTTCCCTTCCCCCCTCCTCCCCCTCAGGACCCCCACCCGCTTCCTCATCTCCGTCGGCGCCGACAAGCTCATAAAGGTGTGGGACACCGCCCCCGCACTCGCCCAGCTCACCCAAGACACCAGCAGCAGCAGCACCCCCGCCGGCCCCGACCGACCCGTGGTTCAGCTGCGCACCCTGGCGGCTGTTGCGGGTCACGACAAGGACATCAACGCGGTGGCGGTGGCGCCCACTGACGCGCTGGCGGCCACTGGCAGCCAGGATAAGACGGTGCGGGTGTGGAAGCTGCCGGACCTGGTGCAGGTGGGTGGGTGTGGGGCGGGGGTGTTGGCCGTTAGGTCTGTGTGTGTTTTAATAACTGGGGGGGAAACTACACGTACAGACACAGTCCTTGCATTCACAGAACGTTTCGACTCGCGGCCGGTTTTCTTAGCACAGCCCGCATACTCCCTCTCTGCCCTTCCCTCCCCCCTCCCGCTCTCATGTGTATGTGTCTATGTCGGTATTGTCCACCCTGCCTGTCAGGTCGCCGTATTGCGGGGTCACAAGCGCGGCGTCTGGGCTGTGGAGTTCGCCCCCCTGGAGCGGGCGCTGCTGTCCGCCTCGGGCGATAAGACCATCAAGCTCTGGTCGCTCACCGACTACAGCTGCCTGCGCACGCTGGAGGGGCACACCGCATCGGTGCTGCGGGCGACCTTCCTGACGGCGGGCACGCAGGTGCTGAGTGGTGGAGCGGACGGGCTGGTGAAGCTGTGGAATGTGGCGAGCGGGGAGTGCGTGAACACCTTTGATGAGCACGAGGATAAGGTAGGGGAAGGGCGGGGGGCCGGGGCGGGGCGGGGCGGGTGTGGGTTGCTAGGAGAGGAGGGGTGGGAAGAGAAAGGGGATGCGAAGGAAAGATGACGGCGGGGTGTAAGGATATGGCCCGCACTGCCAGCCCGCCTGCCTGCATTCCCCCGCGCTCTCACCACCCGTCACGCCGTCTTGGTCCAACCTTTCCTTTCCCTTCCCTTCCCTTCCCTTTCGCCCCTTTCCCCCTCCTCTTCTCCTCCCCCCTCCAGGTGTGGGCTCTTGCCTGCGGCGGCTCCCAGGAGGGCCTGGTGGCGAGTGGCGGCGGCGACGCGCTGGTGTGCGTGTGGGCGGACAGTACGGAGGCGGATGCGGCGGCGGCGGCGGAGCAGGAGCAACAGCTGGCGGAGCAGGAGCAGGCGCTGCAGAACGCACTAGCGGTGAGGAGGAGGAGGGGCGGTGGGGGGGAATTGAAGGATACCCAATGAGTTGGAGGAGGAGGGGGTTGGAGGGAGAGGGGGATTGGGGCGAATATGCTTTTGGTTGCTGTGCATGGTTGCTGTGCATGGTTGCTGTGCATGGACGTGGAGCTGTGATGAGACGTTGTACGTGCAGCAAGCAAAATAACGTGTGAGCAAAAGCCTCTACGTGCGCATGTAGTGTTGACGCCTCCTCCCTCCTCTCCAACCTGATACATCCTCCTTGTTCATCCTTCATTACCATCATCCTTCAATCAACCTGCATGCAGGATGCCAACTTTGCCGAAGCCGCTCGCCTCGCCTTCAGCCTGAAGCACCCCGGCCGCCTTCTGAACATCATCACTCGGGCCGCAACCGCAACCGCCAACGCCGCCACAACCGCCGCAGCAACCGCCAACGGTAACAACGCCACCGCCGCCTCTGCTTCTGCCGCCGCCGGGCCCCTGGGTCGCTTGTTGTACGGCTTGGTCTCCCAGATGTCGCACGAAGACATTCGTACGGCACTCGAATACTGTCGTGAATGGAACACGCATGCCCGGCACTGTCACGCGGCTCAAGCGCTGCTGGGGGCTGTGTTGAGGGTGCACCCGCCGGAGAAGCTGCTAGGCGTGCCGGGTAGGCTTGGGTTGGGTTGGTGTTGTTGTTGTGGTGGTGGTTGGTGGTTGCGTTGGCATTTTACCAATGTAAAATTTGCATGTGTTTGTAGCAGAATGAAGCAGGTGCAACTTCTTCCTCCTCCCCCTTTTGATGCACTTATCTATATTTTTCCACCTCCTCGTGAGTCAGCCCCCCTGTCCGTGGAGGATAGCCCCATTAGCACAACCATTGACATACGGTACTCTCTTTGTCCTCTCCCTCAGGCTGCTCTGAGCTTCTGGCGGCGCTCTCGGCCTACAGCGGCCGCCACTTCTCACGACTCGACCGACTGGTAGGCTGGGAGGGGGGGGGGGGGTTGTTGCATGCATGCATGCGCGCTAGCACAATGACCCACGGGTCACCAAACGTGTATATCTAACCGCAACCCAGTAACTGCGCAGCGTTTTGTGCCTGTTTCAATTTGTTTATGCTATCCATCCTTGCGCAAGGACATGTACGGCAGTCCATGTCCCCTGCCCGCTGTCCCCTGCCCTCTTCTGCCCCTGCCTTGAACACCCTCCCGAATACCCCCACCCACCCACCCACCCGCACCCCCACCCCCCACCTGCGCAGGTTCGCTCCACCTACCTGCTCGACTTCACTTTGGAGTCCATGGGTGTGTTGGGTTTGGGCGGCAGCGGCGGGAGCGGCGGGGACTACCCGGGGGGAAGCGGCGGCGGGTTGGATGGCTTCCTGGCCGACATGGGGGCGATTGGGGACGCGGAGGATGATGAGGAGGGGGTGACGAGGTTGGCGGGGGCGGAGGACGAGGAGGGCGCGATCCTGGCTCGGCTGGCTGCGGCAAGGGTGGCGGGGCAGAAGCGAGGGCGGGAGAGTGAGGAGGAGGATGATGATGAGGAGGAGGAGGGGGATGGAGGCGGGGTGGGCAAGGCGGAGGGGGCCGGGAAGGAGAGCGAGGAGGAGGAGGAGGACGGGAAAGCGGATGGGAACTCATCGTCGGAGGAGGAGGAGGAGGAAGAGGAGGAGGCGCCGAAGGCGGCATCCCGTGGGGTAGATGGCGGCAGCGGGTCAGAAGCAGGGCGACACGGTCCCTCTGCGGATGACCTGGAGGATGATTTCATGTTGGGAGAGGAGGGCGGAGAGGAGGAGGAGGACGGGGAGGGGAGTGGCAGTGAGGAGGAAGGGGGAAGTGAAGGGGGTGAGGAAAGCGAGGAGGCAGGGGAGGAGGAGGAGGCTGCTGGGGGGTCCGAGGAGGGCGCTGAGGCCATGGAGGTGGGCTGCGACGATGCTGCTGAGAGCGAGGAGGAGGAGGAGGAAGGGGAGGAGGAGGAGGCTGCCGGCAGCAGCGGGAGCAGCGAGGAGGGTGAGGAGGAGGAGGAGGAGGAAGACGAGGAGGCGGTTCGGCGGTTACGGCAGCAGCTGCTGCAGGCTACCGCCAGCGGCCGCAAAGGAGGGGCAACACCCGTAGGCAAGGCGGCAGCAGGTGCAGCGGGCAGGAGCGGAGGAGGCCCCAGCAGCAAGGGCAACACGCCGGATGCTGGAGCGGGTCGCAGGCAGGCAGGGAAGGCTGGTGCTGCGGCTGCTGCGGCTGGCAGGACGACGCAGGAGGAGGAGGGAGATGGGGAGGATGTGCAGCAGAAGCAGCAGTTGTCACAGCAGCAGAAGCAGCAACGAAGAGGCACCAAGTCCCTGGCGGTGACTCCGGTAGCAGCCTCGAAGCGAACCGCCGCAGCAGCAGCAGCTGCAAAAGCGGCCGGCGTTGCGCCTGCGACAGCGCCCGCCAAGGCGCGTGGGAAGGCCACTGCCGCTACTGCCGCAGCGGCGGCTGCCCGAGGGGATGACATGGTTGAGGAGGAGGAGGAGCAGCAGAGGCCGGCAGCAAAGGGTCGCACGACGGGCGGCAAGGAGGCGAAGCGGAAGGCGGGTGCAGCAGCAGCAGCGGCTAGCACTCGGGGCCTGTCGAGGCTAGCCCGTGCGCTGGACCTGCCGTCCCCTGCTCCCCTGGCTCCCCTGGCTGCCAAGCAGGCTGCCGCTGCGGCTGCTGCTGCTGCTGCCACTCCTCGTACGGCAGCAGCAGCTGAGGCCGAGCAGGGGCGGCAGCAGCAGCAGCAGCAACCACCGGCGTCAGCGCGGAAGGGTGCAGCGAAGCAGGCGCCGCCCCCGGAGGAGGCGGAGCAACAGCCGCAGCAGCAGGAGCAGCAGGGAGGGAAGAAGCAGAAGGCGGGGCAGGCGGCTAAGAAGGCGGCGAGTGCTCCTAGCACGCCGATAGGCCGCCCTGCAAAGGGTGCTGCTGCTGCTGGTGGCAAGGGGGGCAAGGGAAGGCCGGCGGTTGGATCCATGACTGGTCCGGCGAAGAAGGCGCGCAGGGGTTGATGGGAGCGGTTGGAGGATGGGGGGGGGTCGCGGGTGGCAAGACGTGGAAGTATTAAGGATGGTGGTTAGGTGGTGTAGAGATGGGAGGGGCGTCGTGTAGGGTTGACAGGGTTAGGGGGTAGGCAGGTCCTGTGGGCAGGCTACCGCTGGGCGGGGTTGCACAGGGGGGTCAGAACTCTGGAGGAGTGTGTAGGAGAGGGTGTATGTCAGCGGCTGTTATGCACGTGTGTTGCTCCAACGGGAGAAATGATACTGATCCCAGCTGACATCACTGGATGGGAGGTGTGCTGCGGAGTGAGTGGCCCGAGCTTGGTGGCCCAGAGCCTGGATGCTGGGCTAAGCGCAATGACAGCGCAGCGAGATGCCTGTTGAGCGCTGTTCGAAGCTGTGGCATCTGACGAATCCTGACACGTCTTCTTGTAAAACACATGGGCTAGGATTCATGCTGGGATGTTTGTTGGAAGCTCTCCACGTGCGGAAGCACCTGGCAGCAAGCCTGACGCTGACCTAGGTCGTCCGTGACCGAAAGCGTTTGGCAACATACACTGAATATGCTTTTCAAAAGGAAAGGCGACGATCCTTATGGCTCCAGTTACGACAACACTGTACGGCATTAGTTTGGCCACCCGACATTGGTTTAACCACAAAACGCAGGTATGCCTCTTGTGTTGCCATGACACGCAACATGCAAAGGAGCTCAAACTTCAAACCGTTCACAGATGCTTCACAAGAGGCATGACTCCCACCTGAAGGCGGTGGATAAGATACGTCCGGTGGATATGCAGATGGTGAAGAGGCACGCCGCATGCCTCCCAGCCTCTGTAAGGTGTTTGGATGACCCATACATCCCATGCAGTACGGGCCATGGCTCGTACATTCAAGATCCAAACCTTGTACGGCAATGCAAGAACACAAGCTAGGGAAACCTTCACGCCTTCTAGAAACAGCAACCCTGCCTACGTGCCTAGTAGCCTATACATACGCTGTGAACTATGCGCTATATCGCTGTGTTCTTCTAGGTGCATGGAGTAGCAGGGACAACCTAGTCCTAAATCTTCTAACGGTCAGAACTAACCGAATGCAACAGCTCACCATGCAACAGCCGCAGAACCGTTCCCCCCACCTGCCAGTCGTAGCGTCTGCCTTCCGTTAGGCAGTCATGGTAAATAACACCTCACTCCAAACCGAGGCAAACAAAGAAAGCAATAAACTAGTAAGAGGAAGAATCCGGAAGTCATGGAGCCCGTCCGTACGGTGGACATCTGCAACCACCAACATGGCTGCATGTGTCTTGCCTCCATGGATTGCCCCTAGTTGACGGAAAAGCCTACCCGCTGGTTCCCGTTGCCTGTAAGACTCTTAACCAGTGGGCTACGGGAGCACCCTGTTGCGGCCCCTCACGCAGCGCCCTGCAGCCCGCTTGCTGCGTAGGTGGCCGCCATGTCCGCCGCCATGTCGCACTGGCCGGCCTGGGAGAGGTGGATGGCCTGGCTCCACCACACGTGGCCGGGGGTGGTGGGGTCCGCCATGGACTGCAGGTAGAAGTTGTAGTTCTGGTGTGAAGGGGAGGGAGGAGGAGGAGGAGGGTGGGAAGGCGGTGGGGCAAGGGGAGAAGGGGTGACGGGTGAGGGAGGGAGTGGGTGGGCTGTGGGCACATATCGGTACCGTAGACAGCGGGGTGCTTGGGTCGGCAAGGTACGGTGTGAGGTGCGCGTGCAGTTTTGCAGTACGTGGATGGCATGGGTTCTCACCTCATGCAACCACACCCACACCTGCCCCCCCAGGCACGCACCTGCATGTCCACTTTCAGAAGCCGGGGAGCGGTGAAGTTTTGCTGCTGCGTGCGGATGACGGCAATCTGCGGGAAGATGTCTGCGCGGTTGCGCTCCGCCATGACCGCCATGATCACCGGCAGAGAGGGGTTGTACGGCGCAAGCTTGGCTCGTACGGCGGTCAGGAAGGCGGAGAAGCGGGAGTTGTAGGCGGCGGCGTTCCACGGGGTATTGGCATCAGCCTCGCCCTGAGGTGAAAGGCAGGTGTTGCATGGATTGAGAGGAAGTGAGGAAGGGTGGGGTTACAGGGCCACCAAGATAGGAAATGGCTTTGGGAGGCTATTTAACGACCGTACACGTGGACACGAGGTACACGTGGACACGAGGCGTAACCAAGTAAATGTAGTAATAATAGTAATAATTGTTGCAGGAGCCCAACCTGTAGCCGGCCCGCCTGGGTTCACATAGAAATAAGCTTACGACTGACCCATGGGTCTTGGCTGCAACCCACCTGCACCCAGATCATGCCCCGCAGGCGCGCACGCGGCCCCGCTGCCGCCATGGCCCGTACGACAGCCGCGATCATCTGGTTGTACAGCAGGCAGCCCACACACCTGCGGTACAACAGGGGCGACAAACAGGACTTTTAGGCTGTGTATCAAAAGTTTCCGATCCAATTTGGGTAGGAGCAGTTGGGCCCGAAGTTCCCAGCTGCAAAAAGGCATGTATGCTTGCAAGCCTGGACTGAATCGCAATCAAACCCAACCACACCAAACATGTACGTCTCAACCCGCGCGGCTACCGGTAATCCCCATGTAGCCTACCAGTTCTCCGAAAGGCTCGTGGCTCCGAGACCCGTGGCCACAAAGCCCACCCGCTTAGACAGCCCGTACTGCAGCAACACGCGGCCGAATGCCATGTCCGGCCCGCAAGAGTCGCTGAACCATGGCTCGGCGCCGCGACTGATGCAGCCTACGCAGGGTGCGGCGTCCCGCCAGGTATCATTCGGGTTCCGGAGCATGTTGAAGGTAAGGAGCCTGCCTGGCAGCGGGGTGCAGCAGGACTCAACGTAGCCCTGCTGGTTCTCTCCCACTGCGTTTGACTGGCCTGTGTGGCGGCGGATGATTGGGTGCATGGGAGGGGAGCAGGTGGGAGGGAAGAGCATGAGCATGGGGGGGCGGCGAGGTGAACAGGGTAGCCGTGTGACGCCGAAAGACCGCTGGCAAGTAGCATGGCATGGGGCAGAGCATGGCCATGAGGTAGGGCTTGGGGGATAACCAACTGGGTACGGTTGTTCATTGATACCGGTACAACCGGTACAACATCATCGAGAGGCCGAGAGCCGGCTCGTGGAGCACCGCCTTCTCACACACCCTGAACACCCAACAGACCCACCCGCTATGATCCAGATGTCGAATCCCTCATCGAGCTCCGCAGCTCCCGCCGGATAGGTGGCCAGCTTGGTGTGATCAAAGAACTCTGACGTCGCCATGTAGTTCTTATCGGGCTTGGGCAGGGGGGAGGCGGGGACGGAGGGCGGCGGCGGTGGAGGTGGTGGAGGTGAGGGTGGCTGCTTGGCAGGTGGTGGGCGCGGCGGTGGTAAGGAGGGCGGCCGAGGAGGCGGAGGGGTTGAGGGTAAGAGAGGAGGACGCGGGGATGGAGGTGGTGGCGGAGAGGGAGGAGAGGGTGGTGGCGGTGGTGATGGCGGGAGAGGAGAGGGCGGTGGCGGTGGCGATGGGGAAGGCGGTCGCGGGGTTTGCGGTTGGAGTGGTGGTGGTTGTGAGGGGGGCAGGGATGGAGGCGGCGATGGAGGCAGCAACGGCGATGCAGGTGGTGGACTTGGGTCATTGGGCTCGACGTTGCGTGTCTCAATGACGATGTCCAGGGATTCAGGGGTTGTAGGGAAGTTTGGAGGCGGGGGACTTGGGGATCGTCGTCGTATAGGACGTGAGGGTGGTAGAGGGGGCGGGGGTGATGGTGGTGGTGGCTTGCGCTTGGCGCCTAGCAGATGCCGCCTTGATATGCTTGGTGGTGCTTCGGCGGTGACCTCCAAGTCGGCGATGGCATTTTCAACTGAGGCAAATGTTAAGGGATATGACGCTCCATGGGCGCGCAGCATTGCTCGACGTAGCAGCTGAGGTTTGCTCTCAGTTCGGGGCCTTGTGGTTGATAAATGCGTTTCTGCGATATGGGTGGGTTGACGCCTTAACATTGACCGCCCGGATTTGGGCATGCGCGAATGAAACAAGTTGCTAATTTACGCACCTTGCAAAGGTTTTCTGTGGGATGTTCGTTTGTTTATGTCGATTAACTGCTCCGCAGCAGTGGCCGTAAGCAATAGTATAACAAGGAGACATCTTTGACCTCTTGGCAGTAGCACATTCCCTTCCATATCTCGCCACTTAAGCTGTAGTAGCTTATCAAGGGAGGTACTATTGTCTGAAGAAGATGCTAGGCCGGCCCACCCAGAATTATATGGGTCGATACTTGGAGGCAGGCGTGGTTGCGTCGACTTGGCGACTTGTATACGTGTTAAGCGAATGAGTGCATCATGTGCATCGAAGATTATCGATGTATCGCAATCGTAATTGAACAGTCAACCATTCAGACGAATGCGCGAAACATGCCTAGCAGTAGTTGCACGTACGTCAACTGCTGCTACACTCCGCGTGAGCGCGTATGCGTGCTCAAACGTCTGGAATGGTCAAGACGCAGTAAGATTTTTAATTGAGTTTAATCCATTGCCTCCGGTTGCCTCAAAAGCCTGAAAGCTCAACAACCTGTGGAGAGCCGGTCGCTAACTCCCCTTTCAGCCGCACAAGTAAAGGCGCACAATAACAAACAATTCCTATCACATTTTTATAGTCCTACGTAAACATAAAATTGGTCAACTTCCTATTAGGTATTCCTGCAAGCCGTTTGGCGACCCAAATGACCCAAGAACAACAAACACGTCCCTAAAGCACCCACACGCCACACCCCGCCCACCCAAACACCGCCTATGTATCAGCTTCAACGGTATGATGAATCCTACTTTCTGTGGCTGTCTGCTAATTGACTCGTCGCCCAGTTGATGATGTCGACAGAATCCAGCTTGTCCACGTACGCCCGATACACGGAGTAGTCCACGTGCGTAGGAATGGGTGGGGGCCGCCACACTTTGCTGTTCTTGTAAGCGCAGTCGTTCCTGTTGGGGACAGGCAGCGCAAGCGGGAGGTGTCTCGGGGTGTGGGACACAACGAGGCTGCCAGGGGGTGCATGCAAAATGCTGTTGCTGCACGCAAGCCCCCCCCCAGACACCTCCTCCTGCCTAGCTATCCACCTCCCATTCAGCCTCACATGATCAAACCCTTCCTCCATGCACCCGGCAGCCCTTGTTCACCCCAGCATCCCTATCCGCCCCTGCCAGCCCCGGCAAAGGCCCCAGCCCACCCTCAAGCAGCCCCTCGCTCCCACCTCTGCCACGCGCGACGGAACCCGTCCAGCTCCAACTGCTGCTCCAACAACCTCCGACTGCTGCTGCTGCTGCTATTGCTGCTAATCACAGCACCGCCTCCGCCACTCTCACTACCTCCATCGTCGCCTCGGTTCCCAGCCAGGTCATGCCGGCTCTGTTTCTTGCTGTCCTCCCTATCTCCCCGGTCCTGCTGATAACCGTACTCCGCCGGGTGGTGGTCCATGGGTCGGCCCAGCTGTCCCTCCTCCACCAGCTGCAACAGCGCCGGGTGCAGCTTGCTGGCCGTCTTCCGAGCCAAGTCAGCCACACGGACGAAACCCTGCCGTACATACCCCTCAAAGTCCTCCCGTACAAGGAAATGGCGCTCCTTGTGGCGGCGGCGGTCATTATCCTCGCCATCACTCCTTCCGTGCTCCTGCGTACCGGTAAGCTTACGTCGGGCTCCAATAGCTGCTGAGGCGGCCTTAGTGACCGCGTTCCGTACGGCACCGCCGGTAGCGGCTGCAGCCTGCTGTAGCGTGGGAGCTTTTTCTGGGGCGGTGGCGACAGTTGGAATCTTGTTGGGGTTGGGCCCTGGGATGAGGCTGCCCTGGGCGGGGCCGTAGGCGAAGGGCGCGGGGGAGGTGATGGGCTGGGGCGTGTGGGCGATGTAGACGTTATACCTGTGGATGTGATTGATTGGGTGAAGGTAAGGAGAGGTTTTTGGTGAAGGGAGCGGCAGAGTTGAGGCAAAGAGCATGGGATGCATGGGAGTGCAAAGGAGGAAGTAAGTGAGGTTATGCCCTATGGCTTGCACCATCTGTGGCTGTTGGAAGCCTGGCTGACTCAGCAGCTCACTTGTACGTGCATGGTAGCTACGGATTGGGTGTCAAAAACCATACACCCCTCACCCTCAGTTGGGAAGAATACCGGGCATGCAGGCGGCCACACGTCATTAATGCCCCCTCATCCCCATATTGACTAGGCGTGCAATCAAGGGCGGCAATGATGCGGCACACCACCCTACCCGTCGTAGTCCCCTGTGAAGTTGGCGGCCGCGTTCCAGAACAGCGCTCCCGCCAGCGGGCCCCCGCGTTTGGCGCTGTCGATCAGCTGCTCAAAGGCAATCTAGGTGGGGGGCATGGGTGGCGCGTGCGGGTTGGGGCATGCAGTGGGACAAGGGTTTGCTGGAAAGCGGCAGGAAACACACCAAAGGAGGTGCATATGAACGTGCAGCTTCCCTTATGTAGGCATGTGTGCTGTTCCCGTAATGCCTCATTATCCTCCAACCTGCCCCGGGTTTAAGTCCCTGGAACAGGATGTGTTGAGGGCAGTGCGGCATGGTACGGCATGTGTCGAGCGTTGTAACGGCTATTGGTACGGTTGCTGTACCTGCAGCAAGATGCGCCTGTCGTACTCCCACATGCGCCTGGAGGGGCGATATAGGGATGACAGGCAGGTGGGTAGGGGAGGGTTACCGTACATGGATGCGATGGAGGAGAGGGGCAGCGCCTCCACGAAACACCCGACCTAGCCTAACCAAGCCCCATGCTGCCATGCATCTCCCACCCTCATCTCACGTATCGGTGGTGGTTACCGTACTAACCAACACTCAGTATTGTGGCACCCTGCCGCCTCCTATCCCCTTTGCTTTTCCCCAACCTGCTTTGGCTTCCTATGGTGGGTATCTGGTCTGCTCCGTCCCCATCCGCTGCTGAGTCAATCTATCTACCGGTATTCACCGCCGCGGGGCGCCATCCCACCCACCACCAGGTCAGCCCGAACTCCTCCAGCAGCAGCGGCTTGCCGATTCGCTCCATCATCTGCTCGTGCGCCTCCACGTAGCGGGTGAACCTGTGTGCCCGGCGGGTGGGGGTGAGGGGTGGGGTGGGGGGGTTGCAGGGGTTTGTGCGCGTGGTACCATACCCAACGCCAGCAGACAGTGTCGTACTCACCAGTTGATGTAGCATCGGAAGTCGCACTTGACCCAGACCGGGTCATTGCGTTTGGGGTCGGGATTGAAAGGCAGCTCCTCAACCTGGATGGGAGTTGAAGGGGAGTTGGAGCTTTCCACAGCCAGCAGCAGACCGGTGCAGCCACATGGGTTTATTAACCTTGTCACACACAGGATGCATGCATGCCATAGACAGCAACCGTTGCATTGTCGCACTGCCGCAAAACTCCACGGCAGAGGGCGAGAGCCGTACATACCTGGCGCTCGTACACATGAATGCAAGCGAAGTCGTGTTCCTTCATTGACACTGTGGCAATCCAGTCCTCACCTGTTCGCATAAGGAGGCGGTCAGGAGGCGGGAACGGACTGTGGTCTCTTCACGACAGTTAGCGTGGATGTGTTGGGATCCTGTCCCAACCGCCGTTGTTAGCATCAACACCGGAGCTCGCTTGCAAGCTGTTTTCCGTAGCATCACACGGCAGTGGTAACGTACCCGTTCTCATCCAAGCCTGTTCTCATCCCAAGTTCCCAACCCAAGGGAGGCCCCTTGCGCGCTGCCATATCGCCGTACTGTACGGCAGCGGATGATGACTCACGCACTCACCCTCACACTGCGAGCCAGCTCCGGGGTTGAGCAGGTGCAGATTGGTCTGTGTGTCAGGCATGAAGTACCCCTCGCTACCCTGGGGGGGGAGGGAGGTCAGGAAAGCAGGCAACGGTGATATAGGGGTGGGAACAGGAAGGGGTGCGAATGTTTGATAGGGCGACGTGCGTGGCAATCAAGGGTAGGTTTCTAGGATGTAATGCGCGGGTGTACGGCGTCAGGGACATCCTAGTCACGCACATGACGTCGTATTGCGGTGCGCATCTGCGCAAGCTGCTTGGCAGTGTGCTTGGCAATATGCATGCTGCACGTGCTATGCATGTGCATATGCAGCACAGTACGGCAAGTGTCGTACCTGTGTAATGAGATGGTGGGGGTCGATGGATCTCAAGTAGGCTGCCATCTCGCGCAGCCAGCCAAGCTTCACCGCCATCTCCGACGGATTGCAGCCTGAAACCGTGAAAAGGGAATAATGCAAAGCATTGGCGTAATAAGGCAAGGCAGGGCAAGGCAAGACAAGGGTCATCACATGGGCATCGTGCCTTTTGTGCCTGTCGTCCGATGGGGTGTGTGTTCACTTGCGAGTGGTGGAAGCGCATGTGGTACTGCTGGAACCAACGAAGCATAGCAACACCCAACCGCCGACCAATCTACCACCCCGCTGGCTTAACTAGGCCCTCCGAGCCACACACACACACCAGCACTGTGGCGCTTTCGGTGGGAGGACTCCATCTTTCGGCAATCACAGTACGTTTCGCCTCGCGGCCAGTTATTTTAACACACACCAGCACCAACACAGTTATGTTCCTACTCGCGGCCAGTTTTCTTAACACACCAGCACCAACAACAGCTCATCCAAGCGCCACACAGCCACCCTGCTCCCAGCGAGCATTCCAAGCATCTTCCTGCTCCTACCTAGCAATATGTCGCAACAACCCCGTGCATTCCCACCCAGCCCACCCTGCCTGCCTGCCTGCCTCCCAGGTCCCAGCCCCGCACCTGGGCAGCGCGGCTCGTTCATGACGTCCCAGCCCAGAATGGTGGGGTCGTCCCGATAGCGCACTCCGCTGTAGGCGTTCACACGGTTGACCACAGTGTCGAAGTGCCGCTTCACAAGTTCGCGTGTGGAGCGGTCGGCGTAGTAGTCGTACACCGTCTTACCCTCTGCGTACGTGCATGGGCGGATGGGCACATCATGGTATTAGAGCGGTGATGATTGATGAGGTGTAAGGGGGTGCCGTCTGCCGTGCCATCAAAGAGGCATGCAGGAGCCGGTGAGAGGTGGAAGCGTCATGTCAGGAGTTGTGCACGGTCATCTTGCCGTCTGCATGCAGCGGCGCAGGCGTAGGAAATCTAGAATTGGATGTGAAGTAGATGGGTGTCGACGGGAACTGAGGAGTCGGCCATGAAGTTGCTGTCGCTTCCCGCCGGCCCCAGAACCCCGTGCACATGCATGCCCCTCCCCCGCCCCTTCCCCCACCTTTCCCGCCGCCTAGCTGACCCCTCCTCCCCCCCCACCTGAGCTGCCGGTGGCCATGTACAGAAAGTGCTCGGGGCCGCGGTACTGCGGCCACAGGTTGGTGAGCGCCAGGATGACGCGGATGCCGTACTTGGAGGCCAGGTACAGCGAGTAGTCCAAACCCAGGAACTGCATGCGGGGTGGTGAGGAGGAGGTAGGTGTCTGGGTGGGTGTTTGAGCCACATGTGTTAGTGAGGCTATGTGGCTTACACCTAGCTGCGTAGCTATGTTCGTGTTAATGTCGGTTTATGTACTGTGCAGGTCAGCAGCAGCGCCCTTACACGTGCGTGCACGCATCGCCTCCCTCCCTCCCTGCTGCGCTCCTTCCACCCCACATGCCTTGTCAATCTCCTTAATTATGCCTCCACCTAGCCCACACCTGATCTGGCCCCATGCGGCTACCATAGTCAGTGCCTTCCTCTTCCTCACCCACCTGGTCCTCATCGTACTCCCCGGGGTTGAGCGGCAGACCGCGGTTGAACGCCCACCAGCGCCCCACTCGCATACCCAGCCGCTTGGCGGACTGCATGAAGAAGGCAGCCTGCGTGCGGCCCCACTCGTGCTCGTAGTTGGCAAGGTTGGGCAGCCAGTGCGCGTTGAAGCCGATGAAGTAGAAGGGCTTGCCGTCCTCCAGGAACTGGGTGCCGCGACTGATAGGGGTAGAAGAGGTAGGACGCCAGTGGGTGCATGCAGGCAGGCATGTGATGGGAGTGTGAAGGAATGTCCATTACAAGGGTTCCAAGAAGGATGAGATGCCCCCCATGCTGATACCCTGAGGCTATGCCCCGTGCAGCCATGCCATTCCCTGTTGTTGTCGGTATTCCGTACTGTGCCCCGTTCCCAGCCTTTCCCTGATTGGCTAGCTCGCGACCCACATGGTTATGAAGGCAGATGCGGGCGCCTTGGGTGCTTCGGGCACTACAGCAGGCGGTCGGAGCAAGATGACGTCGGGTGCATCCTCGGCGGTTGTAGTCTTTGTGTATTGACCGCTAACCGCACCACCACCGGCTGCGGCTTTGCTGGCCAACACCATGCGTGTGCCCAGTCCTGGCAACCCGCCTGACAGCACTACTAGCAGCAGCAGCGTCGGTAGGAATGCCGGGAGAAACGCCCTGCTGCTTGCAGATGAAGGAGATGGTGATGAGGGCACTGCCGTACGGCACTTACGGCCGGAGTACGACATTTTGGATCTTGGGTCGGGGCTAGTTGGGGCTGGCAGGAGAGCTGCTTCGATGTGAGGGGAAAAGGAAGGGGATGACGGCTGCTGCTTGTGCTGGTGCGGGCGCGGTGGCAGATGGGGAATCACAGCGGAAGTGGCACAATGCTTGCTGCTGCTGCTGCTTTCAGCCCCGAGGCTGCCGTATTGTGCTGCTTGGTGGACTGTACCGCAGCAGCGGCCCTGCTTCGGCCTCCCGTTCCTCCTTCGGTCGGCCTGACGCTTGAACTGGTTAAATCACCGTTACAGTGATCTCAAAGTCGAAGGCATGGGAAAGCGGAGCGTGTAGATAACCCTGCAGCGGCGATCTCGCTCCCGAGGACAAAGCCGAGCTTCTTGGTTTGATTACCGGTGTGGCGCTGAGTACTAGCTGGGGCCTTTTGCTTGGGAGCTGTGGCACGTAAGCTGCTGACTACGGAGAGAAGGCGGATCTGGCCAGCATTTTAACTGTGGCGCAACGTGCCTATGTATGTGTTAGATGTATGTTAGCTTTGTGTACCGACTCTGTGTAAGACCCCGAAGAGACGGTGGCAGACGCAGTCGTTAGATAGGACTTTGGAGGCGGCAGTTTGAGAGGGCGGTACGACAATGGACTCGTTACAGCTACCGAGGGTTGCGCGGACTGTACTTTTGATGGATCAGCATGCATGCAGAGGAAGGATGTAAGCACTGCGGAATAACGCGTAGTGCAGGTGCGGGTGCGGGTGTTGTGAAAGCAGTTGAGGGCACGCACGTGACGGGTGGTTGAATGAATGACCGTTACCGGCTGGTTAATTTGACAGGTAGACTCGCGATCTTGCATGCACGACGCGTGTAAGGGCCGTATGCATGGATGCTACTGAAGTTCTGCAGTCACTGAAGGTCTAAAGCTGCGAAGCAGGAAGATATGGCAATGACCAGTAGTGGCGCAAGGATTAAAAAAGTTAGTCATCTCCGCCAGCGGTTGCTTTGGCTTGCAGCATGCTACCCTACATTCTAGGATAATAAAACGCGCATGGCATAGCGCCGGAATTGCTGTGATGAATGACAGCGTGCATGTGTGACCAGTGAATAGCCTCTGGGCCGCTTTTCGTGTGCACGTGTTAGTTGCAACGCCGCCGTGAAAGGAACTTACTTGCCATTTTACCTGCGACTGCTGTTGCTTGCCTCAGGGAAAAGCGTAATATTAGTAATCTGTCCATTAGGTGCAGTTGAGTTCTGATATACGGTAACGTTCGCAAGTCGAAAGGCCGAACCTGGTCAGACCTGATTTGGAAGGAAGGTGGCCCCGGCGTCCCACCTCGGGCCGCGTTGGACTGTTTCAGTCGTAGAAAGCACTACTAGCTGGAGCTGAATCCGCTGTCTGCCGCAAGCTAGGGGCACAGCTTCTCCCATCCGACTCTTTTTTTCGTTCACCCCTTCGCACTTATTCGTACCGGAAAAAAACAAGAAGCTGCAGGAGGTGTGGGAAGGCCCCAGCCACTTTAGCTGGCCACCTATAAAGCATGCCTAGTTTGCTTTCCTGAACAACACAAGCTGAACAAGATATATACACTGTGGCTTGCTACGCCTCTCCGCCCATAAACTTTATATAGTTATCTCTGCGCACAACATTTAAAAACAAAGCTGACCACACCTTGTGACCAGCAGCTTCCTCCTTCCTCGCCCTCATCATGCGCTCTTCGCTTCCCTCGCCGCTGCTGCTAGCAGCGACGCTGCTAGCTTTCCTCCTCAGCTCTCCCGTATCTACGCACGCTCGCCATCGCCAGTCCTCTTTCGACGACGACGACTCCACAATCACAACCATCACGTGCCCTCCGCCCGGCTTCTCGGCTGTCCCCAAGCTCAACCTCACGGCCTACACCTCCGCGCCCTGGTACGCCCAACGCCAAGCGCCCATCAGCTACCAAGGCGAAGACCCTCTCCAGTTCCTGTACTGCGTTCGCGCGGAGTACGTACCGGTAAACGACCCACGGGTCAACGGACCGCGCCGAAACAGCGACGATGATGACAACGATAACGGCAACGACAGTGGAGACGAGTACTACGATGAACAGCAGGACAAGGGCGGAGCTGTGACGGGCGGAAATTTGGGGCGTTACGGCGTGCCCGTTTACTCGGTACTTAACTACGCCAACCGAGGCAGGGTGAGTTAAGAAACGAAAGAACAGAAAACTAGAGGTGCGGGCAGGTTAGGGGCGAGCATGGCTAACGGAGGGTTCCGGTCCTCAAAAGGGGGAGGGATAATGGGGCCAAGAAAACTCCGTCACTACCGCTGCCATGCCATGCAATGCAACTCAATTGATGCAAGTACAAGTATACACCCATGTCGCCCTTTCCTCCCCCTCCCGTCCACTTGACTGACCCATGGGTCACCCCAGGTGAACGGTCCCGTGGTGGCTACCGGCCCCGCTGCGCTGCTGTCCGGCCGCAACGGCGAGACGCGGGGCGCCCCGCTGGCCCCCGCGGAACTGGTGGCGGTGCCCGACCCCGCCGCCGCCGACACCCCCACCGCCAAGTCTCGACTGCTGGTGCGTCAAGTGTGTCGTTGTTAAGTATGGTTGTAGGAATGTGGCAGGGGCTGGCTAGGGGTCGTTGCTATCGCTTAACTTTAATAGAATATCAGCACAATTCCAAAGAAGCCCTATAGCCGCATGAAGGAAGGAGCGGGGTAGGTGTCTCAACACGTGTCGGGGTCGTACTGGGGTTGGGCGGACACCGGTACCGACACTCACCTGCCTCTCCCTCCGGCCTTCCCCTGCCCCCCTCCCTCCTGCCTCCCTCCCTCCTGCCCTCCCTCCTGCCCTCCCTCCTGCCCTCCCCCCTCCCCCCCCCTCCTGTCGCCTCCCTCCCTCCCTGCTGCCCAGGTGGGTCCCCGCGACAACCTGCCCGGCCTGCTGAACTTCGGTTGGCGGGTGGGGTGGGGGCAGTACTGGGTGGTGGCGGTGATGCCGTCAAATGACTCCAAACTGGGTGAGCGGGGCGGGAAGGAGGCGGGAGGGAGGCCGGGAACGGGGGGGCGAGAGGGGTAAAGAGGGCGCGAGGGGGGGGAGCGAGAGCGCTGGGTAAGGGGCTGGGGAGGGCGCGGGGGAGTATCGGTAATGAGAAGAGGAGGAGGGCGGAATGGGGTATGGGGCCTGGATGCCGGCGCTGGCATGAGCGAGGTTGAGGACGCAACATGCGTGGACCGCGACATCTGTAGCGTGTCCTTACTTGAACCGGCATGGGATCATGTCTGCATGACATGACATGCAACCTGCTGTCCTCTGCCTCTGCAGCGCCCGCACCCCCTTCTCACTCCCTCGTGTTTCGCACCACCACCCTCCACAGCTTAACAAGCTTCACCTCACCCCCTCCCAACCCCAACCAACCCCACACGCAGGCTACGATTGGGCCATCGTCAGCGGCGGCGCCCCCGAGTTCGCCACCGCCAAGGGCTGTGTCAACGACGCGCCGCCTCTCATCGACACCGGCCTCAACTTCGCGTCTAGCTTCTTCTCCTGGGTGAACTTCAACATCCGCACCAAGGCCCAGCGTGTCGCATCCATCACCGGCGGCTCCTCCAGCGGCCTCTGGTTCCTGTCTCGCCAGCCCGTGGACCCCCAGGCCACCAAGGAGATGGAACGTACGGCACGCGATCTGGGTTTTGACACGAGCGTCATGGTGGATGTGGAGCAGGAGGGTTGCAAGTACGGGGGTGCACCCTCGCCACTGGAGGAGAAGCAGGAGGAGGAGCAGGAGAAGATGCCGCGACGGATGCCTGCACCCGTGCCGCCGCCGACCAGGCTGCAGCCCAAGCCGGCGCCACCGGCTTCTTCAGCGCAGCAGCAGCAGCAGCGCCCGAGGGCGAACATTACGGTGCTGCCGCCGGAGCCTGCTGAGGAGGCGGCGCCGCCTCCGCCGCCTGCCGCGCCTATCCAGACAGTGCAGGTGCGGCCGCGGCCGCGTCCTGCTGAGGGCGGGGCGCCCGGTGCGCCTTGAGGGAGGGGGAGGGAGGGAGAGGAGGGGTCTGCGGGTAGGATGGATGGGAAGGGAGGGGAGGTAGTGGGGTGAGGGCTTGCGGGGGGATGGGTTGAGGAGCTGGGAGTTGGTGGGAGTTGGGGAGGTAGGAAGGTTGGTGCGTGATGGTAGGTGAGGCTGTTGTTGCGCGTTGGATGCAGCAAGCCAACATGTAAATGGAGAAACTGTTTAGAAGCTACTTAGGAACATGGGTCCATATTCGTTGTACAGGCTGCAGAGCATACCGGGGCATGACCTACCGCATAGCCCAACTCTTTCCTCTCGTTTGCGTTGTACCACCTTTGAAATCGAGTGAAGTTGCGATGCTGACCTGCATTGGTGCTGTGTCCTTGGCTTTTTGGCGGAAGGAAAATATGTCGCCTGCGTAGCGGGCCTACGTAAGCCTTACGTACTTGGCATGAATAAGGGGCGTCCTGGGGTGGGCTGCCTTGCATGTTTCGGTGTTCTTTCCTGGCGCCACTGGTTATTGGCGTTGACCGGGGAGCATGGTTGAGCGCCGGAACGTCTGGTCACTGTAGATGGTTGAAAGTTCGGTTTGTAAGCTAACGTTGGTGAGCAATCACGTGTCCATGCATGGGGCATGTGTGAGGATGCAATGCAGCCCTGCGGCAACAACCTGAGTTGTAGCCTCACAGTACGGCCGGATTGACATGGAAGGGAGCACATGGAAGGGAGCATGGAAGGAGTAAGATGCAGTGCCCATGCATGGATGGTGTCTTTATAAAGAAGCATGACAGGTGCACCAGGGCAGAACCGGCCCAGCCGGTGTCCCAGAAGTACCGGTAAGCATATCCGAGGCTGTGAGATGAACAACGGGAAGCAAAGAAAAACATCAGATGGCAGACGGTGAGCGCCGAATAATCTGCTAAATTTCTGCCAAAGACGTGAGGGATGACGAGTCGTACCTGGCAGTCGGGAACCTTGTTCATACTACACAGCAAGGTAAAAGCAGAAGTCTTATAAACCTAAGCATTACAAGCGACTGTTGATTTAGACAGTTCGAAACGCTGGTCACTATGCACAACTCTTGCCTCCATGCCTTTGTCATGGATGCGGCAACCGACGGTATCGCGTTAAGCGCACAGGCATTGCTGTGAAAATTAAACGTTGATGGTAAAAACAGCGGCATACCTGAGCTCGGCACTGTGGCGGTCAGCTAAGCGCCTCCAACGTCGTCCTCCACGCAGCGCCGGAGCCACCATGGGTTGGATACCGGTAAGGTTAGCTTCCAGCTGGTTTTGTTGTTTTACTGCATCGTCACCTAGGACTGCCGGGCATGGGCTCTATGGGCGCCGCCTTCAGCCGCGACTAGGGCTTGCATTGCTTCCGCCGCGCCGTGGTAGCCAAGCGCTTTAATGCTGCCAAGAGTGAGTCCCACAGTTTGTTACGCGATTTAATCATTACTTTGTAATCCTTATCTTAAGTTTCAGGCATGTGTAGTAGGTGTTCTTCCGCCCGACTGCAGTCGCCGTCGCTGCCAGGAATGACGCGGGGGCCACCTCCTTTTCCCCCGGTGCAGATGTCAGCGCCTGAGTTGCAGACGGAGTTGTGGACGGTAGCAAATTCAGGTGAATTGACTAAGCGGAACGCCTACCTGTGCCAGCCATGTATGCATGTCACCGAAGTCGAGGATTGCGTGTCCACTCCTCATGCCCCATAACATGCACCGCATGTATAACGTAGTATGCCGTGCATCAGCATGAGCGCTTGGAGATGCCGGAGGTGCCCTCGAGGAGAACGTTGGCACGGTTTGCGCTCCTGTGATATGGGTTTACCTGTGGCGGCAAAGGTCTACAAGGGGACGTAGTGGTCTGCATATGTCTGCGAAGGTCTGCACGTCCCGTATGTATGTGCAAATAGCTGTGGTACCGCTTTGTGCATGTGCATGCTGCCATGCCTTTTGTGGGTTTTCACACAGTGACCGTGTGTGTGGGGATGGGCATGGGGTATGGGGTAAGCGGCAAGAGCGTCTGGCGATGTGTGTGCTTTTAGCTTTCGGGGGCCTTACGAGTATCCTTTTCGCGGCTATGAAACATTCCTTTACCATGAATGTCATCAGGGAGTTTGGTCTAGTGGTATGATTCTCGCTTAGGGTGCGAGAGGTCGTGGGTTCAATTCCCGCAACTCCCCTTGGGAACTTGGTCTAGTGGTATGATTCTCGCTTCGGGTGCGAGAGGTCACGGGTTCGATTCCCGTAGTTCCCCTTTTGCTGCTTTCCATGGTGCTCTCGCGGCCTTGTTGGGAAGTTTGGCCGTGGGACAAGGCGTTCCCACATCTTGGTCATGTGGGGGACGTTTTGCCCCATCCCCCATGTATCCCATCTTCAGCGCACGCATGTATTTATATTTGGCCTCTTGTTGGTGCGGCGGTAAGGCAGTCTGAGGCGTTCATACCCTCGGTCATTACTGGACATCAGTACATACATACCGGTAGCTACAGGGGATGATTTGCGTTCATTGTACGTACGGATGTCTTTGGGACGACGGCCTATGGCAATGGGCATGGCGTGGCTATTATAGGCGTGTGTGTTTTGTGGTGTTATACCCTGCCGCCAGACGTTTCGTCCCTGCCCTGCTTACATAACACCACTGCCTTCAGACGTTTCATCCCTGCCCTGCTTACATAACACCACTGCCTCCAGACGTTTCATCCCTGCCCTGATCAGTATTGACGCTGAGGGGCCTACAAGGATTGCCTTACATAAGAAGACCTGAGCATTAATTGTCATCTGGGAGTTTGGTCTAGTGGTATGATTCTCGCTTTGGGTGCGAGAGGTCGCGGGTTCGATTCCCGCAACTCCCCTTTTGCCGCTGGGCTTTGGCTCGCATTTTGGCTTGCTCACTGCAGCCTGTGTCGATGGCATCTGGGGTGTCTGGAGCTGAGAGGTATTTTGGAACATTCGGTACATATATGTTCACCGTGACGTGCGACCACTGACTTGCATTGACTGTCATTGACTCTGGCGAATAATATGCCCTTGTGTGGTATTTGCCGGCGGGCAGACGTGTTTGTAATTGCTGCTTGTTGTAACAGTGCAGTTATGGTGGCTTCATGATGGCTTTGGTTGCCTGAACGTTCCAAGCGGGGCGTCATGTCCAAATGCATGGGCCATGTTGGTCTGTGTGCTGAACGGCTGGGGGAATGAGTTGTGTAGGCAGCGATTTGCCGACTAATTATTGGATAATAAAGTAGCCGTGTGCGATAAGCCATACAGGTACATTGTTTATTTGTTTTGCTGCAACGCGAAGCTGCCGGTACCGGTATGTCAAACCCTCCTCCTGCTGGACACCTGTCGCCCTTTCACTGCATGTCACATTACCACCCTGCTTGACGAACAAAGGGAATCGACCCGTGTGCAGCCAACGCCGAAGTCAAAGTTCACAGCACCAGCCAGCACAGCAAATTTCCCGCACGCTTAGGGTTGGCAAAAGGCCGTACCGGTATGTGCACTCCCAGCCAGCGTGTCGCGCATGCATGCTCTGCCGTAGAGGAAAGAGATCCGAAACTGCTGCAAAGCCGCATGGATTGGGTAGGTAGGCGGTAGCGGGGCTGGAGCGGTTTGAGCTGAGCGGGGGTGGGGGCCTGGGGGGCCTTGCAGGAGTGAGTGTGGCACGGGGACAGACGTCTGGACGACGGGGCTTATTTACACCGGCCACGTGCACAAGTTGTTAAGTGTACACAGCTTCGCACGCAACCACCTCCCCTTTCCTTGCAAGCAGCCCCACTCACGCCCCTCGCCCACATCCACATCAACCCACAGCCGCCTCGCACCCTTCCTCCCTCGCCCACCTCCGCATCCCCCACCCCTCTGCTAATCCATCCCCCCATCTCCCCTTTCCCATCCTAATCATTATAGTTATCCAAACCCAAATCCCGCAGCGCCGCCGCGCCCACATCCCGGCACGCCGCGGGGTGCGCCACCTTGGCCGCCCGCAGCAGCCCCTCCACGCCTCGCTCCAGGAAGGGAGGCCGCAGCTCGGGGTTGCGTGCCGCCATGACCCGCACCAGCAGACACGCCTGCCGCTGCACGGGCGCGCGGGCGGGGTGGCGCTGCATGGCCTCCACCACCGTGTCGATCACACCCGCCTCCGCGGCCTGGCTGCAGATCTGTATGTGGGAGGTGCGGCGGGAGGGAAGGGGGGAGCATGGGAACATGTCATTGGTTTGAGAGAGGAGCTAAGCAGGAAGGGAGGCACTCAGGTGGGCTGGCGAGGAGAAAGAGGATGACGGGAGCCGTGAGTCGCGACACAAAAGCCACTATCGCTCACGTGTATTCACCGCACGCTTCTTCCTCTCCTTCCTTACCCTCCCCTCCCCACTACCATCAATCCACGCATAATCACCCCTCGTCACCCATCCGCACAACCCCTTCCCCACCTCCGGCTGCCTCAGCATCATATTGCCCAGCAGCCCCAGCGCGCCCTCCGCCACGTCATCCGCACCCGCGTGCAGATCCACGCAGCGTACGGCAAGCGGTACGGCGCCTGCCGCCGCCAGCAGCCGCTTCACGGTGTCGCTGTGCGCCAGCTGACGCAGGGCGCCCAGACAGGCGCGGCAGACGTCTCGCTGGGCCGCACACTCGCTGGGTGGAAAAAACGAGGGAGCGGAGGGAGGAGAGGGAGGGAAGGAGGAAGGAAGGAGGGAGGGAAAGGATAAGGGAAGGGGAATGTGGGGAACGTGAGAAACGTGAAGAGAGGTTGCGCACTGAGGAGTGTTGAGGGGATGCTGGCGAGTTTCCGCAACGGTGGCAAGCCTCCGTCCATGCAATGCTTACACCCAGAAGGCCCCCTCCGCACCACCCCATGCATCCAGGCCCCCCCACCCCGGACCACCCCATGCATCCAGCCCCCCAGCCCACCTGAGCACTTGCAGGCACGCCATCACGCCGCCATCGTCCGTGAACTCCCGGCAGATCTCCTCGTTGGCTGCAACCTGGGGCGAGGCAGGGAGGGAGGCGGGTGTGAGAGGCGGGTGAGAGAGAGGCGGGTGAGGGAGGCATGCATGGGACGAGAGGGGGTGAGGAAGGCTCTCAAAGCAGCATCTTGGCACCCACACACGCTTCACCCCCACACACCCCCACCCATCCCTCCTCAACCAACACTCCTTCAACCGCCCCCTCTCCCTCCCTCTCCCTCCCGCTCGCCCACCTGCCGTACAGTGCCCAGCACACGGCACGCCGTCGCCGGCTCCTGCGCCGCCGGCACCCGCCGCAGCACCCCCAGCAGTACCCGGATGGCGCCGTGGCTCTTCGCCAGCACACGCGCATGCATGAAGGCCTTGCTGGCGGGCGGCCGCTCGTCATCCGCAGTCGTCACGGCTCGCAGCACCCCGCATGCAGCGCCAACCAACTCCAACGGAACAGCTCCCGCTGCTGTTGCCGCTGCTGCTGTCGCCTCTTGGGGCGGCTGCTCTGCCCCTGTCCCTGCTGCCCCTGACCCCTCGGTTGAGGCAGTTGAGGCGGCGGCGGCGGGGGGGGTCCCGGGAGCTTGCAGCAGCTCTAGTAAGGTGGCTACCAGCCCGCTATCCACAAGGCGGCACTTGGTTTCCTCCACGCCGCGAGCGGCCGCCTCCGCAACTGCGGCCGCTGCGGCCTTGACGTGCGTGCTGCTGGCGTCGCTGCGGAGCAGGTCGTGCAGCAGCTCCACACCCTGGGGGTGGTCCGGTCACCGGGGGTGGAGGGGGTTAGCGGTGAGGTTGCGGAGGGCAGGAGAAGGGGGCGGTGGTGGTGGTTGGGTGTGGTGTGGGGACAGGGGACAAGTGGAGCGGGCAGTGCGCAGGACATGGTCTACTATGGCATGCGATGCGGCCCCGCACGACACAAGCACCTTCCGCTTGCCCTCTCAGACATTCCGGCTCACCTGAGCCCGCCCTCCACCTCACCTGCGCCTCCGTGAAGGCATCCCGCGTCTCCAACCAGCCCAGCAGCACCTGCAGCAGCCCCAGCGCCTGCGGGGCAGCACCCACACCCCCGCGCGTTAGTTGCTTCGCCAGCTTCCTTGTTTGGTTTATTCGTACCCCCGCATGGTAGGGCGCCCCACGGAGCCAACAGGTGCATCCACGGCAGCGATGGATTTGAAGAGGAGGCTGGAAAGCGCACCCATCAGACCATGGATCAGGATATGTACTGCATTGGCCCAGAGCTGTGAAGCTTCCCGCTCTTCTTTCACCACCAGACTACCAGTTGCTTCCCACTCCTCTTCTCACGCTCACACACCTTTAGCAACTGGTCCGGTTGGCTCTGCAGCCGGCGACACGCCTCCAGCAGTGACTGCATGGAGGCCCCCTTGTGCGCAATCACGTACTGCTCCTGGCTTAGAACCAGTGGGGGTGTCGTACCGGTTGTCGTACTGGACGCGGCGGTGCCGGTGTCGGTGTCGGAGGGTTGTGATGTGGATGCCTGCGTGGGTGTATGTGCAGGGGAGAGGGGCGCCGGGGGACGTGTGGCATGGCAGGGAGCGAGGGCCGTGAGACCTCAAGGGAGGGCAACATTGAGGTGGGTTAGGCTGGTGTGGGTCAGATCTCATGTGTGGCGGTGGTGGTCGTGACCTGGATTGGTTAAGAGCGAACATCCAAACCTGACATGCGGTCGTGACATGCAAAAGAGGGGCACCACCACCACAGATCAGCTCTGACCAGGCAGAAGGAGAGGGCAACTATCGCACCAGATGGCAGCATGCGTCACTCGAAGGCAAGGAACTCCCCAACCAGCAAGGCATGGGGCATTGGGCACCGTACCCCTGTATGCTGCAGCCCCTGTGATCACCTGGAGGCTTGCGGCGAATGCTTCCAGGGCTTCCGGCAGCGACCCTTCCCCGCCACATGCCTCACGTAAGCCTTGAGCGGCCACAGCAATGGGATGGCTGCGAAGGAACGACGAGGTCGACGTTAGGGCCGTAACAAACGAGGGCGGTGACATTTATGACCAGTATGCGTACGACCGTCCTGATGCAGCAAATCTGGTGCACACGGCTGGTGCTGGGGTCTAAGGGCGTCGGTCCCCTTGGTGGCTGATCTGGAATGAGATGCCCGCGGCCCGCACGCACCTTTGCAACTCTTCCCCTGCCAGGTTTGTCACCACGCCGCTTAGGTCATATCCTTGTAGCTCGAACTCTTTTATTGCGTTACTGATAGCCTCTTCACGCTGTCGGAGTGCGGGACATTGAGGATGTTATAAGTCTTACTCACCCAGGGGTCGCAGCTCGCAGGTTCCCGCAATGCAAGTACAGATTAGTTACCGGCATATCGAAATCTTCAATGTTTGACGCCACGGCTTCATCGAAAGCCTCCTGCACTGGGCCGCGGGGCGCAGCGTCAGGGTGATCTCGCGGGCTAGGCAAAAGCGCGCGAACAACAATGGCAGCGCACCACTTAGCAAGGTCTAAATCAGTGCCTACCTGCGTCAACTTCGGTTTTGCTTTTGGCCAAGCTTGAGCCATCCTGTTAAGTTGAACTACAATGCACTCAGAAGTGGTAGCACAGCAGCCAGCGGTGTTTGAGTAGCGACCCTTTTCATAGGATACAGTATGTGACTTGTCGCCTTTACATATTCGCAGGTGTACGAAACAACGTTAACGCATAACCTGAAAAACGAATAAAAGCAACCTCCATGCAATCCCTAGGGCTACATCCGTTTCACGCGGAGTTCCACAGTCATAGGATATAAAGCTCAGTAAGCTTAGTACGCCTGCTCGCTGGCAGGTCCGCAGTTCCTGCGGCCAGGCCTTCGACAGTAACTGACCACATTTATCAAGAAGGCTCCGCTGATCTTTCTCAAGCGAGCAAGCATACCTATATTGAGACTCGTAAGGATTCTTCGGAATCTGCAAGGATGGGAGGCCAAATCATTGGTAGGTGTTGTAATCTTTTGGCCATCTGTGCTCTCCAGCCGCTGACGTGGGTGATTGAGTAGTTGTGGGATTTCCTTGGTTGGTATAGCAGCGCGTTATCCGTGGCTGCTTGCGACGCCTTTGCCAGGATTTCAACGCTCCGCCTTTGCTCACATTCTGCATGTTACGTCGAACGGGTTCGCTATAGGTCTCATTAGTCTAGTATCAAAGGCTGAGATGCCCTGCAACAATGAGTTGCCCTTCCCATCCAAGGGTTCCCATGCACAAGCGCTACCTAACAGTGTTGAGCTGCTCGCTTGTCTGCGATAGCCGAATGGAACTCAAATATAACACAGGCTATATCCGCCATCCCGACCCGCTTTTCGTCCCTCTCCCACCCTGCTTCCCCAGTCCACCCCATGTTCGTGCACACGCTGCACGCCGGCCCCGAGGTACGCACGCTGGAGGAGGTGCCGCAAGACGTGCTGGAGCTCATCGCATCACGTGTACGTACGGCACAGGAGCTGTGCGTGCTGCAGTGCGTCAGCAAGCGCTGCAGGTAGAGGGGGGAAAGCCGGGTGGTGGGGGGCCTCCTTGCGCGGTGGAGGTTGAAGGGGGAGCAGGCCATTGTTTTCGCACCTACGACCTATAATTACCGTGCTACCACCGTCTGCTGCTGCTGTTGCTACTAGTGCTTGCGATGTTGAAGTTATATAGGGTTGCCGCTCTGCTTTTCCTGTCGTTCAAAGGGGCTTTAGCTTGGCAACAGCGTTGGCTGTTGTCTCTGTGCTGGCCCGTCATGAACTCATGATGACCCCGCCCTGCCATGATGTCATCTGCGCCACCCCGCAACCGCGCCGCCCTTCTTCCTCTTTGCCCAGGGAGGCTGCCAGCGCGGACGAGCTGTGGAAGCGGCTGTGCATGACGCGCTTCGCAGTGCCGAGCAGCTGCTCGCCGCCCTCCTGGCAGCAGCTGTACAGGTGAGGACCGAGGGCTGGAGAGAGTGTTGGGAGCCACTAGGGAGGAGTGGGATGGTAGCTTGGCAGTCTTACGGTTGCATCTTATTTCTCATATATAGACCGAACCATGTGTTGCAAAAATCACGGCACCGCGTACCGGTACATGGGGTGTACCCCACCGATTCTGACGCTTTGCACGCCTCCGAACCCTTTGAGAGGCATTTTCCTTCTCCGTCTAACTAGATGCCACGCCCAATTGTGTTCCCCTCTGTCTGCAAGGTTTAACTACGAGTTCCTGTACAAGGTGCTCCTGTCTCGCAGCTCGGAGCAGCTCTCCTCCGGCTTCTCGCGCTCCGGCTCGCGCTTCGTGGGTATCGGCATCGCCATTAATGCCTAGCCTACAACGGCTACAAACGAGAGGATAAACGCACGGGGTGTTCCCAGTACGATCAGCCGTACGACACATTCCTGCTGCCACAGGAACGCCACACCACGCCATGCATGTAGGCCTGCATGTTCCTGCGGCACAACACGCAGCAGCCCGCACGTGCTGTTGCAGTACAAGGGTACGGCATGAAGAGTGCGAGAATTCCCTTATGTGTCAAATTCGAGCGTCTGAGATCTGTGGTGGATTCTGGGAAGCTGCAAGCAGCAGGTGGGTTCTGGGTAGCTGCAAGCAGCAGAGATGTACTCTATTATGAGCGGCGCTATGTGACTTATGTTTGTACGCCAACAAAAAGGGTCGACAGTTCGGCCAACCGTCCTTCCTGCGTGAGTTTGCATGCAGCCGCGAGTGTTTGGGACGAGTACATGTGAAAGTTGTTGTAAATTATTTGCCCTGTTGCATTTCATCTGGTTTAATCGAGCAAGGCGTCACATGTGTTGTTGTTGATGTTGTTAGTGCTGTGGTGATACGTTGTTGAGCCCTGTGTGTGTTCGGCACACAAACGCGGACCATTCTGACTTTCTGAGACCCTGTGCCACCACTCTGTTGTTACATGCGTGTGCGCGTTTGTCACGCGGGTACTGCCCACGTGCGCTGTTGTGTGCGTTTGCAAGTGCTGACGTAGTGTGGACCGTGGGCTACCGGAGGTGTTGGTGGCTGCAAGGCTTGTGTCGGTGTGTCGCGTCTCGCCAGCGGCTCCCTTGTGTCCCCTGCTGTCACCTGTCGCCGCCGGGAGCCCCGCTGTTAGCGGTGTGTTGGTGGTGCTGCTGTTAGGCGCGTCGCGACCTCAATGCCGAGATGAAGGCATCGCAGGAGACACGCCCCGTGAGGCCAATGTCCAGCTCATCAAATACCTGTAAAGGGTTGCCGACGTGCTAAGCCAGCTTAGTGACGGGTTATGCGTTTTGCCAGCACCTGACCTGCCCCTCACGTCCTGCACACCGGCAGCCGAACCAGCACAGTGTCTTGACATTGTGTAACTCAGGAGAACTGTATGTACAGCTCCTTTTGATGTGAGACACCGGGGGGTGGGACACGGCTCACCTCTTCCACGGTGCTCCTCTTTACAGCGGGAGCAGCGTCCTTGAATATGCGTAGCGCGTCCTCACGCCGGATAAATCCTAAACCTGTGCAACACAGACGGAACGAACATGGCGACATATAGCCGTGTGTGGCCTGATGTTGCCGATATGGGCGCGAACCTGATTCGTCAAAGGCCTGGTACACCGCGCGAAGGTGAGCCTCAGGATCCCTTATGCTGAGCACCGCCTGCGTGACAGGCCCCGAAACCATGCTTCATTAAAGGCGCGCTTCTTTCAAGGAGACAAGCTCAGCCGATCGGACTAATTTGCTGTAGGTCTGTTCGGACCTGTACAGTCCGCAAGAAGGATTCGTACGTAAGCTCTGCGTCAGCGGGTACTGGCCGGTTGAGTATGCGCTCTAAATCCACGACGCTCGGCTTCCATCCAGTTGCTGCAACTACAGCGCACTTAAATGCGTGACGGTCAAGGAATGATCGGCCAGCTGAAGCCACTGAAAAAGCCTCATATGCTGCACGCGACACTTCAGCACTGTCCTTCACGGGCACTGGTATATGATAGCTGTTCATATTATTGACAACGCATACATCGCTGTGCTAATGGCACCCTAGATGGCAGGGCATTGAGCGTTGGTTGGATTTGGCGAGGCATGGGCCTAAGCGCCCTACATGGGCCTCCCCATTCCAGGGGGTCATCGGTCATGGGTCACAGACTTGCTCCCATCCAAAGCAAGTTTCCCGGCCATTGCCTCCCCTGTCCAATTAGTCCAACATCTTGCGCAGCGGACGAAAGCTGAAAGGCGGGCTTTTCGCCTTAAGCCTTTTGCAGCTGCCAACGTGCTGCTGGTGTTAGCTGCATACCCAACTGGGCCAGGGACGTGGCCGAAAATGTTCCGTGGGTAGCCTTCTTGACCCCACCCCACCACCGTTTGCTGGCGCGGAAAGGCCTAGCTACCATTCCCCAAGAAACCCGCATACCCCCGGAACAAAGACAGTGCCCATGTGACGAGCGCCGTGTAGAGCCCATATCGCAGTACCGGTATCACACGGGGCAGCAAAAGGGTTCAGGAGCTAGCACGGCCCCCACAGATTAAAAGACTCGCTAGCAAAAGTACGTCCAGCCGACAGTGACCCTTTCTCTACGGTATTGTCAGAGACACGAAACCAGGATGGCTTTCCAAAATGCCACAGCAAGCCGCGCCTTTTATTTTTTTGCATGAAGTTGACGATATCCATTACATCAAGCATTCAGCAGCAGCAATCTTGGGGAAGCTGGTGGTTAAGAGAAAGGGACGTGGGTTGTGCTCTAGCCCAGATAGGCCTTGAGCGTGCCTGAGCCCGCAGGCATGCTCCCTATACTGACAAAGTAGTATGATTAGCGTATCAGACCTTGGCCGAATCTAGTAGCTCTTAAAAGGCCCCTGTCGTACTACCGTCATGCGCGAACTCTGACTCCATGATTTACCCTTGGTCCCAAAGCTTGTTTGTCCCTTAGCCTTGCGTACCTGCTTGGCGTTCCGAGTGCCAAGTTGAATATCGGCGCTAGGCCCTTTACTGTGTCGAAACACCGGCATGGCGCTTCGTGCGCTGCGGCGCGCTGCTGGACAGCTCGGGGGTAGTTTGGCTCAGGCACAGCGGGTATGTCTTAAACTGGAGGCTAGAACTCTTGAACGGGCATGTCGGTGAACACATAACTGAAACGCAGGCCGCCAGTGTCGCCACCGCTACCGAGCTCGGACCATGCTGCGCTGGTGCGTCCTCAACTTACTATATGTTGTTTATTCCTATCACACGACTGATTTATCCTATCGCTTCCGTGCAGAGCTCCTCGCACGTCAATCATGCAGCCAAGCCAGGTATCGCTTACGATCGTAACCGTCCAAGCTGGTGTTTTCTCCATAAGTTTTTATGCTTATATGCCTATGTTCTATATGCAGCAGCAACAGTGTTCGGGAGGAGCTTGCGTCGTTCAACGCGACGGCTCGGTTCCGTGCAATGGGCTCGCACATGCGCCAGCTGCACACCACGTCCGTTTCCCTCGAGGCGTTCAACGTAGCTGTGCCTTCGATGGGCGAGTCCATCACGGAGGGCACTATCGCCAACGTCTTGAAGAAAGCAGGTGCGTCAAGTCGGCCAGACCTGCAGCCTGCGTTTATTTGCTGCCAGCACCTGCTGACGGACTGATGTCTGCAGGTGACGCTGTCAAGGAGGACGACGTCATTGCGCAGATTGAGACCGACAAGGTGTGTTTGTTGCAGACGCTTTGACGGGCAGTGCTGGTTAGCAATGCTGGACAGCCTTAAGCTAAGGGGGTGGGGGTAAGGACGTCTTCGTCGCTTCTCACGGACCTCCATCCGACGACTACACAATATACACCCGAAAGTAACCCAACAATGCAAACCCTTGTCGATGCCTGACACTTTGGCCTCATATCCCCGACGTGCATCCACGGCATTCCCACGGCCTCTTCATAATTGCCCTGGTTCCGACTTTCGTGATCCCTCCCTCCCATCCTTCCGTCCCCATCACCTCAGGTCACCATTGACGTCAAGTACACGGGCAAGGGGTCCGGCGTGATCAGCCAGATCCTGATCAACACCTCGGACCTGGTGAAGGTCGGTCAGCAGGTGGCCGTTGTGGAGGTTGGCGCTGCGCCCGCCGCCCCCGCTGCCGCTGCTGCCGCTCCCCCTCCGCCGCCGCCCCAGCCGGCTGCTGAGGCGCCGAAGCCCGCCGCTGCGGCCCCCAAGCCGGCCGCCCCCAAGGTGGGCAGCAGAGGGACTGCTGCACGCTGCACAGCCATGAGGGCTGAGCAGCTTGGTAGTTGCAACTTGGCGGGGCTTCCGGACCTTATTCCGGAACGAACGCATGATGCGGGTTGGAATGGTATTACACACTCTGACGGCTGCCCATGTTACCACCGGTTACCCACCTGCAGGCGGCTGCCCCTGCGCCCAGCACCAGCGAGCCAGCCCCGCCTGCGCCCTCGGCTCGCCCTGAGAGGTGCGTCATGGGCTGGGCTGCATGTACGTTCAGAGCTTTTAGAAGAAACAGAGGATGATTAGGCAGCGCTCCATGGAAAATTGGACACAAGCCGGGCGGGCGTTCTTTAGGCGGTGGTGAATGGTACCCAATCGCACGCGCAAATGCATGTGGGTTATGCTACTGCATGGCCACATGCCCAAAAGCGTCACCACAACCAAGCCTTAACATACAAGTAACCAGCAGCCAGCAGTACTCGACCTTTTTGGCCAATGCACGCCTGCTTACGACACCCCAGGCGTTTAACTGGTGTATGGGCTCTAGGGTGTACGCATAAAGTCCTACCCCTCACAATTGCACCATGCGTCACCCTGCGTCCGTTGTTCGTCCGCTGCTGCGAGCAGGCGTGTGAAGATGACCCGCCTGCGCATGCGTGTGGCTGAGCGCCTCAAGGGCGCCCAGAACACGTATGCCATGCTGAGCACCTTCAACGAGGTCGACATGAGCGCCATCATCGAGATGCGCAACCAGTACAAGGTAGGGGCACTATCCGGGGGCTGGGGTTGGAGGCGTTGTCCAGGGTGGGAAGTTGGAGGCGTTGTCTTTAGGTCCCTTGATGTACTGGGTCATGCTTGGGGCGCTGCGGACTGGGGTTCTGGGTACTAGACTGACCTAAGGCGTTACACATGTGATGGCTCTTGCGCTGGAGCCGCAAAGAGTCGGTTCACTAGGGTGGTGTTTGACCCCTTCCCGCCTCTCACCGCCCTCACCTTGCCGTGTTGTGATGTCGTACACACAGGACGCGTTTGCTGAGAAGCACAACGTCAAGCTGGGCTTCATGTCGGTCTTTGTCAAGGCGGCCGCCTACGCTCTGCAGGTGCGGACCCGTGCGGTTGGTTGACTAAGGAGGAAAAAGTAGGCTGCGGATCACGTTCAGTACCTAGGCCAGCATAACCGCGAACATTGCCGAGTGCATGGGAGGTGTAAGACGTATACGGTATACCGCATAGCTGTAGCGCGCTTTGGGCGCGGCGCATGCAAGGGACACCGTGTTGCTTGCTTCCTACTTCACTGCCATCTGCTGTTCTTGCCCGCGACCCCCCGCGATCCCCCACAGGAAGTCCCCGCGGTGAACGCCGTGATTGAGGACGACGAGATCATCTTCCGCGACTACTACGACATCTCGATCGCCGTCGCCACACCCAAGGTGGGCCCGGGACCGCATTTGGGGCGGGGCAGTATATCAAGTTGACAATGGTTTCGTCCAGCAGAGCAACAGAGGCACAGCTTCTTACGTAGTAGGGGACATGGTAACAAGTCTGGGGAATACGACATCGTTCGGTTGCTGCAACCATGCGTATGCCATGTGAGGCACGCATCCATTTACAACCCTGTAATCTTGTCTCTCCCTTACAGGGTCTGGTCGTGCCAGTTCTGCGGGCCGCTGACGAGAAGAGCTTCGCTGACGTTGAGAAGGTACGCACCTGGGCCCTGGGGGCAAGGAGAAACTCGTGTCACCAAACATAGGTCACCATTCGTTTCAGCCAGTCCTCGTAGTCATTCCCATTGCTATGGGTGGACATCCTACTCAACCTGTGCAAGACGCAACAATACCCAAATGACACGCATTACTCCTGCTGCCGTACACAGACGATGAACGCCCTCGGGAAGAAGGCTCGCGACGGCACCATCAGCATTGACGACATGGCCGGCGGCACCTTCACCATCTCCAACGGCGGCGTGTACGGCAGCCTGCTGTCCACCCCCATCATCAACCCGCCTCAGGTACGACGGCGGGTGGTGGGATGTCACATGCGCCTGAGTGCGCAGCCGTGTTGGGACCTTGTGTCCCCCGCTAGCGGACACTCCCAAATGCTTCTCACCACAACACTCATGGTGGCACCGACACACCTTTTATGTGTGTCAGCAACTGCCTGCGTAATACCCTCTGCCTCCTGCCCCCGCTGCCCCCGACCTCCCCCGTCCAGAGCGCCATCCTGGGCATGCACGCCATCGTGGACCGCCCGGTCGCCGTCAAGGGCAAGGTGGAGATCCGGCCCATGATGAACATCGCGCTTACGTACGACCACCGCCTCATCGACGGCCGTGAGGTGAGAGGAGGAGGAAGGAAGTTGGGCAGGAAGCAGGCGTTTGGATGCGGAAATGTTTGCCATTTCGACGGCTAGAACCACGCAGATCGACGCTCACGAATGTCGTGACGCGTAGGAGCAGCCCCTCTTGTGTTTTGGTAACTAATATGCGCTCTCCTCTACCGTCGCCCCTTTTACCGTGCAGGCTGTCACCTTCCTGCGCCGCATCAAGGACGTCGTGGAGGATCCCCGCCGCCTGCTGCTGGACGTGTAAGCGACCGGTGTGCAGAGGAGGAGCAGGAAGAGGAGGAGCTCGGACGAGGAGGATGTAAATGGCCGGGTGTGGCGTGGGGTATACGCCATGCAGAGAGTTGTTAGGGGCTGTGTTTGGCTTAACCCAAGTGAACCTTTTGTTTGTCTGGAGCACGGATTCCTTAAATGGTACTGATGTGTAGTGCTTGCGTGGGCCGAGGCCTCGTTAGCTTGGCGGGTGGTTGCGGTCAAAAAGACTCTTCCGGACGCAGACAGTGGCCGATGGACTAGTTTTTACACTCTCCGCTGGAGGCCATGATCAGCGCTTGCCTGCGTTCCCTGCTTTTACCCCGTGGAAGGGTGCAACAGGCAGAACGTCAGAAGCGTTGACCCGCGCGCACGTGACGCATTGACTCACATGTTCACATGACGACTTGCGTCACCCTAGGTGCCCACTTGGGATCGTACGTCTTTCCAAGAATGCTGCGGTGGTGCTTACTTTGATAGCGCGGTTCGCCTCTTTTAACTGTGGCTGGTGCAGCAGCTTTGGGTGAAAGCGGGGCCCTTAGCCATGTTGGCTGTCCCCTGCGTCTCTCCAAAAGCCCGTCTGAAACAGCACCAACAGCGGCTTCGGGACTGTGCATGTCACGTCGTGTTGCTGACGTGTGTGGTTTTGTATGTGGAATGTTTTCAAGGTTTGACTGCTCTGTTTATATTAAGCTTTAGCGAGCGAGCATCGTTAAAGGTATGCGGCGTGCAACCGAGGATGCCGCCGAATGGTGTTTTGTCGGACGTTTGTACGTTGGTACGCTTGTACGGTAAGAAAGTGGTCCTGTAACCATAATGGACCGAATGATAATTTACAGCCGCACACTACCATGGAACCGCAAGGACAGGCAACATACATTCCAGTAAAGCAACCCATGCAAAGGATGCACTTGCACTTTACGCTTGAGTCCGTCTAAGGTGAATTTGGCTTTTTGGTTGGTTCATACTTGACAGAAAACACTCAAACAGACGTGCGGACGGTCATCCCACATGGAATGCAGAGAGGAGCACAGAGGAAGACCCGTTGCGTTGGCTGGCCCCTCAAGACATGGCTCGTTGCCTAGATGAACAAGTACAGTTCTATTCGGAGAAGTACAAGGATGCAACTTAAAACCCACTGCCAAAACATGAAAGCCTGAGACACATCACTACATATACCACGACGGCCACGGCACCACCTGCCATCTCACTCCCCACGCAACATGCGCACTACCGGTGTAAAGTCCCCACGCAGCATCGCACGCTGCTGGCCCTTCCTCAGGACCTGTGTCAAGCGACAGTACAGGTCCAAGTCCGATGTAGCAACGGCAACGCCGATAAAAGAATTACACATTTGTCAGGTCAGCAACATATGAGTGACATCGACCATAAATGCATAACCTGCATGCCGACCACAAAGGCGTCCCCAGGCATGAAACAAGCAACTCTGTAATCCATCCACCCACGCTTCATCTCTTCCATCCTGCTACGTCTCACGTGCGTGAGGACTGCTGACCCATGGGTCTCAGCGGTTGCAATATCAACGGTGACGTCAGGGAGGGCATGCCGCCGCCGGCTGCTCCACAGCTCCCAGTGCTGCCGCTACCAGCACCGCCCGGTACGACACCGGTGCCGGTGGTCGAACGGCCATTCCGTACATTGCCGTGCTGGTGCGGAGAACACGGAGGTCCCCCATCACACGAGCCGCGGCCAGGAGTGTTCGAATCCAAATGGACCAAGAGTGAGTCGCCATGCCGTACAGGCCGCAGAAGCGGTTTTACAACAGGCACCGCCGTCAGCGTGACGGTTGGGGCGCCGCCGCTACCACCATTCATAGCAACAGCAGCGCTAGCTGCCGCATTCAAGGTACCGTTAGCGCTGCTGTTAACGGAGATGGGACTGGCTAGCTTTGGCAGCGGCGCATGCCGTGTGCTACGTGGCGTCGTGACAGCAGTCGCCGTACCCGGTGCTTGCTGCCCCGAACCACCACCACCCGGAGCAACCGGTAACCCCGACGTACTGTAGCGTTGTGGCGTCGGACTGGATGCGGACATCGAAACGCCGCCGCCGCAGCCGTCAGCAGCTGCATGGTTCTGGGGTCCCGCTGCCGGCCCGGCGCCACCACAGCCGCCACTGTCACCGCCGATCGCACCCGATGCGGACGCGCGCATCCTGACAGGGAAGCCCGCAGCACCCGGCATGCATGCACCCGCAGAAGCCGCGACCGTGGGGCTGGCAAGAACCGCAATGGGCAGCAGCACATTCCCCGGCGCTCCAGACCCGTCTACCGAAGCGCAAGTACGGAATTGAGGCAAGGCGCCCTGTCGTATCGTCAACGGCGCAATGGGCCTAGGCGACGCAAGCGCCGAAATGACCATGGGATCATCCGCTCGAGGCCTGATGAGGGCGTTGTTTAACTGGTGAGGCGAGTTGGGGGCGAAGGTGCTAGCCGCGACCAGGTCTTGCCTTCGTCGCCGGTCTTGGATGGGTGGTGGCGGCGGAGGCGGAGGAGGGCTGAGTGGAGCGATGGGGGAGGAAGGGGAAGGCGAGGGGAAAGGAGAAGTGGTAGCGGCGGCAGAGGCGCTGCCGCCGCTAGGTGAGACTAGGCTGCCGGCGCCGGTCGGGGGGCCGTTGCTGAGGGACGCGAGGACGGCGGTGGCGGGAGAGGAAGAGCCGTTTCCTCCTCCGCCTCCGCCGCCGTTGGGGCAGATTGGCGCGGGTTTGGAGAGGCCGTTGAAGACGCGCCGAAGCACGGGGGGCTGCATTGGGGCAGGGGGCAAAGCAGGAAGACCCGGTTTGGTTTTTGGGCTACTAAATTGTAAAAACACCTTTCAGCGAACTTAACAAACACCTTTGCTACACACGCGCCTACCGTACATACCGAATGCCCCCGCAGCAGCATGCGTGCCTTATTGTCTTCCCAACTCGAGCCAGTCCGCAAGATCGGTCCCGAGCAGTTCCATATACCGGTAACCCCCTGCAACCCGATCCATTGAACCCTCCAAACCCCAGAACACCGCTAGCATGCGCATGCCACTCTTTTCCTCCCCCCACCCACCTTGAACCCACTGGGCTCGAAGCCATCCGACATTCTCATGGGCGGGGGTCGCGTTGCATGCCATGCTCCCGCTCCTCCCGCTCCTCCCGCTCCCCCTGCGGCCCCACTGCCCGCGCTGCTCCCACTGCCGCCCGAGGGCATGGGCGCCAGCAGCACCGGCAGCTGATGCCCCGGCATGAACTCCGCGGCCCGCAGCACGGCAACAGCCTGCGAGTTGCCGGGTCGGCCCTGCATCAGCGAGTTCTTGAGCTGCTGTCGGCGGCCGAGGATCGCCTCGCGCCGCTGGGCGGCGAAGGGCGGCATCGCGCTCCTCAGGTAGGCGAAGCGCGCCAGGAGCGACCTGGGCAGCACGAGCAGCTTGCAGGCTCGAGCCGCCACCGCACTGGCCAGGAAGGCGCTGCCGGGGAAGGACAACTCGCTGCCATCGCCGGTGCTGCCACGACCCTGCAAGGCCCACAACAACCCCATCAGCAACACATACCGGTACCGCAACGGCAGGCGCAACCGCATTCCATGGCCCACAGGGCAACCACCGCAGGGTGTTCCCGCAGGGTTACTGAGCAACCAAACAAGCACGACAATGGAGATGTACAACAATGCGGCGTATACGGTGCCCAAAGATGCGGAGGTATCTACCGGTAATACCTCACATCCAGCCAAACACGGCAACACTGCAAACTCAGCGGCAGCAGCACGCTTCAACGTCCCGGCCCCCCCCCCAATTTTCTTTCTTTTTTTACCCCCCAATTGGAACTCGTTGCTGCACTTATCATTATTTCCTCCCGCCACGCACCTGTGATGTGCTCGCACTCGCTCCCGACCCCTTGCGGATGTCCTCCGGAAAGCCCAGCACGCTCTCCCCAAACGACCCGCCAGGTCCCAGCAGCGTCAGCGGAGCCAGCGACCCCACCGTACGACGGCCCTTGATCGGCACCAGCTGCCCTCCGCCGCCACCGCCACCGCCGCCGCCACCATTCATACCCCCACCGCCTGCTCCGCCCCCGCCAGCTGCTGCTGCTGCTCCTGTAGGGGCCATCCCTGTTGAAGACAGCCGAGCGGAGGGCGGATCGGACGGGACGCTAGGGCTGCTGCTGCTGCCGCCACCGCTAGCGCCGCCGCCGGAGCCGCCGCCGCTGCCGCCGCCAGGTGGCGACAGCGGCTGTAGCTGCGGCGGCGCCGCCACCGTTGAGGCGGTTGCCAGGCCGTCTGGGTCGTCCAGGAGCCTCACCTCGCCCTCCTGCAGCCGGGGACAAGAGCAAGGAGGAGAAAGCATGTGGTGCGCTCGTGCGGCGCGGCGATGCGCCGCAAGGTGGGGTGCACCCATGCATGCAAGGTGGGGTGCATGCAAGGTGGGGTGCATGCTCTGCTTCGCCTTTCTTTATTGACCCGCAATGCATGCACATGCGAAGCACAGACCCACGCGCTCGATAAAGGCGGCTGCAAGGAAAGGTGCAGGAACCCCCAAAACCACTCACCATGACCACGTACATGGCCTCCACCTGCTGCCCCTGCCGTACAATGAGTTGGTTCGCGTCCAGGCACAGCAGCTTGCAGCCCAGCGCCACCTGCGCCTGGTGCTCGTCGCTGAGGCCCCGCAGCGGCTCCAGGGCGGTCAGGGCGGCCAGGCGCTCGCTGATCATGTCGTCGCGAACCGCGGCGTGGCCCCGACGGAGCGCCGACAGCGCAACAACCAACACGTCGGCGCCGGAGGGACCTGCGGCAGAGCGCAATACCGGTATATATCCAAAGGCGGTTCACGTGGCAGCTTTATTGCAAAATGGGAATGTGTGAATAGAACAACGCAGGAGACTGGCTGCATGCGAAGTCCCAGTCAACGGCTCTTCCAGCAACCCCCCCAGACCTGGCCTTCCACGGCAACCCCCGCTTACCCCCCCCCCCTCACCCGCAATGCCCGAGTAGGCTCGTCGCTGCCTCGCCGGCTTCCTCTCCGCCCCCACCACCGGCAGCAGCCCCTCGGGAGGCGGCTGCATCAGCTCCCCCGCCACCTGCCCTGCCTCCACAAGCCCCGTGGCCCCGCCGTACAGCTGCTCCAGGTGCTCCTCGCACGCCTCAAACACCTCAGCAGCCTCGTCAACGGGGCCGGAAGCGGCAGTGGCTGTCGTACAAGCAGCTGTCGTACCGATAGCAGCAACCGTCGTATCGGTGGCAGCTGTCGAGCCAGCAGCAGTTGCTGAACCAGCAGCAGCAGCAGTCCCTGCTGCTGGACTAGCAATGCCGGTGGCAGTGCTATAGGAGGCAGTAGCAGGAGCAGCGGAGGAGGGGGATGTCACGCCGCGTGCCTTGGTCTCTAGCGTTGCGGCCGTTGCGGCAATGCCACTGCCTGTGTCTTGTTCGCGCCCTCGCCCGCCGGTTGCCTCACCGCCCGCACCACTAGCTGACGAAGCAGCAGCAGCAGGACCAACAGCAGCAGCAGCAGTGCCAGCAGCAGGGGTGCAGCCGTCGCCAGTGCCCTCTCGGTCGCTTCCGGACGATCCATCACAAGCCGGACTCTCCCCGCCGGAAGCCAGCAACAGCGCCTGAATGGGATCGTCGTCGTCTTCATCGTCGCCGGCGGCATCCCCATCCGCACCATCATCATTGGCATCGGCATCGGCGTCATCGGCACCGTCATCACCCCCCGCGTCGGCATTCAGCCCGTCAGAGTCCAGCTGGGCTCGCGCTAGCGATGGGACGCGCCCGATTGGAAAGGAGGAGGAGGAAGGGGAGGCACCGTGCGAGGCGGAGGCGGCGGCTTGGCTTTGGCTGATGGCTGGAAGCGCGCTGCCGGCGTTGCTGGCAGAGCTGTGGGAGAGGAGGGGACAGGACCCACGAGGTGGGAGAAGAGCGCGGGGAGAGGTTAGGTGCCCCTTAGGAGAGGAGAGGATACTTGGGCAGTGGGGAGGACACGATGCGGTCATTGGGGGTAACGGTAACGAAAGCTTCCAGTTCCGGTACCGGTACCGGTGACCGACCGGTACCCAACCGGTACCGGGTTAGGTAAACCCTAGGTGAAACCCAGAAACCCTTAGCTTCTAAGAGGTTTGTGGTAGGTAGGTAGGTAGGGAGGTAGGTAAGAAGGCGGACTCGATAGGGGCGGCAGAGGACACGCACAACACACACGGCGGTCTGTGTCCAAACGACAATTCGACTGCCCAACTGCACAGCCGCATGCCCGCATCATCACAGCACAGCACAGCACAGCACAGCACAGCAGGCCTCCCCCTCACCCTCACCTGCTGGTTGCGATGCCCATGACCTTTTCCACGGCAGTCATGTACCTGTGGGCGAGAGCCGCGCGAACTCCGGTCAGGCGCTTGCCTGGAGCAGTGCCAACACCCCACCGCTGGCATGCTAGGCACAACAACAACTTGGCAACGCCAAAACACTGCGATCAACCCAGCCAGACCCACCCAAGATTTGACGATACCAGTGCTCCATACCGGAGCAAACCAAACCAACTGATGGAGCAAACCAAGATCCGTTCCGAAACCATCACCCACCTGATGGCCTTCCGCACGACGCGGTAGCGCCGGTCAAGATACGTCAGCCTGACCCACGGGTCAGCCTCCTCCTCATCCTCCTCAATTCCCTCATCCTCCTCATCCTCCTCCTCGTCCGAACCGTCAACCCCATGCGGCTGCTCGCCGCCATTAGCTGCTGCCTTGCTGCTGCCGCCTCCAACCTCCGTCGCGGTCCCCCAGTGCACGTGCGCCCCCTCCTCCTCTTCCGGTTGGTCGTCCGCATAGCCGCCGCCGTGCTTGTTGATACCTTGCATGTAGGCACGTCGGGCTGCGGCGCCCCCTAGCAAGTTGCCCACATCTGCGATGGAAAGGCCCCCAAGGCCGCATTGATGAAAAGGGGAGTTGACTGTCGGTCAAAAGGAACGCAACAACCATGCAACCTGCCCTAATACTTTTCATCTCGCCGCGTTCTCCTCCGCAAGCACCAACACCCACCTACCCGCATCCCTCTCACAACCCCAGTTCCCAGCCTTCCCACCACCATTCCACAGCCCCTCCCCCCCAACAACCAAGCTCAGTTGCTCACCCCTCATGCCGCCCGCCTCCTCATGTTTCCTCCGCTCGTAGTCCAGCATTGTCATGTCCGCAGGCGCGCCGCCCTCACCCCACGGCCAACCATGGCCGCGGGCGCCCCCACCGCTGCCACCCGCCCCCTCAGGGTGCAGGGCCCTGTAAGCGGCACGACGCCAGGCATCAGCGGTCTTGGCGTTGGGCGGCCCGGCTTGCAGCGAACGGCCGCCGTACGCCCCTCGCAGGTTCCGCAGGTCGGACTCCGACTCCCAGGAGGGCCCGGAACCGTCTTCGGCTGCTACCGCGCGCTTCTACATGAAGAGGAGGAGGAAGGAGGGAGGGAAGGAAGGGAGGGGTGGAATAGGGGCGGCAGTTAGGGCGGAGAAGGCGCTGTGAAGGAAGGAAGGAAGGAAGGAAGGAATGTTAAGGGGGTGGAACTGCTGTTGCTGCTGTCGTTTCCCCGACCCCGAGCCTCATGCAGAGGCAGCAGCAGGGCAGCTATTGCCGTACATGTGTGGCAAAGCAGGGCTGCAAGCCTGCCAGGCTGCAAAGCTGATGATACGTGAGCTCGGCCAGATGCGAGCGTGGAGATGCATGCATGTCTGCCCCCTGCCTGGGCTGCCTGCCTGCCTGGGCTGCCTGCCTGCCTGCCTGCCTGCCTGCCTGCCTGCCTGCCTGCCTGCCTGCCTGCCTGCCTGCCTGCCTGGGCTGCATGCACGCCCGCACCTTGTTCAGGAAGTCCAGCATCCAACGTTTGAACTCCTCCCCGACCTCCTTGGCGCGTGAGGGGCGGCGCTTGGCCGGCTGCGGCTGCGGAGTGCGCAGCCCCTCCCGCTGCAGCGCCAGCGTCTTTCGGATCTCCTCGCGAGCTGCACCCTCGGCGGGTGCGTGCAAGGGAGGGGAGCGGAGAGAGGACATGGGAGAGGACAGGGCAGGACAGGTGAGGAGGAAAGACGAGCGAGAAACGGAGGAGAGGAAGCTATACCCGGGTGTGCCCAGTCGGTCCTGTGCACCCTATATACTGGTATGTCCGGTCGTACTTGTTCACAAAGCCGTACACACATTCACAAGTCCACAAGTCCACAACCCGGGTTTGCCCCGGGAATTTGTGACTTCTCCCTCCCTGGCCCTCCCTGGCCCTCCCTGGCCCTCCCTGGCCCTCCCTAGTCATCCCTCCACCTACCTCTCCGCTCTTCTTCAATCTTCTGTCGTATCGTCTTCTGCCCTCCTCCACCCGCACCCCCCGCACCTCCCCCACTGCCCCCCGCCCCGCCCCTGCTGCGCCCCCCCAGTGCGCTCCGAGTCCGGGCAGCGGCCACCGCGCTCTTCAGCGCCGACCGCAACGCTGCGCGGTTGGCGCCGCCCTTGCGCTTGGGCCGCACATGCATCTGCAGCACACATCAGGGGCAGCAGCAGCAACCAGGCCAGCGCATGGCAAGCATGTGCAACGTCAGAACGTTATAACGTGAAGTGGAATAATAATCCTATAACTCGGACCAAAAAACCAGTGTCCTGACCCTCCTTGACCCCTCTCTCCCTACGCATGCCCCCCACTATGCCCCCCTCCGTTCCCCCTCACCTCCACCGCCCCACTCAGCACCAGGAACTCGCAGTCCCCGCGGCTGTGCTCCTCGAACAGCACCGTGCCGGCGGGCAGCGCGGCCAGGCGGGCGCTGCCCGACATCTCCCGCAGCACATGCGCCGGCGTGTGGGACAAGCCCTGAGGGGGGGGGAAGTTCCATTGTGTGTGGTATGATAGTGGTAAAACAAGCTGACAAGCCCTGAGGGGGGCGGGTGGGGGCGGGTTGGGATGGGTGTGGGGTGACGGGGGTTTGAGATTGCCGCGCTTACCGTCATGAAAGGTACCGGTGTAAGCGAGGAACGACAACCCAGGCATGTCACCCGCATCATGCTCCACGCCCTTCCTTCCCCTCTCGTGTGGTTCCGAGCTTCCCTTCCCTTCCTTTCCAACTCCACCGCCCCGTCCCGCGCCCACCGCGCCTCCCCACTGCACCCACGTCACGTCCTTTCACGCAGCAGCGTGGCAACCCTTCCTTCCTTTTGCCCATCTCCCACCTCCCACCTCCCACCGGCTCCCCCCCCCCGCACCGGCATGTGCCTCAGCAGCGCCGCCAGGTCCTCCGCCTGCTCGGGGGAGCGCTGCTCGGGCGGCGTGGCGGCCAGCGAGCGGGCGCAGCAGCACAGCAGCGCCAGCCGGGCCTCGCCGCACTCGGGCTGGGGGGAAGGGGGGAGAGAGGGGGAGGGGAGAGAGGAGGGGAGAGAGGGGAGAGAGGGGGGGAGAGAGGGGAGAGGAGGAGGAGCGTGGTGTTGGGAAGGAGGCAAGAGCACACATGGTTTAGGGAAGGCGGGCAGGCATAGTCCGCATAGGTGCATGGCAGCCTGGGAAGGAGAGGAAGCGGCCCTCATGCCACCCAGTTGCCCGCACTCCTCAAGCACCATCAACCCCTGCATGCAACCCCCCTTCTTCTCTACATCCCTCTACATCCCTCTACCTCCCTCTGCCTCCCTTTCCAGCCAGAGGCACCGAAGTCAGCCCTGCCCTGCCCTGCCCCTGCCCCCACCTGAATGGGCGCCCTTGCGCACATGTCGCTCCAAGCCGTCCTGGTGAGCACCGCCAGCACCGCGCCCTCGCCCTCCTCGCCACCGCCCTCCCGCGCATCACCACCTCCCCCAGTAACCGTGACGGTGATGTCCGAGGTGCGCCCCGAAACCACCAGCGCCGCCTCGCACACCGCCTGACCCGGCAGCAGCGGCTGCGGCGCGGGCGGCTGGAAGCCCTCCCGCCGCGAGTGACGAGATACGGAACAGCGACCGCCCAGGAGCAGGCAGCTGGAGGAGGAGGAGGAGGCGGAGGAGGGGGGAGCAGGAGGGTAGCGGAACGGGGCTGTCGGTGTACACTCCACACATCGAAAAGAGAAAGGTGATGCGCAGAGTGCTGAAGGCCTCCCATGCTGAATCCTCCCTTCCCTTCCGCAGGAGGATCCCTTCTTCATAAGCACCATTCTAGCTGTTGTCCCCAACCTCCCTCCCCTCCCGCAGCACCACACCGCCCACACCCCTCCCTCCGCCCCTGGGTCACTCACAGTCTGTCCGTGACCTCCCCCGACTGCACCACCACATTCCCGGGAGCGGCGCGGTGGAGGGCTGCAGGGAGAGAGGGAGAGGGGGAAGGGAAGGAGAGGGCAGCAAGGGGGAAGGGAGGGAGGGAGAAGTTAAGGCAGGGCACCGGCTAAGGCAGGCAGGCAGGCAGGCAGGCATAGGGAGGAGTGCGACATAGCATGCAGGAGGATACATGGAGGGGAAGGGGGCTTCTGGTCTCGTAGGACCACATGGAGGGGGGCGGAGAGCGATGTACGGCTGCAAGGGCGGAGAGCGGGAGGACGGGAGGGAGGGTGGGAGGGAGAGGAAGGGGTATCAGGACGATAGCTGTTGGCACCCTGGCAGGGGCTCTTCGTTCCTTGGGCTGCACCGCACCTTGGGGTGCCGTACATACCCCTTCCCTGAACCCTTGCCATTCAGCCATGCCCCACCCTCGCAGCCTTCACCTCCCCCCACCGCAGCCGGTCCTACCCTCACACGCACGCAGACACGCACCTAGGTAGCTGCTCAGGAGCTGCAGGTGTGAGAGGCTTACACCGGAGAAGAAGGGCTGATGAGGTAGGGGCCGCGAGGGAGGCAGGGGGCGGGATGGAGGAGGGCAACGGAAGGCAAGGGCGAGTCGGTTAGGGACTGACGTGGAAATAGAGGCGAGTTGTTAATTCAATAAGGTGGCAAAGGTTGGAGGGATAAGGCATGGGCGGAGGGATGAGGCATGGGGCCGAACGTCCCAGCTCGCGGAAGGCTCAGCGTGGGTTCATGCGGCGGAAACAGGCAACTACCGTGTGCTGTTCAACTCCATATGTGTGGCAGGCTGGCGACTCCAAAGCACTACATAAATAATCCGATGTTTACTAGTGAACACAATCACAAGAGGCGCTGGCAAGTTAGGCGAGAGGAGGGTAGCCATGCAAGGCGGTTGACAGAGAAGGAGTACGCAGTGGGAAAGGCCTTCCAAAGATATAACGCACCTGTTCACTTAAGCATGTAACCAACTGCTCCACGTCGTCAGCGGTGCGGTGCACAGGCCTGCGGTCGACCAATCAATGCGCATGCCTCGTAAAACAGTTTACCGCAAGGGAACCTGAGCGCTTCGCATGCCGTTGTAAGAGCATAAATACGCAGAAACATTTTGACATATTAACAATTGGTGTTCGTCTCCACCCTTGCCCTTGCCTCACTTCGGCCGACCTACGCCCGGCTTGTAAACAAACAGGCAGCTATCAGCTACTTTGCTATGCGTTATCTCTGTTGTGTACACGTACTTGATAGCAAGGAGGCTTGCCGCGATGTTGGAGTTCGGCATTTCGGTGGAACCCGGGGACGCCCTCGAATGACCTATGGACTCAACAACTACTGAAACTACAAGAATATACACTCATGGTAAATGGGTGCTTAACGTGCCTAGCATGGGCTTCTACTGGTCTGTATCTATCCCATATCAGGTTTACGCCGCTCGTTCACGTAAGACCCGCGCTATGATACAAGTGCACTATTTAATCAACGGTTTATTAAAGCTACATGGTTGCGGCATCCATGGCCTATGGGGGCTTCTAACCTGTAAGTAACCGTACAACCACAATACGGGACGAGGTGTTCTTTGCGTCTGGTGGTCAGTGCACCCTTACGTAAACAAGCCCACAGTTGCTTCATTTCACAGCGCTTTGACGGGGCGGCTCGATAAAAAAAGTGAGATAGACTTAGTAAGAGCGTATGGGTGTGTCCATCCAGGCTTGTCGCCGTGGGGTAATTCAGGCACTGTATAAAATTATCAGGCTGCACCCATGGTATAGGGGACTGTGGTGAAGCCTGACGGGAACTCACAGGCGCAAAACGGGCAGCTAGCCACCAACAGGGGTTTGGGACATAGGTGAGCGGCTGTGGGCTTCTTTAGGATGCAAGCCCTTCCCTGGCCTCCGCACGTGTTGCACATCACCATCTGCTAACAAGGTGTCTTCTTGCATTGTGCATTGTTCAAAGATGTTGGCGCAATGCCGGGCCCTTGTGGCATATGAATGGACAGGCTGTAGGATGTGCTTGAACTACGCAGCCGATTGTCAACAATTAATGGCCAGCAGTTGCCAGCACATCAAGGTCGTTGCTGCAATACGTAGGTATTGGCGCTGAGAGAGCGAATGTGTGAACGCATGTGGTATGGGACGTGAAACATTGCTGAACATGGGGCCTAAATCGACATAAACGATCAGCTGATAGCCCGGCCGTATATGGCATCGACAGTCTGTCGTACTGTACCGATCCAATAGCCAAAGGGCTCGCCAAAATTGGATGGTCCCCTAAACGTATGCCGGCTTACGCTTACACCGCTCATACCATGCACCAGGCTGAGCAATCTCAACAGTTAATGTCAATGCCTTGCACCCGTGGATACGTTCGCTTGCCTAAAAGAGTCGAAATACCAACTAGACAATCTGTTACATATTCACTACTATCATGACACCAGATTCTTAGCCGTTTTCCCTTGCTTTACCAATGATCTCCGTTCTATTCTGTAACCCTCTTGCTTACCAAGCAACCTGAAAGCCCCTGCACGGTGCCGTAATTTAGACATGGGTAAGAAAAAGAACAACGATCCACCAGCATGGCAACCCAGGATCGCGTCCTTTTTCAACCGTACTACCAACAGCGGGCAGCCATCAGCAGCAAGCGGCCAGGCAAGAGCCCCAGGACCACCGGCACAATCGACTGCCTCCACCGGGACTGCAACCACGGCCTCAGGCTGTCCGCCTGTGCTCCAAGCTCAGTCGCGGCCGAAACTGAACGCCCATGCCTCCCCACAGCGTCAGCGCCCAACCGCTCAGCAGCAACAGAAGCCTCAAAAGCAACAATCGCAGAAATCCCAACAACATCAACGTGTACCGGTCTCGGTTGTTACAGCTGTCACGACTTGGCAGTCGCAAGCCGCTGTCAAGCCTTTCACTGTGAAGTATGAGGAGCCCGATGAGAAGGCGCCCGGTCCCGGTCCCAGCAGCTTAGCCTTGCAGGTGCAACAGCTCCAGTACGCAGGCGGTCTAAGCATGTCAGCAGCACCTTCCCAACGTGGGCGTACGAAGGTAGAGGTATCGGGCATTGGCGATGTGGGCGACCCAGAGCAGGGTTTGACCAGGTGAGTGGCTAGGCGTTGACCGCAGGCCCGCCCACGACTAGTTAAGGATCCACAGTCTGTAACTTACGGGTCTTGCAACATGGCTTTGCTGGCGACCCAGATCACTCCGGGTCGTACTTGCATCCACCTCACGCTTGTCAGTGTGCCTACGGGCTAGCTGAACCGTTCCCCCCCGCCCAAAGTCCCATGCGCTTTGTATCGGCACGGCGTCCCCGCACTAACCTCCAATCTACCCACCCTCACTTCTCTCCACCTCCTCTCCAGGTACCAACGCATCCTAAACTCCCTGGCGCCTCCCGCCTTGGACACCTGCGGGGGAGGGTCCAGCCGCACGGAGAGGCGCGTGGTTGTCAAGTCCGAGGGTGATGCTGATGCCACCATGGCTGAGGCGGCCGAGGTGGCTGTGGCGGCCTTCTCAGGCGCGGCGGCAGCAGGGGCAGCGGCGGTGGCCGCGGTGGCTGGCGCTGTAGTCACAACTTCGGGAGCTCAAGCGGCGGGAACAGCTGCTGTGGCAACAGCTGCAGCATGGCCTGCTGCAACAGGCGCCTACACAGGCGCAGCAGCTGGAGGCATGCCTGCCCCGGCTTGTGGTGCGACTTCCAGCTTTACCACTGCCTCGGGCACGGCCTGGCCTTCACAGCGCGGCACAGCCCATTACCCCTCTGTTCCTCCGCCAACATGGAACGGTGCTGGTGGCAGCGGTGGTAGCGGTCATGGCGGTGTTGGTGATGTTGCAGCTAGCGGTGGCCGCGGTCCTCATGCGGCGCCTGGGTGGCCGCCGAGCCAAGCCGACCCAAATCGCCAGCCCGCTGTCGTGGCCCGCTCGGGGCCCCACAACACGCACCATTCATGGCGGCCGCCAGGGCAGCCCAACCCCCCCGGCGGCTCCAACAGCGCAGCAGCCGGTCTACGACACAACTGGTCGCAGCCTGCGCAGCCCCTGCATGCAGCCCATGCCCAAGCGTGGGGTGGTGGATATGGCGCCATGCATGCGCCGCAAGGGGTTGGGCACGCCAACCAGACACGTACCGCCATGGGCCCCCCAGGCACTCCAGGAGGCCTCGCTACGGGCCCCCCAGGCGCTCCAGGGAGCCGAGAGGTCGTATCGACGTACGCGCAACCCTCACCCAACCATGGCATTGGGGCACCCGCTTATGGCCGTGGCAGTTCCGGAGCCCCCGGACACCCGACGCACAATAATGGGGCGTACGGAGGGTACGGTCCAGCAACGCACGCAACGACCCATGGGTCGCATGGTGCAGCAGACGCGCATGCTTCCAGGCACGGTTGGCAATCCCAAACCTCTAACCGCCCAGGCCATGCGTCAGCTCCACCTGGCGCACACGGGACCCAGTCGTACGGCAACGACGGTACGGCAATGGCTCATGGATCCATGGCGCAATCTGCAACGCAACCGTACGGAAACGGTCGTATTGCGGAGTTGTCATACTTGCCGGCACAGCAGTATGGGACCAGTACGGCAGCCGCACATGGGCTATCTGGGTCAGGTGTGCCGTGGCCGCAGCAGCAGCCGCATGGGCAACCACCAACAGCTACACCGCCGCCAACCCAACCACCTCAACCGCAACCACCTCAACCGCAACCATCACAACCGCCTCTGCCGGGCTCACTGCGCGCCTTAGGGTCTACGGGCGGCCCACCGTCATTCATCGGTCGCGATGGCGGCAGTGGCGCGGGTGGCGTGCAGCCTGCAGGGGCCGCGGCTGGAAGTAATGATGCCGGTGCTGCTGCTGCGGCGGCGGCCTCCTTCGGGCCTTGGAGAAAGGGACTGAATGAGGACCAGCTTCAGGTGAGGTGAAGATGGTGAAAACGACATACATGCCTCTAAAGGGCCATGCTAGAATACCGGTGTGGCGGTGGGGTGGTGGAACTGGGTCGTGCGTGGCGGCCAACTGTTGTCCTACCCTTTCCCATTCCGTACAGGCCGTGACAAGCAGTGCAGAAGAGCCGCAACTCATCATCGCAGGTAGGCTTGCAGCTGTTGCAAGACAACGCTTGCTGCCTGCTTGCTTGGTATGGCACTTTTTACATGGGACGCGAGGAATTGCCCCTACGTCGCGTGCCTGCTGGTTTAGGTGGCTCCCTCCGAGCCCCAACCCTGAATTACTCTCCCATACCTGGCATGGAGCTGGCTGAAGTACCGGTAACCGGCATCCAGCATTATGTTAAAGAAGGCGAGCCGCGTAGCTGTGCTGGCCATACCCCCGTGTCTGTGTCGCCCCTGCGTCTGTGCGGACCCCCACGCCAGGTGCGGGCACCGGAAAGACCACCACACTCATCAGGCGCGTCCTGTACATGATCAAGTGCCAGGTACGACTGGGTACGACACCAGCAGGGAATGGATGCTGCCTGTTTAGGCTCCGTCGTCGCCTAAGGAGCCCCATGATGCTCACGTTCATCTGCACGGCACGCCCCCATGCAGGCCATCCCGCCCAAGAAGATCCTGGTCATTACCTTCACCAACAAGGCGGCCCAGGAGGTGCGGGATCGGCTGGAGAAGGCCGGTGTGGACCCGCGGGAGGGGCTGCTGGCGGCGACCTTCCACTCCTGGTGCTACAGCCTGCTGCGGCAGTACTACAGGGTGGGGGGGGCGGTGGTACGAGGGTGGCACCGGTGTGGGCGCGGGTATCCTTTCCCCATGCCTGCTAACAACGCCTGCTAACAAGGAACTTGGATACGTGCTAGGCGCCGTCATGCCCGTGCACCCTTCGCGATCCATCCGCCTTTCCTCCAGTCCACATGCGCGCGCCTCTACCTAAACGTGTCAACGCCCCCCCCTGCACCTCCCGTGCTCCCCTCCCCATGCACAAACCACCCACTCCTTCCAGACGGCTGGCTTCGCGCAGTGCCCCACCGTGTGGACGGATTCCGACCTCAAACGGGCCGTCACGCTGGCTATCAGGTGCGCTGCTGTTAGGCCAAAACCATGAGGCCCAAACCACACGATCATCGTAGAGGCCAAAACCAGGGGTTCTTCCCCTAAACAGCTTTCCGCTTTCCGCTTTCCGGATTTTTGTTTCAAGAGACACCCACCTCGCCCGGGGTCCTGTGTGCGCCCTGCGCTCTTACCTCACCATCACCTCCCGCCCCCCCCCGGCAGGCTGTCGAACATGGAGCGAGGCAAGGCTGACCTGGCCAGGTGGCTGGGGCTGCAGGAGTCGAGCGTGGGGTGGCCGGCCATTGGGGAGGCGGCGCAGAGGAGGCACCCGGACATCGTGGCGCGGTGAGGCGGGGGGGCCGGAGGGGGGCGCGGCCCTTAGTTTGCATTGGCGGTCCCTAGGATGACTTGGTTTGCTTTGCTTTTGTAAGCTGACGTACCGGTAAGTGAATGGAGAACGCTGCAACGACTCACGGTACCATGCCATGGTGCACAGGTGCGCGGCAAAGGCGTTGGAGCTGGAGGGGAAGCAGCAGAGGAAGCGGCGGAAGGGCAAAAAGGTAGGTGGAGGAGGGTTGCAGGGGCACCATGGGGCGCTTGTTTGTGGTGGACCGGTAGCGGGTAGGCAATCCAATCAAGCGCCGTCTGCCTCCGTGTGCTACCATTTTTCTGCCGCTCGGGTTACCGGGTGCCCTCAGCCTTACCCTTGCTTTACACGGTTCTGAGGAGGTGATGCCACCGCCCGCCCTGCCTTTTATCCGACCATATCCCTAACCCTACGGTCGTAACAGGATGGCGATGCGGCGGGGGGCGGCCAGCAAGCGGCTGCCGAGCAAGCAAAGGGCAACGGTAAGAACCCTAAGAACTGCTGCCACCCGTTAGCCACCGACATGGGGGGAGAAACAAATTTACCAATACCAATGGTGTGATATTGGTAAAACCACCATGGCGGTGTGACTGACATGGGGGATGTGTCCTTGGCCACAGTGGCCTACTACATGCCCCCCACACCGTACACGATGTACCTAGTTACCTACAAGGGGCGTGTGCGCAGCGCCCGTAAGCAGGGTTCTAAGGCATGCCCCTCCTACACCGCCTCCTCACCCCAGCCCGGGTGTCCAGGAACAGAACTCACCACGACTCGTTTCGCACCTCCTTTTCGCGCATCCACTCACGCCTTGCTTTTCCGCTCCGTTCTTCGCGCGCCTTACGCTGCACCCTTTCCGCTGAACAGGAGGCCCCAAACGGCAAAAACAGGAAGTGGATGTTAAACCAGGGAACGGCGGCCACGGCCGTGGCCGTGGCGGCGGCGGCGGCCGCGGTGGCCGAGGTACCGGTCGGACCACCTCCGCTGCCGCACCTTCTCTTTCAGCCACGGGAGGTGGCGGCGGCGGGCCCAGCAGCAGCAGTAGCGGTAGGGGTGCTGCCGCTGCCGGCGGTGGAGGTGCCGGAACCACCACTGCCACCACTGCCACGGGGGCACCACCACCCCCGGCGGGTGCTGCTGCTGCAGGCCAGGAGGGGGCGCCCAGTACGGCAGAGGGACCCAGTACGGCAGAGGGCCGGGTGCTGTACCGCGTTGAGTTCTACAAGTTGCTGTACGAGGAGCTCTGCAAGATCCACGACCCGGAGGTGAAGGAGGTCCTGGGAGCGCAGCCCACGGCGAAGCAGGTGGGTCCGGTGAGGTGGTGGTGGTGATGACCCATGGGTCGTTGCTGAGCCCGAGGTTCAACGATGACCGAATTGACTCGCGGGGTGAGGGGTGCATGGGTTAAAACATACACACACACACATGGCGGTGTGTTGCTTTCGCTCCCCCCCCCGCCACTTGCAGATCAAGAACGAGCTGTCGTGGATCGACTGGTTCAAGCGCTCCGGAACCGAGCGCATCAGGGACTTCCCTGCCAAGGCGCTGCTGTACAAGTGAGTACCGGTAACGCCCGGGCACTCCAGGCTGTACGGTACACAGTACGGTAGACTGTACGATACCTTGTGGGTGGCCGCCCCGTCTGCGGCCTGGGTCTCGGCCACGCAAGACATGGCGTTTTAGCTGCCCAATGCTGCCGAGTGCTGCCGTAAATCTCGACACCCAACCCGCTCCCTGTGCGCGACTCACCAACCTGCCCCATATCTGGCGCCTGCCGTACTCCTGCCGTGTACTCCTCCCCTCCCCCCTCCCCCCCTGCCAGTACCTACACGCAGCTGCTGCGGTCCGCCAACGCGGTGGACTTCAACGACATGCTGCTGCTGGTGGAGCAGCTGCTGGGGGCGAAGGTGGGGGGTGGGGTAAAGAGGAAACAACTAACTGACTGAGGGATAAGGCGTGGGAGGGGAGGGGGGTGTTGTTGTGAACGTAGCGGTGGGGGGAAAGAGGGAAACAAGAAGCCCACTCCTGAGGAGAAGCCTCGATTTGATGAGATGATGACTGATCTTGCACCCTCCCCACCTGCCCCCACGCAGAACCATGGCAGATTCTGGCTGCTAGAGCGGCTGCAGAAGAGGTAGGCCCGCGGGCGCCCCGGGCGCACACATGTGTGTAGTTGAGTAGAACAAGAGCAATATGTATGTTTCCCGTACCATGTGCTGGTCTCTTGCCGTACAGAGGCGGCCTTATGCGGCTTAGGACGGCCTTCCGTCGCTGCTGAGGTTACGACTGTACGAACTCCCAAATGTACGGCGGCATGTGTTTACTGCCATTTCGGCTTTCCCTCTCCCGCGTGCCAATCCAGCCTACCGGTAATGCGGAATCTTCATCCCTACGGTATACATCCCCCGCATGCAGGCACGAATACCTGCTAGTGGACGAATACCAGGACTGCTCCCTGCTGCAGGTGCGGGTAAAGGAGATACCGGTAGACCCATGCGTAAGATGAGGTGGGGGGCTCCCTGGGGTGTTCGCTGCCCTGCCCTGCCCCGGCCCCCTGCAAACCGTGGTGGAGCCGTGTCACATGGACGAGTTAAACCCATCCCCCCCGCCGTAACGCACCCCCATGCATGTAACGGGCCCCCGCAATGCATGTAACGACCTCCCCCCTGCATGTAACGCTCCCCCATGCATGTAACGACCTCCCCCCTGCATGTAACGACCTCCCCCCTGCATGTAACGACCTCCCCCCTGCATGTAACGACCTCCCCCCTGCATGTAACGCTCCCCCATGCATGCAACGACCTCCCCCCTGCATGTAACGCTCCCCCATGCATGTAACGACCTCCCCCCTGCATGTAACGCTCCCCCATGCATGCAACGACCTCCCCCATGCATGTAACGACCTCCCCCCTGCATATAACGACCTCCCACCTGCATGTAACGCTCCCCCTCCATGCCTGCAGGTGCGCCTGGTGCAGTCGCTGGTGGGTGGCAGCGGGCGGCTCACGGCGGTGGGCGACGACGCGCAGAGCATCTACGGCTTCCGAGGGGCCCTACCCAACGTGTTTGGGGTGAGAGGTGGAGTGATGGCCGGACGGAGGGGGGTCGCCGGTGCTGGTGGTGGTGGTAATGGTGGTGGTGCGTGGTGATCCTTTACAGAAGGCGTCCCCGGTGCACTTTGCCGCACCGTGCCCACGTGGCGTGGTCTTTCCTCCTCATTGTTTCTCCTGTTCTCCTGTTCACGCTGCTTAGCATGCCGTCAAGTGCCTCTCAGGCACACCCCATGATGCTCCCCACCCACCTCCTCCTCCTCCTCCTCCACCTCTACCTCCTCCTATCGTACCCCTCACCTCCCGCCAGATCGTTCGCGAGTGCAACGCTCGCGGGCTGCGCGAGTGCCGGCTGGAGCTCAACTACCGCAGCACGCCCAAGATCCTGCAGATAGGGGGGCACGTGCTCAAGGTAGGGGGTGGGTTAGGGTGGGTGGGTGGGGGGGGGGTGGGGGGTTTCATGTGGGTCTTGCTGGCAACCGGATCTGTTTCCGCCTTTACACCATGTAGAGCACCCCTATTGTTTTTCCCTAATTCTGGTTTCCTATTATTTTGAGTTTTTTGACCCCCCCCCCGGGGTAGTTGCCTCCCGATAATCGCGGTATGTTCCTCTTTGTGCGGCCAGTCTTGTTAACGCAACTCGCACCCCTCCTCCTCCTCCTCCCTTCAGGACAACAAGGGCGCCGATGCGGCCGGTGTCACCCCCAAGACGCTGCGCCCCACCAAGCCCGACACGGCCGACCGGGTGGTGTTGATCCAGGGGGGCACGGGGGCGGACGAGGCGGAGGCCATTGCGGCGGCGGTGGCGGAGCTGCATGGCGGCGGCGGGGGGGTGCCGTACGGCGACATGGCAGTGCTGTTCCGGTGCTTCAAGCTGGGGGGCAAGAAAACACACACGGAGCTGCAGGTGGGGAAACCAGGGGGGAGGGAGAGGGGAAGGAGGGGTCCGGGGGGCGGAATTGTGGTTATTGCGGTGGGGTGGGGACATGTAAGAGGCGGGCAATGTGGGCGGGGGAATTGGGTTCGGTGTAGGATGGATCTTGCTGCAGCACTGCCGCTCTCCTGCACCTCCCTTGCCCTGTGGGTCCCGCGCCGTTGTCCTGTCGTGCACGAATGCTGCCGTACACGTTATCGTACGCGCTTCTACCTGTGTCAGGCGGCGCTGCGAGATCGCGGAATCCCCTTCGTGCTGGTGCGCGACCGCAGCGTCTTCGAGCGAGCAGAGGTGAATGAAACGGGGGGGAATAACTTCCAATGTAACGGCTGTACGGCTTGCATGCGCACTCACGGGTATACTTGTTCTGATGTTGCTGCACCATTACTGCAATTGTTCTGTTGTTGCTGCACCATTACTGCAATTGCAGATTGCCGCAAATTGGCCCTCAAAACATGGGTTCGTACGGGGAAAAGCCCCTTAACTTCCCTTTCCCCCGCACCAAAACCCGACCCGTCCACTTGTTACCGATACCCTTCTTTGTTCCCCCTCCTTCACAGGTCCAAGACACGCTGGCCTACCTGCGACTCGCGCTCAACCCCGCTGACGACGCCGCCTTCACCCGCGTCTTTAACACCCCGCCGCGCCGGCTGGGGGATGCTCGCGGCGCCTTCATGCGCCTGCTTCAGGACCTGCAGGTGCGGTGGTGGAGCCGGTGGGGCCGGGGTGCGTGACAGGGTGGGGAAAAAGAAATTCCAATGTGGGGTGCGAGATGGGGTGGGGACGGTTGATGGTGCGCGGACGAGGGGGTCCAACAGCTTCTGATGGGGTGTGCTGCTGTGTGCATGTGTCTCATCCGCCCATCACCCGCCATCCACCACGTCCCGTACGTTCCTCACTCGGACTCTTTACGCACACACACGCGCTGACAGGACACACTTGACGGCTGGCGACTGGAGTCCCACCAGCAGCAGCAGGGCGCCGGGGATGCGGGGCTGCTGCAGGGCGGCCGCACCGGTGCCGTTGACATGGAGGCGGATGGTGGTGAGGGCACTGCGGCAGCAGCAGCAGCAGCGGTTGGTACCTCCCCGGTTTCCGCTAGCACCAGCAGGCCACCGGAGCACAGCCTGTACGGCCTGTGTTGCGCGCTGCTGCAGCATGGGGAATCAGCAGCAGCAGGAGGAGGAGGCGGAGCAGGAGGAGGGGGGCACATGGAGGCGGAGGGTGAGGGTGCGGCGCATGCAGCCGTGCAGCAGGCGCTCGCCAGGGAGGTCCAGGGCCGCGGCCTGACGACAGCCCAGCGGTCGGGCGTGAAGGTTCTGGTGGAGGTGTTGGAGGGACTTCGGCGGGACGTGTGGGTGCTGGGGCCGGCGGGGGCGGTGGCGGCGGTGCTGCGGAGGACGGGGTATGTGGCGTGGTGGGGCAGGAAGAAGGCGAACAAGGAGCGGCAGGCGCGTGATGCGGCGGAGGAGATAGCGCTGTCGCCGGGGGGTACGGCGCGGGGGAGCAGGGAGGCGACCAACAGGGCGCTGGGGGCGCAGGTGAGGACGGGAAGGGAAGGGAGGGGGAGGGGGGTGGGGATCAATAGGGTACATGCACAGGTGGGCTGGGGGGGCGGGGAGAGATGGAAAGGGGAGAGAGGGAGCATGTGTGGGGTTAAGGGAGAGGGGCGGAGAGGAGCGGATAGGGGGCATGCAGGAGGGTAACAGGGTGGGGTGGCGTTCGGCAGGTCGCAGGAAGGCCAGGCAAGGGGGGTGCTTTGCAAGGGAGTGCTCTGCATGCATGGCAGCTTGCTGGCACGTTACTGTTCTGTTCGGTTCCGTTCCTCATGCCTGTTTGTTTCCGCACCCAGGACTCGGATGTGGACAGCGATGAGGAGGATGAGGACGAGGCGGAGCAGGAGGCGGCAGCCGCGGCAGGGCAAGTCAAACCTCAGGTGGGGGGTAATGAGCGCGGGCTGCTTGTGTCGTAACGGTATTGTTGAGACGCGCGGAAGGGGGAGGAAAGGAACGTGTCCTTTGATGGCAGCTGCAACCCTGCTCGGCCTTCCTGCGCATGCATGTGGCACTCACCTGTCGCAACCTCCCTCGCCATGCATGACCTGTCCAAAGTGTGCCTGCATCCACTCCCCGTTCTTCTCATTCTCATTTCAATCTCATGCTGCAGACCAACGGCGGCCACAGCGCCCCCAGCACCCCTCGTAAAGGCGGCAGCCGAGCTCGGACAACGGCTCGTAAGCCCCGCAAGACGGACGACTCGGATGATGACGACGAGGAGGGAGAGGAAGCGTCGGATGAGGATGGGGAGGATGATGACGGCGAGGATGAGGATGAGGAGGGTGGCGGCGGTGAGGGGTCGGAAAAGGAGGAGGAGGAGGAAGATGAAGAGCCGCTGCCTCGTGGTTTGGATCCGGAACCTGCCAAGCTGGAGGAGGCGGCGGGGAAGGTTCTGGGGCTGAGGTGCTTGTTCAAGGTGAGTTGCAGGGGGGGCCGTTGGTGGGATGTTTGGGGTACGGAAGGTGAGGGGTCGGGCGGAAGGTTGTGGGATGAGGGATGGTGGTGGGTATAGGAATTGGTATCGTGTTGTGTGGCTGGGTCAAAGAAACGAAGGAACATGACCTTTTAGGCCATTTGGGTCGCAGAGCGGAGCAGCATGAATGCCCATGCATGCACGGGAGAGGGCTTTGGGCTTTGGGCCTGGGGAAAGTGTCAGACCTTCTGGGGAAAATGCCTTGCGTGGGTCTGGCATTGTCCCCAGGCCCCTTGTTCCTTTGGCTGCCGGTACACGTCGCATGCCTTTCCTAGTGGGTGTTACTCTTGTCGTCCCGCGACCCGCTTCCCTCCGTCCTGTGTGTGTTCCTCTTCCTTCCTCTTCCACCGCAGGAGGCGCAGCTGTTTGCTGCCAAATGGCGGATTCCCGCTGCGGCTGGTGCTGCAGAGGGGGAGGAGGAGGGGGACTGGGGAGAGGAGGGCCGCCAGCAGCAGGGGGGCAGCTCTTCCACGCAAGGTCAACAGCAACAGCAACACCAACAGCAGCAGCAGCAGCAGAAAGGGACGCAGGGCTGGCAGCCTGGCTCTTCCGCGCCGCCGCCGCCATCGCAACAACAACCACAGCAGCAGCAGCAGCAGCAACCACAAGGGGGCAAGCTCAAGGCCCGGGGGGTGCCCGAGCTCTTCCAGCTGGCTGCACGGGCGGTCATGTCCTCCTTGAGCGGGGAGGACCTGCAGGTGCGGACATCAGGTCGGCTGGAGGGCGACTGGAGGCAAAGAAAGAGAGGGAAGAGGCGGGCGCTGATGGGGCACCGGTTCGCAGGGGCTCCCTTCCCTGCTGTGCGACACACTCGTCTGCGAGTTTGAGCAATTGGAAAGGCATGACGCATAAGGGGTTACGCACTATTCCCTAATCCAGAGCGCGCCTCGGAACGCACCCTTGCTTCTTTGCATGTGTGCACACGCACTATCTACAACTCCCGCCCACCCTCACACCCACCCACCCACCCGCCTTCCTCCCACCCGCCCTGCAGGCCGCCCTGCACCGCGTGTGCCCCCGCACGGGGCTGCCGCTGGTGGTGCCCTGCGTGCTGGAGCAGATGTACGGCGAGGTGCGGCGGGGGCCGCTGGTGCTGCGAGACTTCCTGGCGCACGTGTGCCTGAGTGACAGGTGGGTGGGTGCGGTGGAGGGGTAGCGCTGTTGCCTGGCTGTTGTCACCAGGCTGTCGTACACACCGTTTAGCTCCTCCGCTGCTCCTCCATGCTCCTCCGCTGCTCCGTTTAGCTCCTCCGTTTAGCTCCTCCATGCCAACTTACTGGTCCTTTCTTCCTCTGCCTTCTTGCATGGCCCTGCGTGCGTGCATGTCGGATGGATGGCTAGGGTGTAGGCCTAAACTCTCCCCCCCTGCTTGCTGACCGCTAACCGGGTGTCTGCCTGCAGGGAGGTTGAGGCGGGCGGCGGGGGCGGCGCTGCTGGTGCCGCAGCCAAGGCCACTCGCCGGCCCGCCGTCACCATCAGCACCATCCATGCGGCCAAGGGGCTGGAGTGGCCGGTGGTGTTTGTGGCGCGATGGAACGAGGGCTACCTGCCCACGGTTGCTCGGTTGGAGAAGGAGGTGCAGGAGCGGCTGGAGCGGCTGCCTGCGCAGGAGAGGGTGAAAGCCGAGCGAAAGCATGCCGCGGAGCACTCCCAGGTGGGGCCGTTGTGTTGCGTGCTGTGATGCGTGCTGTGATGCGTGCTGTGATGCGTGCTGTGTTGCGTGCTGTGATGCGTGCTGTGATGCGTGCTGTGTTGCGTGCTGTGATGCGTGCTGTGTTGCGTGCGCCCTTTTTGGTGCAGTGCAGCATAGGTGCAGTGCAGTGCGGTGCATACATGCATATAACCCGGATATGGGTACATCTCCCAACTCTTCCCATGCGGCATTTCCGCCCTCTACAACGGTTTTGCCGTACACTGTCGTACCACCGTCCCGCCCACTGCCCCGCCACCCCCAGGAGGAGCGGCGGTTGGCGCACGTGGCAGTTACTCGGGCCATGGAGCGGCTGTACATCACCTCCATCAGGTGGGGGGGTCGACGGGACGGGAGGGTAAAGAGGAAACAACTAACTGACCGTGTGATAAGGCATCATCATGGACGGGAGGGGGTTTGGGGTATGAAGAGTTGGGGAGTTTGTGTGGGGCAGGAGGAGCCAGTCGCATCTTCTTCCGCAAGACTTCCGCGTACTGGAGCGCTAGGCATGTACGATGCACCCCACCTCTTTTGCGCTAGGCATGTACGATGCACCCCACCTCTTTTGCGCTAGGCATGTACGATGCACCCCACTTAGCCAAAAGACTGAGTCTACTCTTTGCCGGTTTCCGGTCGCTTGCTGCGCCCCGCCCGCGCCCCCGTCTCAGGGTTCACACGGTAAATGGCCGGGCGTTCGAGGTGCCCCCCTCCTCCATCTCGCTGCCCGAGGAGGACGCTGCGCTTATGGAGGTCCGGCGGCTGCCTCCGAGTGAGGCGGAGAAGCGGCTTGTAGCCCAGGCTCTCGCCAACAAGGAACGGGGGGAAGGGATGTAGGGGCGTAGAGGAGCTCTGAAGGCTGCATGAAGCATCCTGGGTTCCGGACTGTGAGTTGGTTGGAGGCAGGATGTGTGGCGCAAGCTGTGGTGGCGCCAGATGTGGTTGGGGTGCGTGCGGAATGTGGGAGGGGTATATACCGATATCATGCAAGGGTGATGGGGGCGTGGCAAGGCGCTTTGAAGGATGCTGAGCAGGTGGGCTGTGTGCCGCGCTAGGATGTGGTGTTGGAGTGTGGTGGGACGCGTTGTGAAGGGAAGGCTGCTGGATGTGGTGAATCTTGCATTATGGCGGTAATGAAGTGAATATATGTCATCTAGTGATGAATGTTGGTTTACCATTGTGTTTTGGGGCTGTTGTACTCTTAACCCGACCCGCCGACCTTCCCACGTTTTGCGGAGTGCTGTGGCGTTTTATATGGAACGGCGCAATTTGGCATTATCCTGTATGAGCTCGCAGTGGCACTTCCCAACTCATAAACCTGGTGTCGGCTAATATAGCAGCAGAGTTCTGTGGAAATGCTCTTAACGCACGTGTGCATCCTCGGCATTTCCGCAACTTGAAAATTACATGAAGATATCTACGGGCAATGATACCTGACATGTGTGCATCTTCGTAATATCTGACACTAGGCTTAGCCTCGCCAAGGATGCCAATTATCTAGACTATGCGGCCTTCGTGAAACGACTATACGGAAATGGACCGTTGTGGTTTTGCATCTATGTCATCAATCCGTTAGCGTAACCTGCAATTACGCTTCCAGGGTTTTCGCGCACGGCGCTACTGGGCGAGGGTACGACACTGAACGTCCAGCAATAAATACTCGAAAGGCCATGCCCTATTACCACAGCAATAACGTATATTTAGCTATGCAGCTTTGGTCTTAGGCAACCTCAGAAACGGGCGTGAAAGTCTGGACACTGCGTTGTGTACCAGACTACCGGTGGCTGGGACCAGGTGTCAAGGTAAGTCTTTACAAGCCTTTGCAGGCGTTCTACACGCACTGTCTATCAGACACAGCGGTTAGTCACTTCTCGCCGTTTTGCTTCTTTGACAATGTCCTGCAGGTTTACGTGCAATCTTTCGTTGAACCAGTCCAAGAGCTTTAGTTCAACTTAAGGTGTTAACGTGGCAACAGGTGCGCTTATAACTAAAGGTTCAAAATGTTAAGCTTTGGCCGCATCGATGCTTTCCTGCCAGTTGACAGGCGTTTGTTTACCTTTCGCAGGCCTGCGTGCTGCCCAAGACTGCTAGAGTATTTTTAAGGCCATTCCAAGCATTAATTAACCGGTACGAAGAGTTGGGCCTTTTCAGCGTAACCAGTTTTACCATAGTGCTTTATCGCTCTACATTATATCATTTTGTATTCAAGAGAAGGATTTTCCTTTGTAGTCAGTTTCGTTAGTGGCGCGTCAGGCATCCGCCGATTGACATCCTTCGGCTCCGCCAATGACGCTAATGCTTATGGCAATGACGTTCCAAGCCTGCTGCGCTACGCTGCTTGTGAAGACGTCTTCACGAGATCGCAATCCTAACCCTACGTTTGTCGCCCGCCCCCCTGTGCCACAGAGCCTTGGCAGCATGGTGAACAACGAATGCTTGCGTCACTCGGAAGCTGCAGGCTCCATCCACCAAGGGCAAGCCGCCCTGAGCCAATGACAAGACCCGAACACGGCTACAACCTCCAAGGAGACATCGAACTCGCCCAGCTCGCTGTCTCCTCAGCCTCCCCTCCCCGGCTCGGCTAGGCACTCTCTTCTCCCCTCTCCGACCTGAAGCTTTGGCCAAGCCCAGCAGCCAAGCGGCCCACGGAATCGCGTTCCCTTCCGTCGCTTACCCGTGCTTTACAAAGGTACGTCCAGACGTGCGGGTCATTGCATGCGTGCGTGTAGAGATGACAATGGTTGTCCCGTCGGGGTTTGCTTGCACCGTATACGGTAGGGTCACGTATTATCTAGCTAAACGTCGCGCATGCATCTCTAGGCTTATGCATCAAGGCGACACCTGCTGTTAGCCAATATCACACTGGCTCGATATCAAGACCCTGTCACTGAACCTGCCCTTTCTTGGCTGTCGCAGGTACGATGAGAGCTCTTTCAAGGCGGCATCCGAGCCTTACGACCAGGACTCCTTCTGCCAAGACCAACACCAAAAGAGGGCACTTTGAAGGTACACCCATTCGTGTAGAGCAGTGCATATTTGTTGGTGATGCATGCATGGCTTGTGTTGAGTTGTGTTGTGTTTGAGCACAAAACTCATTCAAGGCAGCACCCGAGACTTAACACCAAGACTGATGCCAAGACCAATAACAGCAACGTCAATAGCGGAGTGAGACTAATAGCGCGGATGGGGCAAAGGTAGGGGATGGCCCAATCTGCGGCAGAGGGGGGTCAAAGACCATACCATACCATAGGAGACCATAGGAGGGGGGTCGGAAGGCAATTGCGCGGGAATATGATAGGGCTGAGCGGGGTAGGCATGCTTTGTTCATGCGTCTTGTTTTTCGTATGCTGCTTCATTCAATGCGGGGTGTACTACACATGTGCGACCCACGGGTCATGTTTTGTGGGCTCGTGCCTTAAGGTACCGTTTGCGTTAGGCGTGTTTGGTGGCTATTGTGCTGTACAGCTGTAAATAGAAATAACCACAGAGATGCTGAGACTGTAGAGCATTTGTCGTTTACATAGCTGCTGTTAGTTTACTGGATACTTGCAAGATGTAAAACGCTTTCCTTCCTCCCCTCCTTGCGAGGGGAGGGCACCTCCCGTGCGCGTTCTCTGCATGGCACGTGTTGCATGAAAGTAGTTTCCTTACTCAGCCAGGTCAGCAGCCTAGCTGGGCCTCGTGTCGTAAAGCAGCCACAGTGACAAGTAAAACGATGATACCGTGACACACATTCGTCTTGTACCAGACTTCGCTGCCATTCTACTCCTTAGGATTGCAAACCCTTCTAGCGTCCCACTCGTAATCCCGTTGAACCAAGCGGCACGTTATGTTGGGCGGTTGTCCCAAATGCAAGAGATCACTCGAAGATAGGTTACCTCCTGTTACATCTTGCAAGGCCGACGCTAGAGGCCACACAGTTACTGGGACGGCCCCCGGTATGGCAAGACTCCTGTGCGTAGCAAGCCGCGTGAAACTTCCATAGATACCACGATACATGGAATACAAGGTGATACCGGTACTTGCAAGTCCGCCTCGTACTCGATTTGCCGTACCGCACAGTTAACAAATAACTTGAAGCACGCTGCCAGTGTTGGCCATCCCTAGCACACAGCCCATGCATTTTAGGAAGCCCAGCAGTCCCTGCAAAAATACCAACATCCTGCGCCTGACCCGCACATGCATTTCACCATCCTGCATCATCACCATATGTCTCTTGTAAAGCTCACAGGACTATTGCAGTAGCGAAAGCCCAAACTAAGTCATGGCATAACTTAAGGCGGCGTGCGTGCGGGGCCCAATGCAAACGGGCAAGCGAAGAAGGTAACGACACGCAACAGCCAACCCTGTATTTCTCACCACTGCAGGTGCTGAATCGCCAGGAAGACAATGTACAAGTAACTGCGAAGGCGCATACAGTTTCGACACACGCTACGACAGTATCTTGAAACAGCGCTTTTGTGACCAGCCACAGAGGCCGAAGAAGGATCGGCGCAGCAACGTGGAGCAATCTGGAACCGAAACCCACACAATGCCAGTAAACACGTCGTCCCGGGTGATGTTGTGTGTCGAAAGACAGTTAGAACAGCGTCACAATCACAGCATCGTGCAGTCAAAATTATCAGCAAGCAATACAACAAAACGAGAAGGGAGCGTTAGGGTACGTTCAACGCCCATTCCAAAGGCCCTGAAGATCACGGCCCTTGGTTTTGGATACAACCGGGCACGACCCATGGGCCACTACGACTGCCAGGTTCCAACGAGCGTCAAACAAAGGCTGGCATGGAGTGGCACAGCAGGTCCAACTTTGTGCACATGACAAACGTCCTGCCAAGATCTGACATGTCACGATAACCAAGCAAGGGATCAAGTCCAAGAGTCCAGCAAGGCAGCGGCATATGGCCCTAGGTCACAAACCATCCAAAGGAACGCTTAACAACGCCGACCCAGATCAGTGAAGATACATAGTTGCAACACACGCAGTACGACACGTGTTCAGTCACCCACCTAACGCCAGTTGGCATCGGTGTGGGGTAATACATGAATACGTGTCCCAATTGACCCACGCCAACGGAGGTACACCGAACCTTGCAACGCGACGCGAATGCGTCCAACCCAAATGCTCAGTACACGTGCACTGGCTTCGTCATTAAAAACATCAACCCGACATTGCAACGGGACCGGACAACACATCACCACAACAACAATCCAACCTCTAGGGATGCTTCCTTGCTCGCCGTTAAGGGGCATGCGGTGTGTCAAGACGTCAGTGCATGACCGTCACAGTCCTCTGGCACCATCCAAGGCCCGCATATTTTCAGCGGCACTAAGGCGCGCGCCCTCCTTCAAACAAACACCGTCAACAACAGCTTTTCATGCGGCGTGTCGTACAACAAGATTCTGCCAGCAGACTTATCGCAATGCTGCAATCTCCTCAGAACTCCAAAATTTACCGGCTGTCCGATTGGAGATATGCTTTAAGTCTTTACCAAGTCGTGGAGCGGCCTGTAGGCCCGTTTCAAGTCAACACCTATCGGTACGCTTCCGGCGTCCGCGGGTACGACATTACTTGAGACGCGGACTGAGCCGCCACAGTTGCACCCACACCGCTGCGGGCTGCTTGGTTACGAGCTGCAATACCATCCCAGCTCGTCCGTGGCTGCAACATGCTAGCAGCGGCGCCGCCGCCGCCAGCGTCGCCGTCGCCTGCGACCATGCCGCTTGTCGTACTCATGCCGAGCAAAGACCGCTGCGACCCAGATCCGCTGTACAGGATGTACTCTCCCATTGGTTGTCCAGGATTAACGCTTTGTGCGAATGACGTACGACGAGTACGAGGCGAAGGAGATCCAATATTGTTGCCAGTGGCGCCGCCGCCGCCGGCGCCTACCCAGCCGCTGCCTCCGCCAGCCGCGGTGGCGGTGGCCGCCGCGCCACTCTCCCAAGCCGAAGGCCCCTCACTGCTGAAGCCGCCGCCACCGCCGCCGACGCCGCTGCTGCCATTACCGTACCCGGTATAACTCGCTACATTGCCGCCGGCGTAACTGGCACGCACGCGGGAAAGCGTACCCGAGTTGGGAGCGGAGGCCGTCGCTGAAGACGGCTGCGACGCCCCCACACCACCACCGTAACCGCTGATGCGTGCTGCTAGACCGCCAGCGGTGCCGTTGAGGCTGGTACCGCCCAGCATCCGCCGCGTGAGGGGACTGGCGACGCCGCTGCTGCTCGCGGCAGCGGACGGCAGTGCAGGGAGCGGCACGAAGCCGCCGCTGCCGCCGCTGCGACTGGTGGGAATGGCAGAAGTGGTGGCAGCGACGGCGCTAGGCGGCGTAGCCGGCTGGCTGTACACGGGCGCAGACTGTGGAGACACATTGACGACACCGCTGGGGTCGTTGTCACCGCCGCCGCCAATGACGACGGCACCTCCGCCAGGCATGGGTCCGTCTTCGTGTCCAAAAGAGCGGATGCTTAGGAGCGGCGGCGGTCGGAAGGGGCTGTGGTTGCGCCGCTCCAAGCTACCAATGCGGGTCATGAATGGGGCGTTGCTGCTGCTGGTGGCGCCGGCGGCGCTGGCGCTGGCGGCCGCGTAGGTGCCGACGGGAGAGACGCCGCTGAGGAGGGCTGGACTGCCGGGGTCGCTGACGCCGGCTGCTGCTCCGATGATGGCGGCGTTGTTGTTGATGGAGGGAAGGTCCTGGGGTGGGCGGTGGACAGGTGTGTGAATGTGTGCGAGCAGGTGGCAGAGGCGGAGCGGGGAGGCAGGTGGGTGAGCGACAGATAGAGGATGAATGTGCAGTGAGCGCACCTCAGGGCACCTAGTGGTGGCCAAGCAGCTACGGGCAACCAGTGCACAAACAACGCCACACCCGGGCTTCATGTTTGACGTACTGGCAAGCTCTTGCGATTGGTCCAGTTGGCGCCCCTCTGCGCTGCCCCGCCATGCACCGTTCGGCCGCCGTAGCCCAGACCGCCCATCCCGCCAGCAATGCCGCCACTGCCGTCATTGCCTCCGGTCGACACACGCTGCATGCGCGACCGAGGCGGCACTGCGGCCACAGACACCGCTGCCACGGCGCCGGCACCGCCCCCGGTGCCAGCCCCGCCCATCGCGCCGACCATGCCGACGCCATTCCAGTACTCGTCTGTCGGAGCATAAGGCGGTGGGTCCAAGTCATCGCGTTCGTAGGTCGGGAGGTCTGCCTCCTCGTGCGGTCCCGTCATGTCGTCGCCATGTGGCAGGATCCCCACCGAGTGGGGAGGCGGCGAGTCGCCTGGGCCCGCCTCCCCAGTGTCTTGATCCTCCGGATCGTCGTCAAGTTGCTCGCTGTCTTCCAGAAGCTGTGGGCGTGAAGTGTGGGTGGGTGAAAGTTTGGTTAATAGCTGCCGGCTTACGTGCGGCGGGACGGGTTAGGGTTTTATGAACAGGCTGTCCTACAAGACAACCGACGCGACATGCAACACGCGGTAAGACAAATCACGTGTCATGGATATGTAACTTAACACGCGCACCTGCCGCAACGTATGCGACCTGCCGCCGCTGGGAAGCAGGTTGGGGGCGCTGTAGCCACCCAACATGCCCACGCGCCTCACACGCTCGGCTCCAGGGACGGGCGCGCTAGCTAGCCCCGTGTAGGCGGCGGGAAGGTGGGAGGTGACAGCGCAGGCGCCACTGAGTCTGCGTTCCCGAGGGCTGCAGCTTCCGGCGCCGCTCGGGGCCGCGTTGCCGAGAAGGGCTGCCGTGCGGGGGTTGCTGACAGTCTACAGGACGGTAACGGGGTTGGATGATGGTTGGTCTTCTGGCGGGGAGGGTAGCTAGTCCAACACTCATGGACATGCGTTTATAAGCTTCGTACTATCGCACGTCAGCTCAGATGCTAAATATGTGGGCCTCACCTTGATCCCGACTTGCTCCAGAAACTCAACCGGTCGTGGCGGTGGTGGCCGCGGCAGCGGCATGCTAGGACAGCGATTCAGTCCCCCACCGCCTGCGCCGCCGCCGCCGCCGCCACTCCCACCATGTGCAGACTCTCCCGCCCCCGTACCATTACGAGATCCCGGCTGCGCTGGGGGCGCGGACACCGACGTCGCCAGGGTCATGGCTGGCGGGGCCCCCAGCCCCGGCGGACTGTAAGCGGGTCCCATGCCGGGGGTGTTGTTGGCCTGTTGCTGCAGGCTGTTTTTCAGCTGCTGCCGTCGACCCATCACGGTTTCACGCCGCAGGGCAGCGAAGGTCGGCAGCGAGCCGCACAGGTACTCGAAGCTGGCCAGGAGCATCCTGTGTAGCGACGAGGGCGACAAAACAAAGGGAATTCCCGGTGATATGGCTTATCGCCAGGCCATGAGGAAAGACCACAAGCGCTAAACGAACCCCCATACCATTGAAGCACCATGATATGCCGTCGGCGCAGGGCCGGCGTCTTATCACGCAGCGTATTGCTTTTAGTAGCAATCACTCTGCCACTCCTACCTGGGCAGTATCAGCACCTTGCAGGGTCGCGAGGTCACCGCACTCGCCACATGCCGGCAGGGCGGCGGCAGGGAGGGACCGCGAGAGGGGCTGCTGCGGCCCACTTGGCGGCCCTTGCTACCATACTGCGTGCGATTGACGCCGAGAGCGTAACCGCCGTCGCCTTCCTCTTGGTTCTCCTCCGTTTCTTCCTCATCAGGCTCCTGTCGGAGGACAATAGGGGCGATACCGTTTACATGCCGCGAGTGCATGAATTTGCATTCACTGTGTAACCATCCATTAGCGGCAACCGATGCATCATCACACAGTGTACTGGGCGCAAGGCGTGGCGGCCTTGAGCAACCCCTACCGACCCATGGGTCGCACCTGCTCCTCTGCTGCCGCCGCCGCCGCCGCCACATCCTCCGGATACCCCAGCACGCTTTCTCCAAACGAGCCACCGGGCCCAAGTAAAGATAGTGCAGGCAGTGAGGCCACCCCGCGACGAGCCCCCGAACTCCCCCCAGCAATTCCGCCGCCACAGCTGCTGCTACTGCTGCCGCCACCACTGCTGCCGCCGCCGCCAGCAGCTGCCGCGGTCAGCGCGGGGCGATCCAGGGACATGCTGCGGAAGCTGACCATGCTAAGCGTGTTGCCGGCGGCTGGGCCGGTTGGGCTGCCGCCGGCGTTGCCAGAACAGGACACCGCTGCGGCTGGGGTGGCGGCGTTACAGTCCGGGTCGTCTAGAAGTCGCACTTCGCCATCCTGTGAGCGAGGGAAGAAGTTGGAGGGGGACGGTTGGAAGGACATTCAGCCGGCTATGTGGGTGGTTTGGGAGTGTGGAGAGGAGGCGGGGGCAGCCCGGTTTTTAAGTTGGTGCTTTGGCGCTGGGCGACGGACCACTCACCATGACCACGTACATGGCCTCCACCTGCTGCCCTTGCCGTACAATGAGTTGGTTCGCGTCCAGGCACAGCAGCTTGCAGCCCAGCGCCACCTGCGTCTGGTGCTCGTCGCTGAGACCCCGCAGCGGCTCCAGGGCGGTCAGGGCGGCCAGGCGCTCGCTGATCATGTCGTCGCGAACCGCGGCGTGACCCCGACGGAGCGCCGACAGCGCAACAACCAACACGTCGGCGCCGGAGGGACCTGCTGGCAATGGAAATTATCCAAACAAGCGGTCCAGGAGTGGGCGATGGATGTGAGTGATGGAAGTAGCGTCTCATGCAGGATTGTGAAGATGAAGATGAGGATGAAGAAGGGTAGCGGGATAGCGACCCGCGGGTCTCAGCAGGCACAATCGCAACCACAACGAACGGCAGCTTCTGAAGCAATGCCGCAAGTTGTACACAACGCAAAGTTACTACCCCACAGGCACATCACCGTGCCTTCACCGCATCGTCCATTCGACATTCCCGACATCCCAACGCGCATCCTCATCAGCAACGCACCTGCGACGGCGGTGACAGTCCGCCGAAGCCGTGCCGCCGCTCCTCTTGCCGCCGTCGCACCGCCGCCCATACCCGCAGCCCGGGCCAGCGCCGACTCTGGCAACTCCCCCGCCACTTGCCCCGCCTGTACGACATCCGTTACGCTGCCGTACAACCGCTCCAGATCCGCCTCAGACGCCTCCCCAGGCTCCTGCAAAGAATGCCCATCGATTGCGAGCGCCCTGGGGGATCCAGGGTCCTGTTTGTCAGCCTGGCTTGAGGCCTCCTTCCCATCCTGGCCTTGTATGCAATGGTGGCCGGGGGCGTCGATGTCGCTGCCGGTGTTGAGGATGGAGGGCTCAATGGCGCCTTCCACGTCGGAGTCGACACCCCCCCGGGTGACCTCCGCTTGCTCGTCCAGGCGAGCTAGCTTTTCCACCGCGTCATGGATCCTACAGCAGGGGCGAAGAGGAAGAAACGGGACATGTTTTGACAACGGGGCACAGTTACCGGAGAAGTAAGGAGCTGAGCTGGGAGTTTGGGAAGTAGGAGCGGTGATGAAAGTACGATAGAATCGCTGACACGGGTAAGTGGCTAAGGGACAGACAAGGTGGCAAGCAGAACCCCACACACCACACACCTGACGGATGTCTCAGCCAGGTGGAAGTTGGGGTCCAGGTACATCAGCCGGACCACCGATGTACGGCGCCCGCCGCCATGTCCTGCCGCCTGCCGCCGTACAGCTGTTTCCTGTACGGCACTGTCAACGTTGCTGCCGCCCCCCAGATGTACGGCATTCCCAGGCGCCCCCATGACCTCTTGGCTGCCTGGCTCGCCTGCATCCTGCTCGGTCAGGAGCTCGGACGTGCAATCCCTGCATCGCGACAGGGACATCAGGGCGGCAGGCACAGGGGCGGGGGCCGGGGGTTGCAGGCTTGCAGCAGGTGTCGAATTGCTAGGCGCGACAAGGTGCGCGCAGACTCCCTGCAGAGGCAGCCCACCACCACCACCACCCAGCACAGCACAGCACAGCACAGCACTCGGCACGGCTGAGAGGCCAGTCCCAGTACCGGTACCCCCCCAGTGCTCCCTCCCTGCAGCCCCCCCATGCAGCCGCACCTGCTGGCTCCCTGCAGCTCCAGGTGGTGTGCCGCCAGGTGCGCCTCCTCGTCCACCTCCTCGTACATCAGCCCCTGCGACCGCCCGCGCGCGTCTTGGATGGCGCGCAGGTAGGCGCTGCGGGCGCCCTTGCCGCCCAGCAGCGTGCCCATGTCTGCCAGGCGGCGCAGGCAGGCAGGGAGCATGGGAGGGGGGGGGAACGTCGGCGGGAGAGCAGTGCAGGTTTGGCAGGAGCAGTGGATACAACGACGGTGTAAGCAACAACAGCCCAGGCGCTGAGGAGAACCTCTGAGCGAACTGCCGGTAGTCCTGGCAGACAGATTGTTCTTTGTTTACGATGCAGCCCAAGTCCGGCAGCTCCCGGTACCGCCCCTCGCCCGCCACAACCACCTGTCACCGCCCGCCTACCTGACACGTGGCCCGCCTCCTCCTTCTTCTTCCGCAGGTACTCCTGCAGCAGCGGATCCGCCTCCTCCGCCGCTCGCTCGCCCCCCTCCTGCGCCTCCTTGCGAGCCATCCCCTGCCCCAGCATCCTTCCCTGGCCCATGTTGAGATGCTGCGCCACGTTCATTCCCAGCCTCAAGCCCCCAATCCCACCACCGGCTGGACGCGACCCCAGCCCCAGCCCCAACCCAGCCCCTAGGTTGAAGTTGATCACGGCAGGCGCCAGTGAGGCGGTCGGGGAGATGGTGCCGATGCCCCCTACCAGCCCGTAGCTTTGCGTTGCAGCTACACCGGCAGCAGCAGCGGCACCGGCGGAGGCGGCGGCCTCCGAGGTGTATCCTTGGTGGGAGGCTTTGAAGACGGCTCGTCGCCAGTTGTTCAGTGCACCGGGGGCTGCGGGGGATGCGGTTAGGAGGGAGGTTGGGGGCGGAGAGGGCTTGGTGGGGAGTGCGGCAGTAGTGCTGCCTGGGGAGGTAGGGGCGGCGGAGGCAGGGCCGGCGGAGGCGGTGGAAGCCGCGGTGGGTGCGCCGGAGGAGGAGCCTTTGCGTGCGGTCTGGGAGGAGGAGGAGGAAGCGGTCGGGGAGTCCGCACGGGGGGTTGGGGAAAGGGGGGCACACAGGGGGAGAGGGCAGGGGGGAGGGGGCAGGGGCAGGGGTCGGGGAAGGGATGGGAAAGGAGGGGGAGCAAAGGCGGAAAGGCAGGCATGGCGCTCAACAGGGTTCAGTGGACGGTAAAGGCAAGCTAACAGGAGCAGGAAGCGGCACAACGAGGGAGAGAGAGCGTGTCCGTCCTAAGCCGCGACAGGGGAACGGAGCTACCAGCATCAGGAGCAGCATTATGGGACTGAGGAAGAGGAACGCCAGCAAGGCCATGTCTTGCTATTTTACCAGCAGCAAAATCATGGAAGGCCCCCTGCGGAAGACTCCTCCTTAATTAGGTTTGCGTCTGTAACCACAAACGCGACCAACAGCATCGCAGCAGCTCATCCGTGCCTCACCACACTGCAGCGTGCAGTGTCGACCTACCGCTAGCTGCACCAACCAACCAGAGCCACAGGCCCCCCATAACCCTAAAACACCGCGCGGCTCGGCTCGCCTTACCCTGTCGTAGAACGCGTTGAGCCAGGGGTGCAATTGCGGCTCCAGGGTGGGGGCCGGCGTGGGCGGCTCCAGGGGTTGCTCGCGGATCTTGTCGCGGGTGAGCGCCAGGGACTCCTTGATGGCCACTCGAGCTGCGGCAGGCAGGAGAGAAGAGAAGTGGGGAGGCTCGCGTCATGTGGGTTAGGAAGGTTAGGAAGGCGGAGCTGGCGGAGAGGAGGGCGTCCAAGATACCGGTAGCCACCACCTGCCCTCCAGCCCGGCCCCTGGCCTAAGCTTACACCCCCCACAAAAATCCCACCTTTGCGTTCTTCCTCAATTTTCTCCCGCACCGACACGCTCCTCTCCCTGCCTTTCTCCACACTGCTAGCCTCGGACGCAGTGCCGCTGTCGCCTTCGGCTGCCACCGCCGCCGCCGCACTACCTTTCGCCGCGGCACTCCCTCTCATTCCCGCCGCTGCGCTGCCTTTCGCTGCACCCGCCGCACCACCTCCTTTCCCTCCCGCCGCCACACCCGCTTTCGTCCCCGCCGCCGCAGCCCCTTTCGCCCCCGCCTTCCAGCTGCCATGCGCCGACTCTGCTGCGCCGCCCGCGCCTGCGCCCTGCTGCAGCGCCGCCACGGCTGCCCGCCACTCCCTGCTCTGCTGCCGGTGCCGTACCTGCACCTCCCCTGCCAACACCACGTACTGCGAGTTGCTGCGGGTGTGCTGCTCGAAGAGGATGGTGCCCGGGGGCAGCCGGTGCAGCGCCGCCGCCTCAGACATGGCACGCAGCACGGGGGCAGGGGTGCGACCCAGGCCCTGCAGGGAAAGCATGCGACACGCCGGGAGGACGTTTGGCAGGGTGATGAAAGAGCCCATTATCAGATAGGTAGCTAGCTGCATAAAGAAAGCCCTACGCGAACAATGTCTTACTCTACCTCACAAGCCAACCTACAGCCGAAAGCACGCTCCTGCCCCCCCCCCCTTTCGATTGCTCACACATGTGCGCTTCCCGCGTCCCCATGCTCCAAGTTCTCAGCCCCTGGCGACTCCGCGCCCGGCCCCGCCCTAGTACCTCCCCCCGAGCCCGCGCCTCCCTCTCTCGCTCCCCCTCACCGGCAGCCGCTTGAACAGCGCCTCCAGGTCGTCCGCCTGCTCCATGGTGCGCTTGCCGGGGGGGCTGCTGGCGGCCAACGAGCGGGCGCAGCAGCACAGCAGCGCGGTGCGAGCAAGGCCGCACACCGGCTGCGATAGAGGGGCAGGAGCGAGAGGGACAGGGGGTGCGGATTGGGTGCGGATTGGCGAGCGGATTGGTAAGACCTAGGCTGGGCAGGACTACGTGGGTGCGTAGTGTAGCATAGCGTTTGATGCAATCGGGTGATCTGGGTCACATACGCAACTGGCGATCTGGGTCAGCATTCTACGCAACTGGTGGTCTGGGTCAGTGTTTTACACAACTGGCGATCTGGGTCAGGAGGATCGACGTCGCACGTGGGAGAGGAGGGCCTTCCAGACGGCTGCGGCGGGGTGGGCGTGTTATGGGTGACCATGAGGTCTCATCGCGACATCATCGGCTGAGCCCACGTGCCAACGTGCTGTGCTTCCGCGCTGCCCACCTGAATGGGCGCCCTTGCGCACATGTCGCTCCAAGCCGTCCTGGTCAGCACCGCCAGCACCGCGCCCTCGCCCTCCTCGCCACCGCCCTCCCGCGCATCACCACCTTCCCCAGTAACCGTGACGGTGATGTCCGAGGCGCGCCCCGAAACCACCAGCGCCGCCTCGCACACCGCCTGACCCGGCAGCAGCGGCTGCGGCGCGGGCGGCTGGAAGCCCTCCCGCCGCGAGTGACGAGATACGGAACAGCGACCGCCCAGGAGAAGGTAGCTGCAACGCATGACATGCGGAGCCAGGGTTTCATCATCAGTCAAGGGCTGGAAATAATCAGTGATTGCTGCAGAGGAGGACGCTATGGCAGGCGTGCGCTGGTGCCTTGGGACGGCGTCTCTCCTGCATGCGGTCTCCTAGCCACTAACACGGTAACCCATAAGCTCATGTGCCCTGGCGTCCCTTGCCCTCCGCCCCCGCTCACAGTCTGTCCGTGACCTCCTCCGCATGCAGTACCACCTCCCCGGGAGCAGCGCGGTGGAGGGCTGCGAAAGAAGGGAAGAGAGGGAAGAAGGGAGGCCACAGCGGTGTTGGGCAGGGCGTGGCTAGGTAAGGCATGGAGGAATGCGTTGCATGCAGTAGGCCACTGGCCGGCTCAGGTACATAAGCCACATGTAGGAGTGGAGAGCCACATGTAGGAGTGTAAGGCGGATGCGACGAGGGCTGGGTTTAAAGCTGAAATGATACTGATTAAGGCGCCATGTACGCATTGCGTGAAGTCCAAGAAAACCACCTCTGGCGCCTTATCACACAGTCAGTTAGTTGTTTCCTCTTTACCCCTGGAGCGACAAACACTGGGCCCCCTTAAGCTCCAATGGAAAACCCTAGTTGTGAGAGAGACGGCACGACTGATGCAGCCATCTGGGTTGGTTGTAGCCATCTGGGTCGGATGAATTTGGAGCTGCAGTAGGCTGTGGATGCTATCTGGTCGTTTCGGAGTGCGGCTTTGGATCACGCGGGCCGCAGATATCCAGTTGGAAGTACCAGAAGCCGCATACACGTGTTAACGGAGACACAAAGTGCGACGGCTGACGTACCGGGTGCTTTGACAAAAGCTTGTGCACGGAATAAGTTGGCAGCGGGTACACTGTGCGCCACTGCGGCTTTGAGTATGTCGGAGCGCCCCGCATACACAAGGGCTCGAGTTTAAGCCAATGAACTTACTTATTACTGTACATATTTGCAGCAGCGTAGTAAAGTCCACGCCAGCGAAGAATGGCTGCGACAAGGTAGGAACAAGGCACGTGTCAGGGTGTGAGCCATAAGGCGCTCCACAGCGTGGAATGGCAACAAACATTCAGAAAGTGAACTATTGGCACAAGATCAGCGAAGACGTGTTCCGAAACAGCCTTCTATAGCCAACGAGTGTTTTAGCTATCTATGAGGGACCGAGCCTGAAACCACGTATCTAGCCCAAGGTTTTCATGAAATCCTAACCAGTGCAAGTGGACATATTAACCGCAGCCGACGCATTCTCGAGCCCCCGATGTAGCCAAGACCCCGGACGGACTCATAGGTAGGAGCATCCCGCTAACCTCAGACTGGTAACCAAGCCACACCCGCCGTCCGCACCTGTCTCCTTAAGAAGGTAGCAAGACGCTGTAAGTCGACTGACGTGCGCTGCGGCGGCCTGCGAAGGGGCCCAAGTAACTCTACCTTGCGACATGGCGGAACCCAATTGGGCGCCCAAGTAAGCACAAACAGCCGCATGAACTCCAATTCTATGCAAACCATACCAAACCGTGCATACCGTATTTGCAGCACCGCCACAGCCTCACGGAGGCTATCCATGGAAGCCAGAGGATTACGCAGGTATCGACATGGAGGCCACAAGCCGTATAACTACATCTCCTTCACTATAATTAACGCCAAGTTTCATTCGACCGACCGTTAGGGAACGCATTATGGCCAGGCGGGTGGCCAACTTTCGGTTGGCCAGTCGGCCAGATACAGCGTTAATTGAAGGGCACAGAAACGGTTGCTAGCTATCCGGACGTACTCCTAGACTGCGTAAGGGCCCAGTTTGGTGCCCAGTGACATTCTATCGTATGCCGTACAGCAACAATGGAAGCTAGCACTGCGCTTTGCGCAGCAGCGCAGTGCCCAGTACGTAGCCATTTGATTTTTAGTTGACCAGTAAGAAGACAACCCTCTTGCAGTGTAATTTGGATGTCACAAACGTGTGTGGTAAAGTCCCCCCTGAAACGACCAGCTTCTAACTTTTAGTCTTAGCTTGCGTTCCTTCGCACCACGTTTGTAGCTTCATCAATGCGCAGTCCTTCCATAGAGCTGTCAGTTTGAACAAGCTGTAGCTCAGCACTAGGTATGGAAGGAAACGAGGTGCCCTCTGCGTCCGTTCAGCTATGGTGAAGCACTGTGCACGAGGCACATGATAATGTTGCTTTATGCATGGAGTATCTAGCAGCGACCGCCTGGGCAGCAACTTGCGGCATTTGCTAGCCTTCTCAATTACCGCATAGGTCATTCCCGAGGTATGTTAGTGTTCAGTATTCCTTGGTGAAGGCGGGAATACTTATTGCCTCTGTGGCCGTAGTCGCGGCGCTTGTCATGGGCTTTGTGAGCAGTCGTAGCTGGGCAAGCGGAACCTTTGCTGCTGTCGCTGCCATTACAGGACGGTCAATGTCCTCGGGGAATGAAGCACTCCGCCGAGTCGACGATGAGGCGTTTACGCTTCCGATACCTAGCAGGGGCTTGCTCATAAGGAGGACGGCAAGCCCTTCAGAGGTACGTGTAGGTCAACTAGCAGGCTATACCTTCAGGCTTCCACCTACCGTACCCCATTCACGCATTAGAGTGCTAACGGAGGTGACAGCTGTTGCACAGCATCTCGCGCTTGTCTCCTGGTCCAACAAGTCTCCGCCCCGCACCTCCCCCATACCGCGTCTCCCTTAACTTCTCTCACATGCTGCTGTTCGCCGCGTCATGCAGGCTTCGCAACGAAGCGTTCTTCGCTCCAGGTCGTCTCCGCCCAGCTCGCATGGCGGTGCGCCGTCCGAAGCTGGTAAGCCCTGCTGTCGGTGCTTCCCACTCATTCCCACGCCTCTCCCCGCTCCCCAGCAATCCTACCTCCCCCGAACCGACACAAGCTCCTGCAACAGTTGTACACCGCGCTTCGGCCCCTTCCTTTCCACCCTCCCCGCACCCCCATGCCGAACCCTGCCCCCCCTTCTATACCCCTTACCCCCTTCTGCCACGCCTTCCCCGCGCCTCCCCCGCGTCCTCAGCGGAGTCGCACTTCAGCATCTCGGGGATCCTCACCCGCAACCGCAGCGATGCCGGCAACCTCCGTAGGAGCACCGCGGGGGGGCACTGCGACAAGTCACCCTCGGCCCTCCCTCCCAGCCCCCGCGTCCTAACATTCGACTGCAGCACGCCCCTCTGGCCGCGGCAGCCTGCCCATGCACCTCCCATCGCAGCAGGGCAGGGAGGGCCTCCCACGACATTGGGGCAGACGGGGGCGTCCGCGCGGGGTCCTGGTAGCGCCAAGCGACGGGCCACGCGGTCTCCGGTGCGCGACTACCGTGCCCGCCTCGCCGCTTTCGCGGGTGCGGGTGCGGGTTCGGGGCTGGCGGCAACCGCAGAGCTGAATGCGGAGGAGGAGGGTGACGAAGGGGAGCGCGTCGAAGAGGGAGGGGGCTCGGAGTCCAGGTCATCATCCTGCAAGTCGGCTCCGGATCCTCATGAGGTCCAAGACGAGGCTTTGGATCGGGTTTGGGAGCCCCAGGCGCCGGAGCCCACGAAGCCAGAGCCGGCAAGCCGGCAGCAACAGCCACCAGAAGAAGCCGTCAGCGCTGTAACCCATGATCGGCAGCAGCAACAAGAGCTGCAGCAGGAAGACGAGGAGGCCGTATCAACTGTTGTGGCCACGGCTATCCAGAGCACCAGGAATGCGTTTTGGGATGAAGTGGAGGGCGCCGGTGGCAGCTGCGTTGTCCCTCCTGACACCTGCGAGGACACTGAGCAGGAGCATGAGGTGGACGGGATCCTGGAGAGCTGCCGCTCCATCCGTGCAGAGGCGTACACGGATGCTTGCGGCGTGATCATGGGCTCCCCTCGTTCCTTCGACACCACCACGAATAACAACGGTGGCTGCTTGGGCGGTGGCGCCCTGGTTGCTTTTGGCGATAGCCCTCGCCGCCTGCCTTGCGCAGCTGATAATGCGGATGAGGAGGAGGAGGGGGATGGGAACCGGGGTGCCAGTAACACCGACGCCCTAGGGCAAGTGGAACTCCTGCCGCCCCCGCCGGCACCCTGGCTTCCTGGCTGTGGCACGGCTGTGTCGGATTCCTTTGACGCCATTGCGCAACTCCAGGCGGTGGTTTCGGGGCTGAGCGAGCCCTACCAGCGCTACATTCGCGAGCGCGCGCTGGAGCTCACTCGGATCATCGATGAGAACCTGCAGCGGCAAAGGCAGGACCCCAATGCTCCTGGGGATGCTGTTGTTGCTATTGGCGGGGATGGTGGCGTTGACGGAGGCGGCGGTGCTGCCGCTGCCGCGACGCCTTCCAAGCAGGCCACCGCGGCGGCAGCTGCGTTGGTGCTGGCGGTGGCTACCAGCGGGACGCAATGGCCCTACAGCACCCCTTTTAGCAGGGAGATGGGGGTTGCGGGCGGCGGCACGTCTCATGTGGGCGGCGGAGGCGGCATGGAGTGCAGCTGTGACGTCGGCGCCAGCGACGGCAGCGGCGTGCGTTGGCTGTTCCACAGCCCTCGTGAAGGGGATGGCGTAGCTGAAGGCGGGGGCTTGCATGGGGACGACAATAACAACGGAGCTGGGTTTGGGTGTGGTGCTCCAGGGGCGGAATGCGAGCAGCAGCAGCCGGGACGCGGCTACGTCGACTCCTCTGTGCCTGCTGCTGTGGGCCATGGAGCTGCCACAGGCTGTGCTGCGCGCGGCGGGCCGGAGCAGCAGCAGGAGGCGTCGAGGTCTCAGGCGGCAGCCTCCGTTGGGTCGTGCACCATGTGCTTTGGCTCGGTGCTGGGCGGTAGCCAGGTGGGGCTGGGGTGCCCGGCGGTTAAGAGGGGCAGTGGTCCCGCTTACATGGCGGGTTGGCTTGGTTAAGACCTGCATAAGGCCACGGGATGTTACGACCGCGCACATTTATCTGTAGTACAACTGAATGTAACCCCGGCGCCTGTCCTGCCACCGCCCGCAGGTCAACAAGCAAAGCCCCAGCAACGAAGTGACCAGCGGAGCCCTCTCCGCTCGAGGAGCGGCAGCTGCTGGCGCACCCCCACACCGCCCGCAGCCCCCTCCACCAGCCCAACTCACTCCCCTGTCCTGCGTTTCCTCCACCTCCCCCTCGCGCCAACGACAGCGCCAGCAGCACCGACGCGCCGGGAGCTGCGCCTGGGTAGATGAGCCAGAAGGCAGCCCCACTGCCTCCTCGGCTTGCAGTAACGCACGTAGCAGCATGCGCGCTGACCAGCTGCTGGTGCAGCAGCAGCAGCACCCCGTGGCTTCAGTACGGTCCGGCTCCTCGTCATGTCACCCTGGAGGAGAGGTAACGCTACCGCTGCCCCGCGGGCTTGGTTCCGGCCTGCGCAGGTCCTACAGTGCAGACAGCGACCATGCTGCAAACGTGGCCCGACGACGGCACCAACAAGACCAACAGCAGCTGTTGCCGCAGCGGTCATCTCTATCTAGGGCTGGACCCAGCCTGGACTTGATAAGAATGCCAAGTAGCGCGTTCGAGGTGTCGTACCTGGGTCGCCGCTCAACGCTGCTGGATGATGAGTCAACGCTGCTGATGATGTCGCCCAGGGAGGGGTCGAACCTGGAGGTTGAGCTGCCCATGCCGTACGTCGGCGGCGGTGTCGGCGGCGCCGGCTGCAGTGCTAGCGGCAGGGATGTCGTACGAGATATCGTACGGACCTCATCCATGCAGCGGCTGCAGCAGCAGCAACAGATATCGCTGGTGGAACCCTCACAACAGCGCCCGTCGGTGCAACAACACCTGGGGCTAGAGGGCGGCGAGGAGGAGTATGAGGAGGAGGAGCTGCGGCAGCAGCGAAACCGCCAGCAGGGCTCAGCGGGAAATCAAGCTTGTGGGCGTTCTGGGAGGCCGACTGTCCGGACAAGCAACAACAACACCGGCAATGTACTGGTACTAAGGGCAGCGTCCCGTTCAGGACAGGGCGGCAATGGTCATAAGGGCGGCAAGGGCGCCCACATCAGTGGAAGCTACTCCCAACACGCGTGGCAACATGCGCAGCGGGGAAGCATGGTGAGTTGGCGGCAGCTCACCAGCTTTCCGTAAGATGCTGAACTGGGGCAAGCAGTTTCAGGGTCTTGGGGCAAGGCGCCTATGGCGATGTGGGCTTTTACCCTGTCTGAGGCTGCGTATAAGGGGTTACGGGGCCCATAATTAGTGTGCGGAGTGACTCCATAGGGTGCGGGAAGTAACGAAAGCTGGGATACACTGCCCGTGCACGAGCAGGCCAGCAGGAATGGGCTGTTGTAGCGACTATGCGACGACCCTTCTGCTGATCTTCCATGCCCCTAACCTCCCACGGCCCTACTTGGCCCTACCACTTGTTCCAGGACCCCAGCCTGCGAGCCTCCATAGCACATCGCGCATCTGCAGCCCAGCGGCGGTGTGACCTGCAGTACCCGCCAGGCCGGAACACTAACAGCAGCAGCAGCAACAGCATTGCGACCAACAGCAACCAGGTGTCGGCAACGCGTGCGTCCATGCGTAGGAGTGGCGCGCCCACCTACCAGCAGCTTCTGATGCGCAGCGGTATCGGTGGACCTGCTGGCAGAAGCTACCATGCATTGCATGGTGGGACTGCCATACATCGCGCCTCACAGCGGACCTCGCCCGGAAGACAAGAACCGGCTGCTGCGGCGCAAGCGCCCGGCCGACCCGCGGGTCATGTATCAAACGTGGAAAGCGGGTATAAGGAACTGAGCAGCACCAGCACGGTCCTGTTAGCCAGTGCGGCTGTCAGCAACAACAAGGCCGATGTTGCTGACCCGGACGCAAACCTGGCCACGAGCGGCGCGGTTGCTCGGATGTTGGCAGGCTCGCGAGCCGCGGACAGCTGCATGCTGTCCGACGTGCTGTGGGGCAGCGTTGCGCCGTCACAAGCTTCTGCACGGCAGCATCACGAACAGCATCAGCAGGTTGAGGGAGGAATCCTCGTGAACGCCTTTCAGGTCGTGGACAGCCGGGCCGGAGCAGCCGCAGCAGGCGGTGGCGGCAGCTCCAAGCAGACGAGCGGGGAACGTCCGCACGACTGGCAGCCGCTTCACACCGCGTTTAAACTCGACTCGCTGATGACTAGCTACGCCGCCGACAGCGGCATCGGCAGTACGGCACCCTCACAGCTTACCACTTATCCGGAATCCACAAGGGCTGTCTCAGGACCTCTGGCTGGCACAGCTTCAGATCCGGCCTCTGTTCCCGGTGATGTGGGTCGGCCCAATAGAACCGGCGCCGGGGTGCCGACGGGTCCTGAAGCAGAACCCGCGGAGCCAGCGACCGGCTTTGTCATCGTGAGTCGCCGGAACACTCAAAGCGGCGTTGTAGGGGCGGCAGGTGTTGGCGGCGGCGGCAGAGGCAGTGTTGGCGCCTTTGGGTCGGCGGCGTCTGCCCCCGCCTCGTCGCTGCTTAACCTGAGCAGTCTGCTGGGCCCTCCCGCCGATGCGCAATATTCCGTACAAGCGGCGGCGGCTACAACCAGCATTGCAGGCCTTGTGGCGGGTGCTGGTCCAGATGGGCCCTACGACCAGTACTGTACTGCCGATGCTGGCTGCCGGGATGCTTCCTGCGGCGCTGCAGCCTATGCCGCGTTGCTTGCGAGTGCGAGCAGCATGGGTGCCATGGCTCTGCCGCCGGGAAGTCGAGGCACCACGACGGGTGGGGCTGGGCCCGAAGTGCCGCGGTCAGGTGGGGGCGGCTTGGTGGTGGGGGCGACGCGGCAGGATTTCCGAAGCGCGGGCGGCGCACAGCCGCCGCCGGGAGCTGTGGGGGCCGCAGCCAGCAGGCGGAATCAGCTTGAGGCGGGACGGCTGTTGCTGCCAGATAAGGAGCAGGTGCGGTAGGGGCCCGCGCAAGTTGACATGGTCACGTCTGGCTTGTTGGGGCAGCATTACTGCACGCTGTTGTCATGATGGGTTACAAGTACGGTTTACATTCGCTTGCATAACCCCTGCTGTTAAAGCGTTCGTGTTTGCGTGATGTGCTGCCTCTGCTCGCACTCCATACTCCACAGCCACCCGTCCGACCTCTGTCCCGATGCCCCTTCCCTTGCCTGCATGCAGATCCGCGCCGGCTCGCCTGTACGCCCACGTTACGGGCGCCCCGCCGAATCTCGCATCTCCCCTGCAAGCCAGAACCATCACAACCAAAGCATCCGGCCTAAGCAACGACGTGCTGCTGGCCCAGGCGCGGCACGTGAAGCGGACGCTGGCCGAGGCGCAGGGCTAGGGCCACGGACCACTGTGAAGGGCCGCTCCCCGGGCAATCGGAACCAGCCGGGAGCAGCCGCGCCGCCCACTGCCACCCGCCGTCCCACTAGCGGCCCCAGTGGTCCAACCGCCGCCGGCAGCAAAGCCGCTGCGGTGCCTGGCCTACGCTCCCGTTCCAATCCGCACATTCGGCCAGCAAAGCAGCCGTCCCGCTTTAGTGCTAAGCCGTACCAACAACAGCAGCTACAGCCGGAGCCGGCTGCGCAGCCATGCACGCCTGTGAAACCGCCTTCCTCGCCACCTCCACCGCAGCAGTCGCAGACGCCTATGCAGCTACAGCTGCAGACCGGCGGATCCACACGTTCCCGCTGGCGCCCCGAAGACGCAGACAGCTCAGGAAGCAGGCCCATGGGTGGCGCCGCCGCCGCCCTCCTCGCCGCGCCAGGCTACCTGCCCTGCGTCGCCACGTCCCCCATTGGCAGCCCCACCACACCCGCATGTAGGGTGCTGCACGTCCACAGCCCCGAGGATATGCCCCTTTCTGCGGCCGCACAACACAACTTCCAGGCGCGCCTAGCAGCCGTGGATACCTTCACGGGTTCACCAGGCGCTGTGCCCTGCTTTACACCCGGTCCGGCAGCTCTAACCACGGCAACCACGACTGCTGCTGCCGAGGAGACGACGGCGGCCGCCATGCACGTCGCCGGCCCTAGCGCCGGCCTGGGGCTGGGGATAGGGTTGACCGGGCTGATAGGTCCGAGTTTTGCGGGCCCAAAGCTCAACTCTCCAGGTGCAGCAGCAGCAGCAGCCCGGCCGTTGCCTCTGGCCCGAGCTGGGCTTGTAGCCGCGTACGGTAGTGCGATGAAGCCGCATCAGCCCCACAAGCCGCGATCCACTCCTGCGCCCTTGACCACGCAGCAGCTGCAGGGCCCGACCTGCCAACAGCCTGCATGGCGGCCGGCAGCTGGGGTCGTGGGAGCGGCGGAAGCCGCAGCGCGCGCCTACCTGTCGAGCAGCGTGACGAGCCATGGGGACAGCGCCGCTACGGGCGCGGCGTCGGCGTCGCCGCCTAGGCTGTTGCGCAGCAGCGTTGGACTGCAGGACTGCACGCCCAACATACTCAGCCCGCCGCGCAACTACGACAAACCCTGGATTGTTGCTGCTTCAGCGGAGGCGCTACCAAGCCATGGCAGCCCCTCACGCCTTGGGGCGGCGCAGCAGCGGCAGCGGCAGTTCTGTGAGGAGGCGCCTGATGGGGACGAAGAGACATCTGCAAACCACCAACGGATTGAAGGGGAGCTGGAGGAGGGCTGCAAATTGGCTGAACTATCTGGGTGCAACTCGGAGAGTTTCCTAGGACCTTCTGGCTCCGGGCTATCCGCCACAGCCGTCTTTTTAGCGACACGCGCAGCTCTACAGGGGTCCGGCTCACTGGCAACAGCAGCAGCAGCCCCTCCTGGTGCTGGGGCGCGCGCTTCGCTTGTTGCTGAGGGGCTGGGTGGTGTGGGCGATACCTGGGCACGGTACGGAAGCATCCGGTCGAGTGAGGGGGCGGTGGCGGCGCTGCTGGGTGTTGGGCGGCGCAGCGGATCTGCTCCAGGGAGGGCTGCGGCGGCTGTTCGCAGTAGCTGCAGCGTCGGTCAGGGGCGCCAGCTGAGGCTGGGCGGCGCGCATCGGCAGCCGTTGCACTGCGGGGAGGCGGTGCAGGGTGCAGGAGAAATGGTAGAACACGAGGCGAAAGCAGCGGGAGCTGAAACAAGAACTGGAGCCCCAGGTGGGTGTCCTTTAGTACGGCATATTAGCCGGAGTACGGAAGGAGGTCTTCCAAGAATATGCTGTTGCCGACCTGCCCATACCTGTTTCGCTCTTGCTATTGATCTGGCCTTGATGCACCCGTAAAGCGGCCATCGTTTTACTTAAGCTTTTCCTTTCGCACTCGATCCGCAGGCAACGTGGACGACGCTGTGTCTGCCGGATGCACCGACTCCGCTATTACCTCTCTCTCCAGCCCCCAGCAGCAGCCTTCCTTGCGCGGTTCGCAATCTCCCCGCGATTCGCATCCCTCCCAGCGATCTCGCCCTGTTGAAAGCGCACGTGGCAGCAGCAGCAGCGCAGTTGCACCGGCCTCCGCTTCCGTTGCTTGCGGCGTTTCCGCGACGGCGCACTTTGACGGCGTGCTTCCTGGCAGCAGCAGCGGCAGCAGCAGCAACCGTACCGGTGCTGTGCGGGGCAGCAGGGAGGGCAGCTTGAGCGCTCGGGAATTCCGTGAGGCCGCGGGCTACACCGGCCTCATGCTCGCACGTCAGCAACTCCACCTGCACCTGCAGCAGCAACACCAACATCTTCAACAGCAACACCAGCAACATAGGAGCGATCAGCAGGCACCGGTACTTGGAGCCATGGAGCCGCTCCAAGAAGAAGAGCTTCAACAGCAGCAACAACAAGATGAACAACGTCCAGCTCATCCACAGAGCGCGGAACCCAGCGGAAGCATGCAAGACCCGCAGCAGCAACGCGAGCAGCAGCAGCAACAACAAGCGCCGCAGCCGCAGGACGAGCAGCGGCAGCAGCAGTCATCGGCTCAGGAGGCGCAAACAGCCACCAAGGATGTAGCCAGCGCTGCCGCCATCGCAGCTCCAACCCTCAGCGGAGTGCCATTCGATGTCCGCCGCTCTGGTGAAGCCGCCGATCGTACGGCTGATCGTACCGCAGCACCATGCAGGGCTGCCGTACAGGAGCCCAGCGATGGTGCCGGTACGGCGCTGTACGGCGGCGCTCGCTGTGCTTCCGATAGCGGCAGTGCGAGCACGGCCAGCGTGGAGGGAGGCATTGCCGCTGTCCCGGAAGAGGCGGGGCGCTGCTCGGGTGCTGCCATGTCTGGACGGTGGGATGGTGCCGCTGCTGCGGGCCGGGCCCGGGGCCCGCTGCGTACGGCATCCGCTGGCAGCGGCGGAGCTCAGTTGGCGCTGCTGCGTCAGGCGGCTTGGCCTGGGCTTCGGGAGCCTCGTGTGATGGATGCACTGTTGACGCTGGAGGCAGGTATTGCCGTACTGGATCCCATGCCACCGCCGCCGCCGCCACCAGCGCCGTCACCGCCGCCACAGTCGCTGATGCTGTCGAAACCCCGACATGGGTCAAAGGGAGGAGACCCTAATGATGGTGTCGCAGCCATGACAAGCGGCTGCTTTGCAATCTTCCACCGAGGCAGCTCCGCGGCTGCCGCCAAAGCTGCTGCGACAGCAGCCGCCGTTGCCGCCGCCGCAGCAGCAGCGACGCCACCAACGACTCCTCCGCTGCCAGAGACCCATGGGTCCATGGGACAGCGACCCATCTTGCTACGAATGCGTGTAGCTGACGGCGCAGTGGAGCTGCTGCTCATTCGACCACGGACGCCGGGAGTAGGCGGAGCTGCCATGGCAGCTGCTGCTGCTGCCCCAGCAGCCGGACAAGGGCGTGGCGGCAGCGCCGGCAGTGCAGCCGCCGCCAGCAGCCCAGCATCCACGCCCCCGCCAGGCCCCCAACGCATCCGCGTGGCGGCGTTGAGCGGTCTGCATCCGCCCCTTACCTCGGACTCCAACGTCACCCCGCAACAAGCCGTCAACCACCATGACGACGACTTGGCGGACCCGGCCTCCAGGTGGCTGCAGCTGGTGGCTATGGACGGCGGAGTGGTGAGGCTGAGCGCCTGCACGCCCGCGGATCACGCCAGGCTGGTGCTGGGTCTCAACGCGGCGCTACTGGTAGCTGCAGGCGGTGTGGGAGAGGAGGCACCGCTGGCTGCTGTGCCGCTGCGCGGGTTGTTGCCGCTGGGAGCAGCGGACGGCAGCGGCATCAGCGACTTTGGTCATATTTTAAGCGATATATGCGCAGCGTAGAATAGGAGTAGTCAGTCAGGCGGCAGGTTCTAGTAAGTAGTAACCGCATTTGAAGGTCAAGAGTGGCGGTTTTGCAGCCGTAGGAAGTAGGCAGATGTCGTAATGAGAAACGTGCGTTGAGACTGCTAGGTTAGGGTTAGCGCCTTTTGGGCCGTGTCGTGTCCTGTCGTGTTGTACTGCATTGCTGTGCGTTGGGCTTTTGCCGTGTTACGCGGCGATCTCTAAACCATGCATCTCATTTGGAAATATTTGTTTGGAAGTGTTTATGGGGTTGCTGCTCCTGTAGCGCTCTTTCCGGCGTGCAGTGGATAGCAGCTGCTAGCCAGCCAGGAGGAGGTAGTTGGTACACTTGAGAGCGTTCCTTGTCCGTAGGCAGGCCCTAGGCAGCTGAAGGCCGTAGCAAGGTAGGAGGACTCGGGCATGGGCGGACAGGATAGCAAGACGTGTATTAGGGTACCTTGCGCAAATGTAGGCATGCCTAGGCAGACAGTGTTAGGCTGGTGTTCGGCTTGAAGAGGCCACCGACAAGTGGCAGGGCAGTGGCAGTGGTAGGGGCTTACGGACAACGATAGAGCAGCTAGAAGCCAATGTCGACTTCTGATAGGTTAGTTTAGACGTCACTTATGTGTTCGGGGCTGTCTCCGGTTGGGGTGTGCTTCCCGCCTGGATGTCGCCCTTACCCCGTGCTACGAGTGCGAACTTTCTGGTTGGTCCTAGTATGTGTTGCCTGGGAGCTGACTTGGAGGCTTCCGGATCACATTTAACCAACGGGCGTGCGCGTCGTTGGATCTTGAGTTTTTCGGGTGTGTAGAGGTTGGGTATGACCACTGATCAGGACGGGGTTTGAGGCCTTACTGTAAAGCAAACCACATGTCTGTTGCGCCTTCCTGTGCTGTTGTCTATTGCCTTCTTCGGGAAGAGTGTGTCAGAGGGTTTGTGGGCGAGGCGGGGCAGGTGTGTGTTGCCCTCAGCCTGTGTAGCATCCATGCCCCCTTGTCCAGGCTACGTTCTGCCTGCTGGAATTTCTAGGCCCACCCCACATCTCCAGGGGGTTTTCCTAATTTTGAATGAAACTTCGGTTTGGCGAACGCCCTTTCCTTGTCAAGAACAAGACCGCTAGCTACGATGTGCGTGAAAAGAGTCTGGATGGTAGAAGGCATGCTTTGCTTAGCCTTAACGGCGGTGTGTATACAAAAAGACGTACACGAAAGAGACAGCAGCAGTTGTCCCAAAATGGGCCCTAAATGTGTTGACCGGAAAATGCACGACACATCCGTCCTGCTCGCAGCTATCCCCAATATATACCAGGGAGCTGTACGTATGCTCTGTGACAGCTCCTTATAGGTTAAGGCACGTTGCTCTGCCAGAGCTTCACCCCGTTACTCGGCTTCATATTTTTCGGGTGGGTTGCTCTCAATATTTTGCGGCACTTTGCAGCTGCTTACTGTGCTGTTATCGTTTCGGTGCTTGAGGCTCAGTTCTGCTGGCGGTAGCGTCTTTGTAAAGTGCATCAGCACTGTCGGGACCTGGAAAAGCGTGTAGCATTCTGTCATTTTGCTCATATTGCCTTTATTCCTAAAGGCACTACCATACTATCTAACTTACGGCTGTGGTACCAGACCGCCGGCAAACACAACATCATCAGGCGCGCCTCCAACTTGCTTTGCCGCAGACCTTCATCGTAAAATGAGTCCCGGCGTTGCTGTTGGCGCGGCTCTGCTGCCTGTGCTGGTCGGCGGCGTTGTCGGCGCTGGCGTCGGCACCATGCTGCTTTACGGAGGTAAGCCAGGTCGCAGACATTTGGCTACCTGATGCGGCAAATTGTGTGGCTACAAGAAAAAATACTGCCAGATAGTGTTTGCGTGTCGTTGGGTACTTCACCCTTCTGACCGTGCCCCACCTTCCCAAGAGAACTGCCTGCCGGAGTCGCTCCCCTTTTCATACCCTCATGTCCCCGCACCATTTCGGCACGTGCATTCACAGCACCAAGCGTTTTTAAGTATGTCCCTCCACTTACACGCGCAACGAGGCTCTAGCAGACGACCTTCCTGGACGGAGTATCCTGCGTGGATCTGAGCGAGGTCCTGACCGCCCGAGATGTCGCTGCTCTAATTCCCGTCCCGCCTACCCATGCAGGTGCCATGGAGGCCGGCGAGGCTGAGAACATCTTTGCTGAGGGCGCTGAGGAGACCAAGGCCGCCGCCCACTCCGCCTACGAGCACCTGAAGCAGGACACCAAGATCGCCGCTGCCTCCGCCTACGAGCGCCGCAAGACCGCCAGCCGCGGCTTCGCTGCCATGTTCCTGTAAGCGAGCAGCAGCTGCTAATGGCAAGCTGCGAACTAGCCAAGCAAAGTGGGGGCCCCTAGCCAGGACCTTTCCAGCTCTGATTTCGGGCAGGAGCTAGCCTAACTGGGTCACAGCCAATCTGGGTCAGATGCTGCATTGCCCTTGCAACTGGGCTTGCTTCGTGGCACAGCTGCGGTTGAGGGCGGTGCCTGCAATGGAGAGGTTTACGTAGGGGGTTTCGTGCACGGTCTGGTTCATGGAGGGAAGGCTGAGGACTCGGTGCCGCCACGGCGCACCAGGTGTGGATTGAGGTAGAAGGTTCGGGTGGTGTGCGCTGAAGGCACGAGTATGCCAAGTTTTGCCATGACGTATTGCCTGATAACAGGATGCCGTCCTAGATGACGCCCTGCTTGACGAGGAACGCCCGCTTTGGCTGTGTAGGTTTGCGGGTTGTGGTGAATGTGTGTCGGACCGTTTTCTGTCTGCCTGCGTCAACGCTGTGTAAGCAGAGAATGTGTATGTCCAGGACACGCCTCCACATGCCCTTGCAATGAACGGCCAGGCCCCCATTTCAGCTTTCCGGGACATGCGTTGATCTAGTGCCCAAGCATCCAACATGAGTCTTAAGAGAACCGAATGCTTGCCAGGCAGCTATGCATTCCGTGCCCACGACTGGGCGCCACACGAACACCCCGTAAATTATGCAGCACTATGCAACCGGTGCACTTCTCTCACTACGAGGGACCACAAAAATATGCTTCAATACCAGCATTCCTAAGCTTCTTGTGTAAATCTTACGAGGTGGTCTACGAGCACATGCTACTTGTTTTATTACTCATGAAACACTCGCATATTTCTCTCGAACACCTGCCTCAACCCAACGTGTGGCAAGAACTGTCGAACCCACCTAAAGTGCAAAGTAAGCACGATTCGCCCGATGCCCCGAATTAAAGGCCAAAATACACTGCAAGCCCCCATCCATTCCTACACTCTAATAATAACCGACGCGCTAATCTTGCCCCACCAGACCCCCCACACCCCCCGCCTCAGCTCCATTCCCGCCCCCAGCACCGCCTCCATTCCCAACTCCACCTCCGCCCCCACCACCACCCGCAGCAGCGCCGCCCGCTCCTCCTGCTCCGCCTCCTCCGGGTATTAGCGGCCCTCGCTCCAGTACGGCAGCCTGCACGGCTTCCAGAATGGTTTTGAGCATGTCGGGGCACGTGACCCCCTCCAGGCACTCATGCAGCGGCCGCGCCCAGGTTCCCTGTGCCAGCTGCGTGCCTAGGTCGTACGCGCAGTACCATCTGCGTGTGCATGGGCCGTACAGTCATAGATGGAGGGATGAACGTTGTTGGGAGCATGGACGAACGGGCGTAGGAGGCTAATGCAGCTACTGGTACCAAGCCGAGGACAGAGGGCATGAACCTGTGGACGTTTGGGAGTCCCCGCTGTGCAGGACAGCCCGTCAGTTATGGTATCGAGCAGCAGGCCCAACAACAGCCCCCGATGCTGCTGGCCCACGCACCCTAGGTCCTTCAGGTCAAACTTCTGGCAGATGCTGAGCCAGTCGAACCCCTCTGACACGTCCTGGAACTTGAAAGCCTGGGAGCGCATGCGGCCGCGCAGACACCTGGCAGGTTGGCAGCCAGGCGAGCAGCCAGGACGGATACAGGTAGGTAGGGTAGATACAGGGGTAGCTACAGGGTGGGACCCCAGGGTGATACCGGCACGAAACCGGTAAGGAGGCAGCAAGGCAAACGGGTGGCAAGGCAGGCATTCAGACATGGGGGGGAAGGTAGAGAGCTCTGGAGAGCTAGGATGTTTTGTTGTTTGTTCTAGGCAGAACAAACAACAAAACATGCGAGAGCTTGCGAGTTACATGGGCGACCCCTAGGCGGTTGCGGCCTTGCCCTTCCCAAGACATGCACCGGTGACAGCGTATCCCAGAAGCATATCCCGCTCGCAGCTCTCACCTTGACACGAGCCACTTCTCGCAACGCTCTTTCACGAGTATCATGTCGTACTTGTCAGCTACAATCAACACCTTGCGAAATGCAGATCGGGGAGATGGTTGCAGTGAGCTGTGTCAGTGACCCATGGGACTTGGCCAAAAACACAACGTTACATGCCCAACAGCCAAAGCTGCTAGCAAAGCCATCTGAACGCACAAGCAATGTGTGCGACCGGAGCTCGCGTATGCTTATGCCCCAACGAGGACGAAGACGTTGACATTCCCACCGTCCAGAGAAGTCGGCAGTCCATCAAAACCGTAGGTGCCCCTATCGCCCCTATCAGTCACACAGGCCGCACATGATAACGCGACCCAGCACTTGCATGATGGTACGGCATACCTTTTTGAAGACAGCCCAGCAGGCGGTGGAGCGCGTGTCGAATGTGCTAGCGGGCGGACTGCCGCGCATAACCAGCAGTACTGGCTCCATGGTCTCCCGTGTCTCCTCGACCTGCCGTACAAGGGAAGTACCGTACAAGCGAGCGCCGTACAGGAGAGGAGCAGCAGACCAAGTCAGGCATAAGGATGAGGGATGGCAAAGAGAGACCCTGTGCAAAGGATTCATGTACGGCATGTCTTCCTTAGTACGGCAACGTTGGATGAACATGGTCTCGCCATGTTTGAAGGGGGACTCATGCTCTGGAGATGTGCAGATTTGCTGAGGGGCCGCAGGATGCAGCCGTTAAATGCGGAAACATTGGAACACTCCCCAGTATAAGGTGAGATTAGGAGGGCCGTAGGATACCCAACTTACGTGAAGCCGAGTGGTGTCGCAGGCTGTAAGCATCCCCGCAAAGAACTTGGAGCTGTTTGGGGAGGGGTCAGGGTTTCGAAGAACCATAGCTGCGTTAAGTTAGGGACGCGTTACTGGCAGCCGTGGACATCAGCCATCCAGTCGGGTGGGGATGGTGGGTAACTGACAAGCGTTTCTGGTGTATGTTTTAGGCACCAACCTGGAACACAACAACTCCTTGTCAACAAGCAGTTCCGCTCCATCAGCTGTAAGGAGACTTATTAACCCCGTAGGCTGCTTGTCTATCGCCGATGCAGCCATTCCTGACTTTCGCGCCGTTCTCCTGGGACAACTTAGTAAGTATCCTCCGCTCACTGCCCGTTCTCCTTACAGAGATAATGTCAAGGAAGCCAGCAACGGAAAGCTAAAGTAGTTGCAAGGAGCGCCTGTCTTTGGCATTCCAGAGCAAAACATGCGCAGCCACGTCGTCGGATATAGACGTTCAGCTCCAGCGTGTGAACTGCTGAACCGCTTTTCCATCTTTGGCTCCAGAACCAGAACCGTTGGAAGCTAGGTTTTATGCGGCTTTATGACCGTAACCCTTTCGAAGGAGCTATACAGGAGCGGCCCATACCACCCGACTTGTTACTGTAGACGTTTGCCTTGCAAGATGCTTGAATGGGCTGTCACAGGCCTGCTCCTGGTTGCGAAGGCGCTGGGCCTCGTCGTTACGATCCTGGTTATCTTGGTAGGTGCTGAAACTAACACGTCTCTAAATTTGTTAACTTAGGGAATCTGGGATTGATAATTAGCCTGACAAACGTCGTGTTGCACCTCCCCCATGTTCCTAATGCTGTCGCCTAGGGACTTGATCTTTACCCGCGCTGGAAGTTGAGGCACCTGCCAGGTACACAGGGTTGCAAGAGTTGCTAGACATTGGTGTCGTCGCGCGACAGGCGCTTGCGTGGTGTAATGGCGACCAACCGGCTATGAAGCTCGGCTCTTGGCATAAGGGCGTGCTTTTCGCATCCCTACGCGCGTTTCCATATTTTGTGCTCTAGGAATACTTTTTAAGGAAGCATCGTGGGCTCTCCTTGCCGAACTTCCAAAGGCAACCGCAGGACCGACTGCTGCCGTGCTTCGGCACACCAACTTCTGACGCGATGTCCTGTGAACCGCAGGACCTCCCGCGCTTCCTTTCGTGGGCAACCTGCCGACAATCATCAGGTTGGGCTCCCCAACCTTCTTCAGGCAATGTCGTGCCAAGTATGGACCAGTGTTCAAGGTATGTTGGGAACGTTACCCTCACGTAAGCTCTGCTCTAACTTAACCTTACTTGCTGTCGCTTGCTCTTACAACGGTTTGAAATTTGTTTCCTCCCTTTGGGAGCTGTGCACACTATTGGTCACCCATTCAAAGTCACAAAGTCACATGTACCCAATGTACGGCATATGGTCTTTGTTGTTTCCGCATTGCCTTGCCATACAGGTTGCGTTCGGTCGTACCTGGATGGTGGTGGTGGCGGATCCTGATCTCATGAGACAGGTAGGGCCGTTGCGTTGATCGGGGAAGGAGCCATATAGCCTCTAAGAACAAGATCAGGGTATCAAGTGGTGCCGTAGCATACTGCACCGTACTTCCGCACGACATTGTGCCGTACCGCTGCATGATGCAGCCTATAGCCGTACAACCTGCCTCCATACAACTCCTCCAGGCTGGCACCAAGCTGCTGAATCACTCCATGTTCCGTACCCTCATGCGCGGCGAGTATGCCAGGCTGGACGACTGGGGCCTTGTCTCCGCGCGGTGCGTTGGGGGCACGGTTGCTTATTTGTCTAGGAGCATGGTCGCTGAATCTAGAGCGCGGTTGCTGATTTTGGAGCGCGGTTGCTGATGTAAGAACACGGTTGCTGACGGTGGCTGCCTTTTCCACTGCCTCCAACGGTGCTACGTGGCTGCTACTGTCGCTTCATTCCCTATGCCTCCAACGGACCAATGCTCCCTATTCTTTACCTTGTTCAACCCCAGTCGCCCCATCGCTATCGACTACCGTGGAGGGCATCGTCCTATCCCCTACCTACGCATATCCCACGACAATGCCCTCTGCAAATCCCTTGCCTTCCCCGCCTTCCTCCGCCCTCGTTCTTCCTGCTCCCCACCAGAGACGCCTACTGGCGCCTCGTGCGTTCCTCCTGGCAGCCCGCCTTCTCCTCCGCCAGCCTGGCCGGCTACCTGCCCCGCATGCGGCAGTGCGCGGGGGAGCTGGCGGACAGGATGCGGGCGCGCGCGGAGGCGGCAGCATCAGCGGTGGGAGGAGGAGGAGGCGCGCGGGTGGACATCTGGAGGGAGCTGGGCAGCATGACGCTGCAGGTGGTGGGATCCACGGCGTACGGGTGAGTTTGACTTGGGGGAAAGCCGGGCTCCAGGGTCTGCTGCGCCATAGCAAAGCAATGCAAAGCAGTGCGAAGCTGGCAGTCGCAGTACAGGCGCTGCAAATAAAAGAGATGGATGCAAAGGAACTGAATACACCTTGAAAGGCCTACAACTGATTAACGCCGGTACCGGTAGTAGTTGCTCATGTGGGTCTTGTGGATGATCGCAACAATGATCGCAACAATCAGTTGTGTACGACGTGTACGACATGCATGTACGACATGCATGTACGGTCGCTCCTCCTGCAGGGTGGACTTCCAGGCCATGGAGCCCCTTCCCGGCGACCCGAAGCTAGACAGCGACCCGAAGCAACAGGGGGGCCAGCTGCCGTACGTCGCACCAAGCGAGCAGCAGCGCCAGCAGCACCAGCAGTACGGCAGGGTGCTCGTGGAGGCGTGTCGTGACGTCTTCAAGTACAGCAGCGTTGCACACGGCAGCAAGTAAGTAGTACGGCAACATATGAAGAGTACGGCAGCAACTAAGCAGTACAATTAGGCAGTGCGGCAGCCCTCCAACCGCTCCAACCGTTGCGCTTCATGCAGCCATGCTTACCGCTCCCTCGCTCTCTCCTTCCCTCCTCTCCACCTTACTGCCCCCTCCCAAACCCGACCCGGGTACTGTTACCACACGGGTTTTGTTTCCACACGCGCGTGCAGGTACTCCCGACTCAACGTGCTGCTACCCGAGCTGCGCCCGCTGGTCTCCCGCCTGGCCCACGCGCTGCCTGACAAGCCCTTCAGCGCCCTGCTCCAAGCGCGCAAGGCCCTGAGGGACGCCTGCATGCACCTCATCGCAGATTGGAAACGTACGACAACAGCAGCTGGGACATCTGCTGGGGCGGCGGGGACAGCGGTTGTCGGCAACGGAGGTGTGACGACCGCCAACGGCAGTGGTGCTGGCGACGAGGCAACTACTAACAGCGTCACCGCGGCTGCAACTACCGAAAAGGAAAAGCAGGGGGGCGCCAGTGCTCCTGCTTCTGCTGCTGCTGCTGCTCCTGCTGTTGTCACTGGCGCTCCTGCCGTCTCCCCGGGCAGCTTCCTGGGGCTGATGCTGTCGGCTCGCGATCGGGCCACTGGCGAGGGCCTTACGGATGACCAAGTGGCCGCGCAGGTGCAGACGTTCATTCTGGCGGGCTACGAAACCACCGCAAACGCGCTGGCCTTTGCAATCTACAACATCGCGAAGCATCCGGAGGGTGAGATGGGTGGGCTGGCTGGCGAGGGGCGGGTGGTGTTGGGAGTGAAGGGTGAAGGGTGGTACCGGTATTTGTTGAGTGTCCTAGCTTGAGGGGCGCGCCCGTTTCGGGGGCTGGTGTGCTAGTGGCCCCAAAGCTTAAACATGCCCGCCCTCCCTTTCTCGCCTCGCCCCGTCAGTTGAATCCCGGCTGACGGCGGAGATCGATTCGGTGCTAGGAGGCAGGTGAGGCAACGGGGGAAAAGAAAAAAACACGTGAAAACTCAGTCGAGTTGAGGGGACCAGACGACAAGCTTCGGGCGCCGGGGCGGGGGCCGAGTGGGGCGGGGCGCGGAGCGTCAGTGGGACTCCCAAGCCTACCCTACCCCAACACTCCCGGTATGCGTGCCTTCCCCCTCCCTCCTGGCCCCCTCGGGCAACTCCCCATCATTAGGCCCCCCCAGGAGTCCGACCTGCCGCTGCTGTCGTACACTGAGGCCGTGTTCAATGAGGCCATGCGGCTGTACCCGCCGGCGCACGGCACCAACCGCCGGGTGGAGGACACGCCCCTGCAGGTGGCGAGGGGTGTTTTGGGGCCATTAAGAGTCACATAGTGTGTTATTTAAGGCGCCGTTAGGACTTAACGGTACTTAGGAGCCATGTCTGCCGTCACCTGGCCACGTACGTGTGCCTTGAAACGCAGTAACGCACGACCCACGGGGCGCACACGCGCCTGCTCCATGTCAGCTCTGCAGCATGCCACAGGCTATGTGTATACCGCTTCCCCAACCCCAGCCCGCCTCCCCACCTCTCCCCCCCCAACACCTCCAGCTGGGCGGCCACACCATCCCGCCCGACATGCCCATCTTCATGAGCATCTACTCGCTGCACCGAGACCCCGCCGTGTGGCCCCGACCCGAGGAATTCATCCCCGAGCGCTTCTTGCCGGTGAGGGGTTGGAGGGAGGCGGGGAAGGACGGTAGGGGGAACGGAGGGAGATGGAGGTGGGAAAGGCAGAGACGTTGACGGTCAGTGGAAGACGCGTGGGAGGGGGCTGGAAGGAGCCGGGAGACGGCTGTGCGCTTACCGTCCGCATCCCATGCATGCAATATTGCAATGGCTTGGCCGAGGCTTTCCGAAGGGCAATTCTTGAGGTGACCGCCTCACAGATTGCCCTCCGCGCCGCTACCCGCCCGGGGTCCGCAGCCAGGGCCCCAGAGTCGCTCTTGCAGCCCTGTCGTGCCCCATCGTTGGCTCGTGCAGTTTGTGGTCACGGGTGGTGACGCTCGCGGGCATGTCCCATGGTTCAGTTGGATGATGACGGTGCGAATTGCTACTGCTGAGGTGACTGAGTGGTTCCGGTTATAATGGCTGGTATTATCGCAGTTCCTTTGCTTTAAGTGTTGTGGGCTGTGGAGAGATCGCTCTGGCGTGAATTGCTTTCTTCCGTGCCGTCCCGTTGTAATCGTCTAACCAAGTGCACTCCTGCCACACACGCACACACGCAATCACAGTACGTTCCGACTCGTCCGGCCAATGATTTGAACACACGCAGTCACAGTATGCTCCGACTCGCGGCCAGTTTTCTTAGCACATGCTTCACCGTCCTCCGCTACCCCCATTCCCCTCCCCCCTCCCCAGACCTACCCGCTGCACCCCTCCGTATGCGCCCGCCTGCCGGCCGCGCACGCACCGTTCGGGTACGGCAGCCGCATGTGCATCGGCTGGAAGTTCGCGGTGTGCGAGGCCAAGGTGGCGCTGGCAGCACTCTTCCAGCGTGTCACCTTCGTGCTGGAGCCGGGGCAGGAGCCGCTGAGGCTGGCGGTGGGGATCACCCTGGCGCCGCGGGATGGGGTGTGGGTGCGGCCGGTGGCCAGGGAGCAGCATGCGGCGGCGGCGGAGGAGGCAGGGGGCCGGCAGGGGGGTAAAGAGGAAAGAACGGAGTAACCGTGTGATAAGGCTGGCGTGTTTTCGTAGGTAAAGGAAGATGGGGGAAGATCTTGAGAACGGAGTAACCGTGTGATAAGGCTGGCGTGTTTTCGTAGGTAAAGGAAGATGGGGGAAGATCTTGCATTGAATGACAACGGCATCATGCGTTAAATGATGGTGGAGCAACAGTAGAGAGGGAGGAGAAGTTCGGTGCCTGCGAGTATTGGCATGTGTACAATAGGACGGCGACAGCGCCGGATGTGTTGTATAATGACAGGATGGCAGCAATGGCATGTGACGTGTATGGTATGGTCAGCAGGGCAGGAGGTGCACCCTTGAATCCGATGGGATGGTAAGACGTGGAGAGGGTGAAATCACCTAAGCCGCAGGGTGGCTGCGTGAGGGCCCCTACGACCATCAGGATTTCTGGACGGATTTAGAACTCTGGATAGATAGCAACCCTGGTTAGATCGCAACTCTGGACAGTCAGCATACACAGCAGCTGCTGTGGGGCCGGAGCGTTTGAGCGGCCGTCGCGGACCATGGGTCAGCTGTGACATGTAGGCATGAGTCGCATGCTGTACATGCGATTCCGTCCCCCCTTTTGTCACAGTATATGGTGCCCTGGCGTTCTAGTACTCGGGCAAAGGTGCAATAGCGGAGGTGCCGTGGTGAGAAACACTTTTGGGAATTCTTAACTAAAGCAAAACGAAGCCCCAGTTTTCAACCCATACAGCACCCTACAGCGTTAGCCATGTCGCGCGTTCATGCATGCATACAAAGGAAGGTGAAGGGTCGCGAGGGCGTTGCGGCGCCATCGCTTCACGGAGGTATGCTGGTCCCTGTCAACATTAGCCATGCAGGGTGTAGACACGCACCCAGTTGCTTCCTAGTTCTTACTTCTTGTACACGCGACACATGCCACTTGCGACACGGGACGCTCGTCGCCCCATAGGCACACGATGGGTTGATAGATTAGGATGTAGAGTGAAGGGCTTGTCAGCCAGTGTTACCTGAGGACTGTTTGCTGAAGGAATGGCCCTGTTCTGTGGCCTGTTTTGTGGCGAAATTTCACCCCTGATGTGACACAATGATAAGGACACAGGTGACCGTCGTACTTCATCTCTCGGCGAAAGCCAGCGCCCAAAACACTGGTCTGGTCGCGCAATGCATTGCAACATCACGTGTTGTTCGCCACAAGGTTGTAATGGAGTGGAACCGTCGGCGTTGACAGGCGGCCGTTGACCCGCGTTGACCCAGCCAAGACCAACGAACAACCCGCATTTGCGCCCGTCCCTTAACCCACCCGTACACACCACACTACTTAATCAGCAAACCACACATCTACAGTCATCAGCTGGGCATCCTCCCCCCGTCTGACCTACATACAAATCCCAACATCAGCAGCCAGGATTTTATCAGAGAACCATTTCCATTGCCGAGTGGGTATCAACGCATTTCGGCTGAGTGCGGGTAAGACGGACTTTCATTTTTGCACCAACCAACTTTTTCGGTTGCTGGCTGTTCCTAAGCAACCCCTCCCGCCTACCCCGGCAGAGGAGGTCCATCCCACACCATGGCTCGCTCCGCCGCCCTGCTGCGTGGGGCCACATGGCTGGCGCTGCTGGCGGTGCTGCTGGCCTGCTGCGGCCCGTCAGGTGAGTGATTGGGGGTAAAGAGGGTAATGAAACTGACGAGCTGAGTGAGGGCGGGGGAGAGAAGGACAGCAGGGCAGAAGAAGAGCAGAAGGGAAAGATAGCAGAAGGGGAGCAGCAAGACGATAGAACTGTGAAGTGCCTGTATGCATGGCAGCGAGAGAGGTGGAGAGGGCTACAAGGGAGGCACGGCGGGGGAGCACGGCGGTTGACTGCCTCGGGCCTCACCCCCTCCTCCTTCTCTCGTCCACCCGCTCACCACGCCGCCGTACACGTTCCTTGCCTGTGTGCGACCTTCACCCCCCACCAGCCGTGAGTGCCGATGAGTTCAGGACGTCGAAGTTAAGGCCGCCCTCTCCTAAGCAGCCGTCACCAAAGCCTCCTTCACCTAAGCCTCCTTCACCGTCGCCACCGTCACCTAAGCCTCCTTCACCGTCGCCTCCCTCCCCAAAGCCTCCTTCCCCGTTGCCTCCCTCACCGAAGCCTCCCTCACCGAAGTCTCCTTCCCCGTCGCCTCCATCACCTAAGCCTCCTTCACCGTCGCCACCGTCACCTAAGCCTCCTTCACCGTCGCCACCGTCACCTAAGCCACCTTCACCGTCGCCTCCCTCCCCAAAGCCTCCTTCCCCGTCGCCTCCCTCCCCAAAGTCTCCTTCCCCGTCGCCTCCTTCACCTAAGCCTCCTTCACCGTCGCCACCGTCACCTAAGCCTCCTTCACCGTCGCCACCGTCACCTAAGCCACCTTCGCCGAAGCCCCCCTCTCCTCCTTCCCCGAACCCGCCCTCTCCCCCGTCGCCTCCCTCTCCCTCGCCACCTCCCCCGTCGCCGTCGCCACCTTCTCCGGCGCCATTGCCTCCGTCGCCCAAGCCTCCCTCTCCTTCTCCTCCCTCTCCCTCGCCCCCGTCTCCTGCCCCGCCCTCTCCCTCGCCTCCCTCCCCTGCCCCGCCCTCTCCATCGCCCCCCTCCCCGGCGCCACCCTCGCCCTCGCCTCCGTCTCCGCAGCCGCCCCGGCCTTCCCCTCCTCCGCCCTCGCCCTCTCCTCCTCCCCCCAAGCCGCCCACTCCGCCCCCTAGGGCGCCTCGGCCCCCTCGTCCCCAACGCTCGCCTCCTCAGCCTCAGAAGGGTAAGCAGCCTTTTCCAAACCTCCATTTCACACCCATATGTGGCCTACTCCCTCCTCTCTCTTATCTCGTTATCTGGCCCGGCGACAATGATGCGACCATGATGTTTGTCACTACCTAGATAACCCCCAACCCCAACCCCCTCCTCCCCACCCTCCCCCGCTGCTGCTGCTGCAGGTGTGACAGTGGTTGTGATCAACAAGAACGTATACACGGTGTGGGTGGAGCAGCAGCTGACTTACCTGCAGGCGGAGGCATTCTGCAAGCAAAAGGGAGGCAAGCTGGCGCCCGTGTTCGACAAGGACGCGAACCGTGAGTGCCGTGCCGTACCGTAGTAGCAGCGGGGAACGGACTGCTGGGCTGGGTTATCCTGAGCTGGATCCTAGCGAGGCTGGCGGCGGGGCCGGGCTGATGGCAGCGGAGGGATGGGAGCGACAATACACATGCGGGCTGGTATGCAGCAGTCCTTGCTCAATGCCCCGCCCCATGCATCAACACGCACCCCGCGCCCCCCCCATGTGCCCCCTGCCTGCCTGCATGCATGTGCCCCCGGCCTGCAGTTGCGTTCAACCAGATCTGCTACCCCAAGGGCCGCGACTGCTGGTTCGGAGGCAAGCTCCGGCAGACCGACCTGTGCCCGCTGTACAAGGGACAGAGCGGCTCGCTGCTCACGACGCCCTGCGGCAACCAGGCCTACCCCGTGTGCGTGACGTTCTTTAAGGGGATCTAGATAACACCTAGCGCGACCACTTAGCGTGACAGCAGCTGGCTGTGGCCGTCAGAGCAAGCAGTCCTAGGAAGCAGCCTGCATCTTGAGCACATGTTTTGTGCGCGGAGGCAGCCGCAGTGGTTGGTATGATGAGCAGTTGCTGTGGCCGCATCTGTTTTTCCGCGTTGTTTGTGATCGACCCCTTTGCCGGCAATTCGGTATCCGCCTAGCAAGCATTTGTGATCCCCTTTCGGGTGATCTTCCGTTGTGAGGGTTGCGTGTTGCGCCCTCCGTGACCATTAAACCTCCTTCATTGCACTCGGAATTTGGTTTGACGTGTGATCCGTGGAAGGCAGTTGCAGTGGGATTCCAGAGGGAAGCCCGGTGGGATTTCTGACCACCTGTCAATGTATGCGTGGGATGTACGACGAATTGGTGCTGCGGGTATGGATTTTGAGTCGTCTTCAAGCAGGGGTTCATTCCCCTTGCCAAACGGCGGCGATTAGGATGCGTGATAGCGTCTTCACAGGCTGGCCGGCTCGCATTCACTAACCCAGGCCGAACGCATCGCAAACAAGATGCCATAATTTTCTGAAGGATAAAAGACTTGTAACGGGGCTTCTATATTCTACCCCTGTGTACAATGCTTCTGTATTCTACCCTTGGGCCTTGGCGATCGCGTCGGATCATGCTCTGTACGGAAGTTCGTCCCCTGGTTCTCGGCCAGTCGGCCTTACCGCCTTAGTCAAACTCCTATCGGATCCCACGCAGTTAAAGGAGCTGCTATCCTAACTGGCACTATACCCTTTGCATAACAGGTTCCAGCGTTCTAGTATTGCGTTAAATCCGGAAGCCCCTGCAAATTTAACAGCTAGTCTAACACTTGTCAGCCTTTATATATTGACGCTATGCCTCCGAAAAAGACATCGTCAGGAAATACTAGGCGCAAAGGTCGCCAAATTGGACTTTTCGGACAGCCCGTCTACGATAGCGAGGAGGATGAAGACTGGGCCCCTGAAAGGCAAGCGACCGGCAAGCGCGCTGGTGCAAGAAGTTCATCATCACCTCGCGGAGGCGGCAACAAGCGAACAAGGTCGGGGCTTGGCGAGCGGCATGACTGCATTGTACCATGCGCTGTGTGTTGCGCCATACCGTACCGCCCGGTTGTGTCGCATTGACAACGGCCCTTACAGATGTTAAACACCGGCAATCTTACCTTCATTCTCAGGGCGGCTGGGGGCAGCGGCGAGACGCCATCGCCACAGGTGCGTGGGAATTCTGCAGGTTTGGTTTGTACCCATGCGCGTTGCACCCTTCTATATTGCCCCTTCTTCACTGTTGCCCTTAGAACCGACGCGCCAACAGCTCTACTTTCCAGCCACAGGGCACAAAGCGCCAGCGTTCGCGCCAGCATCAACAGGCATCTCCGCAGCAAGACATGCAGCCGATATCACGTCAACGCGCTTCGAGCAGGGCAGCTCGGGCAGCTGCAGGCGCCTCTAGCTGCGCTGCCACCGCCAGAGACTGGAGCGGCCTGACAGCACCGCTGCTGAGGGAGGTGCTGCGGCGGGCTTGTGTCACATCAGCGCTTCCAACTGCAGCCGCTGGTGAGCCTCTGAGCTTGCAATGAAGGTGGCCATGCTCGCGATAGAAAGGACCTCAAGTTGGGGTTTTTTTCGCGGTGTTGGCTTAGTTTCTCTGGTTTGGGGAGCGGCGAGCTGGTCAGGGAAAAGGGAGGACTCGCGCATACTCGAATACTCACAGTCGCAAAGTCGCAAGCAGCTTTGCCTGTTGTTGGCATTGCTGCCACCAACTGCATTTATAAGCTACCATTGCTCCGCCGTCTTACCTGCTCTTCTCGCTCTGCTTCCGCTGCCCCTCTGCTTTCGGGCTATGGGAGCAGCTCCTTGTGTGTGTCGCCACTGGCGTGACGTGTGCGGGGAACTGGAGTCCGAGGCCATTGCCGCAACTGCGGCTGCGGTGCCGGGCGCTGTAGCCGCGGCACTGGCAGAAGCGGCAATGCAGGCCGCAGCGCAGCCCTTTCCCGGCGGAAGTAAAGCCGCTGCTGCCGCCGGGGCATTCCCCAGCACTGCTGACGCCGCAGAGGCCGCAGCTGGAGGCAAGCCTGCCGTGAATAGAAACGCCAGTGGCAGCAGAGCCGCATGTGGCAGCCGCAGCCGCGATAGCAGCAACAACACCGGCGGCAGCGGCGAAGACGGTGGCGAGGTGGAACGTTCTGGAGGGCTGTGGGGCTGTCTGAATGTGCGCAGTCGTCCCTCCACGCGCTTCAATGATGCGGTGGTTCGCGCTGGTATGCAGTCGCGACGGTGGATGCAGGTGGGGGCAGGTCGTACGGTAGGGGCAGGCAGCGGTGCATCGCCATGTGCGCCCGCGGAGCGCTTCGAGGAAAGACGTCCTCGAGGAAAACAATGGTGCTGTTTACTTACCTGTGCGGGCCGTCTTGCCACCTGCTAGAAGCGGCGCCCGCTTGCCAGCCTTTACCTTTACCCCACACATGCTGCTACGGCGCCGCAGGTTCGCATCCTCCGTCTGAGCGACCCGCCGGGTCTGTCGCCCGAGGGCCTGCTGGAACTGGCGCGGAGCTGCCCCGCGCTCTCGCAGCTGGAGCTCACGCAGTGCTGCTCGCTACTTAAGTGAGTGCCATGAATGAGTGCCATGAATGAGTGTCATGAATGAGTGCCATGAATGAGTGCCATGAATGAGTGTCATGAATGAGTGCCATGAATGAGTGCCATGAATGAGTGTCATGAATGAGTGCCATGAATGAGTGTCATGAGAGGCCATAGCACGGCATGGCAGCGTTGAAGCAGTAGCACGGACTGCTGACGTGTGTGTCCCGGATGTGGATGTGAAACAGCACGTGGGTTCACGTGGGTTCCCAATGTCTTGTATCGCAGACATTGCTTGTGGCTCGCACATCCCAGTGCGCTGATGCCTGGCTCCGGCCCGCCGGGTCCTTTCCTGTGCTACCGTAAGTGCTTTCCTCTTCAGTCTCCCAGGTTGTCAGGGCAGCATAGCAGCCCACTCTCTCCCATTACGTGCCCTGCATGCATGCCACTCCCTACCCCCCTATTCCACTGTTCAACCCGCGCTCCCCTGCTGCTCGGCCCCCACAGGGTTGAGCCCATGCGCTCGCTGCTGGGCTCGCTGCCCCGACTGCGGCTGCTGGATCTGAGCCACTGCACCTCTGGGGTGGTAGACCAGGTGCTGAGGGCGGCCCTGGCGCCACGAGCCTGGCCCCTGCAGCAGCAGCAACCGCAGCAGCCGGCGGCGGTGGCAACGGCAGCAGCAGCAGGAGGAGGAGGAGAAGGCGGGCAGCTGCCGCAGCCACAGCAGCAGCAACCGGCGGGCGGAGGTGGCGGCTGGGCGCTGCCTTGTCCGCTGCGGGTGCTGCGTGCGAGGGATTGCCCTCGACTGGGACCCGGAACGGTGGGTGGTGGTGGTGGTGGTTCTGCGGCACTGCATGGTGCAGCACGGCCCGTTTCTCGTTACCGTCGTCATACCCTACACCGGCACCCTTCACATCGTGTAGGAGGGCTTCACACTGTTGACCCATGGGTCAACATGCCAGGACACCATGCCGTCCTTGCACACAAACCTACAACCACCGTCACATACACATGCACGTGTAGTACTTGTACGGCGTGCCAAACCAGCGAAACAGCCACCAAGGAACAGCCGCCAAGACCAGCGAACCAGCAATGAAAATGTGGTGCTAGGGTGAGGGGTGAAGTCACACAGCCTGAGGGCTTCAGCCAGTCACATGATGCACTTGACACAGCAGCAGTTAACCACTGTACACGTCGGGGTTCAGAAGGTCGACCATATCAGTGGGGAAATCTGCGTCTTGCCCACATCCCCACACGTCTGAACAGTACTACTGTTTCATCCGAAGCTCACCATTATGCCCTGTCTAGACTTCGCATATGTCGGGGGCATGTCGTGTTTCTCTAGGACACCTACCGTGCTCGCGATACTGCCCTCACTGCAGCCGGAATGCGGTAAACCTCTTGTCACTCCTTCCATTTCACGTTGACTAGGAGTACTTGTTGCCTGCGTCTTTCCCTCTTTCTAGGTTGTCAAGACATTCCGTTGCCACCGCCCCACCACCACCACCAAACACCATCTTCGCTCTTTGTTGCTGCTCACCCCCGTCCGCGCATCCTCCCTCTCCTGCAAAGCTGTGCAAACCGACCACCCCGTCCGCGCCTCCCTCCTACCCTAGCCTCCGCCTTTCCTACCATGTTCCCGCGCCCTCCACCTGCCCTGCTCCTCTCCTTTGTACACCTCCGCTGCAACGAACGACCTCGCCCATAATGCGCACGCAATGCGCAGCCTAGCCCGACAGTAATCTTAGCAGTTTAGCACGCCTCACCTCTTCCCACATGCAGCCATTCACACCCACACTCCTAGTGCTGCTGCTGCTGAAGCAGCAGCAACTGCTGCTTGTGCAGGTGCGGGTACGTCACCTCACTGCTGCCGCCGCCGCTGCTGCTCCCAGCCGCAGCAGACAGCGCCTGTCGCAGCGCCCGCAGCTCCACCGCCCACGCCTCCACGTCCTCCTCGTGCGCGCCCAAACCTCGCTCCAGCTCCATGACCATCTCCGCCAGCGACTTGGGGCTGCCGCCACCGCCGCCCAATGCAGCAACTGCGCTGCCGCTGCTGGTGCTGCTGCTGCCGCCGCTCACGAGCACGATAGGCGAGGGTGGTGAATCACCGCTTGCTGCCAAAGCTGCTGCTGCTGTGGGCAAGAGGCCGAGCGGCGGGTCTCCCTGGGAGTGTGCGATGGCTCGGGCGAGGGAGTGCAGCAGCGAGCGCGCCGCGAGCTTTTGCTTGCGCTCCTGGGGGGTGCGTACGCGCGCGCGCGAGAGAGAGGAGGAGAGTTTGGCAGCACTGCAGTTGTGTATAGTTTACCAAACGGTCATATGCAACCACCTTTGCGCCTGAGTGCATGTGCGGAAAGCGTTGGGCACTTAGGGCTGTGTGGCGAGTAGCACTCAAGCAAGGTTGCATTCAAGCAAGAAAGCCAGCCGCGCCAAGCGGAGTACCCGTGGAGCTGGTTTCCCTGAATGATACCCTTCCGTAACTTCCAAAGCGGCCTGTACCTATACATCGGTAGCTTGTCATGGACCGCTGCAATGCTACCGCAGTACCGGCGCTGATAACCCCGGCGGCCCCCCACGCACCTGCTGGTACAGCCCCACCAGCGTCTCCACGTGTCGAGCCAGCGCCTCGTTGGTCCGCTGCTGCCGCATGAGCTCACCCTCCATCATCATCAGGTGCGCGTTCTTGCGGTCGCGACAGCGCTTGGCAGCCAGGCGGTTCTTCTCGCGCCGTGCATCCTGAGAGCGACTTCCGCCACCGCTGCCGCCGCCGCCGTACATTCCCATGCTGCCGCCGCTGTTGCGCTCTGCTTCCGCTGCTGCGGCTGCTGCTGCAGCAGCGGCGGCGGCGGCGATTGCGGATGGGGAGGCGCGGGCTGATGCCGTTGGTTGATGCCTTACGGCAGCTGCGGCGGCAAGTGCTTGTACTGCTGCAGTGTTGGCTGTGGTGGCATTGGGAGTGTTGTCGGAAAAACTCATGTCGGAGGGGAGTAGACGGGGATGCGGGGATTGCGTGGGTCGATGAAGTTCCGGGAAGGTGAGGAAGGGCTGGCAGGCAGGAAAGAGAGAGAGGGGGCGTTGTGTGGCGGTTGTGGAATGGGGGCAGAGCTGTTGTGCTAGGCCAAAGCCGTCATGCGCTGTTATTGTTGTATGACCCAAGGAGGAGGATTTGGGTGCGTGATTGGGTTCCTGTTTAAAAGTTTCAGTCAGCCTCCTTTGGGATACGTGTACCCTGCTACTTTGTTTGACAATGTGTGTGCCAGTATGGCCTGTCTGCGCGGTTACGAGGGAATGCAACAGAAAAGGGCGTTTTCACAATAATCATTTCATCAGAGGTTGCGCTCGCAGCGTCATATTTTGACACGTCGAGGTCGCAGGCGACGCATCATCCAAGGACCCTCGAAGCGAAGACCCATGGGCCGAGGTCTGTGCAGAATCAAAGCGTCTTAACATTGCCTTGGGCAACAGGAACCTAAGGCAACAACTTGATTAAGAAAGTTGTTACGTGTTAAAGTCCTTTGGTGGGGAATGTCACGTTGGGTGAAAAGCGTACAGGTGCTCCCGCGGAGCCCGACAGGCGCGGAAAGGATGAAACGTGTCTGATGACGTTCCTTACCGCTTGCGTTCTAGCTTTCGACATCGAAAATGCGATTGTTAATGACGCGTTGTAAGGGTATGTATAGTAGATATTACGTTACTGAGGCGTGTCGAGGAAGGGTTGTACTCAGCAGCAGCCGTCATCTTTTGTATGGCCGAACTCCCGCTACCGCATGACGTCCGTCTACTTTCTGTAACTTTATTACGTAAAATACGCCTGAAATCGCCTTCATTTTATTCATTCATCGTCATACATGTACCGCATTATTTCCCTTTTGTGTTTTGCAGTACCGGTAACAGTTGCCCCCCACCGTAACCCATCTACCCAAACCATGCCCTCGATTCCCCACAACCCGACACCCAACTCCATCCGTTGCAACAAAAGCCCCGAAAACAACACCCTTCCATCTCCTGCTTCCTGACCCCACTCTTTCAAAACAACCGCAGCTCAAGGCCCTCACTCCAGATGTACCGCACGTCACCCTCCCGCCGCCACCACCACAAGCAGCCGACGCCGCCAGCACCACCTCACCCCTTCCACCTCCCGCAATCGCAACAACATCACCCGCCGCCCCCGCCGCTGCAGCAGCAGCCACTACCACCGACGGCGCCACTGCCGCTGGCAGCAGCAGCGGCGGCGGCGACGGGCTTGTCGTACCGTTGTTCGTACACTTGACGGAACTGGATCTCACGGGCAGCGGCGCCCGGGCTGCTGCGATGTCGTTAGCGGTTGAGAAGCTGCAGGTCGCTGCTCCCAACCTGCGGGTGCTCAGACTGGACGCCACCGGCACGGCGGCCTACATGCACGGTGGGTCACCTGGCTTAGGACACCTGGTTTCGCGGCTTGGGAGGGTGTATACCGGTGACAGGACCAGTACTACAGTACCTACAGGCGCGATCAACCTGCAGGATAGGTCTCCTCTAGTGCCCCCCTCTCCAATCTACCCCTGCTGACCCGCTCGTTCAGCAAGTAGCTTCTTGTGTCCTAGCCCTATTTTCTGATGGCCCGACGCCTCGGTCGGCATTGTAGAACCTTAGTAATATAAATCATTTAGCTCTTCTTACCCGGCTTTACCTACGCCTCCTCCTGCAGGTCTGGTGCTGGCTCCGGAACCAGAGCGCCCTGGCCCGGGTTTTCCGCAGCTGAGGATTTGCGAGGTGAGGGGTGGGAGGGCGGAGACGCGAGAGGGCCGGGGTTTCCACGACACCCTGTCACACCTCCCCTCCTATACCACGCCATGCTTCTTCTAGTGCGCCCTGCACCCCTGCACTCCTAGGGCCCTACAGTACAAGATAACCCCATCATAAGAACGCCCCCTCCCGCGCTCTCCTGTGTTTCCTCCATGTTCCTTCCGTGTCCATCGCTCCTCCGGCTCCGCATCTTCCCCCAGTTGGGCCTGTCCCGCGCGCAGTCGGCCACATGCAGCCGCCCGCTACAGCGGCACTGCCCCACACTGGATCTTCTGCGTCGGGTGGTGGGCGCCTCACGCCGGCTGCACACCTTGGACGTGTCAGGTGGGCGGCAGGGACGGAATGGCTGGGTAGGAAAGGATATAGATGGTTCAGAAGAGAGGAAACTGACGAGCTGTATGACGAGGCTTCACCATGGGTTGCTTCATTGCTTGGCGAATGAACGGGTGGGTGGAGCGTGGAGGGTACACAGGGTGGCTTGGGCGCACTCCGCCTGCACCTGTGCTAGGAGAGAACCCGTGTTTTCTCAGAACCCCTTCCGCCCCGCCTGCCATGCCGGTTGCCGTACGCATCCCTCCAGGCGCTATGAGTGCGGCTGACGCAGCCCTGCTGTCCTCTCTAGCCCTCTATACGGCACCTCCTGCAATTCCCGGCATGGAGGAGGAGGCACGTGACGCGGCCGCCCTCGGGTATCTGCCTTACCCGTCGCTACAGCTCTTCGGCAACCCCCATTCCGTTGGCGACGACGACCCGGAGCACGTTGCTGCTGCTGCTGCCGCGGCCGCTGCTGCTAGGCGCCAGGCCGCAGCAGCAGAGGCTGCGGCGGTTGCTGTAACCGGTCCCTATCCCGGCAGTGCCGCCACTGCTGCCAGCACCCGCAGCGGCACCTCGTCTTCTTCAGCCTCTTCCCTGGACGCCGAGCTGCGTGGTCGCCTGCGTCAGAGCCTGGGTCCTCCGCTGCAGCTGGCGGTGGCGGCTGTGGGGTTGCGGGAGCTGCGGGCGAGCCGGTCGCTGCTTGCCTCGGACGCGGGGCTGCATGCGGTGGCTGTGCGGTGGGGCGGGACGCTCAAGGTGCGGTGGTGGAGGGGGAGGGAGGTTATCAGAGGAGCCGGGCGGGGTGGAGGAAAGCACGCGGACTTCGTGTGCGGTGCATACTGCGGTATGTTTCTTGCATGCATCTGGTTTCCTTAGCCCCGCCGGTGTGCCGCCTGCTGACTGGCTGTTTGTTTGCATGTTTTGAAGGAAACTGGCCGCGCGGAAATGCCTGCAGGTGTTGGATGTGAGCCAGAGCAGCCACGTGACGGACGCGGGGCTGCTGCACGTGGCGCACAGCTGTACGGCGCTGACCACCCTGGACGTATCAGGCGAGAGCACGTAGGGGGGTGCCGGCGCCCGCATGCAAGAACTCCTATGGGGCAAACGTCTGTTGTCAAGTTGTCATGACCCACAAGGGGGCAAGACGAACAACGCTGCGGACTCCTTGTCCTGTCTTGTCCTTGTCCACCTCTGCTCGCCTAACTATCTATCGTCATATGCTTCTATTCCTCCTGTCTCTCATGCGGGATCTGCCCCCCTCCTGTCTCTCATGCGGGATCCGCCCCCCTCCCCGCCTTCTTCTGTCTTCATACCCTCCGCCGGCAGGCACCAGCATCACCGACTGGGGAGTGCGCTGCTTGCTGGCGGCCAGATGCGGCGGACGTGGAGGCGGAGGAGGTGGGGGCAGCGGAGGCATCCAGGACAGCGCTGCGGCTGCTGGCGGCGGCGGCGGTCACGCAGCAGCTGGTACTCCTATCGGCACTCTTCCCCAGCCCAGCAGCAGGCTCGGCGGCAGCAGTGGCGGTGGCGGCAGGGGGAGACGCCCCTTGGTGGATCTGGTATCTGAGGAAGAGGAGGAGGAGGAGGAAGCGGGTGATGGCAAGCAGGAGAGAGGAAGCGCGGGTGGAGGGCTGCGGCACTTGGATATCGACAGCTGCAGAGGGGTGGCTCGGGCGACACGGCATGCCGCCGCACAAGGCCTGGGACCGCTACGGCAGCTGCTGCGGTTGTAGGTGTGCTTGGGGGGTAACGTTGGGATGACGTTGGGTTTAGTTGGGAGTGAGGTGTTGGCAGGTGAAGGTCCGTGATGTTGGCGTCAAGACTGGCACGCACGCACAGGAGCTTGGGGAGCTGTAGTGATGGCCCATTTTGGTATCATTTTGTGTTGTCGTTGGGGATTTGGAGTTGTTAGGTTGACGTTGACACCCGCTCCGTTAGAGCGGTGGCTTCTGGTACGGAATTACGGCTGCCTCTGATACGGTAAGGGGGGGCGGCAAGCGCTGGGCCTGCGCCTCATCGGGCTAATTGGTGCTGCAGATGCTGCAGCACCACTTAGCTGCACGGTGACGTCATGTACGACTGAAGACCTACCACATGAACAATTCCTTACAGGAAAAGTACTATGCGCCAATTAGATACACGCGGCATTGTGTAATTGAGGGACAAGCGAGCCTCATTATTATTAGGACACACAACCAGCACCGGCATCATGCCAATCATGTGGCAAACCGGATACAAACAGCCTTTTTGTGGCATACGCACGAGCGAGCACCACCAACGTTTCAGAGTTATCCTCTTCTTTTCACCTCACTCAACAAAAACCAAGTAAAAACCTTAAGCCCCCACTCAAACGGGCCAAGCCGAGCTTCATTTGGTGGCATATCACCGTCAAGTCAAATATACATGTGTCCAATGTGTGTTCCACTGTCAAAAGTTATGAGCAACACTATAAAATGGGAATATGCCCAACAACACAACAATTCCTTAATTTCGTAGGGAAACCAAAACACAGTTCAGCAACAAGGGGCTTATCTCAGGCCTTTCACCTTCCGAGCACGCCCACTTCGCGACCCCACGACACAACCACACCTCACACTGATACCACAACATTTGCGGCATTCACGCGCACTTCGCACTTCCTCACAGCCGCCCCCCAGCGGGCATCAACTATCATACACCCAGGTACACGCAAACGGCCTCTCACCCCATCGAGAGAGAGACACAGCGAGCTCAAGCACCGTTCCCTCGGTCCATCCAGGTGCATGGCCTCCATCCCTCCATGCAACACGTCAGCATGCATTACCTTGTTGTGTACTATCCCATCAGTCAACCAACCGTTGTGTACGTCGTGTATCCCAGTAGTCAACCAACCGACAATTCAACCGCTGATGTAATGTGACCAGGCACGCGACCAGGTGGCGTACGAAGGTGGGGTGGGGACGGTCTGGCATGGCATCAGTGGCACGCTGCCACAATCAATGGTAGGCCATCACAGATGTATGCCGTAGCAAATGCGAACACAGCGGCAGGCAGCGGAAGCTGCTGCCGCCGCTGAACGGCGTGTAAAGGAGTCCTGACAACCAGCCGTAATAGGTGACGCATGCAGCACACACACATACGCGCGCAAGCGCGAGAGTGGAGAGACGACCAACCGCCTCCAGCACCCTTTCGCGCGCATCCACACCCTAACCGCGGCCCACGCAGCTTCCTCGTTTAAGCCACACAGCCCCAAAGCCACAACAAAACATGCACACACGCACAACATATGTGCCAAGGCCTTCCCTCATGTTGCACCCTAGCTCCTCCCTTCCCATCACACGCACACACACCTCATCCGTCCCCACCCCTCATCCGTCCCCACCCCATCACCAATGCTTTCCTGTATGTACTACTGCCGACCATTGACCCGCCGGACCAACCATCCAACAAGGGGTCCAGCTGAGCAGAAAACCCCGACCCAACCCAACGCAACCAAATTCGACCCCCAACCACCTCAGTTACCACTCTGTGCGGACAGCAACAGCAGCTGCGCTAGAATGCCGGGATCCACACCACCTCCGTTGACGTTGAGCGCACTGACGTTGAGACTGGCGCTGAGCCCAGTGTTGAGCGCCGGCGGCGGTGGCGGCAGCTGCGACTGGTGCGTGTGCTGCAGCGGCAGCTGAGCTGTGTTGTTCTCCGCGGTGGCGAGGTTGAAGGCCGCACGTTGCATGAGAACCTGGGGTGGGGGGGGGGAGCGCGGTTTGGTGGTGGGGTGTTGGTGGGGGGCGACAATGCGTGGCATGCGGGTACTTAAACTGGCAACACGTGGTGCCTCTCATGGTTAAGGAGTGGCATCAGCATAGTGGCGCCCCACTCGTATGATGCCCCTCCCCACACGCACCCTACCTGCATGCATACCACCCCACGCAAACCCACACCCAACCGCCCTCTCCACCCAACCGCCCTCACGCCATCCTCCATCCTACCGAGTACGCCAACTCCTCCAGCTTGCTGACCAGCGCCTGCGCCGCCGGTATGTTGCCTGCCGTCAGCACCACCCGCAGAGTGCTACTCAGCTGCATCAGCGTCTCGGGCAGCTGGTTCAGCAGCTGACCGTAGTTCGCAGCAGCGCTGTTGGACAGCGGGGACAAGGTACCCGCGGCAGCCGCGGCGGCTGCCGCCGCCGCTGCCGCGGCGTTCTGCTGCAACGCCAACTGGTCCGCGGCGGCGGCGGCGGCAGAGCCGCCGCCGCCGACTGCGCTGGCGGCGCCTGCCGCCAGCGCCGCCGCCAGCCCGCTTTGCAGCCCCGCCGGCAGCTTGGAGGCGCTACCCGGCTTGTTGGCGCCGCCGCCGCTGCCTGGGGGCCCAAGAGCGTCGTCCCGTTCGCGCTTCAGTTGATGCCCCGAGGAGGAGGTATTGTTGTGGGTGTTGTGGGGTCCGCCTGAGCCCTGCCGGCTCTTGCCGGCGCTGCCCGGGTTGCCGGCGTGTCCCGTGCTGCCCGCTGCAGCCCGACCTCCGCTGCGGTCGCCCTCACCACCGTCTCTATCCCCATCCCCATCCTCCTCGTCCTCCTCCTCGCCGTCCTCCTCCCCATCATCAAGACCCTCCCCGCGGCGACCTTGGTGATGCTGCAGCTGCTGGTTACGCTGCTGGCCCGGTCCGGGGCTGTTTCCCTCCCCCTCGCCGCGTTCACCCGCGCGCCCCTCTTCCTCATCCTCAGTGCCGCCGCTGCCGCTGCCGCCGTTGCGTGCTGCGCTGCCAGGTCCTCCTGCGCCCCCGTCCTCCTCGCCACCCCGGTTAGCACTGTTGCTGTTGCTGTTGTGTTGGTGGCTGCTGTTACCGTTGTTGGCCGCACCGTTCATGTGGTGGTGGTGGTTGAGGAGGTTGAGGTTGTTGAGGTTGAGGAGGACGTTGGGGCCCTCGTGGCCCTCCCGGGGATCTTGATGTGCGAGCTGCTTCAGGGCGACGGCTGCGGTATCCTCATCCGACTCGGCGTCTGCATGTGCGTGCGTGTGTGTGTATGTACGGCGGGAGGACACATGGGGGGAGGTTACGGCGGAAGTAAGGTATTGTAGTAGGGTATCTCTGTGTAACATTCCACATCGAAAGGAAAGGTCGACGTACACCACGCCGACGATACCCGGAGTTGGAGGCTTCTCCGACCCCAGAACCGTACCAGCCCCTCGCCGGACCCACCCCGATTTATTGCATGAGTCGGGATTTGGGGTTGGGACTCCGTTGCTGCACTTGTAAGTTATCCTTCACCCCCGTTCCCCAACCCGCACCTGAGCTGCCCCCCTCACCGTCCCCTCGACTCCGCTTCATGCCCCGTTGCTCATCAGACTGCGAAAAGGCGAGGACATGGGGTGGCGCGAGGAGGGAGGAACCCATAAGCCGCAGCAGCAACAGCGCTGGCGAAAGTCAGCAAGAGGGAGAGCCCCGACACAGCGGCACGCACGCATTATGACACCGCTACGAAAGTCCTTTCCTCGTCTCTCCCCTCCTGCGTTCCACCTCGATGCCAGCTTCCTCAGCGCCCCCCCCCCCCACACACACACACGCACGCACACGAACCTGTTTGAGGCTGCCGTTGCCGTACAATGAGAAGGCGCTGCCGCCGCCGCCCGCCCCCACCAGCCTCAGCCGCCGCTCCTGATCCGCCATCGCCGCTGCGGTGGCCATAGGGCCCAGCATCATGGGAGGCAGCTGACCGGGCAGCCCGCCCAGGGCCGGGGGCAGGCCGGGGGGCAGGCCGCCGGGGAGGCCGGCGCCCAGGCCGCCGCTGAAGGCGGGAGGCAGCACTGCAGCATGGGGGGAGGAGGGGAAGGGAGGAGGGGGAGGCAGGAGAGAGGGTTGAGCATTGGGTGCATGTGGGGTAAGACGGGAGAGGAGACGTGATGAGAGCGCTTCGTTTGGCTGCAAACGGGAAAGGGGGCTGGCAGGCTGCGACACATACCCATACTCGCTCTCCATTCTCCTCGCGGGCCAAGGTCAGTGTCAGATTTGCGGTGCCAGTTGGCTCATCTAACTCACACCAGTCCAACGGATATCCTTTCAAATAACCAACTTCAACTGACAACAGTTACTGCTGACGGTTATTACCAACGGCCATTTCTAACGGTACTCACATGACGCCACGCCGCCCGGATCGCGTCCCAGCCCGCCCAGCCCGGGGAGGGGGCCCAGCAGGCCACCGGGAGACCCGGGGCCGCGTGCTGGCCCGGGTCCCCGGACCAGCGGTCCGCGACCCCCTCCTCCCTGCTGCGTGATGAGGACGTTGTGGATGGCGGCGATGGAGACGATGCCGTCGGGGCCGGTTTCGTTACGGAGTTGGGCCATGATCTCGGAGTGCTTCTTCTTGAGGGTGCAGTTCCAGCGGTTCTTAATGTGGTTGTCGGTGCTGCCGAGGGGGTTGAGAGGGGGTGAGGGATAGGAGAGGGAAAGAGTTGCGAGGGAGGTGGTGAGGAGGAGGGAGAAGGGTCGGGGCCGTGGCTGGGTTGGGCGAAAGAGAAGACAGCAGTTGTTGGGTGGAAATGTTGGGCGTGGTGGGGGGGGGGGTCGTGGACTAGGCCCACCGCCTTTGGGATTCAACCAAGAAGGGTTGATAGGGGGAACGCCAACAACGGGCCGAGCACCCACCGGCCGGGCAGGTGTTTGGCGATGCTGGCCCACTTGTTGCCGTACTGCATGTGCGCCCAGAGGATGACAGCGTCCTGGGTGGGGGTGGGGAGTAAGGATTTGGGCACATGAAGGATGGGGCCGGGGCCTTGGAATGGACGCGGATTGGGTTTTGTAACGAGTTGAGAGGACGAGGGTTGAGTGGGATGTGTGAATGGCGTACTAGACAGCCGTTGTACATCAGATTGTAAGAACCACCGAAGCATGCATGCCGCGCTGGTGTGAGCATGGGCAGGTGCCCAGAGCTTTGGGACTTGGTGTATGCAGAGAACCGTGTGTTGAAGGAAAAAAAGACCGTAAGCGCTGTATCAGTCAGTGACCATGCTGTTATTCAGGTGAAGGGGGTTTTGGATCAAAGCCGCCGCAGGTGTGGTGGGCGGGACTCGCTTAGGCTCTTGTGGCCTGCTGACCTTTCGACCACCGCCCTAACGGGTAAGTGCGCTCGGGGCCCTCCGACGACCAAGGTTTTCCGGATGCACGCTGATTTTAAGTTAAACAGAAGGCGTGAATATGCACTACTAAATCCGAGTTGCGTGTGGGGAGTTTAGACGGGAAGTTATCGTTGGAACAATGCCAACATGCTTCGCTTACCTCTTCAGCGGAAAAGGGCCCGCTTTTCACGGCAGGACTGAGCTGGTTCAGCCATCGCAGCCTGTGGATATAGTTGCAGTAGCGAATGTATGTAAGCATAGTTCTAGAGCTCGGAGCCAGGAGGAACGGAAATGGTCCACATCAACTCAGTGACGCCCTCAACGGGAAAGGAGCCAATAAAAAACGGTTGAGGTAAAGATAATCAACAGGACGTTGCTTCACCCATTGCCGTTTCGGGCACCGCGGCCCCGTCTACATCGACAACTGCTTCAGGCGCCGGTTATGAGGAGCACCTACCGGCTCTTACCCCGAAACACCCGAAATGCCTGACAGGAACGCATGAGGTGCAGTTGTATATAAGTGTAATGTTGTCTATGAAGCAAATGCGGCCGCCTTGGCGCGCTTCCCTAGCCTGGCCAACAGGCATACATCGGTCCTGCTCACCTGCAGCTCTTGCCCGACCGCCCCGGAATGCAGGATGCAATTGATGTCCAGTTCCTAGGGCCCTGAGCTAAAACAAGCTGGCGCAGAACCGCGTCCTCCTCTGCGCCAAAAGCGTCATCGTTAAGAAAGTTGTCCGGTCCACCACGGACACCAACGCCCCGACAATAGGTCATAGTCCCTCACAGCACCTGGCGTCCATGGCCCTTTCGTTACATCATCATCTCCGTGTGCGCCATCGGCGTAAAGGGCGTCCATACTGGCTAGGGTGGACGTCCTAGTGTTGAACTATACGACCTTAGCTTACGCTACGCTGACAAGGCTGGTGCAAGTTTAGTGCTGACTGATTGTGGGCGTTGGGCTCGCTAGAAGTTGGTGGCCGGTTTGGTTGCGTTGCCACCGACCGCGAACGTTGCCACAACCGTACTTCACGCACTTACATGAATCGGCCCGAAACAGGCAAATCATCAATCTATACGTAATGTTCTACAAAGAGCCACTTTTCATGAGGGAAAAGCGGTTGTCTTGCAAAAAGGTTGTTTCCCCTGGAGTTGGGACAGTTCCCACTTTAACTCTCGACTTTTTGGTCTGCAACTGTTGCATTGCAGCAGATACATTGATGTGTTCACTAACGTCCAACTATTGGGCTTGCGGAGAACCTTGAAGCACCTGCTCAGTTAGCATCACGGCTGTAACCGTCCCCAGGACGTCTCAAGGATGAAGGAGAACAGCTCTTTGCAAATTTCTGGCCCTCTGCAGCCCGCTGTTACGAAGTTGTCTTCGCGGTCAGACGGCATGGACCACAACCGACTTATGCCCAAAAGTCGGTTGGGCATGCGACCAGATCAGTGACTGCCCACACAGTAGGCTTTATTTTGCAGAGATTTGGCAGTAACCTGCCGAACCTTTGAGTGGCGGTTGTACGCTGATGTCCAGACGGCTCCTCTTTTCTGTTCTCAGCTTAGCATGCGATGCACAACATATGTCGCCCAGGTATTGGAGGTACCTAATTGGCTACATCGTGGTCTCCACGCGGCATGCGTCAGACCTTTACGGTCACGACAGATGCGGTTGGCTTGCTCCTTGCTGGCCTAAGCACTTGCAGGCAAGGCGCGCGTGACAGCTTGAAATTGCATTTGTCTCTACGTCCTTACCAAAATCCTAAGCAAGGCATCGCCTCGTACGCAGACACACGCATGCTGTCTTTCTGCCGCTTGCTCCTATCGTCTCCCATATCTCCACCGTCTCTTCTCCATCTGTCACCCTTGGACCACTTAGCTCACGCTATGCGCAGTTGAAAGCAATTGCGTATTTATGGATAGAACGGATTACGTGGGTACGTGTGATGTAGTGACTCCTGCTTGCCATCCTGCTTGCCAAGGGCCCTGCCCAGCCAAGGGATGGGGCCCACGATGGCTGAAGCTGAGGATAACATGGTATAATCATAGAAGCTGCATGCATGTACCAGTAACCAAGATACAGACGTGCTTTTCGACGCAGATGGAAGGATCAGCCATGCAAGCTGACCTACTAGGCCAGCCCGCCCTGCCCCCGACGCCGATCATCTAAGCAAAGAGTGGCACACGCCATAAGTCCTCTGTTATGGGATAGCCAAGCTACTGTTGACCACAGCAAGCGGCGAACATGTCGGAAACGTCTCGCGGCCGGTACCGGTAATCTCGCCGATGTCTAGCGGAGAAGAGTCTATGCAATATAATGCAGTGCCGCAAGCTGCATTTGAGCTGGGCAGATAGACCTAAGGCAAGAGGATAGAGGCAACTGTTTGTGCGTTAAACAACAACTGGAAGAAGAAACGTGCACGTCTTGGGCAGTGACTTTCTGTGTTTGCCAAGCTGTCGCCAAAAATTTACGACGACAAAATATTGCCAAGCCAAGACGGTTTCCGCTTATACGGCACGGTTGCCCTGCTGTCCAAAATGCTTGCGCTAGGTGGTTTGGCGAGATGCAAGCCCTATGATCAACGACGGTTACTGTACATAAAGCGTACTTGCCGGGTTCCAAGACCTTGCGTTGCGAGGATGGCCTCCAGCGATGTAGGGCAGCGTGCGGAGCAGGCACGGGCAGCAGCTGAAGCCGCAGGCCAAGGTCATATATTCGAACATTGGGAGTCGCTTACGGAAGGCGAAAGAGAGAACCTGCTCAAGGACGTTGAGGTACGGGGTGCGGCGTATGACACAAGGCGGGAAGTATAAGCTTGCGGCATGGCGCCTTGCAACGCCATCCATTTCCGTAACACCCCGACATGCTTCTCATTTGCGTCTCCAAGCCGCTGCCTACCTCATTACCCGCCCACATGGCTACGCTCTCCCGGGCCATGGGACTGTGCTTCCCTTCTCATTTCTTCCCTCCCCCACTCGATTCCATGCACCATCCGCTTGCCATTACCATGCACCACATCGGGGCTTCTTCTCTTACCCCTCACCCCCCCCACACACCACCAGGGTCTGGACTACCATTACCTGTCCCGCGTGTTCACCGCCAGCCTAGCGGCCTCCTCAGCAGGTGAGCCTCACAGCCCATCGGACTGCCCGCCGTCCCCCTTAGGAGTCCTGTTAGCTGCCCGCTGCCTTTTCCTACCGGTATAAGTTCCGTCGGAAGGCTTGAGCCAGCGACACCAGGGGTGAAACAAATGTGATGAAATGAGATGAGGGTGCGACCTGCAACTCGTGAGGGCTCGTACGTGAGTCCACCCCCTATCCCACCTCCAACTCCATGCCAACCCACGTGTTCTGTTCTCGATGCTCTCTCCGGGGGGGTGGTGGGGAGGAGCAGCCGGCAGCTACCAGGGGGTGCGGCCCGCAACGGATGTCGTACAGCGCAAGGACGTCACTCCGGCGCAGGAAGCCGAGTGGACGCAGCTGGGGTACCGCTTCATAGCTGAGGTGGGAGGGGTGGTAAGAAAAACTTGTGTGGGCGGGGGAGCGGGTTTTGCAAGCCCAAGAAGAGCAGACCATGCACAGCAGGGTAGGGCACGATGTCTGGAGCCACGCGCACTGAGAGGATGGGGTGGGGTCGACGTTAGCGCCCGTTACCTCCGCTCGCCTTCGCGGCCCCTTTCTCCGCACCTTTATGTACGGTACTTTCGTGTACTTTCTCGTTTCCGCATGTGTCGCATGCTCTCCCATCCCCTGCATGGCCTCCATGTGTCACAGCACGCGGATTGCTCCTCTGCTGCCGTACCACGCTACCACCCCACCCCCCACCCCGTCATGCAGTTCGTCAGTTTTCCTTGTTTTCACCCCCCACCCCCACCCCCACCCCCCTTGCCCCTGCAGGGCCGAGTGGGTGTGTTGCTGCTGGCCGGCGGCCAGGGCACCCGGCTGGGCAGCTGTCTGCCCAAGGGCTGCTTCGACATCGGCCTGCCCTCGCACAAGTCGCTGTTCCAGGTGGGAGTGCGGGTGGTGTGTGGCAGGGGGGGTGCCGGTGGCTCATGCCATACCATACCATGCCTCTTTTACCTAGTTAGCTACCTGCTGCACAGCCGTCGCGCGCGCACCTCCCCCGCTCCCTCCTAACCGCCCCGCGCTGCTCCTCAACCCCACCCCGCTCCCACACCACAATTGTGAGCCTCCTCCTCCCCCCGCTCCCCTCCTCACCTCCTCAACAGCTTCAAGCCGAGCGGCTGCTGCGGCTGCAGCGTCTGGCTGCCGCCGCCAGCGGCACCCCTCCCGCCGCCGCCCGCCCGCTAACCTGGTACATCATGACCAGCGCCTTCACGCACGAAGCCACCCTGGAGCACTTTGTCGCGCATGACTACTTCGGGCTGCAGCGGACGCAGGTGGTGTTCTTCCAGCAGGGCTTCCTGCCGGCGTTCACGGAGGAAGGTGTGCGGTGGTGGGGGTGGTGTATTTGGGGGGGTTTAACCCATGCCAAACCGTAGGAAACCACAGGTACTTTTGGCAAAGCAATGGGGTTTGGGGGGGAGGTAAAGATGGAGGAACAGGCGAGCTGTACGAGGGGGGGCTTCGCCATGGGTGGGGATGAGGGGATGAGGGTGAGGGCGGCAGGCCTGTGATGGGGCACTTCGTCAAAGGCGGTTGCAGCTGCAGGGCGATGTGGGCGATGTGGTGCCGGTAGCCGAAAGTGTCCCGAGTGTGTCTCCCTCGCGCGTCGCGCTAGGCGACCCCACTCTGCTGCCCCCCAGGCAAGCGCGCCGCCTTCCCTCCCTACTCCCTTTTGCCCCTGCCCCTAACTTGTACCCCCCTTGGGGCGCGGTCTGCTTTCTCTCTTTTACCCCTCCCACCCCCAGTGAATTTGTGTTTTAGAATATTGTCCATTGTAGAAAGGAAAACAAAAAGCCCGCCCGACCCCCCCAGGCAAGCTCATCCTGGAGACCCGCAGCAGCTTGGCCAAGGCGCCCGACGGCAACGGCGGCGTCTACCTCTCCCTGGCCCGCAGCGGCCTGCTGCAGCACATGAGCGCAGCCGGCATCGAGTGCCTGGACTGCTACTGCGTGGACAACAGCCTGGCGCGGCTGGGTGACCCACGGTTCATCGGCTACTGCCACGGCGTGGCAAAGGCGGATGTGGGCGCGCGAGTGGTGGCAAAGGCCTATCCAGAGGAGAAGGTCGGCGTGTTCGCTCGACGCTACGCTGAAGCAGGCTCAGCCGCAGCCCCGTCATCATCTTCCGCCGCTGCCGCCGCAGCGACAGCGGCAGGGACAGCCCCATCATCCCTTGCCGTACTCGAGTACTCCGAGCTGGAACCCGCACTCGCCTCCGCCACCAACCCCGCAACGGGGCAGCTGTATTTCAACTGGGCCAACCTCTGCATGCACTTCTTCAGTGTGGCCTGGTTGGCGCGGGTAGCGGAGGAGCTGCTGCAGGGGCGGGGCACGCCGTACCATGTGGCGCGGAAACGCATTCCGTCGCTGGCCGGCCCGGTGGGTAGTGGTGGTGGTGGTGCCGGTGGTGATGGTGGTGGTGGTATTAGGAGTTCCGGTGGTGGTATCGGGAGGGAGCTGCTTTGTGGAAGTTGTTGAAAAGGGAGAACATCATCATGCGGCATCATTGGAGCATGCTCTGATGTGGAAATGGCATGAATGTTGTGCTTTGGGTGCTACATGTCCATGTGTATTGCCAGCTTACAGCCGCGGATTAGGGATTGTAGCGTGCAAACGAAATGCCTTGTGATTGTGACTGCCGCTATTTAGAACTGTAGCTGGAAACATGGCGGCTGCTGCTGTAGCTGGAAACATGGCTGCTGCTGCTGTAGCTGGAAACATGGCTGCTGCTGCTGTAGCTGGAAACATGGCTGCTGCTGCTGTAGCTGGAAACATGGCTGCTGCTGCTGATGTGTTCCCTGCTGGGCAGGTCCCGGGTGTTAAACTGGAGCTGTTCATCTTCGACACCTTCGGGGCCGCCGGGGACAAGACGGCGCTGGTGGAGGTGGAGCGCAGGTGGGGGAAGCGGGGGCGGGGGTCGCCACACCACCCGTGCATTTGATACCGATGATGTGGCTTGGAAGAAGAGTAATATGAAAACGCTTGGGGGAGTTAAGAAAAGGTTGGAAACGAGCCATGGCATGCATACCTCCCCATGTCCTTTTTACCCTTACCGGTATTTTGCACGAAGGGAAACCGCCACCATTCCCTCCTCTTCCTCCTTCCATTCTTACCCATTGCCGTCGCCATCACTGTCGCCTCTCGCCGTCCCCGTCGCCTCTCGCCTCCAGGGAGGAGTTCGCGCCCGTTAAGAACGCTCCGGGCGCTGCAACCGACTCCCCGGACACGGCCCGAGCCGCGGTGCTGTCGCTGCATGCGGGCTGGGTGCGGGCGGCAGGCGGCGTGGTGACGTGCGGTGAGGGGCTGGAGGTGAGCCCTCTGGTGAGCTACGGCGGAGAGGGCTTGGAGGGGTTGGTGGCAGGGAAAACGTACGGAGACGCGTTCGTACCGGAGTTGCAAGGGCAACAACAGGAGGTGTGATGTAGGGGCAGGGAAGACGGAAGCGGGCGGTCGTGCTGCTTGGCTGACATGCTGAGGGGTGGTGGCGGCAGGGGCTGACCGGTGAGAGGGAATGAGGCTATGGCTGCGGTTAGCAAGAGGTTTGTGTGTTGTTGACCGGAACGCGGTGTGCCCGATCTTGTTAGTTCGCTCAAGGACTAATATTTCTGCAGAGTTTGGTTTGTTGTCCTGTTTATGAAGTCAACATGCTTTCCTTGGGTGTTACAGCGCTCTCACGCAACAGGTACACTTGGCGTCATGGCGCTCACCTTGTCTGAACCACAGCAGCGACTACAAGTATCATACAACAAAGCATTTCCAACAACGCACCGCCGGTAACCTTGCACCCGGTTTGGAACCTGTCTACATAAACGGCAGTGGGCTATTCTGGCTTTAGGCGTGAAATACTGCGGCACCTCAACTCACGCATGAACCAAACAAACAGTTATATTAAACACACAGCGGGAGACATCATCTTCCATCTATCCAGTACGTTCCTACTCGCAGCCAGTTTGCTTAACACACAGCGGAGCCCAACTGCCCGCCTTTTGCACATGCTGCATTTTAATGTAAGGAGCAGCCGACTTACGAACAGACACACCTACTCTCGAGGTGCACCCTGGCATTATAACAGGTCAAACCGCCACCAAAGCTGATCAGCCACATGTCCCTCGTTCAAGAGGGTCGTCCTTGTACCCTCATTTGCCATCAACTGGGGCTCATAAGAGTCCTGCGACAATTTACGACCTGGGTACCGGCACAAAAGGAAAGGCGCCTCCAATCTTGCCACAAGTAAGGTCAGAAGTTATGCTACCCGTTGACATCGGCCCTCATCAGCTTAACCCCCATTCCACACATAATCGCCACAACGCGCCATTCCTTCGTATGGACGCTCAAGCCTCCTCAATTAGCAAAACCTCGCAAATACTTATGGACAAGTTTTCGTTCATGGCCGTTTCTTCCCACCACTTAGACGACAGCCGGCTTCAAGGCGCGCCTACGCCGCCTTTCGCCTACATCTAATCGCCCTGTGCGCCCAGCTCTCGTTCCATGAAACCGCAATGGCGGCCACACGACGCAGCTTCGGGCACAACCGCCAACCTCTGTAGCTGTACAGGAACACTATCTGCATCCCAACCAACACGATGCACCTGTTAGTCCCCTTGTAATCGTTGCAGACAAACAAACTAATAACAAACTGCAAACTGTACATTCTACATGGACTCGCTTCTAACGTCTCCAGAAAGGTGGCGGTAAACTGGCCGGAGTAGTAGCAAAGACACAAGCATACGTAATGCAAAGACATGGCTTGCCGTTGCAGACCCATGGGACACGGCAAAATAGTGACGGCCAACAGCGAAGCGAAACGACATGAAAATCCCAGCCTAAGCTGTCCCCAAGCCTGAAGGCCCCGCGAAGAGGCTCCACTTTGTACACGAACCACCCACGCGACAACAAAGGATACGGCAACTGGTCGATATAACACACCTGTAATGACGTAGCGTATCCCACACCTCTGGCTATAGTAGAGAAGAACGAGCAGACAGCAATGCCGCGCAAGAGCCCCCGTGCGATCTCTCCTTCAGGGCTGCCACACAACACACACACACGTGAATTCCTTCTCGCGGCCAGTGTCCTTAGCACACGCACCTCCCAGTCGTGTACATGCCGTTGCTGAAAATGTTGCAACATTATTCAATGCAGGCGATTAGTAAAATGAAATGGCATCACGAAGCACGTGTCTTGAGCACGACAGGGTACGGCACACACCCGAATGAAAACAGATGCGACCATGTTCGTAGCACGGCACCGACGACATGTCTTTCAACAGCCAGCTGTCCATATTACCTCAGTTGCTTTCCCTGGTTATCCCCTTCTTGGCCCCTACTGTTGGTGTAATACAAAGCTGCCTACCATACTCAACGTACCCAACGCCACGCACTCATCCTCAGGCGCTTCCGCCTACCAGTATCATTAGCCTCACAAGCCCAAAGCCATGAAAATGGCCTTCCGCCAAGCTTCCGAGCATGTAGGTAGTTGCGGTGTTGGCTTCAGCCGTGCGCCAAACTTGGGTTGCGGTACGGTCCTCCTGGACATCCGGCACACCGCTACCTCCACAACCGCCCCCCCATCATCTACGTCCCAGCTATACACTGGCAGTGAGGAAAGACACGCACGCGAATGCCTTCAGTGCAGTTCATAATTCTACGGAAACCCCAGAAGCGCAGATGAAGCGTGTGCGTGGCATGGCAGTACCGGTAGCACCAGGTAGGCCCTTCACTGCACACACAAGACACAACCATCAGAAACGAAAGCAGTGGCGGCAGCGCTTCAAGATTCAGCGTGTTACCCCGACACACACAGCTACGTAGACCGCCCTCGCACAATGCTATACATACCACATGCCAGTACAACCAAATGGTAAACAGCACAGCACAGCACATCGCAGCCGTAAGACAAAACACAACTCGTGTTGCCAAGTACGCTCTCGCATGTTGTTCATTCCGCGGATGTTCCTAGGTCCGTACGTACATTTGCAATTCCCCAGTTGCCGGAACCGAACTGCACAAAGCGATGCGCAAATTTCGTCCATGCAAAGGGAAAGCGGTACTCAGACAACTGAATTAAACTCCCATGCATTCGCAGCGCCCTCCTCCTGCAACGGCGTTGCAACAGTAGAATAACCAGAACTCTGAAGATTCCCTAATTAATACCTGCATCCAACGCTTCGTTCCTACCAACCCCAACAATCTTCCATTTAAAAGGACGTCGGATGCGGTCTGTCTTGCACACAGGAGCTAGCATGCTACACGCAATGTGGATACAGGCAGCATGCACTGACGACCGACAAGCCTCGCCAAACGTGCCATTGAATGGAGGACGGCCGACCAGCCGACCCTCCATCCAAACCAAAAAACCGCATGCAGGAGCGACAGGGCATGGCGGCATTTGCACACGTTCATCCGGCCCCCTTTTGAACGGCCTTGCATGCCGTGAACACCTAGAGCCCTGTCCATGGCATGCCTCCCTAGGTGTCCCGCATCGTCTGTCCCATACCCACCAACCACAGATGCGCATGCGGGCGCCTCAGCAGAGTCAGCAAGAATGAAAGACAGGAGATACATAAAGAATCGCAGGAGGACCCAAACAGCCCCGCTTTAAACATAGCGCACAGACACACGCAAAGACAGCGAGGCATTGAACACACAATTAGGAACCGCAGTTTTGTTTAATTTCCAGGAACCGCAGTGTTGCTTTTTCCGAATAATGTGAACCAACCCCACATCAACCCAATTCGTCAAAGCAGCAACCCCATCCCTATTATAATAGCATGCACAACCGAGCTATCAATCCCATTTGGAGGAGCCGTGTGAGAAGGAAGAACAACTCGAAGCTGTAAAGGGATCATCTGCAATCACATTAGCTGTATTGTGAATGCAGGACGGCACGGCCTTCCTAAATGTTGCAACCCCCAAAGTAACCCCCTCTGCCAATCCACCCAGCCTCTCAAGAGACCTCAGCCGCCGGACCACCAAATACTGCCCCACCCGTTTCGAGGCCCCAAACAGGCCCCCTAACGGATGAGGCTCCTCTTTCCCGTGCCCCAACCTCCGCCTCCAATCCGGGTAAGCAGAGACAGTAGCACACGGCCCCTAATGCAAGGTACCAGGTGCGGCAGTGCTGTAGAAGACATGCGTGCAAAAAGCACCACGGACTTCACCCCCTCCCCCGCACCTTTAGTTTCCCCCGCACCTTCAGTTACCAAAATGTACACTGATACCGTCATATGCACTCTGCCGGACTGCTATGGCGGTCCAAAAGAGAGGGCGAGGCGAGGAGAAGCGGTCACCGCAGTCCCGCCTGGGGTCGCCCATGATGCCGGGCGGATGGCTGAGGAGGTACCCCAGCCGCCTGAGACGGTAGTCAGGAGGACGAGTTTTGCTGTTGCCCAAACAGGCCGTGAGGTGAGGGCGGCGACAATGATCCGGTCATCAAGCGACGGCGGCGAAGCAGCTCAGGATGAGGTCACGATCGAACCTGGTGCATGGTGGGTGGGGTAGAGTACGGTACCGGTAAGGAATGTGCAAAGGAAGCAAGAAAGGGAGGGGAGCACAAGCGAGAGGGCTCAAAGTGACGGGGGCAACTGCGCATACTCCACTTCAGGTCACGCGCGCTCTAACCCTTGCCCTGCTCGGTCAGGAACGCTGCAAACAAACCCACACCAGCCAACCATCTCCCCACAACAGGCACCATGTGCTCGCAGTTCCCACCTGAAATTTGACATGTTGGCAACTGACGACGCAATCCCAGCCGAGCTCCTCTCTTGCCGCTGCTGCTGCACCTGTCCCTGACCTTGCTGTGACACCCTTCGCCCCTGCTGCTGCTGCTGTTGCGGCCGCTGCGAGCCAGGCGATTTCGCGCCCTTGCGTGATGTCTGCCGCAGTAGAGTCGGCACCGTTGACGACCCCTGCTGTTGCTGCGGCGGCGGCACTGCTACACCTGATGACGCACCCTCCGCTGCACTCCGTCCAATACCCTTACGCCCCTGACCCTGACGTCCTGCGGCGCCACCGCCACTGGAACCACCCGCACACGCGTTATACAGCGATGCAGTGCTGCTACTGGCGACGACACCCGCTCCCGCAACAGCCGCCGCTGCAGCAGCAGCTGCAGCTGTCACAGCGGATGAAGACATGACGGAAGAACACATTGGAGTGGCAGGGGCCGCAGGTGAAAGAGCAGGCGCGGGCTGTTGCCCGGCTTGTTGTTGTTGCTGCTGCTGCAACAATAGGTCGCGCAGCGGGAGGAGCATGGAGGAAGCAGTGCTGCTGGTGATGCTCCAGCCGTTGTTGTTGTTAGTGGTGGTGGTGACCCCGCCGCCGCCACTTCCGCCGCCGTACGCTGCGGATTGTGACTGAGACTGCTGACTCCTGTTGGCAGCGAGCTGTCGCTTGCGCTTCTCAATCCACCTGCATGCGTGGAAGCAACATGCAATACATATACATGCGGAATTGGGATCCTAAAGTAGGTGGGAGTAAACTTGGTGGCAACACACATACCAGCTGAGAAGGATGCGTATGTATGCACGAACCCGAGATATGTGGCCGACAAAGCAGCTGCTGCTAGCAAAAGTTACAATCAAAACAGGGTTTTGTGCTGTTCTTGCCCCGTGTGGGCGCTCTCGTCCTTGCCATAGAACTGTGCTTACTTGCGCAGGCGGCCGACAAAGGGGTGGATCATGAAGAAGCGGTGCCGAACGCCGTCAGCCGACATGTACACCTGGGGGGGGGGTAAAGGGACCAGAGCATGAGCCGCGCTCCAAGTGTGCGCAAGCGGAACCAATAAAAGAGCCGTACTCCAAGTGGGTGCAGGATGGTACGGAGCAGCCATACAGATCAGGGGTGCGAATCATGCCGCAGAGGGGTTCAACGCAGCTGTGCATGCAACAGCTGCGGGGGGGGGGGGGGGGTTTCCGGAAGGACTATAGCGGTTAAGCCAAAAAGGCAGGGCCAAGAAAAGTTACAGCAGCAGCCCTCAGTGCCCCTGTCGCCCCTGCCATGCCTCCTGCTCCCCTGCCATCCTCCCATGTCCAATCCAAGCACCTGGCTAGCCTCTTCCGCAGTCGCTGGCAGGGCGTCCACGCGGTGCCAGGCGTAAGCGCCAATCTCCTGCACAGGGCAGCCAGTCGCGATCAAGACCGGCTGGGCGACGTGCCGTACGTTTTCGTACCGGCGACCCACCACATCGACAAAACACGCGCACCTCGACATCGCCCATATTCTCAATCCGCCCGTCCCAGCCCATATTACTCACCCATTTGGAGTGCGGCTCAAACTCCTGCGTGTTCGGATCCAGCCCGGTCACCAGGTAGAGCTTGTGCCGCTTGCCGTCCGCGGTCACCTCCAGGTAGTCGCCCTCACGCAGCTTCGACCGAATGTCGTAACCCGTCTCCTCCAGAACCTGCACACAGACAGCGCCCATGCCAGGATTAGTCGCGAGTCAGGCCGTGTCGTACACGTGTTTATACGTGGGGATGGTGCTTTGCTGCTGTTTAAAACTGCTTACTCGAAGCGAAATCTTTCTCTTGAATTAGAGGAACCACGCCGTACCTCGCGAATAGCGCAGTCTGCCTCCAACTCCCCCTCGTTGACCTTGCCGCGCGGGAAGCCCCAGCCCATGCTGCTCTTGTTGCCGCGGACCAGCAGCACCTGCGGACGCCAACGGACAGGAGTGGCGGGTACTGGGTTGGGTTTGGGTACGGCAAGCATGATGAGCCCAGGCTGAGCCAAAGCGACATGGGCACGGGGGCAACATGGGAGTGGACTATGTGGAAGATGTGATGCTCCTCTCCCCCTCTTGCCTGTTCCATGGCCGAGTCGAGTAGGATGGCTCCGAACACGGGGATACTCTGTTTGTATCGGCGGTAGTCCTCCAGGTACGACTGCAGGTTGGGCTGAGGAGCGCGGATGGAAGGAAGAGCGAGAGGGGGGAAATTATAGATAAGTGCATCAACGGAGAGGGGAGGACAGCAGGGAGTTCGGGTGTGATAGCATTTGAAAGTTTCCCGCTTGCCCCAAGGCTATGAGAAGAGTTACCCGCCCTACTCACCCGCAAAGGGACGAGAGCTTCGCATTTCCTGAAGAGAGGCTCCGCGAAAGTGGTGTAGGAGGAATAGTGCTTAAGGTTGAGGGAGGAGGCAGGTCGGACCTTGTCCTGCAGGCGCGAGGTGACAACAAGACGCCACGACGCACAAGGCGACCGCGGGCAAAATGGGGGGCTGTCAGAGCGAGATAGCCGAGGCGGAGGTTGGTTAGCTGAGGGTGTTGTAGGTAGGGCTTAACAGTGACATGGCGAAAAGCCGGAATGCTGGCACGAAGGACAGGCTTATTCTTCAAGTAATGTATCACTGGTTGCTCGGGAAAACAATAACCCGAAATGACGTCCACGCGGAAATGTTACCTCCCTTGCCAGGCAGGACAGGGAACAGGCGAGAAGGAAAGTCCCAGCAATGCGAACACTGTCAGTATATGCTTCCATAAAATAGCGTTCCACCGCACCAAAGCCCTGTTTATGCGCACCTCGTAATACCACCATGCTTGTTCCACCAAGAAGAATAATTTATCCTTGCTCCTGCGTTTGAGACGTATGCAGTGAAGAGGAAGACTTTGAATGACAATTGCCAGCAACAAGTAAAGCAGGAACCCACAATGCATCTTTGGGGGCCGTGAGAATGAACTTCGCGCAGAGTTCTTCTAGCAACTCCTTTGGAGGCTCCTCTGGGGGAACCGAGGTAGGATTTCCACAATCTAATGTACTCATTTTGTTTGAACAGCGAGATACTTGTCCAGCTTAACCTAGCGCTGAAGTATCTTCAAACCTTTCCCTGCAGGCTCCTTGCCAGATACTGCTAATCTTAGTGCTAGTAAAGTAACAGCACCGATTCCGCATGGGCGCTGGGTACGGCGAAAAGGTTGTACGATTGCACACGCGCGGAAAAGGCAAACCCACGCAAGAGTGCTCGTACCCCCTAAGGGAGTCTGAGGTCGTACAGGGCCTCCTGGCAGCGTGCTGTGCTCGCTGTGCTCAGAAGCGTGCTATGAAACATCTTAGAAAGAATGCAATTATATATGCCACATATTTCTATCTAAGTGCAGCCCATGTGGTATTCACCTCGCAATCGACCCAGCACAAGGCTTAACATAAACAGTTGTCCTTAACCTTATGCATTAACATGTAACTAAACATGAGTGATTCAGGTGTTAGTGTAGGTCTCCTAGTAGCTGAACACTCCGACAATGAAGCCGAAGCATTCCTTCGCGCTGCTCTCGGGTCAGATGGCAGCGGCGGTTATGAATCTGGGCATGGTAAAAACACCCTCGTTCTTGTCTTAAAGAGTACTTCCCAAATATGTGCTTACCTGAAATCACGATTCCGGGCCCCCCTCCCACACATGCCTCTAGCCCTACCCTTGAGCCCCCTCCAAGTGCATACCCGATTTTTCCGTCGCGTGTAGCATCACAACCCGAATGAACCTGGGCATGGTAAAAACACCCTCGTTCTTGTCTTAAAGAGTACTTCCCAAATATGTGCTTACCTGAAATCACGATTCCGGGCCCCCCTCCCACACATGCCTCTAGCCCTACCCTTGAGCCCCCTCCAAGTGCATACCCGCTTTTTCCGTCGCGTGTAGCGTCACAACCCGAATGAACCTGGGCATGATAAAAACATCCCCGTTCTTGTCTTATAGAGTACTTCCCAAATATGTGCTGACCTGAAATCACGATTCCGGACCCCCCTCCCACACATGCCTCTAGCCCTACCCTTGAGCCCCCTCCAAGTGCACACCGCCATCTGCTACAGCGGCGGGCGGTGCAGCACCCAGCTCTCAGCTGCCGCCAGCACCTTGTGTGCAACTTTCAAGCAGAGGGGGCAGGAGACGTGCAATGAAGCCAGGGCCACGGCAAAACCCAGGGCATCAGGCAGCAGCCGAGCAGGACTTACCAACAGGTGCATACGCTGTGCCTGCATCCGACCCAGCCCCATCCTACTCATCAGAGGCGTTCATATTCAAGTCCTTGACTTCATGCGAGGATGTTTTGTCAGCAGCCATGCAGTTGGTGCCTGAAACTCAGAAACGTAAACTTAATCCGTGCCCAGTACGCGCTGTTGTCTCCATCCGTGCTGGAGTGTTCAGCAGCACTTGCCATATGTTTGTGGCACATAACGCCTGCGTGCACTCTGTTGCGGCAGACGTATACAAGCAGTGGCATGGTACCTCAACCCCAACGTCCGACAGCTTGCAAGGCAAGGGTATGGAGCCAATAGAGACAGGGCTCTAGCCAAACAGCAGCTGAAAGCAGGCCTGTGGAGGAGGTGGTTCGAGAGGTTGCCTCTCGCCTATCAGTTGATTCGCTCAAGGCTACCATCCGCAGAGCATTCGCAGCAGGCCGGAGGCCACCCACGGAACGTATGTCAGCCACGCTTGCTGCTGGACGGAGGGAGGCTGAAGCCTTGCGGTCTCTTGTCGAGTCCAAAGACCGCTACAGAGGGCCGGCGGCTTTGCGTATGCCAGCTGCGTCTCCTGCTGCATCATAAAAACATTGAGGTGCTGGCTTTGGCTGGTATCGTTTCGACGCCGCTCGTGATCATCCACGCAGCACTATCGGGGGCTAGCAACCTATCAGCTGAAGATGTAAAGGCAGTTGTTAATGCTATGTCTGCGTGGGCAGCTTGGGTTACCCAGCGCAGCGCTGCTGCTGCAGGAGGTGAAGCCCGCTCTGATGCAGCAGCTGCGGGGCCAAGTGGTCAGGGAGCGGGCACAGCAGGGGCTAATGTGGCGCAAGACACAGCACAGCAGCAGGGTGTTACGTATGTAAATATGCATGAGGAGCTTGTTCCAGCTGACGCGGTACGCACGCAAGGTGTAAGTAACGAACGATGTACCCATGCTAAACGCGTGTATAGAAGGAACGCTGCGATTGGTGTCAAGCGGAGGCGTCAAGGGGATTCTAGTGATAGGCAGGACGGGACTGACGGTGGTGTTGGGGTTCGTAATATCTATATCCCTGCAGACGCTTTAGTCCTAGTACCGGCAAGAAAGGGGAAGGGAACGGGAGGATCGTTGCCTATGGATACACGTGGCAAGCACAAGAGGTCAGCACATATTGCTAGTGTGCACAGATGCACAGATGTGAGACAGCAAGTACACAGGGCATCGCAAACAGCTTAATACTATCAATTAACTTCAGGACAACGTGGCACGAAACATACCTTGGGCGACTCAGCTCCTGTGGCTGCTGCTGCCGAAGAGCCGTCGCATCCACTGCTGCCATCGCCCTTCATTTTCGCACAACCATCAAGACTTTACCGCCTGTGGCACAAGCCATAAGTAGCGTTATCAAATTAGAACTAAAGTAGATCAACAAATCAAGCTTGCTACATTTTCTGTAGGTTGACACTGTAATGCACAGAAAGTCCCTGACGCTTACATTTAAAGGGATATTGGAATTCCCAGAGTAAAAGGGTGATACCAAGAACTTGTTTTGAGTTAAAAGATAGAGAATGGAAGCGCAGCACGCTGCCAGGGAGCCCTGTACGACCTCAGACTCCCTTAGGGGGTAGGGGCGCTGTACCCAAACCCACAGATCAAGCACGCAGTGTTCTAGTAACATAAACAACAATTTACAAGATAACTAGGACGTCATAACTCTTTAGGACGCGTGGCCCTTGAAGCTGTTACTCCGGGTTGCTATCAAGACGGGCTTTTAACCGCTTGCAGGTGGCCTATCCACAAAACTGTAACGTTGTGATCATACGGATATAAGACAACCTCCATTCGCGGACTTGGGCGGGCAGTCTGGTTTTTCTCAAGCAAGTCAAAATCTGCACCACTGGCTGTCCAAACCACAGTCCTTTCTAGACAAAAAACCTTCCACAGCCTTCATTATTTTGAGCCGGGTCAGCCGCGGCTTCTACCGGCTCTGACGATGTCGTCGCACCTGGACAGCAAGCTCGACCTCAGCCTTGATCAGCTCATCAAGCAAGCGGCCGATGCTCGCAAGCCAGCAGCCAAGGCAGCGCCGGCTAAGTCCGCAAATGCTTCGGCACGCAAGGGCCAGGCACCAAAGGTGCTAAGATCGTCGGTGAGTGTTTGCCCAAATCTGCCTTAATCCACGCAATTGACACAGCATCGACGTTTATTGGACATTTGGGTACATGGACAGTTTTGGGTTTGCTCATCTGCGGTAGGTTGGTTTTTTTGGGTGGTTTCTGCATCATGTCCAACCGCAACTTACGGCTACTTGACTGCTTATGTGTGCTTCGCATGCTGTCTGTTTTAGTGTAAGGATTGTAATTAAGCTCGTTCCTGTTACCAAAACGCATAATGCGGTTTCTCGACACCTACCCGTGGCATTTCCAGGGAAGCGGTGCTACCAACACTGCAGCCTCGAGGCCAGCGACCGGCATCGCCGCCAAGCGCCAGGTATGCACTAGCTGGTCTAGCATCCTCGGCCTTCTATGCGAACCCACCTTTCATTCGAGCGAGCGGTTTTACGTCGTGTGGTTTTAACTCGAGCAGTGTATCTTGGCGTGCACTTGCTGTGTGTCCTGAACAAGTTTGGAGTTCGCATGACGTTGCATGCATTTCATCCGGAGTCGACACCTAATCATGTCGACACCTAGTCTGTGAATGAAAAGAATGTGCCGACGGTTATTTCGTTCCGTTCCCACAACTCGCAATCCGGACTGCAAAGGTGTCGCTGCATTTCCTACGTCTCAGGCTGTCTCATGCGCTAACCCCTCCCCTCCTCTTTCCCGTTCTCATCTTCTAACCAACAGCTCATTCGTGCCAAGCGGCAAACTCAGGCGCCGGCCACTCGGAATGCCCCGGCGTCGCGCGCCGCTCCCAAGGTGCTTCAAGTCAAGGTGGCGGACCTAAAGCGCCGCGGGTGAGTCCTGCGCTTCTTACAGCCCCTTACCTGCATGGACTCATGCTGTGTAGGCGTCCGCATGTGTTGATCCAAGGTCCTCTTGTTACCCAGGTTAATCGTCAGCGCCTGGTTAACCTTGCTTCCATACTCTTGAGGAATGCTCGAATTGACATTGCGCATGCACCATCGCACCATTCGTTGCTTTCCGTACCGTTAGCTCTAACATGCACGTGCTGGCCCTTAACTATTACCGCAGGGGTGCGGCGACTGCTGCGGCCCCAACGACCAGGGCTGCAGCTGCTGCTAAGGTCACGGCTGGGGCTGCTGCCCTAGTGCGCCGCAGCCTGGCCAGGCGGATTGTCAGCAGGGCCATGGCGCCTAAGCAGGTGGCTGCTGCGGCGCAGCAGGGCCGCCAGGCCGCAAAGCGAGCGCCAGTAGCGGCTACGGCACGCGCTAGGCCTCAAGCCCAGCCCCAAGCCCAACGGCAGCAAAAGCAGCGGGTACGTTTAGGTGTAAAGGGGGGCATCTGGTGGTGCATGTGGTCCCTATTGTCCCGAGGGCTGCGCTGTCCTTCCTTTTTTCGCTTTCTTTGTCGCTTTGCAGAGGAGCATTGCGTGAGTGGTGTGGCGTTGGTTACCGTCCTTATTTCTTTTAGGAATACAGTTGCGTCACTCTGTTGTGTACGCTAACCCTGCATGCAAACTGGTAGGCGCACCAACCCATTAACGTTGGTTTCCTGCCCTGCAGATTGTCTACACCGGAGCACAGCCCGCCCCGGTCCGGGCTCAGCCCGCCCAGCCCCAGCGGACCGCACAGCCCCAACAGCGGCAGCAGCAGGCCGCGCCGGTGTCGCTTGCGCGCCGCATGCGCCTCCAGCGGCAACAGCAGCAGCAGCAGACTGCCACTCGGCAGCGTCCACAACAACAACAGCAGCAGCAGGCCGGTCGGCGAGGCCAGCAGCAGCAGCCGCAAACGCAACAGCCAGCGCGTAAGGTGGCGCCACGCGTCTTGCCGGCCTCGCGCCAGCAGCAGCAGCGTGCGATGTTGGGGCAGGTGCAGCAGGGCGGTGTACGTAAAAACCGGCAGCTGCAGCAGCCGTTGCAGCGGCGGGCGCCGGTTTACGCTGGTAACGGGAAAGGCAACAACGGAGCCGTGGCGCAACGCCGGGGGCAGCAGCCGCAACAGCAGGCGGGTGGAGCGCAGAGGCGGCGGCCACAGCAGCAACAGCCGCAACAGCAGCAGCAGCAGGCGCGTGGTGGCGGTCGCGGGCAGCAGCAGAGGCAGCAGGGCGGCGGCCGGCAGCGCGCACCTATCGTAGCCCAGCAGCAGCAGCAGCGGGGTAACGGCAACGGCCGGCGGGGTCGCGGCCGGCGGTAGAGGTGCCGCCCGTATGGCATGGTAATTAGGTTTGCGTTGCTTTGTGCTTACGGAAGACTTATGTTGGTCGTAACGGCGGGGCGGATGTTGGTTGTTGGTAGCTATTGTTTATTGTAGAACACAGATGTGTCCATACATAGTGGACACTTATCTGGTTTCATATAGTTGCTGGTAGCTTGCGGCGGAGTGACGTTTGCAATTCATGCTGTATAAGAAGTGCAAAGGAACACGGGTGAAATGATACATGTCAGCATCGGGAAAACACATCTCGATGCTGTCCTTGCTAGAGGAAGTACTGAGCTTTCTTCGTAGTCTTTGTGAACTTAAGTTTTTGTTGTACCGAAGGCTTTGTTGGTTTCGTAGAGGGAACTTTCGTCATTTGCCCAGGCCTTGGAAGGATTTTTAGGATGGCAAAGGAAGGTCATTAGGTGTCTGCACAAAGCGCCTACTGCCTCTATCAAGAGGCATGCTGTACATTAAGCTCGAGACACGTGTATTTCAACATGTGCACGTCCTTATGTGCGGGTACATGCGAGTTGCCTACTGTCTTCAAGCACATGAAGGATAGATGCCTATGCACCTGTAAGCGCTGTAGCCCGCTAAGTAGCCTGCGTCAATAATGTAGAGGGGTTCCAGCCTGTCTTGACCACAACAACAGCATATCTGCCTTGGATTGTCACTACCTACTGCTCAAAGCTGCCCTTCACCAGTCTGCACGACATTTGGTGGGACCACTCTGAAACACAACCAGTTCATAATACCAGACTAGCAATCTTTTGCATGCAGCAACAGACAGATGCCAATCACAATGTCCCATTGTCATGTGTACCTGCGAACAAGAGGAATAGGGAAACCATCTGAAACCAATACGGCGCATCGGTAACGTTAGTCAGCGCAGCTGACCACACTGCTTCAAATAACGATGATATTTGCCTTATCAACCTCACAAACGCTATTGCTAACCTCCTCTCCAGCACGCGCTGACCGTGGACCAAGATGGTTGATGTTTAGTCCTGAAATGGCTTTTACCTTGCTTGTTTTCTTGATGCTACTTGCTGGATCACTTGGTCAGCAACTTCCTTTTCCTCCAACTGGTCATGAGCTTACCTTTTTTATTCCAAACGGAGCTGCCGTTTCGACAGCTGACATTGAAGATGTGCTTAGCCGCGCAAGATCCCTTTACGATTTAGCATCTAAACATTCAGATGCGGCAAAAACGGTTTCTGCAGCCGTATCAGCGGCTCTTGGCGCACTCCCACCGCTTACGATGGGCACATCCATGCGAATTATGGAAGTCCTCCCAGAGGAAGTAAAAGCCCACCTAGCAGAAACGGTGGAATTGGTGGCAAAGATACGCAGAATGGGTACCGCTGCCTTGTGTCGTGAAAGGCGTGGCAGGCTAGCTCCGAGGCAGCCGAGCACCATCCTCATCGCCGCCAACCTGGTCAACTGCGAGGAGATAATGCCAGTAGGTGCGAGGGTCGCCACATCCTCTCCTCGCTGGCATAGTTTGCATCCCAATAATCTATCAAATCCTACATTATGGACGACATGAAACTCCTGGCTCGCTTGTCCCGCGTTGCTATGAACGTACACCTCACCTCCAGCCCATTTCCCCTCTGCCATTTGACATGTCCGCATCTCACTCCTTTACCTCATTCCCTTATAACCACAACCCTCATACCCCTAAATATGCAGTACTGGATCCTGGAAGTCCTCCGTCTCGCCCTGCTGTACCGGCAAGACCCCATCCAACAGGCCATGTACTCGGTCAAACCGGAGTCAACGGATCCAGCCCTACTGGACCCAAAACAGCATCCACCTCCATCGCAGCCCAGCCGGGTTGCGATATCTGTCTACGAAAGCGGCAGCACCGACAACACCGGCGTTTGGCTGCAGGTTGCACAGGCGTTGTGGAGTGCTGCTGGGGTGCCGAATACCGTTGTCATCAACGGCTCCCTTACACGGCAGCGCGAGGTCATGGATCCGTACACCGGAAAATTGCTGAAGCAACACCGAATAGAGGTAGGTGGGCTGGGACCGCTGTTGCAGCGGGAGCCCGTTGTCCGCTTTTTGCGATCTGGGTCATCCCCATGCATGCATGCTGAACCGCGTACCCCATGGCCCCACCCAGTGCGCCCACGCAAGCATGCAAGGATGCAACATGCAAGGCATCGAAGGCAGCTGTGCACGCTTTGCGTGAGGCATCGGTGACTGCCAGTGGCCTCCACCCGCGAACCATATTAATGTTTTAACCAGTTGATACATATTAGTTCTTATGCTCCTTGTTCCGTCTATTACCGGTATCCCACTTTTGGCTATGTCCGACATACAGCACCTCGCCGCGCTGCGGAACGCGGCTCTGAAGCCGCTGTACGACAATCCCGGCTCGTACGAGTTCGTCCAGTTCGTAAATGACGTATTCTTCTGCGCGCCAGAGTTGCTGCGGCTGAGCCACATGCAGGCCGACATCGCATGCGGACTGGACCTCGAGGTAAGAGGGGCTAGGGGGGGCTACTAAAACGCAGTAAAGTGGAGTATACGGTATGAAGGTATCGTGGGCAAGGAGCATACGGTAGTAGAGTGGTAGCCGTCCATCATGGGCCGGCGTACTTGGCCCCTTTCCTAATCCATCCTCTTCCGTACTGCATCCTTGCTAAATACCATTCCGACTACCGTATATACAGATCTGGATCGGAGGTCAGGTACCCAAGATGAAAGACACACCGCATGCGAACCGCGGAAGAGTCCTCCGCCGCCAGCGCCACCTGACAGAGGCAGCAGCCGTAGCAACGCAACCAGCAGCCGCCGCAGCAGCAACGGACGCTGGCGCCACAAGTGCTGCTGCAACTGCTGCTACTAGTGCTGCTGCTGGCATTCTTGCGACCGGAGGAGGAGAAGGGCCTTCCACGGATGGCGTCATCGCCGCCACCAGCCGGGGCACCGGGCGCCTGGGGGTTGCGGAGCGGTTGATGGCTGAGGTGCACGCGGCGGAGGCGGCGAGGCAGGCGGAGGCAGATGCGCGCGTGCGGGCGGCCAGGATCAAGCCGAGATACGAGTTCTACGGTGGGAACGTTTCCAGGGAGGGCGTTGTGGGAAGGGGCTGGGTTAGGTCATCTGCTCAGACCTGGTTTGGAAAGAAGCAGGTTGCCGGTCCTCCCTATAACGGAGGACACAATTTCTCCTGTCCGCAGATACCTGGGTTGCTCGAGACATTGGCGGCAGGCAGGTAAGTCCCCTGTGAAAGTGATGCTACGCTGGAAGTCGCTAGGATGCCGAGAGTGTGCGCTGGAGCACTGGCCCCACTTTACAGCGCGCGCCAAGCTGCCGTTCCAGAGCCGCTTCCTGTCTTGAACTGTGCAGCCTCGGCAACTGCTTCAACCGGGCTTCGCGTCACCTTTCTTCCTTTGTTTGTGTACCCTTGCATGGATGCGGCACGTGCAAGAAATTGCGTAGCAGCCGTGTGTTTAAGAAACTGGCATTGTCCCAACGGCTGGACTGAGCAACTGCGCCCATGCACGCGCAGTTCCTCAAGCACGACCCGCTGGCACGCGACTACCGTACCCTGGATGCCGTACACCGGGGTCTCCCATTCGCCGTCAAGTGCTGCTGGCATGGCGCCGTACTCATTAACGCCTCGCACCTCTCAGCAGGTGCGACATTGGTGCACGTACCGTATACAGGACATGCTGCACGGATAAGGAGCCTGGCCTTGCTTGCTTGCCAGATCGCAACGCTAGGAACCGCCAACGGCTATACCGGCAGTCCTAACGGCCCTAACCATTCCCTCACCACCGCCCTCCCTCAATCCAACAATCCTCCGGCTTCTGCCGCGACCTGAAGGCCTGCGATTCCGCGCCGGCATGCGGCAGGAGGGCGAGTGCGACGCCAGCGAGTGCTCCATCCTGTGTGAGGACTACCGCCGACTGGGCTCCGGACGCGTGGCCGTGGACCCCTCCGTGCGGGTGTCGTACACGCCATGGACCCGGGTGAGGGCTGAGGAGGACCCTGCATGAGCCTAGTTTGAGATCTCATTGCACCTGTACCTGCATATTGTTATAGCCAATTGGTGTGATGCGAACATGCTGCAGCGCGTGTTGTGGGGTTCTTTCTGGCCTCACATACCGGTATGGTGAAGCCTAGCGCCTAGTGCCCTGTCAGCACCTTCCTCGCCTAGACCAGCCCTCATGAACTGCACCCCGCCCTCCTGGCAGGCGTTTGTGGGGCCGCTGCCTGGTGGTCTGCCGAGTAAGGTACCCTGGTCGGAGGTCCAGCAGAGCGGAGCGCTGGAGGCGATCAGGAGGTTGTGGCAGGAGACCGCAGAGGACATGCAGTTCGAGTGCCTCCCCGTTCGTAAGTCCAGTCGCCTTTGTTCCTGCTCATGCCCGCCACAACGGTTCCACTGCCAGTCATGTACTGTGAATGTACGGAATTACGGCAGCTGTATCCACCCATGGGTCGGGCAATCCTGTTGTAGGACCAGAGCTGTAGCCGGTATTGGCGGTTCCAGCACAGTAGTGCCGGTGCTGGGTTCGATCCGTGCTGCTCACACTACCCGGTTGCCCCGGGGGGGCGTCCGTGCGAAGGCATTGCACCATACCTGTACCCCCTCGTTGACCCACATCTCGACCCACCTCCCAACATCTAATACCCCAGGCAAGGGCTTCGACGGCGCTGACCAGGACAGGGTTCGACAAGTTGACATTCGAAAGCACAACTACACGCGGCTCTTCCTGCAGCAACAGCAGCAACAGCAGCCCTTGGCATCTCCTGCGTCGCCCGCATGCAACCTCGTAATGGGCGCCTATGGGGCCGAGGACGAGGGGCACTTCTTCGATGACCTTTCCTTTGCGGGTTGGGGCGTCAACCCCATTAGTCGCGTGTTACACCGGGCGGATGAGCTGCTCGTACAAGGTCTGCAGCTTGCGTACGGCAGAACCCTCGCGAGACCCCATGGCAGCCTTGCCCGGGACGGCGATGGCAACGGCGACGATGGCGGCGGCAGTGGTGAGGATGGTAATGGGGGGAAGTCAGCGGTGTTAGAGCACCGAGTGGAGGCGGGGGAGTTCATTAACGACGCACTGGTGTATTACGACGAGCGTGGGGTGCATGGCGTGTGGTTTGGAACCAACGTGGGTCGTACAATCGTGTTAGGGCACCTGCGGTCAGAGGTGCTGAAGGCCAAAGCGACGCCCTGTCCTGCGGACGAGGCGCATGAGGGGCGGTACCGGCTGATCGCAGTGGCTGGCACTGCGGACCGCTACCTCAGGTCCCTGACGTTCATTTGGACTTAGCAAGGTTTCAACGAGCATGAGCCATGCGATTGCCAGGTACCACGTACGTTCGAACGCATGGGTAGATGGGCCGTAAAGGGAGCTGTAGAAGCGCAGGTCTGGTTCATGTACATAGCAGGCAGGGGCGAGGGTGTGCATAGCAGGCAGGGGGGAGGGGCACTTTTGTACCGGCATACGGTATGATAAGACGTAGGATAGACGACACAGTCCTGATTCCGCATATAATGTGTCACGTGCATGCAGCCAACATGACATACCGGTACTCGTAGGCAGTGTGGGCATCAACAGGCGCTTAGGGACCGATTTCTTAGTGCCCACAATGTGGTAGGGAGGGCGCGTGTATGCTTCGTACTTATCTTTGTATACCAGAGCTTTTTATCTGAGCGCTGTTGCAGCCGTGTGCAGTTGGGAGCTATGGGTTACATTTTCCATCGTGCCATGCATGGGAAACGTGGTACAGACGATTGACAATAGCTCCGCTTGGTTTGTTACAGCCACGTAGGTCTGCCCCAGCCTGCGGCGCTAATTCTGCATAATGAAAAGCTTGATTATAATTTTCTTCTCGGTCTAAAGCACTGTTACATGCTCTCAGCGTGTGGGCATGCATGCATGCAACATAGCACACTCCTCTGCACAGGGACGTAAGTATCGGGGAAAAACCACGCCCCTAGTGCGTTGAGCCCCATGCGGCGTCGTGGGCATGCCACATCGAAGGGAAGCTCAACCCTCCACACGACCTCTCCTGCTCCCAATGCAACACACTGCTCCGCAACCTACAGACCCAAGCCAAAACGCCTCTGATAACGCTCCATGCTGATCAGTCGATGAAGTCGTATGCAATGAAACGTGCCCAGCAGCGTCCTGTCGCAGGGTCCTGGACACGGCAGCCGCGCACCCTCACCCAAGCGCCACGGGGTGCGCCATGGCCATAAACCTCTCCGGCCGCGTACAGCACAGCTGCTGTCGTACAATGTTGTCGTACGGTCGACCTTTAGGCAGTGCCGGCCAGCACCTCGGGCAGGTGGGTGAGGTAGTAGGTGATGTTCTTGCCGAAGGGGTCGGACAGGTGCTTGGTGAGGCCCTCGATGGGCTGGGTGCGGGACACCAGGGCCTGCACGCAGAAGCCAATGAAGGCAACCTACGCCGTGCGGGAAGGGGGGAGAAGACGGGGCAAAGTTGGTTAGTTCAGGGCTCCATGTGCAGCAACGAGACTGCGGAGAAAAGAAGGTATGGTAGTAGACTGCTGTCCGACACCGTGGGAAAGGTTAGCTGACATGCACCCGGCGGGTGAAGGAAGGGTTAACCTGCCCCGGGCGGTGTGAGCGGCATCCGTTGTGCTAGCGGAATATGTGTGGCATGGTGTGTTGCATGTACTGGTATGCATAGAGCCCTCGCGTTGGGGTGAGGTGCCGCAAGGAGCTTACATGCGGTACATGTCGGCCCACTATACCCACTTCCGGTCCCCGACCAAACGATGCACCGCTACACCTGAGCTCCCTACTGCAGTGCAACAGCCCGTACACTTCCGCCCAACCTTTGGTTAATTGGTTCTCTTCCTCATTATCCGCAAGTCCCAGGGGGTAGTTCCGCCCCTACCGGTACTAACCCGGCTCTCAGTACCCGCGCAAGTCCCACCCCTTCCCCACCAAGCACCACCACAGTTTCCTCTTCCTACTCACCATGGCGAGGCGGCCGTTCTTAACCTCCCGGGTGGCCATAGCGGGCGAGTTCATGCCAGCGGGGTCGAAGGGGAAGGAGTTGATGAAGCCGGACTGCGGGAGGTTACAAGAGGGCAAGCAAAAGCCGCGCAACGTTAGGCGAAGGTTTGCCGTAAAGAGGGTGCTTTGGTGTGTGGTTCATGGGAAGAATTGCGCGATACCGCTGTGGCCCCGGAGGGCTAGGGCAGTTGGCAAGAGTTCCATCAGTAACCCATTTGCGTTTTTCATCACCCTTCCCAAGTCCCCAACTCCTCCACGTCCCAACCTCTTCCCCCGTGTTGCCCCTTTGATGTCCCCAATCTTCCTCCTCACACATCCCTCCTCCCCGCAAAAGCCCCGAATGGTGCCCCACCGTGCCGGTCTGCTTGAAGCCCTGGTAGCGCTTAATCTCCAGGAAGCCCATCACAATGAACTCAATGGCAGTCAGGGGAGTGTTGGGGATGGCGTACTCCTTAGCGCCAGCCTCGTACCAGGCGGGGGTCACGCCAAGGAGCTCCTGGCCCAGGATGCCGGTCACGGCCATCATCGCCCAGCGGCCATTGGTCTTCTCCGCCTCAGCGTACCTGCGAAGGGTGTACATAAAGTAGTCGCTAGCAACTACAACTGGTACTGGAGTGTAGAGTCTTAACTGCGACTGCTATTCCTTGCGCAGCCCAGCGTACTGTGCAGCACCTGAATGTCGCGTTGTAGCCTAAGGCGCTTACCACTTCAGGCGGCCCTCGTCCTGGCCCAGGCCAAGCGGGTCGAAGCCACTGTCACCTACACGAATAAGCGCATGGTACCAGGTCTGATCGCTGTGCCTAGGCAAAGGCCTGGGAACGCTGATGGGCAAGCAAGTGGGCTAAAAATAAATCGCATAACGACTTGTACCAATCGTAAATGTTTGAGGTAATATGTTTCTATGATGGTATGATTTACTGTAGCAACTACACTGCTGTTGTAGTCGCGGTGCTTGCATTTGTTGTGCCAGTTTGGGAAATTTTGACCCAGCGCCTTACCAGCCAGGTTTCCCTTCAGGTGAGCGGGCGGGTTCAGGCCTGGCAGCCAGGTAGGACGGGCAGTCGCGGCGCAAATAGTGCGCTGGCCGCGGACCGGGACACGGCGGCCCAGCGCAACCTGGCTCTTGGCAGCAATCATTTTTAACGCGTAAGACTGGCAGGGTGGCACTGGACTTGTGACACAGCGCTATCGGGTGCGCGTCGAGCCAACATCCTCGGGCGTCCTGTACGACCGAGATGTACGGAGATGAGAGCGTATTTTGGAGCCAAAATGCAAAAGCTGTCATCTATGTTAAGGAAGGACGGAAATATACTTACCCTTTTTATTCTCTGTGTTATCGGCCTGCCTTGTTGTGCTGGAGTTGACAACCGCTTGCGTTTGCAGCGGAGTGAGCGAGTTGCAAACGCCGCGAAGGAAGTGGTGGCTTGTCGCACTAAGCGACAACATTCCGTCGGTATCTTTGCCTGGGCGTTACGTTTCGTCACAGCCTGCACCGTACCCTTGTCACGGACGCCAGCGAGAACGTGCGTATGCAGGGCTTGCAAGATATCCCCACCTTTGCATGCACCTGTTTCTGTGGATTTCCGTCTCCGAGACGTTTGTTGCAAAGTTTGGGGCGTGGCCCTGCCCTTCCCAGCCGTGTCCTTTTCACTGACCCCAATGTATTACAATGCGACTAAGGCGCAACGTTGCTGCAGCGCTGCGCCAACCAACAGGACACCCCTGTGTCCGACCGGGGATTGCCGGGATATACAACAGAGAGGCAATACCAGGGAGTGGGCAGAACAACCCACCGAAACCTTGCTATTCCAAAATACAATGGGAAGAAGGTGCGAAATAAACGCACACCTCTGTTGTCATTTTCAGAGAGCTTCAAGTGTTATAATGTACGCCGCCTGCAGGCGGTAACTTCTCCTTGGCGACAGTGCACGCACAGACCACTAAGCCACAGCGTTGACTACACACTCCGGCATCATGACGAATCCAACCAACGCACTGCGACCAAATCCAAAGAAAAACGGGCAGTCCCCTCTCTGCCCAGTGTTGGGGCTGTTAACACGTATATAACGCGCAAGATACAAGGCATGCATAGTTAACCAACTGGACAGCATTAACAAGACTTCATATAAACCCATGTTTCAGTGCACCTCCCCATCCGGTCCCATCTGCTGTCCGCCATCAGGCTGGCGCCCCTCACCAGGACCCACATGCATGACCGGCCCTTCCGGCTTCACGTGCTCTACATGCGCACCCGGGTGGTGCAGACCCGCCGCCGCATGCAGCTCAGCCACATGCGACGCCAGCGCTGAGGGATCCAGCACCGAAGGGCCGGGCTGCTCTCCGACAATAGCAGCCGCGGCCGCCGGCGCCCCTGCAAGCGCAAGTGCCAGTTGCTGCTGCAGGGCGTCTGCACCAGGCAGATCTCCCGCACCAGGACCGGGAATCGCGCTGGCGGCGGCTGATTTGAGCAGGCTGTCCAGCAGCGGTGGAGCCAAGTTGTCGGTGCCGGCCGTGAGCGCCAGAAGCCCAGCAGTGGGGTCCGGCTGGGGCAGGCCGCTGAGGCTGCTGAGCAGGGCAGCCAGCGCGTCGTCTGCAGAGAACATGGGAAAGAGACGTCAGGTGCTGAACACTTTCGGAAGAAGGCAAAGCACGCGTGGGATACGAAGGCTATACGACGATGTGTATCACTCAGTGTAGCAAACAAGCAGGTGCAACGTCAAGCAGACCAAACTGTATAGGCACCTTGAGATGGAGGGAAAAGCAGTTTTGCTCCACCGTAAATGCACACCAGATCGCTTCCTAGCGCTTTGTTCGATCGACCAAAGGAACCAACCTTGCTTCGGCTGCTTGGACGGGTCCTGTACTGCTGCGCCCCCGAGTGACGACAGAAGGCTCTCGAGACCTGCCTGGCTGAGCAGTTCCGTCAGATTGGGCTGCCCTCCGAGCAGCCCGTGCGGCTGCAGCGGCATCTGGCCCAGCGGAGCCAGTGGCGGGGGCGGCAGCGCCAGCGGCGTGCCTCCGGCTTGGCCCACCTGCGACTCCGACGCCGCTTGGATCGCCAGCTGCTCCTCGGTGCGCTTGCGTCGCCGAATGTTGTGGCTCTGCAGCCTACACGGCGAGGGAAGGAAAGCGCAGGGTAAGCAAGGATTAAATGCGGTTAATCGGCATGTATGCAGGCCAGAGACAGACTGGGATAACGCGGAGGAAACGGAGCACTGTTATGTATGGACTGCGCAGACAGATGTGACGAGGCAACGCAGTCATGCTATACCTGTACGCTACCACCCCGGCTAATGAATCATACAAGTCATGGAACTAGGACACACACCGTTCCCTTGCTTACCTAGATCGGCAGCTGCGCTTGTTGCCGTCAAATTCGTGCAGCTCGTGGAAGCGACCGCACTGCTGGCAGAAGCGCTGTTGCACCCCATCCTTCATGATGTACGGCGCCTTGAGGTGGAGCTCGCACGTGCGGTACCGTTGGTAGTACGACGAGAGCCCCGTGAGGTCGGCGCTGCAGCTCTCCACGTGGCACTTGCCCTTGAGGTGTGGGAGATTGGGAATGGACTGTCGTGCATCGCGCAGGCCCTGCCGCAAGCGGCATTTGGGAGAACAAAAAAGGGCACGGGCAGCGCTGAGGCAAATAGCCATATAACGATGCCATTTACTAAAGTCCTAGGGCCTCGAGCGGAGATGACGCAACACATTAACCAACAACCGTTTAGGCAAATGCAACTTCCACCAGAGGCGGCAAGCAGGCCCAGCTAGCGTTCTTGCGTGGAGCCCGCTCACCTCTCTCGCGCGGCCTTCCTCTGAACGCTCGCGCTTAGCGTATGGCGCGCCGACACTCCCATCGGCGGCACGCTTGTTGCCGACACCCCCGGGCTTGCGTGATGGATCCAGCAGAGACAAATCGGCCCCTTGCCCGTCGACGTCTAAACCGCCGCCTGCCAGGAGCGCTGCCAGGTTAAAAGCTTGGCCGTCGAGACCCAAAGGAGGAAGCCCATACGGCACATTGGCGTCCCCAGGGGCACCCAAACCAGCCCCTAGCCCTGGAAGAAGCTGCAGGTATGGCGCAAGGTTTTGAAGCCCAGGGCCGTTGAGCTGCAACGGAAAGGGAAGCCCAGCTGGAAGGAAGATGAGGCCAGGCGAAAGGCCGACCCCCTGGGCTCCAGCCTGGTTATTGCCACCGCTGCTGTTGGTTCTGTTCGCAGTCGGAGAATCACCTCCACCTTGGCCGCCTTGGCCACCAAGAGAAGCACTTGGAGGGGGACCGGGTGGCACCGCTGCAGTCGTATTTTGAAGGATGCTGGCAATGCTCGCTGCCAGCAGGTTCTGCGTTGCGACGGTATCTGCCGCGGCCGCGGCAGCAGCATCTTCGGCAGATTGCATCTTTGTGAACGTGTTAGCTAACGGTGTTAGGAAGGTGGACTCCTGCTGGGTGCCGGGATGATGTTGCCTCTTGGTCCGTTGACCAGGTTGTAACGGCTCTATGAAATGCTAATAGCTATCTTCAGTTTATTGCCTATAGAATATATTATTACTGGAAGTCGAGCAAAGAAGTCGTGAACAGACCCTGAAGTGCGCTAAGGAAATGCCAAGGTCCTTGTGCTCCCTTGGACACTCAAAAAGTCCTCGCGCGCCAAGTTCCCGTAAACGGCTTTGAGGAAGGTCCGTAACCTGTTTCTGAGCACCAGGCAGCAGCACTGGCTCCGCACGGCACGAAGCCCAGAGCGCGTGATGAGCCCGCCCAAGTTGCGCCCGAGACGGGGCGGGGCGCCGGGGTGGCCCCAGAAGCCGGCAAGAAGCGTAGGACGGTATAGAGCTTTGGCGCGCGAACAGGTACGAGTAGTCGTGCAGGTACGGGTACCTTTGGTCGTAAAGCTTAAGTTTGGCAGTGGAGGGCTCCAGGGGAAGGCATTGGAGCGGCCGCCCTTCCACAACTCCCGCGTCATCCACTTTTGCTCGAAAATTCTAAAAGCATAATCATGGCTCTATATGCACTACGCGCACTTCGGGAGATGGAACACTTACTTTCTTAACTCAGATCCATGCTAGACCCAAAAGTTCCGTGTTGACGCGCTGCCACTAATTTCTTGTTAACGATTGCTAGTTACTAGACCGATGTTCAATCGGCACGAATATTACATTTCATCTGTAAGGGACAAATGGAGTTTCTCGTCACCGTCCTCCGGGGTAGCTGTTTGCCGTGCCTTACAGCAAGTATTTCAAGTCTGTGCCAGTATTTGTAGAATAATGCATGCACATGGAATAGTACGCGGATCGGACACTCTTGTCGGTTACTGCACGTCGGTTACTTGTCATACTGCCGCTTGCGCCCCCGCGCATCACGTGGCAAATATTTATCGCGCTTATATGACGAAAAGGGGTTAAAGGGGTTTCCCGCTGTTAAGGGAAAGCTGCGGCACGGTTTGGGCTTCGGGATTGCTGCCGTTACACCAGGTCGGGTCCAACAGTTGCAGAGGCGTTGCGGAGCTCTTTCCTAGGGGAGGCAGAGCGTAGAATGTAATGCACGAACTGCAATGCGACAGCAAATCTAGAAAAGGACGGCATTCTTATACAAGGGAAGGTCTGGGCCCATCCAACCCCATGCCCCAGGGGTTCTGGTCATATTATCGAAACTGCCAGCACGAAGGCGTGAGACCAAGCCCGTGTTAGCCGCCCTTCAGTTCTGCTATGATTATAGCGCCATCCCGGCGGGGGCGTGTAGCATCCACACGGACGTACACCACCCTCGCGTCGACCCATATGGGATCATCCTCAGCCTAAGGCTACCTAGTTACACCACTACTTCCTTCCCCTTCACCTAAGCGTGCAATGTAAGCAGCTTGCATACCATCTCTTGACACGTCCTCCCTTCCGTTATTGCATACGTTAGCCACAGCCGCGCGCTAGGTTGACTCTCTCAGTTAAACATGCGCGGAGCCTTCCATCTATACTGTCCTATCCTGTTCTATTCCAATAAAAAGCACACGCTCAATACTTGCAAGCAATGCACATCATCATGCACTAGGTTACACTAGCCCATGGCGCACATGGAGCATACTACCAGGCCTCAATACCAAAAAGCCCAGAGGGTCACACCCTTCCTCACCACACCAAGCAGTCTGCTGCACCAGCCCCCGACCGTTGCGCCACAGCCATGATCCTGGCCGCACTGCGACTAGACAACGCCGGGTCCTCGGCGCCAGCCACCCCCTTCGCTCCTCCAGCCGCACCCCCGCCGCCACCTGCCAGCTGCAGCGGCGGCACATGCCCTCCCTCCGCATTCCCCTGCATGGCAGCACCCCCGGATACCGACAAGGCCGCCACCTGCTCCTGCAGCGCGCGGGTGTGCGGTCCCGGTCCCGTCGCGCTGCTGCCGCCGCCACTGCCGCCCCCCATGCCGCCACCGAGGATGCCATGCAAGGGGCCCCGCACAGGTGTGCCGCCTAACCGCTCCACCTGCGGCGCCCGTGCCGGGGAGCTACCATACGGCATGGGCATGGGTTGCCCCAGCCCCCCTGAGCTGCTTGACGCCACCGGGCCACTTGCGCTGGGCGTCTCATCAACCGCCCAGGGGGGTGGGCGGAAGGTATAGTTGCCACGGCTGCCGGGAGGTGGTGCCCCGGAGGGGCCTGGAACATCGGTGGCAAACGGCGGCGGGGCCCCATGTGCGCTTGCTGCCGCGGCCGGGAATGGAGGCGGGGCCCCGAGGCCACTTGGGCCCATGGCAGGGAATGCGGGTGGCGGGCCCTTCGGCCCGCTGGAGCTGCTGGCCGGAAAGGGCTGCGGCTGTTGCCCCGCAGCTCCCCGGTTGTTGCTTTCCCAAGCCCCAGCCTGCCAGCGTGGTTGCGGCGGGTATGACGGCGGTGGTTGCTGTTGTTGCTGCTGGCCCAAGTGAGCTCGCGAAAACTCATCTAGGGAGTCTCCGACAGAGTAGCTTGCTTCTTCGCCAAACGCCCCACCGCTGGGCTCGCCGAGTGGTGGCTGCGCGGGGAAGGGCGGCGGCGCCGCTGCCGCAGCACAGCCAAACGTGGACGACGCCCAGCGGTGGCCAAAGCTGGGGGACTGCCCTATCGTCGTCGGCAACACGCCCGTCGGAGCGTTGCTCGCGCCCCAGCCTGGTTGCGACACCGGCGGAGATGCCGGCGGCCCCTGGGGTACCAGTGGAGCGGCACGGGGCCCGTGCAGGGGGTGCACGTGCGGCGTGCAGATGGAAGAGGCGGAGCCGCGGCTGGACGAGCGCCCTCCCTGCGAGCACAGACACTTGCCAGCTGACTGACGAACAACGCATTATGCCAGATGGTTCAAAACGTCCAACTGTCATGATCATCGCGCTGCTCACCTGTGTGCTGCCAGCCCGTGAACCGCCGGGCAGCGGCGGGTTGAGCTCAAAGTAGCGGTTAAAGACAACGTAGTTGTTGCTCTGAGGCACATAGTCTTTGAGGCCTGCGGTCACAGCGCAGCAGCAGCATGACGACCAGAACCCAGACCGGCCATGCCTAACCCAGCGAGATAACCTTCGCAAATGCAGGCTATGTTGTTTATGTAAAAATAACTGGCCGCAAGGCGAAATGGCGTATGGTGTATGTGGCGATAGTTGCCCCACCGTAGTGTTTCTTCAGGAACTCCAGGAGCTTGGGTGATGGGCGGTCGTACGCGACGGAGCCGGGGTCACAGCCCTCCGACTCGAGAAAGTACTGTGGACGTGAGGGGCCGGACGGGGGAGGGCAAGACGTGAGGGACGACAACGTCAAAGTGGAACTGTTGGCGAGTATCCAGGCGCCCTGGTAAACTGCACGACGAATAGGGAAAGGGGAACGTGAAAGCCGACACTTTGGCTTTTTTGGCTTTTGTATAATGATGGAGTTGGCATGTTCCGCATTGCCGTGTTTTGCCTTGGAGACATTAGCGACCAAGAGTGAGACCCACATGCAGATCGACCTGTGTAAGCAATCAATAACATGTTACCCCACCACGTACCTCGAAAAGCTCTTTGCCGACGCCTCTCCTCTGACACGACTCGTGCACGTAGAAGTCAAGGACGCAGACCGGCTCTATCTCTCTCAAATCAGCTGTGATCTGCATGGACGTGTTGCAATGCACGTGTCAACCGACAGTCCGCACGCGATAGAGAGGGCAGTCGCTATCTTGCTGGGGATGCTGCCACACCCTCAGCCGCGGCCTCTGGTACCCACCGTTCGGACGTACAGACGTTTGCTGCCGACCTTCAGTCCACCCAGTACAACGGTCTTTGAAGACTGGCGATACATATACAGGTACAGGCGCTGGTCGGTGGTTCGCAGGCGGTGGATGTCTGTAACAGGGGTTTGAAGGCCCTACAAAGGAATTAATCAAGAAATAGGAACTGTCACAATACTCCAAACGCAAGGCTGCAGAGGGGCCAACGGCCCAGCGTCGGACCTGCGCGACAGCTGACTTCTTGCCGAAGCAGCTAATAAGCTCGCCCAAGTTCTTCAAGTCATCCGGTTTTAAGGAAGCTGCGGAAAACACGATGAAGTTTGTAATCTGCTGTAAAGATGGTAATATAAGCGAGTTCCTTACCTATCCTCTTAGCGTCCCATGCTACAATATGCTGCTCACCCTACGTCATCAGAGTGTAACAGATCATCATGGCTCTAATACCAAACACACAATAACCATCGCGCTCACCCCGAAGGCGAGAGAAGTGAAGTCGAACTCCATTTAGTACCGGTATGGGCTACACCAAAAGCATAATAGCCATCTTTGGTTTAGTGTAACGCATCACGTTTACCGGAAGGCTTCGCATTGTCTATCTCTAAGTTAGGTATTCTCTCAACGGTTGGTGCTCGGGCACGCCGTACTAATGCAAGGGATTGTTTCCTCGCGCCGCCTGCGTAGCTATGCAAGCATGTTCTTCGCAGTAGGCATACGGCTTCGCAAAGCGCCTGATGCGTAGCCTATACAAGTATTGCTTTTGGCGAGGCGGTGGTCCACAGCGAGTCCATCAGCAGCGTCCGTTCACCAAGAATCCAAGCTGGTTCCTAGCTCCTGTCCTCCCGATCATGCAATGCACAAGGACTGCTAATCGTCCTTCGAACTGGGCCGATGATTGGACGAACGCATTGTCGAGCCACGACAACAGTGGGGCCCACGGCGACAGCGCTCCAGCCAGTCTCACTTCACAAGCGGGACCCAGTTGCTGGGACACACTGCTCTCACCGCAACGCATGCATTTCTGTTCCAACGCCGAGCAAGATGAGTGGGCTGCCGTACTCGGCGCCCATGAAGCCCGGTCCCTAGATAACATGCCCCCGGCAGCCACCATAGGCGCTCACATACATATACCGGTATCGAAGCAGCACCAGCAGCAGCAACCCTCTCACGCGCAAGAACGGCATATCAGAGTCAGAGGATCCTCGGGGCTGCACCGGCCGCTAGTGTTCGCAGCCATAGAGCTGGGCTCACACTGCACCCGGGCGGTCCTGCACGATGGCAAATCAGAGCTGGTAAGCCAGATTGAAAGTCGTACCGGATAAGGAAGAAGAAGCCGGGTAGATTGGCTTGGCGAGAGGTATCTAGGGCGGAGTAGGTGTATCAAGTTCTCTATGCTCCATCCGCACGTTTACTAACCCGCTGCTTTGCCGCCCTTCATATACCCGTCAACCTGTGTCATGCGCGACCCCCACCGAAACTCTCAGGCGCGTCTAACGTACGACACCATGCTTGGGCAGCCGAGCAGCCTGCTGGGCAGTTCTGGCAGTCGTGATCTGCATCCAGAGGCAATCCATCATACCTTGGCAGCACTAGGACTGATCATGTCAACAGCATCGGCATCTGCGGCAGCAGCATCTGCAGCAGCAGCAGCAGCAGCGGCGACCGTGACTGGGACGACGGCTGCCGCAAGCAGCAACGCAGCATCTGATGATGGCAGGCTCCAAGCCGCGCCGGCAGTAGCCGCAGAGCCTGCTGTTGCCGCTGCTGCTGGTGCTGCAGTAACCGCAGGTCATGCATGCACGCATCTGCGGGTGCGGATGGTGGCGACCGCTGCCGTGCGAGAGGCCAGTGCCGGCAGCCGAGCCGCACTGGCTGCAGCAGCGGAGCAGCTGGCGGGGTGCCGGCTGGAGGTCCTGGAGGGTGGGTGGCGGCACACGGCGCACGAGGGTCCCGAGCGGCTTCGCGGCGTGCGTCGGGTTTCTGCCGGTTCCCTGTTGGGGTTGGGGTTCCTTCGTACGTGTACGGGTGTACCCCTCGCAAGGCAACTTCATATCTTGCTTGCCTTGTTGCCGCCCCTTGCTACGTGCATACGGTAACATGCCACATGGCCTGCAGGAGAGGAAGAGGGCAGGCTGGCATGGCGCGGTGTGCTGGGCGCCTCCAGACACCTGCTGCACCCGCCCGCGGTTGCCACAACAACGGCGGGCGCCCCACGGTTGGACAGCGGCAACCCGGCAGCGGCCACTGCTGCTCGGCCGGTACCCGTAGCTGCACCCTCGACGGCGGCAGCAGCTGCAGACACAGCAGCAGCAGCAGTAGCGGAAACAGGAGTGCCGGCACCGGCAGCAGCACCGGGGACGGCAACGGCGGCTGTTGTGGCTGATGAGGAGGCGTCGGTGCTACTGACAGCATGTGGCAAGAGGTCGGAGGACGCAGCAGCAGCGGCCGCTGGAGCAGCAGGAAGCGCAGCGGGTGCGGCAGCAGCAGCAGCAGCTGGGAGGGTGTTGCTGGTGGATATGGGCGGACGTTCAACGGAGTTCATACTTGGTGAGGGATGTGGGAAGATGACTGTACGTCAGGATGTCTTGCCCTCGTCCCACCTCATTCGTGCTTAAGCCCAGCCCAGCCCAGCCCAGATCAGTACTTTTTTGGCATTCGCGCATGAGGCAGCTCGTACGCGTGCCACCTTACACATGCTGACCCCCTCGTTGTCCCCGCCATCCGTGCCCCATGCAGGCGACGTGTCAGGCTCAGAGCCCCCTGTCGCTGTCAGCATACCGCTGGGCTGCGTAAGCCTCCACAACACCGCTCTGGCTGCCTGCTGCATGCAACAAGATCGGCCACAACCGCAACGACAACAACAAACCCAACGGCTCCAACGGTCTGGGCAGAAGCAGCACACAGGCGACGCCACAGGACTGGGGGTCTGGGGGCTTGGTGAGGGGCACGAAGGATGCGAACAGCAGGAGAGGCAACAGCAACCCTCCCTGGAGAATCTTGAGGCGTGCGTGGAGCTAGCACGGCAGGTGTGAGCGTTATCGACATGTGTTAAAATAACTGGCCGCGAGGCGAAACGTACATGTGTCTGCGTTGTCGCTGTGTCAGCTGCTGGGTTCAGGAATCGTCTAACACCGTGACCCATGGGCGATGGCGAGGGGCGCGACAGCTTACAGACAACTGAACGGAGGGCAGGATAGCATTACCGCTGTACGTTCCTGGACTCCCCTGGCATGCATGTGCATACGATGGGCGTACGGTATCCTCGCGGTGCAGTTGATTTGACGACATGCCTCGCGCATCCACCTCGATCCCTGCACTCGCTTCCCACTTCTCCCTCCTTACCACCCCGTGTCTGTGCCTCCTCCTAGGTTATCCTGACTCATTGCGAGGGCAAGGAATGGTTGCTTCCACCGCCCGGCATAACCCAGGACACCACCACCACCACCACCACCACCTCCAACAACCACTACTCCTACACGTCCAGCACTTCCCAACCCGCCTGCTGCTCCATCTCCCCAACCCTCACGAGCAGCACCAACCACCAAAAACGGCCAAATGTCCAGCATGCCGCCTCCAGCACCTCGGCTGCCAGCCCTCATCAGCCCACCGCCCACCGCTCACAAGGCTCCCCAGTCATCATCGTCTTTACGGGCGGTACCGTCACCACCCTGGCTGCCATGCACCTGCAGCTGCCGCAGTACGAGCGCGCACGGGTCCATGGGTCGCTTCTAACCGCCGGCAACATCCGCGCCCTGATGACACGTCTGGCCGCCTCATCTCCTCCTGCAGCAACACCCACCTCAAGTGGTGTTGGCGAAGGCGGTGACGGTGGCGGCGGTGACGGTACGGCGGCGGCGCTGGCGTCGTACGAATGGCTGACGGAGGCGAGGTGTCGTACACTGGCTGCGGGATGCGCGGGGTTGCTTGGAGTGATGGCGGCGTTGGGAGTGGAGGAGGTGCGGGTGTCGGATGCGGATTTGCTGGATGGGTTGCTGTCGGAGCTGCTAGAGGAAGCGGGGATCAGTGGCTGAGGAGTCAGACGTCGCTCATAGCAACAGAAGGCTTAGCAGGCGGGGTGAGAAGGTGTGAAAGTGCGCTTGGGGAGGTTCCGGAGCTGGTTAGGGGCTTCAGGCATGCATGACGGTGGATGTCCAAGCTCGAAGTGTTTTGCAATGCCACGGGTCGAGGTCCCGAACGGCGCCCTGTGCACTATATAGTAATCCCGCATGTCTGTTACATGCGCATATAAAGCATCGCAATGTACCGATAGTTATATATCAGGGCTTCCCCCGGGCTCAGTGCTCCCAACATGCCACCGGACCGACCGCTCCTAACCCACATACGCAGCCAATGCAGCTTGCATGCTCCTAATAAGACCCCGGCTGCGGCTCCGCGGACGTCACGGCTGCAGCCGGCGACACCGCTGCTGCCCCCTGTTGTCGCAGCCACTGCCGTGATCTTAGATCCGCTTGTCGTACCGGTTCCGGCACGCGATGTAGGCAGCAGCGCCGTACCAGCTCCACGGCAGTTTTCAGACTTAGACGGTGGCCTGGACAACGTGAGGAATTGGTTTGCAGGGCGGTAGAACACGAGGGTAAGTGTGAAGCCACGTATTCCAAATAAGACATTATCTGCAATCTTCTTACCGGCTCACACAGGTCAGCTCCCCTAGTTTCCCCTTACCCACAAGAAGACAAGATGGAAAGCCAAACATGCATCTTTGCATGGCAAATTATTCCCATTGCTTATCAGCAGCTATACGTACTTCAATGCACGGCACAATTTGCCGTACACCACGCCCCTGCTGCTAAACTCACCCACGCTAACGTACAGGGGCTTCTTACTAAGCCCGGGGCAAAGAGCCGTACCCCATACCCTCCCACTGACGCCTGTAAGCGGCACTTGAATGTCTCTTGGCGCCACCGCTGCTGCTGCTGCTGCTTTCCGCAGCATTTGAGCGCCTGTTGGCACCACCGCTGTTGTCGCTGCTGGTGATGCGGCTGCTGGTGATGGTGTTGTTGCGGCGGATGAAGCGGTTGGTGGGGTCGCTTCTGGCCCCGCCGCTGGTGCCCCAGGCGCCACAGCAGTTGCCTTGCAAGCAGCCGCAGCCTGCATACAAGCGGGTGACCCAGTATTAGCGTTGGCGGGGCACACAGTTCAACAGCTGCCATCAGACTTAGAGTGGGATCCATTGTAACGGTCATTCAATTGTTTATTTGCTCCACGTTCCCATCTTGCAGGCTGTTTGCAGTCCCGTACCTCCTGCAGCTCCTGCCGTACTTTGAAGCGATCCAAACCGTCGACAGCTAGCAGGGACTTTGCCACACCGACCGTTGGGTAGCCGGTTGTGACTCCTATCTGGGGTGGGAACGGGGAAGACAGTGGGTCACGTTTAGGCATCAACTTGGAAATGCCTTAGAAGTGCCTGACGGGTCACCCCCCAAAGTGTCTAGCTTTTCAGATGCTGGAGGCCACGAACCGCACCATCCATGCGGTTGCACCGTATACGGCATATCTACGGAAAGTTTACGGCACTTCCCACACTCCCATCTTGCGCGTGCCGACCTACCTGACACGCGCTGCCGCAGCTCCTAGGGTGCAGCTGACCGCAGCCATCTACCAGCAGCACCTGGCGACACGGGAAATTACCGGTAACACAATGACCGACACATGCACGGGAAGGGTTTATGGCTTATGCATGGTAAAGAGCGAGCGACCGACCGTTGGCATCTGCTGCTAGTCCCGTGCCTACCTGTATTTGACACACGCTGGACAGGGGGCGGCGAGCTCACCTACCCCCGGCCCCCTCCGGCCCGCACACCAGAGGCCGGCACGGCCCCACCTCCCCCCCACACAAACGGCTTTCCTCAACCCCCATTGTTTGGCCCTAACCTGTGGTTTGCGATATCTCTGAACCCCCCCCCGGCCTGCCTACTGGAGGCCGGCACAGCCTCCACCTAGGAGCCCCCCCCGCGGCAGTGTCTCATTATTTCTTTTTACCCACCGGCCTGCCTACCCCGCGGCCTGCCTACCCCGCGGCCTGCCTACCCCGCGGCCTGCCTACCCCGCGGCCTGCCTACCCCCCGCCTGCCTACCTGGGGCCGGCACGCCTGCCCCTGCGGCGCCGCCTCCAGCCGCTGCAGCAGGCGGCCGTACGCCGCACACTCCCGGAAGCCCAGGAAGCCGGGCCGGTAGGGGATGCGGAGGTCCACCGGCTCGAAGTCCTCGTACATCAGCGACATGTCCTGCGGGGGGAGAGGAAGGAGAAGGAGAAGAAGGAGAAGAAGAACAACCGGAGGGAAAGCGGGCAGCGGTTGTGTACCTGTACGGCATGTGCAGGGCGAATGTGTGTACGGTAGAAGTGAACTGGCCGCGAGTCGGGACGTATTGTGATGTTTGCGTATGTACGATATTGTGGCAAGAAAGCAGCAGCTGCGGCGGAAACACAGCCGGAAGCGAGGGGTGCTGTGGTTAGTTGTAATCGGTGTTTAGCGTGAACGCGCGGGCAGCGGCATGTGCCACGTAGGCACCGGTACGGTAGTACGAGGCTTGGCTTCAGGCAGAACTCCACCGGAATTCACTAGTATCGCTATTTAGCCGTCGCCGCCGCCCCAGTAATCACCGCGGGTCGCTTGTAAGGAATGCACCACACCCCTTGCGGCCAGTGTTTATCAACACACCCCCTTTCTTATATAGGGTACCGGTATTCCTCTTTTCCATCCCTTCCTCCGCCTCTCCTGCTGTGTGCCTCTCCTTGCCTCACCGGGTAGCGAAGCACCACCAGCGCTGCCACACCCGGACCCGACGCAGCAGCTGGGGGCGCCCCCGCCTCCTCCTGCCCTCCTCCATCCTCCCGCTCCCTCTCCTCAACGTCGCTGCCACCGCCGCCAGTACCCATGGCACCTCCGCCTCCTCCTCCACTTCCTCCTCCTCCGCCTCCTCTTTCGCCGCTTGCAGCCTCGGCCTCGGCGGCATGCGTGGCCACCGCAGCAGCCGCAGCAGGGGGCTCCAGGAAGGAGATGTCCAGGCCGCCAATGCGCTGGAGCTGTGTGCGTGTTGGGCGGGGCAGCAGTGTGAGGGCGTTAGGCAGGCAGTGCTGTGGGGCGCGTGGGGTGTTTTGCTCGGGGTGTTGGAGTGCCGACCGGCAGCGTGCGGTCGACGTACGGCAGGCGGTTGATGTACGTACAGGAGCAGGACGTAAAACAAACCGCGAGAAGAAGGAATGGTGGATGGACGGATTGGACCGGCGGGGGGGACATCCTGACCGAGCAGTGGACGAGTGGGGGTAGCGTGCATGCAGGGAATGGTGCGAGACGTGGCACGGTACAAGAGGCGCAGCTGTACGCAGACAGCAAGCAGTAGTCCGCAACACCCGGACATCCCGGATGTGAAAGGGCTGGCAAGGAGGGATGAATGGCGGTGACCGCGGCTTCTACGGCCAGCAGCTAGCGTTAGCTGATCGGCTGGCTTGGAAACGAGGGGGGTGGGGGTAAAAGTAAGGGAACTGACGAACTGCGTGACGAGGAAGCGTTCGGGGGGGGGGGGTAAAGAGGAAATGGCAGCATGCTGGCTTACCCGTTGACCTGGCTCCTGCGCATCAAGGCACCAAGGCACATCGTCATTCGCTACGACCTGAGATGCCATCTCCACCTGCTGCCTGCTTATTGGTAAACGGGAAAGAGGAGATGGGCGAGGTTCGTCAATTTGGCAAGCAATATTTTTCGCGACGCACGCATGTATCCGGCTGCACGCGCGTCGCCAATGACGTTCACAACAGTAGTCAACGATGCAAAGATGCACTCGCGTCTATGGGAAGCAATCATTCTCCGTTTTCGTGATGACTTGCGAAGACTTGCTAAACTTGCCTTGCCCATTCTTCGAGAGTTTCGCTTTCAGCAAGCGGCTGCGGTACCATGCTTTTTATTTTATTCCCTCGCATATCAGAGCATATATTCCTTCTGCCTGGGCTTCGACATCCTTGGTTATTAGCAACATCCATCCGTCAAGGTCCCATGGGATACCGTTGACACGGCAAGGTGGCCAAGCCAGTATCAGTGGCAGCTTTACGGCAGCTTTCCCACAGCAATCACCTCTCAAGTGCCTTGCAGCGCATCGCGCATCCGGAGGCAGGCGGCAGCTTTCCCCCCAGGCTCCGATTACGATTACGATTATATGGTACGGTGTAGGGCCCTCCCGCCCTACCGCACAACCTCACGAACCATTCCGGTCAAGAGGTGCAATGACAAATAGAAGTTCGCGGGGAGACAAAACTGTTTGGGTAGGTGGTCACCTTATCAAGCGCGACTAGACCTACACGCATAAATAGCATGTAGAAGGCTCGCCAATTTAGCAACATCAAAGTTCCACATAATATTAGCCATATCTGCATCAGTGGGGTTCGGCACCTCAGGAAACCCAACAGCCGTTCTCAAAGGCGCGTAACAAGCGCATTCCATCAGGACATGGAACTCATCCTCCACGACATGCGCATCACATAATTGGCACAAACGCTGTTCTCTAGCTACGCGCTGCGCCCCGTTACCAGGGCGATTCACCGCAATGTCCCAACAGCCAATGCGAAAACGCATAAGGGAAGACAAGTGATGCCTAGGAATATACGTCTTGGCATATGGGGGCCAGCTCATCATGGTGAAAGGGGATCCCATCCAATGCTTGTAACGACACATCTTCACTCCGGGTTGCCCACCATCCGACACAAAGGATCGGGGGGCCACCACAAGCCGCTCGCTTCCCCAGCTAGCCAAAAACCGATTCCGCAAAGCAGGCTCCCTTTGGGAGGCCGTACTTACAGGGAGAAGTGGCGGACTAAGGTCGACTACCTAGCACCCAACCCCCAAAGGCATCTTTCAGGCCCAGCCTGCTTTGGCACATGAAGTACAGGCTGAATAGCGGATAGTTAGAATGCGAAAGTTACAAGGGGGACCGGAGTTCCTGAAAGTTAGAATGCGAAAGTTACAAGGGGGACCGGTTATGGTGAATGATCTAGTTGGACGGCAGAAAGCATAGACGTTTGGGCTTTTGGCGCAGCCTGCGTATGAAAATTTAATACCATGAGGTAGGTTTTCAAATTCCCTATCCAATGGTGTTAAGATTGACGACAATGCGCAGATGGGGCCGACAGTGCATCAGTGCGACATTGATGTTGATGTTGCGGGCGTCAAGACATCCATTGCTACACATGCAAGCGCCATGTGCACCACCAGAGCGTCGTAGCCTTGTTTCTTTTGGTGTTCCTTTTTGGTGCATGAATATCGCCTGAGCGGGAGGGACTCCCCCTCTCCCAAGCATTTGCGGCACGCATCACCCTGAGGGGGGAGAGGACTCCCTGTCCCCCCTTTTACCCCCTCCCCCTGCGTTTCTTCCTCCTGTTCCCCCGCGTGCACATTAAGTGCATATGTTGGGCTACCAGCGGGGCAGCAAGAAACCTCCAACTGTCTGGAGGGTGACAACGGGTCAAATCTTACATCTACCAGCGTATACACACTGTATCAACTGCAGTGATGAAACAGTCTCTGTCCAGTTTCTGCTGTTCTAGGCACACTGCGCAGCTAAGATTGCTATGTAGCGTTTGAGCTGTTTGGATAACTGAGCGCCTATTAAGATGCAGCTGCTTCGCCTTAATTGCACATGCGAAGTTACACCAAATACTGTCATACTGCGAGGAATGGGACTTTTTCTACGTTTGTCCATTGTATCAAAGGCGGTAATGCGGCAGGCAGCAGTGCCTGAGCTGAAGTGACAGGCTAATGAACATCAATGGGGCAGATATACGATTACTGCTGTTCTAGACACACAAGTGTTTTTAACCATGTATACACGAGCTGCTCGTATAGCTGGCCTTCTAATCAGTTGCAGCTGAACCGCAGTCCTTGCACATGCGCAGTAAATATGTATGTAACACTGCCGAAGTGCAAGCTCAGGTAGGCTGCCACGCTACTCTGCCGTAAGACCGACGGATCACATCCGCTGGCGAATTAAGTATGTGGCACGGTAGCTTGGAAACTAAGTCAGAGGGCGTCGACGTGGAAAGCTGGCTGGCATTTGCAAGATGCAAGCACACATTCAATGCAACGCCGACAATACCACGCGAAGCGGTGAATACGCCTGCAAACGTAAAAAGGAGTAAAGGTCAGTGCATTGCGAATAAGTCCATTAAAGAAGCACAGCAACACTAATCTAGGAAAGGCGCGACTCGCTTGCAGCTTTGGACGACGCAAATGCGCTTCGCGCGTCCCAGGGCGGACGCGACGCGGCAGCTAGCAAGTGGTGGTGCGGTTGGTGTCCATGACCCATAGCACCGTGTTAGACGCCTCTGCTGCAAGGAAGGCCGCAACTTGCACGACAAGGATCACAGAACAGTCATTAGGATGAATAGACAACATACGCCTTCAACAGGATATACCTGGTATGAAGCCAGTGCATATCCACCATATCGGCCCAGCTGCCGCTCAAGCTTTTAAGCCCGTCGGCGAAGCGCTAAGCGACTCCATCCTCCATCGTCGCTGCGCGCGGGATTGCCCTATGGTGCATAGATACGCTACATAGAAGGAATACAAGTGATAAGAAAATAAAGTTAACTAGCCTGTTGGATAGCCGCTGGAATGATCAGGTGTCGGGCGATCAAGCGTCGTACAACCTCATCCCAGCCGCCCACGCGCTTTGGCGCTGCCAGCGATGCAATATCTAGTCCGTGGCTACTTCTTTATACGTTTGCAACATGTTGTGACCATGAGCTAGGCTGGCGATGGAAGTGCGACATAGATTGGCGATGTTGCTCATGTTCCCGATCAAAATCCACACCTTCCCCTGGAATGCGTGCAATATATGTCTGGACATCAGCTACATCGCCGTCAATGTCGCACACGCCTTGTAAGCGTACTCGCAGCACACGACAGCATGACGTGCTCAGCATGATGTGTTGGCCAGCTTAACCAGGCGGCTACACCACAACCGGCTCAAGGGCTAAGTTGTCCCTTCCACACTCCTGGTGGGTTCAGACCACTACGAGGACCAGGCATGTGTGTGGACCAGCCTAAGCATCAAGTGCTTGACGTCGCCGTGAGCTTGGTCAGCACATGTACTCGTGAACCGAGACATAAACGTGCAACTATCTTCCCATACGATCTGCTGTTGGCAGCATGAAGCCACATAGCTAGCTCCGTGTGAGTTGCGAACAAAAGAGGCGGAGACAGTGGCCAAAAGCACATTACATGGTGCTTTCGGGGCTCTCTCGGGTCTTCTCCCGTGCTGCCATGCCAAAGAGGGCAGCCGAGTATGGACCCATATATCCTTGTGGCCTGGACCGCGCCCTTAACCGCCCAGCACAGCACACTGAACAGCGCGCACGCTAAGGGTATCGCAATCCACGCAAAGCGCACGCATGCACAAACGCGCAAGCTGACAGCAGAACGTGAGGCGTCATCGCCACCATCCTCGCTCTCCTCACCAAAAAGAGGTTCAATAGCACAAGAGAAGTCATCTCGATCGTCGTCAATCTGGTCATGGAACGTGTTGTGAAAAGGGGTCTGTGCGTCTCCTCCAGACAAACTGTCTAGTAGCGTTTGCACGCCAAAACAAACACAGGCGCCGACCTCTCAAGCCTAGGCACAATGGACATGTGGCCGCAGCAAAGGGCCCAGCTACTAACCGCACTTGATACCGTGCGATAAGCAATGAAACCCAAGGCATTACACGCCGCTGCACGACACAACCAAAAAAGGTACGGCAATCCACATGTCAACACCGTCAAGTGACATCTACACAAGAACTCATTGAAGTTACATACCATTACTGTCGCTGCACCCACACGCGCCTGTACAAAGTCAACCTGCTCGCTCGCATTGTCTCAAGACTCAGCCGCTGCGCTGACGCGCACCCATCAGGTCTTGTCCCTCAGTACATCCTTCACTCCATATATGCCATGCACTATTCCGGTTCAAAACACGCAGCCCAACCCAACCACCTGACAGTAGTACCGCCACCTAGCCAGCAACCAACAGGCAACCGACACCCAGCAACACATGGTGACTCTGCAGCTTGCTATCCAAGGCAACATCAAGTAGCAAGGCGCATGCTTTGGCCACGACATGACGCTGTAGCGCAGCAGCCTCTCCTCTGACACGGTTAGTGCCAACACGGTAGCCGACACGGCAAGCAAGACGAGGCTCAAGACGTCAAAAGGAGGCGCACCGCCGCCTGTCGCTTACTGCTCGGTCTGGGGCACGTCCTTGAAGATCGTCACCTCCACGACACCCGGCACGCTGGTGATCTCCTGCATGATGGCGGGCGAGGGCTCGCTGTCAATGCCGATAGCCATGATGGCCTCGCCATCCTTGGCCGTGCGGGACACGGTCATGAAGGAGATGTTGACCTTGTCCTTGGCCAGGGCCATGCCCACACCGCCCACAATGCCGGGCTGGTCACGCTGACGCGTGAGCATCACCGAGCCCTGCACCGCCAGCTCCACATCAAAGTTGCCTATCTTGGTCAGGAAGGGCGTGCCGTTCATGACCTTGCCCTCCACGTAGATGCGGTTCGTCTTGTCCACAGCCGCCGAGAACCTGGATGCCGAGGTGCCCAGCGAGACCGACATGCTGCTCAGCACCTCGTTGCCCTCGCCGCTGCGCACATTGACCTCCGTCAGCTTCAGGCCGCGGTTCTTGGCCAGCAGGTCAGCGTTGACCAGGTTGACCTTGGCGGTGGTGATCTCCTCGAGGACGCCCTTGATCACCATGGCCCTCAGCAGCCGGGTGTCCAGGTCGTCACCGCGAGGCGACGAGTAGGTGATGGCAATGTCGGTGAAGCCGCTGTCCTTCACCAGGCCCACGGCAGCCTTGCCCAGGCCCTCGGCCAGGACAATGTACGGCTGCAGCTCCTTGAGGATCTCAGCGGGCACCATGGGCGCGTTGACGGCGTTGCTGGAGAGCTTGCCGGCAAGGGCGTCCACGACGGCCTCCACCACCTCAATGGCCACGCCCTCCTGGGCCTCCATGGTGGAGGCGCCCAGGTGAGGGGTGCAGATGACGTCAGGGCGGCCAATCAGCGGGTGGCCTGCGGGGGTTGGTTGGGGTTGGTTGGTGCAGGCTGGCATGTGCTGCAAGCTGCACTTCGCGCGTCTCCCCTTGGCGATATCCACAGCCAGACCAGTTCCATATTTCGAGAAATGCAAGCCCCGGCGGCTCCCCATCACCCCACATTCAGCAATCATAGCCTTCACTCACCGTCAAACTTGGGGGGCTCATCCATGAACACATCAAGAGCAGCCTGCGCCACAAGCTTGGCATCCAGCGCACGCGCGAGCGCGGCCTCCTCAATCACGCCACCGCGAGCCACGTTGATGATGCGGCTGCCCTTCTTGATCTTGGCGAACGCGGCATCGTTGAACAGGTTCTTGGTGCCGGGCGTGAGCGGCATGTGCAGCGAGTGGAAGTCGGCCTGGGCCAGGGCCTCGTCGAACGAGACCAGGCTGACGCCCTGGGCGGCGGCCTTCTCCTGGGAGGCGTAGGGGTCGTAGGCCAGGACGGCCATGCCCAGGCCCTTGGCGCGGCGGGCCACCTCAGCACCGACCTAAGGATGGGGAGAGGGAGGGAAGAGGTGATGTGAGGTTTAGAGGCTTCAACGCGGCGCTGGAGAGGGACGGGGGAATGCAGTTTCACAAAAGGGTTGCGACCTCCATGAGGCATCCCGGCAAGGCGCCGCAGCCCCATGCGGCCCTCATCCTTGTATCCACCCGGAACCCACGCGACACCGCGCACCTACCTTGCCAAAGCCGTACACGGCAATGGTCTTGCCGACCATGCTGGTGCCCACGTAGGTGTTGCGGTCCCACTTGCCGCTCTTCATCGAGGCATCGGCCTGCAGACAAGGACGTTGGAGAAACCTTTAGTTGCCAGCTGAACCCAAATCGGAAACTACCAACCCCAAGTAGCTACCAGCACCGTCTAGACTGCCCTCGCGTTGCCCATGCCAACCGACCTCGGTGCAACCCAAAAGTAACCAACCCAGATGCTGCACCCCCACAATGTCGCCATGTTGCCTGCCAGCCCGCCTCTGCATGTCCTCCTCCTGATCCGTCAACCACCCACCTGGGCGACGTTGCGGGCCATGGCGCACAGCAGCGCAATGCCGTGCTCGGCAGCGGCAACGGTGTTGGCGGTGGGGGCGTTGACCACCAGGCAGCCGTACTGCACGCAAAACACAGGGGAGGGCACGTTAGCAGCGGTACTGCGAAGAAGATGTCATTCAGGCCCATGTGGGTTTTGCGTTCTTCGCAGAGTAGGGCCGCTTGGTTCAGCAAGCACGAATACGCCAGCAGTATTCATGCACAGCAGCTCGGGGAGTGCTCTCACAGCCTATCACAGGCATACCCCATCTGGGTTTTGCCCTGTGCCAGAAGAGTCCGCTCAGCAGCTCAGGGAGCTCACCTCGGTGGCAGCGGTCAGGTCCACGTTGTCCACACCGACACCGGCGCGGCCCACCACCTTGAGGCGGCCCTTGCTGGCCTCGAACACGGCGCGGGTCACCTGCAACAGCCCAGGCAGGGATCAAAGGGGAGCAGGAGGGGGGGTAAGATCCAGATGCGGTTGGGCAAAAGGATGGGTAAGGGACACATGGGGGAAGGCGCAGGGAAAGGGATGATGCGGTGTTACATGGCATCTGGGTCGCTTGGGTTCTCAACAAACTTTTGGTCACGACGGCTAGGAGCTTGGGTAACGGCGCGTGCATTAAATACCCGACCATAACGATATGTTATTAAAGAACTGAATGGGAGCACCTAAGGATATTGAAGGCGCGCACCTTGGTGCCACTGCGGACGATGAGCGCGTCGATGAGCGACGCCTTGGCGCACAGCTCCTCGGGCTTCATGTTGTAAGCAGTCTCCACATTGCAGCTCTGCTTCAGCATGTCAATACCTGGAAACAGTAGCGACAGGCCGTGTAACGTTGAGCTTGTGGTAGAGGAGCGCGCGGCGTCGCGACTTCCCAACGGTCGCCGACAAACGCCCTGCAGTAGTGCTTACCAGCAGCGCCCAGCTTCTCAGCGACCAGGACAGTGGGCTTGGTGTTCGCCGTGGAGACTACAAACAGAAAACCACGGAGAGGCCATCACAGGGTGCAGGTTTGGGACACGTGCAGCACGAATGGGGCCAAGAGGCCAGTAAGATAACGCACCGGCCTGCACCTTCACGCAGCGCTCGCGTCCGAAGCGAGCAGCCGCAGCACGGCGTGCCTGCAAACCACACAAACCGGTCGTAAGGGCCAGTACGTAGCGACCGATTGTCCCTACTGTGACAGCCGCCAGAAAGCATATTACAAACCAAGCCCCATATTGTTTATAGTTGCCTATTATCTAATCGTTTCTATCCTAGGCTTACCGCGCAAGGACGGTTGGCAAGAGCCTGCTGCATTTTCGATCAATGAAAGTGAAGTGCCGCTCAGGCGTCCCGCGACGGTGCGCTGCAACCGCCAGCAAGTATAGTGGTAGCAACTTATTCGAAAAGGACAGAGATTGGAAGGATGCGAACGATTGAAGGGCGTGCGGCGGCCCTCCTGGAGCGGACGGCCGGATTCCTTTGCCTTCACGTTCGAACGGCCTAGAGCGCATTTATCTAGTATATCTAGTTTACTGCGTTAGCATTGATGGTTTTGTTTGCGCATAATGGACCGCTGTAGTGCCTTTTATCATATGACACAGCATACATGTGTAGAATGGCAGCCCAGAATCGAACGGGGTATACCCTCTGCATTCCATTAGCGCGCAAATACTCGGTGACGCAGTTCAAACGAGCCACCTCCTTTGCATGATGTCCTTAGGCCAGCTGTCCAGGCTGGCCGTTGACCGTCGCCGGGTGCATATCTGGCGGAGGCAGTTTACCCTCACATCCCTATGCTTCTGGCTTATACTCTAGACAGCTGGAAGACCGAATACTGGCTTGGATGACGAGGCATTGCCGCAATGCTTTGCGCAACGCGTGGGTTTCGTAGCTGCCATCCAACCCCAAACAGGAAGCAGGCTTTGGCATTTAGCGCCACCGGGGTACCCACTGACATGCCGCACCCTTTATACCGGTAAATGTTCGTGCCGGTAACGGGGCTGTCCTTGAGCACCTCCAGGGTAACCGTTTCTCTCCACGAACGACGCATATGGCATCGAACTATAGGATTTGCTCCTGTCGCCGACAAATATGTTCGTCGGCAGTCGTCACCTTCTCGTCGCTCCAGTTGTCGCAAATCAACATCGTCGTCGGGTTGTTGAGTCGTCGTGCTAACAGTACGAATGCTGACGACAAAAGTAGGGGGCAACTTGCCATGCACCCTGAGACTCACAAACCCACTGCCGGAGATGATGCCCACCCTGCATCGCTTCGAACCTGGGATTGCATCGCTGATGGCCGGATTCGACCTTGGCGCACTGCTTGTTGAGGAACTGTTTTCAGGCCCAGGCGCGTATGCGTTATTGCAGTTGTTGCTATTTATCCTTGCTTGCCGACAGGGATGCGTTGGGCTTAGGGTCCTCATTGGTAGAACGTGTGCCGAGTTGGGCCTGTGCTCTGTGAGCCGCACAAACCCAGCCATACTGGATCGGTCCAACGCGACATGAGCTCGAAGCTGGACCTGAGAAGAGCACTACCGTGCGCACGCTAAATGTGATACTGCGACGACCTTAAATGTGTCCAGGATTCGGTCGTTAGAACCGATTACGCAATCGCGTAATCGACCCCACCACCGTGCTTTGCCCTGTAAACTAATGGTATCAATTCAAATCCGCCCATACTCGAGAACGCACAAAAAGCCTGGGCAAAGCACTCACATGGCACCACCGGACTTGCAAGACACCAAGTCCACTGACTTTCGCCGATGATACATGTTACAGGGACCCCTTTACGAGCCTTACCTATGGTGTTATTTAGGATCTAAAAATGGCTGTCGCTTTCCATAGCCAACGCGACTCGTTCGGTCCAGTTCTGGCAGTATGTTTACTTCTATGCCTCTTAGTTGGCCTTGGTTGCTGACTTCGACCTTGAGAAATGGCAGGGGGGAGGGTTACGTAATCTGCATGAAGGAAGGAAGCCGCACACCGTATTACTTCTGCATGCGGATTGCAAGGATTGGGGTAACCAAATGAAGGTACTGCCCGAGGGCAAATTGCTGATGACATGGCTTGCGGAGAACAGCACGCGGCCTTGCCCCACATCAAGGCAAGTGTACGAGCGGGGGCTTGTAACGGGATAGGTCAGGAACGGCTATGTGTACTGCGGTGTTGCATGGGACTGAGCGGAGGCTTTTAAATCGACGGGGAGGGGCGAGGGGTGCGCAGGGGCGACAGGGAAGCGGAGGGAGGAGAGGACATGGCCGTTTTGGCTACGAGAAACGTTTGGGGCAGACACAGGAGAGCGCGGGGGGGGGCGGAGAAGGGTGTAAGCAAGCGGAAATGCGACAGGAAGGGGGGAGGGCGACGGGGAGGGGCGAGGGGTGCGTGGGGCGACGGGCAGGGGCGAGGGGTGCGCAGGGGCGACGGGGTGGGACGAGGGGTGCGAGAGGGTGACGGGAGGGGCGCTGCGTGCGAAAGGGAGCATGGGGCAGCGGTAGGAGGAAGACAGGGATAGAGAGTGTGAGCTGGGGGAAGGAGAGGGGGCCGTACGCCAGTTGCTGGTAGGGGCAGCCGCGCGGAAAAGGGAATACAGTGGGTTGCAAGAACTGCACGAAGGGCAGTGAGGCGTCGCATGTGGAAGGGCGGCCGCACGGGCAAGGGAATGGGGAGGCAGGAATTGCACCGGGAAAGGCAGGTGGACGCAGGCGCAGCCCGGGTTAAGGCATAGGGAGGCATCCCTCCACTCGTTATCCATCTACCGGCGCCTGCATGCGCAGGCATACTCGCGCTTCTGAACCATCCGGCGCCCACACGTCCTGACCAAAGCCCGGCGCGCCGTCCCCGCACTGCCGCGCTGGCCAACAACAAGCGTGCGTTCGAGCAGGCATGCCCTCCGGACCTGCGGCAGATGCCAGAGGCCCCGTCCGCACACCGCTAGCGCTAGATAGAGCTATTGCCACCGCTGCTGCGCAGGCCAACGCCCCTTCCTCAAAGCCCGGATGTGCGAAGCCTAGCGACACAGCAGGCCACAGAAGCACAGGACAGATCCCCACGCGTATCTTTATATGCTCTCCACTGCTATCTTCAGGGCCCGCTTCCACCTCCCCTGCTTCAAGTCCCTACTCGACAAGCCACCTAACCTCGAAGTCAACACGCCTCATCATGTAGCTGCCTTCTCATCCCCAGGCTTCCTAGTTCCCTCCACTAAGCAACGGTGCGCATGACATGCTCATGAGGTGAGGCATGCACCATCACAATACGAAAACAATGTGCAGCCATCGCCTTCTTCCGCAAATGCCGCCCATGCATGCAGGTATCCCTGCCCTGCTTGTCACCGGCACCCACATGCACATGCATCCCCGCCCCTCCCGGCTACCGGTGCTCATGCGGGCGGGACATCCACTTGTCCTGCCAGGAACCGGCACCATGCGTGCAAGCATTACCACCCTTCCTAAGGACCTGCAACCAGGCATTTCGTCCGCACCTACCAGCGCATCAAGCTACACTAGAAGTCCTCACGACATCTCGAGAGGCCTTTTAGGACCTGTGTTACACAAGCCCATCAACTGGCACCACTACATGCATGGGGAGTCACAGGGAAGCGGAGGGAGGAGAGTACGTGGCCGGTTTGGCGACGGGATTGCTTGGGGCAGAACCAGGAGGGCGCGGGAGGGGGGGGACGGCGGTGAAGGCTGTAAGGAAGCGGATATATGACAGGAGGGGGGGAGGGAGCATGGGCGATGGGTGCAAGGGGGCGACGGAGGGGGGGCGTTGCGTGTGAGAAGGTGACGGGAAGTGGGCTATGTTCCTGGGATTCGGAAAAATGCAAGGTCTACAAGCCCTGCTTGCACGAGTCCATCTCCCGTTCACCCACAATCGGCAACTTATATTGACTGCTTTATTCTTCATATGGGCTCTAGATTTAAGCTTAAAGCGGCGCAAACGCCTTAAGTATGCAGACTAAGCTTCCAGTTAGCATGTCCTTCACATTTCGGCTATGTAACGCAAGCCAGAGCTTTCCTACTGCAAACCAACATTGCTCATTAGCCAGTATAGCACAAAATGGTGTGAAAGTCAGTAGACTTGGTGTCTTGCAAGTCCGGTGGTGCCATGTGAGTGCTTTGCCCAGGCTTTTTGTGCGTTCTCGAGTATGGGCGGATTTGAATTGATACCAGTAGTTTTTAGGGCAAAGCACGGTGGTGGGGTCGATTACGCGATAGCGTAATCGGTTCTAACGACCGAATCCTGGACACATTTAAGGTCGTCGGTGATACTGATGGCGTTTAAGCCGCCGTACCTACGGCACAAGGCATATCATGCATCCCAAAGACCACACATATCTTAAGACCTGAGTGATACGGAAGCGAACAGTTCTCTTCTTTACCATCTGGAACGTTAAAGAAAGGAAACGGATTCTGGAGGAGCGGTGTTGATGCTACTAGTGGCTCCAGAACCAAGTCGTGAGCGATCCAGGTGAAAAAGGCAAGCGTGCTCGAGCATAAAGCGCCGTGGTAAACGGTATGCAAGTGTTAGATGACGTACATCCGGTTACAGTGAGTTGACAAGCTCCTGATCCGCAGCTAGAGAGTAGGCAAACTTCAAATTCTGCAATTTGAAAGCCCCTACCCGCGAGCCCACTTTATGAAAATACCAGTTAACGGAAGTCACTAACAGGAGATCGTATACCGGCAGCTTTGCGGCCGGTAGTTTTGTCCCATGCTGCGAGCGGTTCGCGGCTGGGTGTCAGGGCTCATCGAGCAAACTGGTGAGATATTTGGTTATTGTTAGTTGCTCATACTTCGTAGGGCTTTGGAATTTACGTTGATTATTGACGTCGGCATGTATCCTCCCCTTGCAGGCGCTCCGGCTGCTGCGCCAGGTGCTCCAGGCAATCAACAAGAGCAAGCTAATCCGCAATCGACGCAGCCGCTACAACCCCTGACAGCGCAAGGACAGCCGCCATATCCTCAAACTGCGCAGGGACAGCTGCCCCATCCTCAGATCCATGGCGAGTACTTTCGGCCTCAACAGCCGGGCCCCGTGAGTCCACCCCGTTGGCATAACAACGGTGTTGCAGCCGCAGCACCCGCCTCCGCTGCGGGGCCTTCCTACCTGGTATCGGCACGGAAGCCTAACAAGCGCCCAGCCAGCGAACTCCACCAAGACCAAGACACAGTTCCCTTCGGGGACCTCAGCCGCCACCCAGCAAACAACTACCAACACTACACGCCGGCCGCAGCCCCGCGGGCCGCAGGCTTAGACAGCTCCGAGTTTCGCTCAAGCAAGCGCCATGCCGCCTCGGTCGGGCCGCACACGGGTCCATGGTGGCTCAAGCCCGGCGGTGGCCAGGGCGGTCGTCGCAGCGGCGGTCCACAACTGCAGCCGCCAGCCACCGACTTCCGCCGGTCTTATGGTTCGCCGCTAGATGGCGTTAGGTTGGGTGGCCGGAAGCCGGCTGCCGCTGCTGCCGCTGGAGCCATCGTGCCGGCGCAAGGCCCCCACGACTCGACAGCAGGGCAAAGCGGTAGCGCCGCTGGTAGCAGTGGCCAAGGGGATGCGGAACTCACGCAGTGGCAGAGGGCGGTGCGCATTACTGCTAGCTCGATTCGACCAGCGCTTGGGCGGGCACCGCTGCCGCCGATGGGAGCAAGGTAAAGAGCCCATGTGCCGCAGTCCCAGCTGGCCGCTTTTGGGTCGTTTTGGGGTCGTGGAGCTGATATCACTGGGTTGAAGTTAATGTTAGCACGAGGCTGGGCGCTATAGCCCTTTCATTGTATGCTGGCTGGCTGATCCCTTCTGGCTGGCTTAACTTGTGTTTTTTACTGTTTGAAACGTTTGGCATGATGTGGATGTCCTGCAGGCGGCCGCTGAAGCGCTGGTATGAGGTGGGAGACGAGGAGGAGGGCGACGATGACGTCATCCAGACGATTGGCGGGCCGGCAGCGCAACAGCCCAGGTGGGTACGGAAGCCGGTTGTAACCTTCGGCTGTTGGGTTACATATTGTGCTTGGGTAACTATTTGTTAGGCGCTCGTCCTTGTCGTACCCTCTCGCCCTCCTCCAATGCGCGCTCCCCCGCTGCCCTCTGCCCTCACTCTTCAAGCAGTACCGTGGCCACAACTGCTCCTGCCGCTCCAGCTCCCGGCTTGTTCGGCCATGCAGCCGCAGCGGCACAGGCGCTAGCGACGCCGCCACCTGCGGGTCCTAAGCCGCAGGCTGACGGCGCAAGCACCTCGACAGCAGCTTCCAGCACGCCACCGCCAGCATTCCCTGGCTTCAGCTTCGGTAACGCCTCCGCTACCCCGGACAAGTCCGCCGAAACTGCTGCTGCTACGGCGGCGGCGGCGGTGACGGCAGACAAGCCCACTGCAGGTGCCACTGGAGACGCAGCCGCACTCAAGGCCGCGGACGGCACCACGACGGCTCCTGCGGCCGACGCCGCAGCCTCGGCAGCCTCCACAGCACCTGCTGCAGCGGGCAGCCTCTTTGGTGGCGGAGCCGGTGCCGCCAACACAAGCACAGGACCGGCGTCCACGAGCACCCCGGCGCTTGGCTTCTCCTTCGGGGCGCCATCCGCAGCAGCAGCGGTTAGCAAGGAACCCGCGGCGCCGACAACGGACGCGGCTGTTGCTGCAACCGCCACAGGCGCTGCCGCATCGCAGCCCGCCAGCAGCAATGGCACCGCTGCGGCGGCAACGGGGACGGGGGCGGGCTCCCTTACGTTTGGGCTCGGGAGCACGACCACGGCGCCTGCCGGCTTCAACTTTGGCTCCTCCTCAACCACAACCCCCGCAACTGGAACTGGAGCTCCTGCGGCGGCGACGGGCGCGACTGCGCCGTCAACATCCGGTACGGCCGCCGCGGCGGCGCCTGCTGCCGCAGCGCCGAGTACCTCGGCACCAGCAGCAGGTTTCACGGGTTTCGGAGCGGGCAATGCGACTGCTGCTGCGGCTACTGCCGCTGGGCCGTTTGGCACCACGTCGTCGACGGCTGGCCCCGCAGCCGCTGCAGTGCCTGGTCCGGATGCCGCAAAGCCGGCAGCCGGGTTTGCCTTTGGACCCGGCGCGTCTCCGGCGTCCTTTGGCGGCCTAGGCGGCAGCTCGGTCCCGGCGGCTACTGCGCCGGGGGCTTCTTCCACCACCACGGCTGCGGCAGCGCCGGCGACGGGCTTTGCCTTTGGCGGCACTGGCACCAGCGCCGCCGCCGCCGCACCCGCTCCGGCTGCCAACCTTTTCGGCAGCGCTGCAAGCACCGGCACTTCCAGCACGCCCTCATTCTCCTTTGGCGCACCTGCCGCCGGAGCTACCAGCACACAGCCCGGCGCGGCCGGTAGCAGCAGCGCCCCGGCCCTGGGAACCGCACCCAGCACAGGTGCGACAACCGGTACCACAGGACTGTCCTTCGGTTTGGCGCCGGCTGCCTCGACGACGACAACCGCCTCCGCGGTTCCCACCTTTGGTGCACCTGGTGCCGCTGCTGCACCTTCGTTTGGCGGCTTTGGCGCCGCTGCCAGCGCGCCGGCGACCAGCGGCACAGGTGCGGCAGCAGCCACAGCCACGCCCACCTTTGGCGCACCGGCTGCGGCTTCCACAGCACCAGCGCTGTTTGGCTCAACGACCGCCCCGGCATTCGGCGCAACGGCAGCGGCAGCAGCGATCCCGGCTCCCGCCGCAAGCGGCTTTGCCTTTGGCGGCGCCAGCGCCGCGCCCTCGGGAGGGGCTGCGGGATCCACCGGCGGTGCAGCTCCGGCGGCGGCAGTTCCGACCTTTGGGAGCTCTTTTGGCGGTGCAGCGGCGGCGGCTGGTGGCGCAGGCGCCCCTAGTCCCTTTGGCGGTGCGAGCAGCACTGCAGCTTCTGCGCCATCGTTCGGCGGCTTTGGCGCGAGTACGGCACCTGCAGCGGCGCCCGCATTCGGTGGTGCTGCAGCCGCGGCGCCGGCGGCGACAGGGACAGCGGCGCCTGTGTTTGGGGGCACCACGGGCGCTCCGAGCTTTGGGACGACATCGTCTTCTGGAGGTGGGTTGGTGTGTACGGTAGCAGAGAGAGGTTTGGCGAGCGTTGGGAGGTGCCTAGTGTTGTCGATGCCACTTAGGGTAAAGTGTCATGTTTCTTCCTTTCATTCAGACCCCCAACCCTTTTATCCTCCTCCGCAGGAGCCGCGCCCAGTTTCGGGGCTCCTGCCAGCGGCCCCTGCTTTGGAGCCACCACCACCGCGCCCTCGTTCGGCGCTCAGACCGCCGCAACCACAACCGCTCCTGCCGCCGGCGGGTTTGGTTTCGGAGCCTCCAGTAGCGGCGGAGCAGCACCGCCCAGCTTTGGAGCCGCAGCGGCTGCCAGCGCACCCGCGGCTTCCACCTTTGGGGCAGCGGCAGCGGCGCCGGCCTTTGGCAGCAGCGGTGGGGCGCCGCCGCCGGCGTTTGGGGCCTCGCCGGCCCCTAGCTTTGGTGCCAATCCTGCGCCCGCCTTTGGTGGTGCGAGTTCGGCGCCTGCCTTTGGCGCTGCTGCCTCCGCTCCGACCTTTGGCGCGAGCTCGGCGCCGTCTTTCGGCTTCAGTGCAGGTAAGGATAGAGGTCTACCTACGTCATCCTGTTTGTGGTGCCATACATGCCTGCTATGCATTCGCCCCAGTGCCAAGTTCCCGGCAATGGCTACTTACGGTTACTTTCCCGTGTTTTATCTGTTCTTTAACCCCTTTTGGAGCGCGCGGAGGCTGTTTAAAAAGCGTCGTCTTTGACATGTCCTTGCCTTGTTGTCCCAACACCGTCCCGCAGCCCCTGCCACATCGAGCTTTGGTGCCGCCGCGGCTCCCACAGCATCCGGCTTCGGAGCCGCCGCCGCGCCGGCGTTCGGTTCCAGCGCAGCGCCGGCATTCGGATCGACGACTGCGGCGCCGACGTTTGGCGGCAGCGCCGGCGGGGCCGCTCCCTCCGGGTTCGGAGCCGCACCTGGTGCTGCTGCTGCTTCTGGTTTCGGCGCTGCCAGTGCACCTGCGTTCGGGGTGTCGGCGGCGCCGGCCTTTGGAGCCGCGCCGGCTGCCGCGTTTGGAAGCTCCGCAGCGCCTGCATTCGGTGAGAGTGACACGGGCTACGGGGGGGGATGTGCTTGAGCCATGCCGCCCTTGTTGCCGCGCATCTCTCTGCCCAGATTTCCGTACTCCTACCATGCACATACACATCATGTGCTGACCTGGCGTCCTTTATGTCTCCTGTGCCACCCCTCAGGTGCCGCTCAGCCCAGTGCCACGCCGGCCTTTGGTGCCGCTCCTGCACCCGCCTTTGGCGCGCCCTCGCAGCCCGCCGCGCCGGCCTTTGGTGCCGCCGCGCCTGCCCCGAGCTTTGGCGGCGGCGGTGGCGGCAGCTTTGGCGGTGCGGCGCCGGCCTTTGGTGCAGCCGCCCCTGCGGCTGCGGCTCCGACTTTCGGGGCCCCCGGCGGTGCCCCCGCGTTCGGTGCCGCACCGGTCGCGGCCCCCGCAGGCGGCGACGGCTTCAGCATTGGTGCGGCTGGCGGCGAGAGGCGGCGCGTGACAGCCTCCAGGAACAAGGGCCGCCGTTAAGGGAAAGGGACGCGATGTTGGGCATGTTTGCATTTGATTTGGGTGGCATTCGTAGCAGTAGTTACAGGCAACAGCAGGCACCGAGGCAGCGTTTTATGGGGATTTGGGCCTTGGGCAACAGGGTTAGCGAAAGGAAGCGTGGGGGAGAATGGGGACGGACGCTATGCAGAGGCGTAGTTGAGGGTAGTTGGGTTGCGTGTCGGGAAGGGGTTGGGTTATGCGTACCAATTCAGCAGCGTGTGTAGATGTGGACCTTGCGTGGAGTGTGGACAACACTGGAGGGCAGTGTGGGTGGTGTTGAGTTGCTGTGCAGGCTGCAGGCGTGGCTCATGGGTGTCGTGGCCGATGTGGGTTGTCCAGTCGGCAAGGGGTGTCAAAGGTAACTGTGCGTCCTGGTGGCTAGGTAGGTTGCCAAGTGGTTGGGGCGCGTTTAGTTGTGGTGCGTATCGCATGCCTCCCTCCGCTGTTACGCCACAGCAGAGCTAAGTGCGCGCAGCTAAGTAGAGAAGAATGTGCAGGCTTGGCTTTGGAGGCGACAACCTCACCTGGTGTTAGGAGGAGACATGATGGTCCTGATTCCCCCTGTGTCCTGAGCTTCTAACTGCTTGTCAGCACTCGGGATTGGGAACCTTGGAATCGCTCTTGGGGCGCTCTTGCGCTACGAGGCAAGGGGCATTTAGTAACTGGCGCATTTGGGCGGTTTGCTGGGCATGTCCGATCAGGTCTGGTGTGCGAGGAGCACTAGGCCAGGTGCCACCAGGGCTCTTTGTAGCGTGCGGGTTTCACCGCAACGTGCCAGAACTCCCGTGCGTTCACCGGCCGATGTGGTATTGGGAATCGGGTTGTCCTGAACCTAGTTCCGGACGGGGATCACGCAACAAGCGGACGGCTGTCCCTACGGGGTATTAGACATGTAAGGCAAGAGGGTTCTAGGGCTGCCCGGGGGAGGGGCGGGGGATGGAGGAGTGCGCGCGGTGGGCATGGCGGATGGGAGGATGGGGGTGGCGGGAGGGGGCTGCGGGTCACACAGGCTAGTAGGCAGTCCCAGGACCCCAAGCACTGCGTGAGCCAGGGAGCAAGGCGCAACGAGCGAGGGTGGCGCACGGAGTGAACCGCGGGTCGCTGCGTGCTGCAAGAGACGCGTGCGGGCACGACATGCCAGCAAGTTGATAACTGCGACGCCTTTAGTCTCTCTCGAACTAAAAGCCACCAGAAACATGTAAGTATTCGGCACGTGTGTACACCGTATGGCTAGGAAAACGCTGGTGACCCTTGACTGTCATGGTGGTAAAATTGGATTCCATGTTGGATCCGTAAAGAGGCCCTTCTGAGCCAGGAGTCCTTATCAACGAAATAGTCCTACAGACTGCCTATACAGACTTAGTTTCAGACAGACAGCCCTTTGCATTTAACAACGCGAAATGGAGAACCCGTCGGCTGTGGAAAACAGCGAGCAGGTGCCGAGCCTTTCGGATGCTCTTAACAACCTCAGCATACCTGCGTGTGAAACCTTTTGCAACATTCTCCAGAGCGAAGGGAGCATGGCAAAAGCGCGCCTGGCGCTCCTCGCGCTGCGCAACGTGGTGGACTCCTGCGTGCGCGAATTAACGCTGGTCTTGCGCCTTGAGCATCGGCAGTTATGGGACCAGGGCTTGATGCCCTCGCTTGAGCGCTGGCCCCGCTGCGAGGCTATCCGGCTGGACCTGGGCCGACTGGACGCGAACAAGGTCAGCCCGGAAGACATCGCAGAACTCGTAGCGCTGCAGTTTGCGGGCTCGCCGCTGGCAACCAGGCAGCGTATCAAGCGTGTGAAGGTCAATTGGAGGATTGAGGAACGCGTGGACATCCAGTCGGCTGTTGCGCAGCTGCCGCTGTGGCTGCCCGCTCTGGAGGAGGTCGACCTCTCCGGCGCGTGGCCGCTCCTGTACGATCCCCCACGGCGGAAGCAGCAGCTGATGTATCACGCCCTGTCAAACCTTCGGGCACTGGAACGGCTGGTGCTGCGCAGTGCGATGCTGGAGGGTGTGGGGGCCCTGGCTGCGTGCAGCAGCCTGACGAGATTGGAAGTGATCGGGACGGCGGCCGCGTTCACAGATGAGGATGTCGAGCTGGACCTGCCTGACGGTTTAACAGCTCCAGTGATTGCCGAGCTCGCCAGGCTGCAGCATCTGCAGGTGCTGCGCCTTACGTGGTGCGATCTGACGACTGAGAAGGAAGACGAGGAGGAGGGTGAGGACGAGGGGGGCGAGTTGGTGCGCCTGCTGCTGGGCAGCTTGCCGCCCTCCCTGCGGCACCTGCAGCTGGAGGAATGCAACTTTGCTCCCTACCACTTTGAAGAATCCGTGGAGTTTCACCTGGATGAGGGTCACGTGCGGCTCGTGAAGCTTCGTCTCTGCAACTTCAAAACTTCGCTGTCAGAACACTGGCTCATGCACAGCATCCCGCGTCCCCTCCTGCAGCAGGAGCAGCAGCAGAAGCCACGTCTGGTTATTGACGAATTGTTCATACAGCCGGATCCGCTGTCCGAAGAGCAGCTGTCTCGTACCCGCGCGCTGCTGTGGGAGCATTTCTCCGTTACGGAGGTGGGGACCTTGGCGTTCCGGGATGCCTCTGTGGCTGCAGTGCTGCAGGCGGTGGAGCTAGTAGGCCTGCCGCAGAAGTTGCTGTGTTATCGAAACTACGAGACGATACAGTTGGCGACAGCGGCGCCTTCCGGCCCTGCACTGGCGGGCGGCGAGGGGCACCAGCTGGGGCCTGCGGCGGCGGGGGGCTGGCAGCAGCTGCCGTCAGAAGTAGAGCTGCTGCTGAGTGCGATGGGGTATTTGGCGGAGGCGGCAGCGGCAGCAGCGGCTGGGGAGGAGGTGGGCGGGACTGCTGGCAGGGGTGGCTCGGCAGGAGTTCATGAGCTGTGTGTGAGCGGCCCGCTCCTGGCTACAATGCTTAGGCAGGGCGAGGAGGGGCAGCAGGAGGGGAAGGGGGAAGCATCGCTCAAGGGGTGGATGAGAAGGTTGGATGAGCGGGCTGTGCAGGCGACTAGAGGGAAGGGCAGCAGGCCCTGCGTGATCTGGTACCAGCCGCTGCCGGCTGTGCAGGCAGTGGTGATTGAGTGCTACGGGAGGGCGGAGGCGGAGGCGGTGGAGGCCGCTGTGAAGGCGCTAGCGGATGAGGCGGGGGCTGCTGGGGCAGCAGCAGCGGAGGGGCCGGAGGCGGTGGCTGCACCGCTGCAGGTGCTGCGGCTCGCGTCGCGGCAGGGAGTGCGGTTTGGAAGGTCAAACATGCTTGACGCCGTGGAACAGGTGGGTGCGTGTACCGGCAAGTCAGCAGGCGCTGGGGCCTGCGGGCCTGCGGTGTGTGGGGTCGCGGGTTGAGGCAGGTCACGGCATGACGTGAACACGGGTAGGTGTTAGGGTGTGGATACCGGTATCAGGGTACAGGTATGCCAGCATGCAAACCGCTTTTGCTTTTGCTACCTGAGAGTACCTCACAGCACAACGTGCGCTCACCTGCCTTTCCTTCCTGGACTAGATGGGCCTGCGCCCCCCCCTCCCCGCCAAGGACCGGATACCATGTGTCCCTTCTCCCCAACGCTGGCTGCACCTCGCTTCCCCCCCCATACACACCCATACCCACACCCACAGGCCATCCAGCATGCGTGGGATGGCGCCTGGGAGCCCAGTGGGGGCGGCATCGGGCTGAGGCGCCTGGAGTGGCTACTGGCGCTAGACAGACAGGTCCTCTTCCCGGACGTATATTGGCTGGAGTGGTGAGCCGTGCTGCCGGCGGTTGGTGGGCTGGCTGGGGGCTAGGCTGGAGGGGCTACCCAATGAGCGGGCCTTCACGGAGCAGCCATGTGCATGCATGCAATATGAGTCGCCATAACACATGTGGGGTCTGTCGTTGTTCATTCATTGGTACATGCGGGAGAGCACCCCAGGCGTGGAGTTTTCGAGTAGTTAGGGGGACGGAGCACGCGGGGGTGTTAGTTTGCTGGTTGCCAGCTGGGGGTCAGCTGGGCTCACGATGTATGTCGGTCGGTCTCACGTCAGGTCATGACTTACGAGTCCTTATTAGATGACCTGCCTCACTTCTTCTCCGTTATACAGCGGGCGGATGCGTGGGTCGTGGGGAAGGGCCTTGCGGGTAGCTGAGACACAGTGATGAGCGGCGAATGGTGCGACGTAAAGGAACCGGCTTCATATGCCACGACATGGCCCCGACTTGAAGCAGTGCAAGTGCTTGCCGTTGTTGCATGCCTCCACCGGCATGTCTGTGATGCGCTCTTTCATGTATGGACCGGTATGAGGCCCGAGGTCAACGGCATGCCGGGGGGGGGGGTTTGGAATTGCGCGTTTCGCATGTAGGTGCCGGGGTGGGCAACCCACAAGCCAGTCGAGCATAGACCTGGAGCAACAAGTAGTTACATGAAAGCGCAAGGATTGAAAGATCCCCGCAAGCGCCACAGCAGTGACGGATAATGACACAGCCCTGTTCCCATGGCGGTGCTCAATAGCGCCTGCGTTGCACGTGTGACGGCAGCACGTCAGGGCAACACTCCAGGTGATCAGGTTACAGTTACAGGCCAAACGTCAGTGCTTGTGTGTGTGCGTTGGAAGTAGGATTGACATCATATCCCAGCCACACACGTGCATGTGGCTTTGGGCACCATGGCACATGCGAGTCATCGAGTTGGGGTTCCATATCATGGGTGGCAGGCTGTGCTGCTTAACGCCCTCCTGAACCCCTCGTAACGACTCCTGAAAGCAGCAGTTCGAACAGAATAGCCGATGCGCCAATAAACAAGCAAATTTGCGCAGTCTGCAAAAGCTAAATCCATGTATGATTACTAGCACACCCTTCCGCATCAACACAACTAGTAGCGAGTGGACTGGGAGATTCCAGAGAGATTTTTCCATAACATCATTAAAGAAGACTATCAACGTGGGAAATACGGGGAATGAGGCCAAATACCAACTACAATTGCTAATTGCCAAATCTACATGTGTCTTATGCTATACGACGCCTACGAGAATCAGAAACATCGTTGCCTAAGGTCACAGACGTCTTAACAGTTGCAGTGTTACGGACTTACCAAAACCAGCATACGGGAAACAAGCTCAACGCCCCATCGCCCTGACAACAACTGGGATACACCTACCGCTTAGTGATCCCATTCCCCATCCATTTTAGGACTACACAAATGATGCTGAAGTCATACTTCACCCTGCACATTGGGACACCTAACAAATGCATACACTCTTGAGACATGACCCGCGGGTCCGTCTGCTAATCAACACTAGCTACTTCTAATTAAATAGCAACAGCAACGCTGTACCTAACTATACCTTAAAAGAACCCACCTTAGCCGGCCTCTGACAAAGGTCAAAGACCACGGGGCCTCCAAGTCCCAAGCTAAGAACAGCAAACGTCGCCACAACGGCCCTGCTTCTTGTCAGTAGGATAATGATCCTGATAGTGAACTAACAAGGTGATGCCGCAAGGTGACCGCGCAAAGGCGGTTGGTTGTCCTTCCACACTGCGAATAAGAACCCCTTGCACTTTGACTTCCCAAGCAAAAGGGCCTGCCGCCAGTAGAAACACAACTAACAAGGCATCGTGCCGCGCCCCTAACCACCGCACTACCGCCGCTTCCTCCAGCCGTACATGGCCCCTGCCAGACACGGCGGAGTTTACCTATTCAGCCGATGGGCTAGAAGCACCTCAATAGACACGCACAAACACGGCGGAGTTGTCCAGCGCTGTACACCAACTCAAGGTGCACAGCGCAACAGCATGAAACAACGCATCTGTTGCAACCATGCATGACAACGACCAATTCCATGTTTGGCCGGCTGTGATGGAGCAGCTCCCCTGCAGCAAGCAGCAAGCGGCTGCCTACCAAGCTGCACCCAAAGCCCAAAGCGAGGGCGTTGTGATTTGCATCCCTCCTAGGGTCCTCCATTCAGTGTCACCGGTGTTCCCATCTTCGCCAAGAACATGCCTGTTATCCCTCCTTTCTACATCACCCTCGTTCTTACCCTGACCAGCTGACTTCCTCTATTCCAGCAGAAGAAACCAGCATAACCAGAAGAGCCGCAGGCCATCATGATATCAATACACTGCGTACCATTAAACGCTCAGCCTTATCGGCACGCTTCACTCCTTTGCAAGCTGCAACAAGAAAAGCTATCAATCTACACCCAGAGGTCAAGAGGCATGTAGATCAGACCACGCAAAGCACGCGTACCATGCCAACTGCATGCCCACCATGGAACCACTGCCAACAGGCCATACCGCATCGCATCCGTACAGCCGGCCCACGCAACATCCCAACAACCCGCTCTTCCCGAACCCCCTATCTCACCTGCCTGCATCCTCCCAGCCACGCCCTGACTAGGCCCTATCCAGGAAAGCACGCCCGCCGCCTTCTTTAGTTCCTCCTGACATGAACAAGAGGTCGACCGCTCCCCTCCTTCACCCCCTTCCAGGAGAAGTACAGCCCGTGCAGCTAAACAACTCCCCTCCTCCCCTCCTCGACTTCCCTAGGCCGCAATGACCACCGCCATCACCACCCTCACGCCCTGGACCGCGCCGGGCTCACGTTGCCTCGTGCGCTAGCTGGCGGGCTGGCTCGACTGCGGCTGGGGGAGGTGGGTCGGGTGCTGCTGCTGGCGGGGTTGGCGTTGCCCCCCGCCACGGAGCTCTCCAGCGGGCCGTCCTGCTCGGGCTGCCAGTGCGCCAGGTCCTGCAGGAGGGGAGGGGAGAGGAAAGAGGGGAAGAAAAGTACTATAAGTGCATAGGGGGAGAGGCAAGGAGCGGTTGGGCGGTGTGAGGTCGCTTGAAAAGGCGTAACGGCAGGTGTCGGGATCGCAGGTGGCGACAGGCATACATGCATACGTAATTGAGTGGCCGGGTGTGGAGTGCAGAGCGTGGAGGGAGTATGTAATCGTGTTGCATTGTTTGCTGCTATAGGGTTCTATTCCTTGGAACGCAGTCGACATAGGATATGGGCCGGCAGTGCCGCTGCTGCCGTGTACCGCTGCCTTGTAGAAGGTGGCAGCAGGCCGATGTGGCCCAGTCATTGTTTCCTTTGCTGCAGCAGCAGCCCCCCCGGGCCCCCATGTGCTCCCTCGCCCCCCTCACCAGGTCTTTCAGGAAGCGCTGCAGCACCTTGGTGTGGTCGGGCCGGGCGGGGTCCACGGCCTGCCGGGCGGGGCGGGCGGGCAGACGCAGGAGCCAGGGACAGGGGGAGAAGGCGGGGGGAAGGGAACATGGTGGAGTAGGGTAAGGCATATAGCAGTGCATATGCTGCGTGATATGTTTTTGCGACAGCGAAGTTGCAGGGAGAAGGGCTCGCGGTTTCCAGACGCGCAGCCAGCGAACGAAAGTGTGGTTTGCTTTACAGCTGTCTGTGGCAGGCATCCAGGGTGTTGCCGCCTTCCGTGCATGCAAGCCGGAGAAGGGTGTTGCCTTTTATCACACAACAGAATAGAGCTCTGGGAAGCCCGGCAGGCTAGGTGAAAGTGCACGCCCCCACAAGCGCTTAGTACGTTGGTTTGACCAAGCAAGGAACACACCCCGCGTCCTTCCGGGTACCGCAACTACCAGCACGGACCCAGCATGCGCATACCAAGCAGGCTCCTTGATTCAACTAAACGCGCCCTTCCAACCTCCCTCCAGGTTCCAGCCATGCCCGACAATAAGCCATTTATACCTTTCCTCGACATATAGTCGCCACATAAAGATGGTAATACATGACAAGCACATTTGACAATACCTTTTAGTAGAGCTCCGACAGGACATTTGTACAGAAAACGCAATACTAACCTACGGGCGCACGCCCTTGAGAGGATTTTTCGCAATGCACTTCCGCGCGCTTGCATGTTTTGAGTCACGGCAATGTATAGCAACCACGGCAATGTATAGCAACCAATAAATAAATCACGCGCGTGCCAGGTGGTTTCCCAGTGCTGTATAGTGCAGGCATCTGTATGATGTGTGCTAAATCAACTGTACGGTATGTATCTCCAGATTGCTCTATCGTTAGGGCCTATGGCTGAAAGTATTGGCAACAAAATTGCGGAGGTCTGTAGTCAAGGGCTTGGTACGGTCGGCCAGTCAGGCTTGTGCGCCTGAGGGGCGGGGCAGGGACAGGGAGGCGCCCCCCAGGTGTGAAAAATGTGCCGCAACGCATGGCTTTGGGAATCCTAGGTCGAGCGACACCACGCAATCCCTCGCCCTTTCTTATTCTTTCCTAATGCTGTTCGGCATACGTTTATATGGGGCAAACAACCCCATACATCCATGTCCCTGCCCTTTCCTCCCCACATTTTTCACCCATAGCCCCCCCCGCTCACAATGCCACCCCGCCACACCCACCTCCAAATCCATCGCCAGGTTCCGCGCCACGCCGCTGCCACCACCTCCACCTCCGGCACCCGCTCCCATGCCACCTCCGCCTCCGCCTCCAGCACCACCGCCTCCTCCTCCATTCCGCACCCTCTGCGATGCAGACGCGCGCACCGCGCCGCCCCCATGCAGCCCCCCCATGACGCCTGCAGCACTGGCGGCCGGCGGGTGGGACCCGGAGCCGCCCCAGGACATGAGGCGGCGGAACAGTCGCGCCACCGGGCCCCGTTGCCCCTTGCCGGGACCCGCCACGTAGGCCGGGCAGTCCGGGTCGAAAGCGGCCAGGTCCACGTTCTGACGAGCGGCGCCGGATGGGGAAAGCAGGAAAAGGGAGGAGCTGGCTTAGTAGGAAGGAGGAAACGGAGTGGTTGGAAAAGGGTGGGGCATTGAGTAGAGGGTACGCAATTGCGCATCAAGGCTAGAGCTGACGAGTGTGTGAGCATGTCCCGCCCACCCCACCCGCACCTGCACAAAGTTCAGTGCAGCCAGCCGCTGCGGGTCGTTCTCCTGGTCCTCCGCACCGCCGTACCCCAGCTGCTCCAGCCGCGGCGGCACCGCATGCGGCCCGCTGCTCTGCACGCTGGCGGCGTCATTGAAGCCCCCTGCGGCTGCTGCTGCTGCTCCGCCGCCCATGCCGCCGGTGCGGGAGCCCCGGGAGAAGCGCCCCAGCGCCCCCGAGGTGGAGCCGTGCATGGGGACGCTGGAGAGGCTGCGGGTGCTGCGCGCGCGAACCAGGCCGCGAGCCAGCCGGGAGGAGACCTGGAGGGGGAGGACAGGGAGGGCAAGGAGGGCAGGGACACGTGTGAGTGTGAGGGGAGGAGGAGCCGTGGGTGGCGGGGAGCCCCGCAAGAGAGGCCACGAAGGGAGGCCCCAGTCCAACACGCTCCTCCGCCTGCTCCTTCTCCTAGAGCATAGTACTTCTTCCCCGCTGCAGCCCCACCCTCCCACCTCACCCTCCCACCCCACCTGCGACATGCGCTCCTCGTCATCCAGCGCCAGCACCTCGTCCTCCCGCCGCCGGGCGCGAGCTGCGGATTTGAGCCACCTGGGGGAGGAGAGTGCAAGGTGGGTGAAGGGGGCGGAGGATGGGCGGGGCACATGGTGGGAGAGGGACAGGGGACGAAAACGTTTGGGGTCCCAATGCCTGGGTTACATGGTACCGGTGAGCCGCGTCCCTCCTGAGGGTCCCTCCTGCCACCTCCTGACACAGTGATCCCCCACCCTCCTACACGGCGCCCCTCCTGACCCGGTGTTCCCTCACCTAGCAAGTTTGAAGTGCAGGTTCAGCGAGGCGACCTCCGCGGGGGTGCAGAGCTCGGTGCTACCCTGTGGAGTTTTGCGTGTTGCGACGACAAACACAAACCCACACAAGTTTTCTTAACACACACCAGCAGGCCGTTGTTGCGGTACATGGGCGAGAGGCCGATGGTGGGAGCCCCTAGGTCCGCAACCATGACACGAACCATGGTGGAACCCTTTGTCACATGTTTTGCTTTCCTTCTTCATTATCCGTCACCCTCTTCGTTCCGCCTAAGAGTACCCCCCAGGATACAGACCTGTATGAAGCAGGGCTGCACGGGGCTGGCTCCGTTGGTGACCAGGAGCTTCACGATCTCGCCATGCCCGCGCTGGGCGGCCAGGAAGAGTGCGGTGATCTAGGAGCGGGAAGGGTGGAGTGGACAATGGGGTAAGGGATGTGAACGTTACAGGAGGAGGCAGGAAGATCATTTGGAATGAGGAGAATACGCGGCTTGGCTTTAGAGTGTAGCTACCGGGAGGGACCAAGTAAAACACGAGGGGAGGAGTGCTATGGAACTATAACCGTGATGCATTTCAAGTCGCATTATCTGTCCTACGGCTAGGGGTGTCATGGATAAGTTCATCAGCTGGGTCACAAACCGCAGCATAAATTGTGCCAGGCCCTTTGGTCGGCAAGACCAAGAAACCTTCCTATGCGCTTGTATGATTTACAGGTTGCATGGTTATTATTGTCAAAGGGGCATGGGGATTCAAAATAGCAGTTGTCACAGAGCTTGACCCCAGCAAAATTCTAGCGAAATTCCGGCAGGGTTCAGGCGTCTGCAATTTCCCAAAACACATGTGTCCCTTATAAACAAGATGATCTTAACCATCACGCTCAAGTTCATGTTAATAGCATTTGCTGCCCGCAATGGACTGCGCGAACTGTCCAACTTACCCCACAAACGAGGCGGCCGTGCTGGTTGCGAAGTGATATAGTCTCATGAAGACTGCAGCCCTCGTTAATGCATTGTAGAATGCCCTCTACGTCGCCTGTGGGAAGCGACGTGGCAAGTAGCAGGGCAGCTGTTGCCGTCACAAGGTAGATGCCTGTCCCGCAGGCTCAGCAATTGAAAGCAATACTGCCGCAAGATAATACATGGAAAATAGCGAGCCTCAATAATACCCCCGTGTGCTGCTGCGGCCCCGACGTGTAGGTTGCTCAGCCGTTTCAACTGCGGTCGCGTCAGATCACCGCACCTCTATATGCACAGTAATGCAGCCGCGGTAGCTTGCTCGTGTGCATGGGGTGGAGACTCTGGGGCGACTCCACAACCGTAGCGCTCAAGGGCGCCCGGATAACTGGTGAGGGCTCACCGTATACTGGGCTGCCCCCGGTATTCATTTGTCCTAATTCGTATCACTACAAGAGTTAGTGCAACGTCAGACTCTAGTAAAATACCGGTATGTGCTGCGGTCAGAGGATGTGACATAGCAGGTCAAAGCAGCAAGCAGTCTTGTTAACCATAACGTCGGCGAAGTTATAAGCTGGGCATAGTGTTATAAGGGGTGTCTAACCCTGGCAGCAGCAGGTCCCTTCTACCAGTCCGCAACTTTCCTGTACGACACATCATACGGTCCTATACGGTACGAGCTAGTTCATCAACCGCGTTGGATTTGGCTGATAGACGATTAGTCGTTTTGCCTGCTTGTGGTTGCGGCCTGCCTTGCTTCCTGCTCTACGGGTCGCCAGGATGTTCACCCTTACACGCCTGGCGCCTCGCGTGCCTTGCACGGGGGCAAGCCATAAAGCAAGGAGTGCATGTGCGAGGTGAATATGCGTGTTGACGCTGTCAGCGAGCCATATTTGCGTCCGAATGGCCTTGCCCAATGGTTGTTGGCTGCCAGGGCCCGTAGACTCCTTCATGCAAGTGCATACCCACGTTTCATTCCACATGGATGTTTCTCCTAACGGTTATTATGCATGTAGATTAAACGGTGTCCGGGTGGCCCCGACCATTGGCCTGCAAATGCGTGGAGCTGCGTTGCGGTCAACGCCGCCAGGTGGGCGGTTCCAGATAGCGACGCCCAGGCCCGGCCAAGCACGACATCGGGGGCTTTCCATGCAAACGTCGGGGGCATTTTTCAATTTACAACTTCCCACAGCAACCTCCTGAACCCACTCCCCTCAACCCCTCCCCCTTACCACGGTACATCCCGCCGTGTTTCCTGCATACAGACACGGAAGCCGTTGCCTCCACCTCGGAATCAGCTGGATCCAGTAGCAGCGCCAACGGCGCTCCAGACCCAAAGAACGGCAGCAACCGCAATGCCAGCAACCGCAGCAGCACTTCATCCTCGTCATCCTCTTCATCATACTCCTCGTCGTCTGGCTCCTCATCAGCCGGTGGAGGAGCCTCCAATTCCGACACCGTTGGGCTCTTCGGCATGCGCATTAGTAAAGACGACCTGCTGACGATAGCGTTGGCGGTTGCGATCTCGTACGGCATCCGCACGTTTGTTGCTGAGCCTCGCTTCATTCCCTCTCTATCCATGTACCCCACCTTTGACGTGGGTGATCGGCTCATAGCGGAGAAGGTCACCTACCGCTTCCTTAGGTGCGTGGGGCTCTGTTGGGTTGGGGCTAAGGTGGATGGGTCGGTAATGAAGGAGACGAAGTGCAATGGGTGGGTGGGCGGGACTGTCGTGATGGGTCGTCGTGTGGCCCATGGGTCATCATGCACCGGGCTTGCTTCTGCGAGTTCTGCCACCAGGCACTCTTCTCTCTTCCATCACACAATGCATGCTCCTGCTACTCTCTCAGCTAGCTCGCCCAGTCGCTAACCCCTTGTCCTTGTCCTGTTCTGCGGTGTCTCGTAGGGAGCCAGTCTCCGGTGATGTGATCATCTTCCACCCGCCCCGCGAGATCTCCCCCACCGAGCAGCCCTCGCTGTTCGGGGACGACAACGTGTACATCAAGCGAATAGTGGCAGTGGAGGGGGACACTGTCGAGGTACGGACAAGCATGTCGTACAGCACATGCTGCCGTACGGTACATGCATGGTGTTATGGGGCGCGTGTGCACGCCGTACGTCACATGGACGTGTCGTGCGTCTCATGCATGTCGTACGGCGCGTGTGCGTGCATGTACCGGGTACAAACACACACAGTGTCCAAAGCCGTGTTTTTGTGACGGCGATCCGTACCACACCCTAAAACCCCAACCGGCTGCTGCGTCTGCGCTGCCGTACAGGTTCATAACGGTCGTACGTACGTCAACGGTGTGGCCCGATCCGAGCCGTTCACCGCCGAGCAGCCGTTGTACGAGATGCCGCGAGTGGTGGTGCCGCCGGGGGATGTGAGTGGGGCCGCTTGCATAGGAGTCCGGTGTACCGGTATCGTAAATGGAAGATAGGAGTGTTGCCGTACACCACACTGGGGTGTGTAGTAGGGGTACGAAATACCGGTACTCACCTGCATTGGACATCGTCCTCCCGTACACTGGGTGCACACCACTGGGCTGGAGGCGCACCACTCCTGCAGCCTCGCCCCTACCAATGCGCAACATGTCTAGTACGGCACCCATGACCCCACCCAACCTGGCGGCCACCCACCCATCATTGGTCAGCTCCCCAGGTACCCTCCCGCTTGCCCACATCCTGCCTTCTCCACTCTGCGCTTTCCCCCTCCAAAACCCCTTTCCCAAAGCGCCGCTCCCCCTTCCCCAGCCCGCCTCCCACATCTTGGCTTCCCTTCCGCCTCCCTCTCCCCCTCCCACGCCCACACCCCAGGTGTTTGTGATGGGTGACAATCGGAACAACAGCTACGACTCGCACCTGTGGGGCCCGCTGCCCAGGGAGAACATCGTGGGTCGTGCGGTGTTCAAATACTGGCCGCCGTGGAAGGTGGGGGCGCTGGAGGACTACACGGGACTCGCGGCGGGGGCGCCAGCGGGGCAGCGGGGCGCGGGGGCGCCAGTGGCTAGCACTGCCGCTGCAGTGGTTGCGGCTGGTGCGGGGTCCTCAGCGGCGTGAGGGGTGTGAGAGACGGAGAGGGTTGGAGAGGAGAGACGTGGCGTGTTTTAATGGAATTACGGCCCAGGAGTGGTTTTGGATGGGTGAGGAAGGAGGAAGAATGGCGGTTGGGGCGTGGTATGAGGGAGGGGTGTACAGCTCTATACAACCTTTATCATATGAGGGGTGCTGAGAAGAGGGGGAAGATGACTAAATGAGAGGGCGAGGGAGAGTGCCGTGTTGCATGGAACGAGCGTAGGAACGTCACGTCACGTGCATGCACGCGATTATGCTAACATAGAGGAGCTGAAGGTGCACCTGCTAGCGGCGCTCTTACCAACTTCCACCATTGTGCTTATGGGTGCCCTAAGACCAGTACCGGTAGTAGTGCTTACGGAGGTGGTACAACCAGGCCTACTCGTTACCGGTAGCTAATGCGCGGCGTGTTACGGGTCGGCTAGGCTGTATGCAGTGGCTTAGCGTGTGGAGGGGGAACAGGTAGGGGACTGGCTTGTCGGTGCGTGCTTTGCTTCTCGGAGGGGAGAGCTCTACACGACGTAGCAATGTACATGGTCACACTGCGTAAGTGTAAGTTGGTGTCATGCATGTCAGGGACAATTACAGACATGACAGTAGGGGCGTGTAGCGGCCCCTAGCATTGCAGCTAGGCGGGGCCTTGTCGTGGCATGAAGCCGACAGCTTTACGACTCATCCCTGCGTCTCAGCTGACTGCCAAGCCCCTCCCGCTCGCGCCTCAGCTACCCGCAAGGCCCTTCCCCACGACCCACACATCCGCCCGCTGTATAACGGAGAAGAAGTGAGGCAGGTCATCTAATAAGGACTCGTAAGTCATGACCTGACGTGAGACCGACCGACATACATCGTGAGCCCAGCTGACCCCCAGCTGGCAACCAGCAAACTAACACCCCCGCGTGCTCCGTCCCCCTAACTACTCGAAAACCCCACGCCTGGGGCGTCCCCCCACATGTACGATTGCATGGATAGCGACAGATCCCATACATTGTACGGCGGCTCCTATTGCATGCATGCACATCGCGGCTCCGTGAAGGCCCGCTCATCGCCTGCACACAGCCCGTGCCTGCGGCGTCATCCTGCCTGCTGCCCTCCTGCATCCGGATGCAACACCTCCCTTAACCCACGCCTGCTGCGGTATCGTACATACCCCCACACGTACGGTGCAATAGCAGCCCCTCCAGCCTAGCCCCCAGCCAGCCCACCAACCGCCGGCAGCACGGCTCACCACTCCAGCCAATATACTTCCGGGAAGAGGACCTTTTTGTCTAGCGCCAGTAGCCACTCCAGGCGCCTCAGCCCGATGCCGCCCCCACTGGGCTCCCAGGCGCCATCCCACGCATGCTGGATGGCCTGTGGGTGTGGGTGTGTATGGGGGAAGGGGGGGAAGCGAGGTGCAGCCAGCGTTGGGGAGAAGGGAAAAAGGCGCGTAGGGACCTCTTGCCGTGACCTGCCTCAACCCGCGACCCCACACACCGCAGGCCCCAGCGCCTGCTGACTTGCCGGTACACGCACCCACCTGTTCCACGGCATCATACATGTTGGACATTTCAGACCGCACTCCCTGCCGCGATGCGAGCCGCAGCACCTGCAGCGGTGCAGCCACCGCCTCCGGCCCCTCCGCTGCTGCTGCCCCAGTAGCCCCCGCCTCATCCGCCAGCGCCTTCACAGCGGCCTCCACCGCCTCCGCCGCCGCCCTCCCGTAGCACCCCATCACCACTGCCTGCACAGCCGGCAGCGGCTGGTACCATATCAAGCAGTGCTCGCTGCCCTCCCCTCTAGTCGCCTGCACCGCCCGCTCATCCAACCTTCTCATCCACCGCTGGAGCGATGCTTCCCCCTCCCCCCCCTGCTGCCCCTCCTCGCCCTGCCTAAGCATTGTAGCCAGGAGCGGGCCGCTCACATACAGCTCATGAGCTACTGCCGAGCCACCCCTGCCAGCAGTCTCGCCCGCATCCTCCCCAGCCGCTGCTGCCGCTGCCGCCTCCGCCAAATACCCCATCGCACTCAGCAGCAGCTCTACTTCTGATGGCAGCTCCTGCCAGCCCCCTGCCGCCGCCGGTCCCAGCTGCGGCCCCTCGCCGCCCGCCAGTGCAGGGCGGGAAGGCGCCGCTGTTGCCAACCGTATCGTATCGAAGTTTCGATACCACCACAACGTCTGCGGCAGGCCCACCAGCTTCACCGCCTGCAGCACTGCAGCCACAGAGGCATCCAAAAACGTCAAGGTCTGCACCTCCGTAACGGAGAAATGCTCCCACAGCAGCGCTCGGGTACGGGACAGCTGCTCTTCGGGCCGCGGATCCGGCTGTATGAACAATTCGTCAATAACCAGACGTGGCTTCTGCTGCTGCTGCAGGAGGGGACGCGGAATGCTGTGCAGGAGCCAGTGTTTTGGCAGAAAATTGAAGTCATCGCCTTCACGAAGCTTCACGAGCCGCAAGTGACCCGCGTCCAGGTGAAACTCCACGGACTGGTCAATGAAAAAGGGCGGAAAGCGGCATTCCTCCAGCTGCAGGTGCCGCATGGAGGGCGACAAGCTGCCCAGC